AAAAATGCTGAAAATAATTACTTGCAACATCAAATAGAGCAACATAAACATGATTCTAATAAATTATGGAAGACTTTGAAATCTATCTACACACAACAAGAAAACAATTCAAGTTCAGCAGTAAAATTTGAGGACAAAATAGAAACTGATTGCAATATAATCGTTGATAAATTAAATAATTTTTTCATCAAAAGCATAGAAGATATTAACAAACTTATACCAAACTGTGATATGGATGTCATAAAATTGATCCCAGAAGTTTCATGCAGCTTTACAATTCAAGAAGTCGAAGAAGAAGAAATAAAAACAATTATTCAAGAAATGAAAAAGAAAAACAAGAATGATGATATTTCTGGATTAATTCTACATCATGCTATGATTGACAAAAAATTTTCATCGAATCTGTGTACAATTTTAAATCAATCAATAAGAAGTGGTGAAGTTCCTGAATATCTGAAGACATCAATTGTAGACCCCATTGAAAAAATTAAAAAATCTATTAAATGTGAAGACAAACGTCCCATTAACAAATTACCAGTGATCGAGAAAGTATTAGAAAAACTAGTTAAAATACAGATGACCAAATATCTAGAGGAAAACAAAATAATTATTGAAGAACAATCTGGTTTTCGAAAAGATCATTCATGTGAAACATCTATCACGAATTTGATCTGCGAATGGAAAAATATTTTAAATGATAATCAAAACATCATCATTGTATCATTGGATTTAAAAAGGGCGTTTGAAACGATTGATAGAGATATTTTCATAAAAAAATTGATCAAATATGGATTTAAAGATAATGCACTTAAATGGTTTAAATCATATTTAGATGACAGAAAACAAATAACAAAATTCCAAAATTCTTTTTCAACATCACTTTCAAACGATTTGGGAATACCACAAGGAACAATACTTTCGTGCCTTTGTTTCATTTTGTTCATAAATGACATGAAATTGATCGTGAAAAACATAAAATTAAGTCTATTCGCAGATGACACATTGATTTACATAGCATGCAACGACATAGATACAGGAATAAAACAAATGAACGAAGATCTTAACGAAATATACAAATGGCTATGTACAAATAAATTATGCTTAAATATTAATAAAACAAGTGCAATGATAATAACAAAAAAGAAAACATTAAATTACAATAACCATTTAAAAATTAATAATGATACGATACAAGTTTTAGAAGAAATTAAATGTCTTGGCATAATAATTGATCAAAAATTAAACTTTGAATCCTATAAAAATTACGTGTGCGAAAAAATGTTAAAAAAATTATATGTTTTAAAAAGATGCGATAAAAAATTATCCCCTTTCAGCAAAATAACATTTTATAAATCTTTGATAAGCCCACACATTGATTACTGTTCAACAATCCTTTTTTTACTTAATGAAACTCAAATGAAAGATATACAAAAAATACAAAACAGAGTAATGAGAATAATTCTAAAAGTACACCAAAGAACTCATATAAAAGATATGATTGAAACTCTTAAATGGATGACAGTGAAACAAAGAATTTATTTTAACACTCTTAAATTTCTTTACAGAATGGAAAATGGAGAATTGCCTGGTTATCTCACAACGAAGATGAGGAAAAAAGATGAATTTATACCACATAATTTAAGAGGTGGAAGAAATTATCAACTGCCAAACTTTATACACGAACACACGCAAAATTCACTTTTTTTTAAAGGAGTAAAAATATTTAATGAGTTTAAAGAAAAGAACAAAAACAAACTTACAGAAAGAAGAAAGGAAAATGAAAGATTGATGGCAGATTTTGTAAGAGAAAGATTTTTTTAAAGTGTGAAAATTTATTTCATTTTGTTTTATATCTATTTTCCTGAATATTTAACCTCGAGTACCAGACGAGTAAATCTGGTTAATTACTAACAAAATGTAAGAAAAAATTATGAAAGTACCTAAAAGGTAATAATAAATCACAATCACAATCACAATCACAATCACAAGACAATGCTATGGGAATGACATGAGCCTTCACTGTAAAACAGATTCAGGCAGTTTGAAGCCACGTTTTCAAAGGAAACTTACCGCTTAAGCCATTTAAAAGAAACCTATCGTCAATATCAAAGACACCGAAAATTCATTTTTTACTCCTTAAAAATATTCTTCAAAACTTTTTACCTTCCCAACTCCAACCCAAAGACGTCTCCGTCAGCTTAAGCACCTTTTAAGCGCCCTCTAGTCTGGCGAGTCATTCATTAAGCTTCTCTCTGTCTCTTAATGCAGCTTAATAATCAAATTCCTAAGAATCTACATTAATAAAAATTCTCGCCATGCACTTATCTAAATTCGTTCTAAAAAATCTTTAAAATTATTTGGAAATGACGGGGATCGGTGGATGGAGAAGAGGATGAAAGCAAAGGAAAAAAAAAGAAATAAAGGAACAGAAGAAATAATGAAGCGAAGAACGTCGAAATTCAAAAGAAAATTATTCAAGTTTGGAAAATTGTACAAAAGTCGACGAGAAGTCTGGTCTTAAATTCTAAACCAAAAAAAAGCAACAAAACGAGGAGGAAGAAGCAGGAAAAGAAGAAAAATGTTTCTTATTTCATTCTCAGTTTAGAGTTGAGTGTGTGTGAGAGCGCACTAGCTGAGTTATATAAAGAATTCTTCCTTCGTTTTCATTTTTTTTTCCTGTAAAAGAGCGAAGTGAAATATAAACAAGCAACATGAAAAAAGACTCAATACACAAGCATCATGTAGGAATATAAAATATTGCGATGAAAAAACTGTATACATGCTTCGACAAAAAGAAATAACGCTGGCGACGGCTTGTCTGCTGCTTTGGAGTCATTTTTTTTTCAAAAACACATTTTCTCTGCTGAATGTTCTTATTGCCAGCGCTCACCACCTTGAAAATTTTCCATTCTCACGAAAAAATTGATATTTTGGCTTTTAAAACGTTTACGTATTTGAAGCTGATGGTTTTTGACAACTGAACGATATTGAACTTCGAGTGAGCTTTTTTTAGACTATCGCTCAACAGAGATGATCAAGACAAGCCGATAAGTTGTTGCCCTACAAATCAATCGAAAATCGTTGACGTTGGCAATATTTTTTTGATTCCTGGAGGGTATAAACTAGTTTAATATGCGAATCAGTAAAATAGTTAAACGGATATATTTATCTGGTTATTCATTAAAAATTAGCAACATTTTTATGCATGATACAGGTAGGCGTCGTGTTGTGAAATCGAGAAATCAATTATTTCTAGTTAATTGGATCGAGTCTCACATTGAAATGCGCAACTCTAATCACACTTAATCGCGTTGATAACAAGATAAAAGCATATAACTTGTTGAGGCATGATTTTATTTCATCATATAGAAAGATGACTAAGATGTCGAGTTATAAAAAAATACCTGACTCGATATTTTTCCTTTGTGCTTCTTATAGTCTGTATGAGCGTGCATGTATTGTGCTGCCGATATGTCTTCAACCTGTGCACAAAATCGCGTTACTTCTCGCCTCTCACTCCACACAGTTTCGTTATGAAAATCTCATGTGTTAGAGAAGCACAGAAAGATGTTTTCACATTTTTAACATGAATAAAACAAAACTGAAACAGAAAATGTGCTTCAGTGTGAAAGAAACTCTTCGCGTGAAAACTGCTACTCAATGATTATTTCATTTTCTTTTTCTTTATGGGAAATTAGATAAAAAGTCATTTTTTGTAAAGCGAGTGAAAAGAAATGCAGTAGATAAAAATACGTTTGCATAAGTTCTCTTTTTAATTTGAAGCTTCAGTTTATTTAAACATAAAATTTAAGTGTATTTTTGTATTCACATTTAAAATACTCAAAAAATATTTAATTTTGCATATCAATTCTTCGTGATGAACTGGTAGCAATTCGTTTTGGTGGATTTGTGACATAAAAAAAAATAATAATAATTGTGCACTATTAAAAAATATCAGAAAAATTAAGAAACGAAATAAAATAGATAATTGACGTTGCAACTGTGTGTGCGTATGTGAAAAAATATGGCGCATGGAATTAAGAAGATTTTGATTGACAAAAATGATGATTTAGAGTGCAATAATAACCAGCATAATACAAACAATACCAATAAAATGGCACTGAATAGTTTACTTCTTGACAATTGCTGTGTAAGCTCCTCAAATCAGACTCTAATGAACCAGAAAAATTCCTCTACGACCACGAATGCATTGGTCGCAACACATCAGCTACTACCACCAACGCAATCGACGACGACTTTAATGAATAATAGCAATAAATTGAGTTTAAATTGTGGTGGCGCTTCGATGTCTACAATTGCTTCATCAGCCACAAAGTCACCGACAACTGGTACGAAAATGGGATCACGCCGTATATTTACACCACAATTTAAACTTCAAGTACTTGAATCTTATCGGAATGATAACGATTGCAAAGGAAATCAAAGGGCAACTGCACGTAAATATGGTATACACCGTCGCCAAATACAAAAATGGTTACAGTGTGAGAACAATCTTCGATCAATTATTGCAAATAATCCTCAAAATACAAAAAATAACGCCATGAAGTCAATTCAAAAAGCAACAGCTCCCATTTTATCGTCGTCGTCAAACTCTAGACACCGCGGAGTCGTCGGCGCTAATACAGACAAAAACGGGGGAACATATAGTTGTTTCACTCTATCCAATGCGAAATCTTACAAAAGCAACAACGTTGGCTCGTCGACAAAAAGTCTAACATCATCGTCTTTAGCTTTTACTGATTTTTCAATGGGCAATAATGCGACGGCAATCGAACCGACTCGCAATAATGGAACAATCAACATAAATATTAACAATAATTTCTATTATGATAATTCTCGTATGGGAAATATAAATATGTACAAACAAGAAGAATTGCCGATCGATTTATCCTGCAATAACAAAATAAAAACGGAAACTGTTGCACGCCCTATTGCAATTCATCCAACGCTACCCTTTTATCATTTTACTCCATCCCCGCCTTCAATGTCTCCACCTCATTTAACTGACATATCAAACTCAATTGTGAAAACAGAATTACGTAATGATCCTATTGATCTAACTGTTCCAAATGTGTCACATAAACGTAAGCTCAGTACTGATAACGCAGAGAAAGCAGAAAAGAAGCCTGTCAAGCTGTTTCGTCCTTACTTAGAAGGAAATTTTGATGAAAGCGAAAAAACTCAACAGAACAGCGATCTACAAAAATTTCCATTAGTGTGGAGTAATGTTTACAACTTTTATCCTGAACATTACAATTCGGATTACAACCCAGCCAATCATCCCTTTCTAATTGGATCGCCGACATATTATGATACTCATTTAACGATTCCTGTTACACCATCTTCGACACTTTCGTCACCTAATGATAGTGGGATTATAAATACTAGCTTTCAAACACTAATGCCGCCATCCCAAGCATCCCCAGTTTCTGGTTATGATAGTTCTACATCATCAATTTACAGTTTCAATGACAATGAAGCAGACATGAGTCAAAGCAACAGCCCATCTTATAGCCATTACGATCCGCCATCTCCAGTCAGTGCCACGTTGTCGCCAACTGAAACAAAAGTGCCATTATTTTCCTCATCATTTTTGCACGATTTGAAATTCAAATTGCATACTCTCGACTGCTACTACAATGATGCTGAATGCAAGCGTAGCGAGAAACTAGTGGCAAATAAGCTAAACATTAATTGCAAAGTTGTTGAAAAATGGTTAAGACAAGAGAGTGATTTACGTCATCAGCAAAAGCATTATCAATTAGAAATTTTAGTGTAAAAAATATCTATCACATATCCACTCATTGAGCCAATCAAATTATTTTAGTTTTCTATATGAGAACAAAATATGTGATAAGAAAGAAGAATTTGTAGATTAAGAAGAAAGAATAGATAACTTTTTGGAATGAGTCTTCCTATTAATGAGCAAAAACGAAAACAAAAAGCAAACCNTTTTCAGCTGACGTTTCGTTTACTGTTTGTAAACCTCTTCAGAGCTTCAACAAATAAGTCTTGTCAAATTACAGGTGATGAAGAATTTGTAGATTAAGAAGAAAGAATAGATAACTTTTTGGAATGAGTCTTCCTATTAATGAGCAAAAACGAAAACAAAAAGCAAACCAAGCTAAACCTTAAAGTTAAGCATGAAATCGTTACAGTAATTTAAAGCTTATCTTTTCGGATCATTGAATCAAATTCAATATTAAACAAAAAAAATTTAAAATTCTTGTGAGCAGGTCTCATAAAAACATTTTCTGACCGACTCAATTAGAAAAATTAAAATATGCAAAAAGAAGGTGAAGGCATGGAAATAATAATTTTTCAAAAGAAGCTTACACAGGTGTTAAGAACAAGAAACGACTCAAAAATGGAATCATTCGAATTCACACTATAAGCATAATTGCTCTTACACTGTTTTGAATTCTAATGAGCTGAGGTTCCTTTTTTAGAAGGCCAAGAAAAATTGAGAGGTTTTTTGTAAAGATACTGCCAGCACTAGTTAGTTCTCCATATTCTTCTCACAGGTGCCATATCCAAAAGAAAAGTAATACAAAAACCTTCTTTGATATTTATTTTTACAACTCTTAGATCCTTTCTTCAGGTGAAGTCCTGATTTGCATATTTTACAACCATAGATTTCACCATGTTTGTATCTTTTCGTCACCATAAGAGACGAATTCTAAATATTATTTTCTACCTGCTAAATCATGAACCTGGAAGTAACAACATAAGAAAAAAAGTTTTGTCATAAAATCATTCAATTTTAATTGTACAGCATATAATAATATAAGATATTGTTTTAAAGAATTAATTTTAAGATGCCTATGCCAACAGAGAAAATTGTGTGAGATGAAAGAAATCGTTTTCTCTTGAGAAAATGTAAAATATGTGCCTTTTTTAAGCTTATTGATGGTAAACTGAAGAAAAAATACAAGAAAGAAAAAAGATTGAAAAACAAGTGCCAATTTTCGTAAATTATTGTAATTTCAAAGAAATCATACAATTGCAAATTGTAAAAAACCGATGGTATATTTTATGTAAAAGAAACTTCAATTGGATTGAAAATTCATAAAAAAATTTAAGAGATTTGCTTTGTAATTTAAACTTAAGATAAATATGATTGCGACATAAAATTATGAATATATAAGGATCTTAAATAAAATGACAACGGTTGCAAAAAATTAAACACTCTGCTTTTTGAATGATTGATTTAAGCTTTTTCAGGTGCTGAAAATTATATAAAACACAGACTTCTCTGCTATTTACTTTGTTTTAATTTTATTGTCACAAATTGTTTACTTCAAGTTTGAAATCATCTTATGAAAGTTAAACGGATTTTAATTTTTTGAAAAATTTGGTCATCACAGAGAAAAATGTTTCATGTCCTCTAAGTGTGTAAATAAAGAAAATCCAAAGTGCGACTGAAAATACTCAAGAAATAATTTCTTTGGATGTAACAGCATCTGAAAATCTAATGAGTGCTGTTTTATAAAAAGTTGAATCGAATCTGTGAAATAAAATAATGAAAAGTTAAGAACAAATTCCACCTACAATTAAACAAAGTTTCGAAAGGTAAAGGCCTTGAAGTTTTTCGTTTATAAACTTACATCACAACATCAACACATTGGCCAATATAATATAAGCGGTTTCCCACCACAAAACCCATGGAACCAGTTTTTTTTATAATTTTCTTCTCTCTGTGATTAAATAATATTTTTTAAACATATTGCAAAGAATCGCTCAACTGTCGTAACAACAAAAAAACTTGCTCACAAAAAATTTTCATAAATAATTGGATAATTGAAGTCTATCTAATTCAACAACATTAAGTGAAATATTCCATCGTTCTACTCTTGATTCTGCTGTTCAATTACCTACTTATTTGCTTTTACAATTCATGTATGTTGAAAAGTGTTTTAACGATAAGAAAACTGATCATTAAAAATCATTATCTTATATTATTTATTTTACTTTCTTATTTCCAGCTGTGAACTTATTCGAAATAAGGCTTAAACCACAGTCGTTGGTTTTAACAAAAATAAGCTGATAAGTGATAGTATAAAAAGAAAAAACTCACAGAACGTGATATCAAAATCATTTCATCATGATGCATATGTACTTTTGGTGGGGCGATGATCTCGGAGACTTTTTCATACAAGGCTTCAAAATTAATACAGTGCACTCAATGGTTCTTCTTTGTTTATGTTTGTTTATCTTATCAATTGCTGTAGAGGGACTGAAAGTAAGTTTTATCATTTGTTTGAAGAAACGCAATAAGATTTTAATGTTTTTATTTCAAGGTACATAGAACACGATCAAGAGCAAGAGCCGCTCGTGAGAAAAGTAGATCCTTATCCTGTTCACCCAGCGAAAACACAATTCTCATTTCAACGGATGGAAACAGAAACAAAAAATTTCTTCCTGAGATTTTCAATGGCATCAAGGAAGTTTCTATTTTTGCTTTTCATAACATCCTTAACTATGGATTAATGTTGGCCGTTATGATGTATAATGGATATATTTTTGTCGCTGTAGCTATGGGAGCTTTCATTGGATATTTCCTTTTTGGACATCTCAGTATGAAAATCAATATGGAAAATCTTCAAGCAATTCAAACAAAAATTGTTTGCTCAAGTCGATGTGCTGATTCTGGTAAGTGTTGAATTTTGTGTGCCATCTTTTCATAACGCTTTCGTTTAAAAATCTTGAGGCTTTCTTATTAAATCTTTATATCGATTTCATAGGGGCTTTATGTGCTGATAATTCTGGACCTTGCTCGAACGATCATTGCAATAATCACTTCTAAATTTTATCATCAGTCATTTACAAAATGAGCTTCATGATATATTCTTAAATGTTATTGGAAATTAATGGAAAATCTCAAGAAATGATATTTGTCCTAGTTACATATGTTTGTGCTGTTATTCGTTTTGATTGAAAAATATATAAATTCTGTTATCATGATTTAAATAATTTATTCACGAAACAAATCGCTTTGAAAACTTTTCAGAAGAGCCATGTACGTCTGGAACAACGCCAATTGTGTCGCATTGTCCGACAGTTGTTGGAGAAGGAAGTTCTTCAGGAGTAGCTATCATGAGAGCAATAAGCAGCAGTTCTCAAAGACGAGATTCAAGTAGCAGCGATGACTGTGCCATTGTTCATGAACGCAGTTAGTTTTAAGTAATTAATTTAACCCAATTTAAATTTTTTAAAAGCATATTTTATATACCATTGTTAAAACAATTCATATTATAATAAAATATAAAGTTTAATAAGTTTTAACGAGTTTTACCGCTAAATAATTTGAATTTACCGCGATGACTTTATTAAAATTATTGCAAATTTGATGATTTTGTTCCATAAGTGAACAGTCTGTGCCGGTGATTCTCAGAAAAATATTGTGATTAAAAATTCAAAGACAACATTTTTAATTATCAATTGAATACATTATTACATCATAATTTGAAACATTTTTACTTGAATCATCTAAAGGAAACTTCAAAATTCTAATTTAACAAGGTGAAAGGTTAAATTTAATTTTCGACTTAATCAACAATTTCTTTTCAATGTAAAATAATTTGTTTCAGATGGCTGCCAAACATAAGCTTCATTCATCACAATTTCATCCAACTTTGAGGAAACTAAATGAGCCAAATGTTGAGATAACAGCAACGAATTTAATGTATCCAGTTTTTCTTTTGTGAGTAAGCAAAAATTATTTTCCAGAAGAAAAAATTGTTGATGTCCTCGTTTTTAATTTGTTTTTTAGGGAAGATGACAATGCCCTCGAGGAAATTCCATCAATGCCAAATGTATACCGATATGGTTTAAAGAAATTAATTGAGCATCTTGCACCATTAGTTGAGCTCGGCCTAAGTTCGATTCTAATTTTTGGTGTTCTTGTGAAATTGCCGAAAGATGAAAATGGTACTCATGCAGACTCGAACTCAAATCCTGTTATTAGAGCTCTTCCCCTTTTAAGACAAAGATTCCCCGAACTTCTCATTGGATGCGACGTCTGCTTATGCCCTTACACTTCTCATGGTCACTGTGGTATTGTCATTAATGGTTTTATTAACAACGAGCAAAGCATTGAACGAATCGCTTCAATCGCTATCAGTTATGCACGAATGGGAGCTCATATCGTGGCTCCATCTGATATGATGGACAATAGAATTGCATCAATCAAACGTGTTCTTATCGAAAATGGAATGGAAAATCTTTGTTCAGTGCTTTCATATTCTGTGAAATTTGCCTCGGGATTTTACGGTCCTTTTAGAGATGCTGCTAAGTCAGCTCCACAGTTTGGTGATCGACGAGCTTATCAGTTGCCATCTGGTTCGAGGGGATTGGGCATTAGGGCCGCAAGACGTGATATTGATGAAGGTGCTGACATGCTTATGGTTAAACCTGGAATGTCATATTTAGATATTGTTCGTGATGTTAAGAATGAATTTCCAGAATATCCATTGTTCATTTATCAAGTATCTGGTGAATACTCCATGCTTATTCACGGAGCAAAAGCTGGTGCATTTGAATTAAAAACTGTGTTGAATGAAGTTTTAACTTCAATGAGACGTGCTGGTGCAGATTGCATCATCACATATTTCGTGCCCACATTGCTTCAATGGATGAAGACTGATCGTTTGAATTAATCTGATTTTCTATGTAAAACACTCATTTAGTTCCTGGAAGAAGGCATTAGGACTTTAAATAATTGTTAAGATATTTTTAAATAATTTTTGAAAATAAAGAAATTTTCTTTAATTCAAAATTTTTCCTTGGGCAAAGAATTTAAAATGTTCTTGACAGTTTTGTTTACTTGTTTAGCATTTCTAACAGCATCCAATATGAACCAAAGGTACTGCGCAGTTTCTTGTTATCAGCTGATTGAGAATAAAAATTCTTCTTCCATTTTATTGAAGAGAAAAAAATGCAACAAAAGGATAAATTTGAGTGTTCAGTCACAGTTTTCAGTGATATTTGTTGGAAGTGTTCCGTTTATTCAAAAGGAAAATATTTTATGACACTAAGAAATATGTTAATTATCGTCTGTTGAAGGACAACAAGTCAAGTTAATATGATAATTGTCGCTCTATGATTAATTGCATTCATATCATAAGTGAGTTTATTTTTTATTCATGAGTAGAATTTTTTATTTACTTACAAGTAAAACTTTTCCCACTGGGATAGTCAGCTGTGTTACTAAACTACACAACAAGCAAGAGAGAAGAGTAAGCAGCCAACAAACAAGAAAAATGAAAAAAATCTTCAGTCGCTCCAACGCTTTCATCGCGCAAGGCAGATATTTATTTGCTTCAATTGCCTGTTTTAAATATTTGATTCATTTCATTTTTTTTAAATTGCATTGAAATTGCACGCAAACATTACAACGTAAAAAGCTAGTTTACGGAAGTAAAGGAAAGCTATTGAAAAGAGTTTCATGTATAAAAGGTTAATGAACAGGAATAAGAATTGCAGTGAAAAAAGTGTGTCAGCATAGAAAGCGAACTTAATTTGTATCTGAAAGTCATTTGATTCTTGAAAATCTATTTTTTACGGAGGCGAAACATTACAAAGTGTCTTCGTCAAACGAACAAATGTAAGAAGACACATTAAAAGAAGAACAAGTCGTGATATTTTTGTTATCTTTCAAAGCATAACAGTTTAAGTTATTAATAGCTGCAAGAAAAACACAAAAAGCAGTGCGAAAGTCGATTGGTGAGTTACAACATTGAAGAAATTCCCAAAAAGTTGAATGATTGAAAGTGAAAGACTTTGAATAATATTTCTTTCGTAAACTTAATCAACCTAATTATATTTTTTTAAGAACATAATTCGAATTGTTATTTGAAGGAAAAATTTTTCGTAGCTTTGCTTGTTTGATCATATCCGAAGTAATTTATTAGTCATAAAAAGATCTGTTTTGTTAATTTAAGCAAATAAAAAGACAGTGAAAGACAATTAATAAGACTTGTTGTGAAGAACTCTGACTTAAACTTGTCATTGTCTTCAACTTAAAAAGAAATATATCAAGAAGGTCATTTGTCGATATTTTGAATCATAATTGAATTTCAATTACCAATGTTTATTGTTTAACGTTCATAATCTAAATTAAACAAAAGACATTACGAATATTAAAATTTCCCTTCAGTGATTCATTTTTTTATTTCTCGCACGCGTAAGTTTCAAGATGACAGTTTAGTTTCTATATGTCTTTAAGTCATGCTTGATTTCCATCAATCATACACTCTCAGAGACAATTACATTTGTTAAATTGATATTTTTTTAACAGAAACTGTCGCATTAAAAAGTTTCTGACGTAACTGTTTCGGTTTTCCGCACAAGTGTTGAAAACATCAAATAAGTCATGTAAAATGATATCAATTTTGCAGTCTTTGTTCATTAGAAACATTTGATATTTATAGTTGAATAACGATAGAGATTGGTGAATAAAACACTTAGAAAATTGCCATGTTTTCTAATAGTCTATTGAAATCTCGCGGCGTCAAGCCTCATATTGTTTTCATTGAAACTTTGTGATGATTCAAAAAGCCAAACATTTCTTTATACAGTAACCTTACCCGCTCCTATAATGCTACCGCATTTACTTTACTATGAGGCAAACAAAACAAGTTTCTGTTTTACGAAAATAAAAAATGAAGAACAAAAACAGCCTCAGCTGAAGAAATAGAATAGCATTAGCGGGTGAATGTGAATGTATCCAATTAGACTGTCTATATCATGAGATCCGCAATATGTATATTTGTGTGGGTTAATTCATTTCAATTCAACTAAATTGAAAATCTTTCGCGATTACCTAAAAATTATTTGCGAATCATCTTCAAGTCAATTAAATCAAATCTAGTTTCAGATTATAGAAATATTCTGTGGTCTACTTAAACTTTACTTAAACTTCGTCAAATTTGTTACAATTGAATGTTTCAAATTGATTCGCCACGACTTCCACACAAGGTGAACGAATTTTTTCTGTGTAACTTCATTAACGTAATTTTTTATTAAAACGTGGAAGTCATAAAACTAATCTGAACGTACAAACAGACAAAGGATTTTCTCTCAATTTTCTATGGTGAAGGAAACAAAGTTTGTTTGGAATAAGAAGACATGACGTGCAAGATACATTTCCATAGCGACGAGACTTTCTTTGTTAACAATTTCGAAAGGTCGTTCAATGAACTTTCCAATCTCTTGAGAAACTTTCTTCTCAAAGGACGGAAATCTTCTTCATTCTTTTATTCATATCCTTTATAGCGAAAAAGCTTTTAAGCAGAGATTGCTTGCAGTCTTGTTAATGTAGGTCATGACCATGAACAAAATGTAAACACGAAAATATATCCTAATGAATAAATAAAACCCCTATGAATCAAACAGTCGATTTCTTGTGACATATGAAAAGAAAATAGAAGTGTAATCAACTTGACAATGAATGATAATCCTAATGGTCGATGAGACCTTGATAAAAAAGCTTTTAATAAAAGTAAAAATCTGTAATTGTAAACGTTGGCTGGTCTAGGACACAAAATTATGAATAATTAATTCTAACAAGTGTTTGATCAAATTCATATCACTTTCTGTCATATCGCGATATTGAAAAGGGAAAATGAATGCTTCGAAAATAGGCCAACTAGAAGCGAAATCGATTAAAAGTAATGAATTAATGTCTACATTTAATAACACATGCCTGCTCATTCAATAACAACGCTTTTCAAAAGAAATATTTTCATAAATTTTCTCAAATATTTCCCGACTCAGCGTCTTTTTCCCTTACTCGACTCATCAACTGCCACACATCACTTAGAATTTGCGAGAGAAAAGAAATATGAATTAGTGAAGAAATCATGAACTTGATATTGGCATGAATTCAAAAGATGTTTCAGAAGTTTTCATGCTTTTTACTGAGTTTTATGAAGATTTTCTATTTTGAAGTTTCAGACGTCATGTTTGTAAAAATATTTATGAAAGAAAGGAAATTTTGTAATGTTTTATCTTGTTGAAAATAATTTTGAGACATTAAACTAAGTGAAGGTTTTCTTATCAGTACTTTTCAAGTTATTTCCGAAACTCATTAGAAATTAATTTAGAATATGAATCATAAATTAATGAAACATTTTAACACAAATTAAAAAATAAATCACAAAAATCTTCAAAGTGAGATGTTTGTGATTTACACATTGAAATTGTTATGAGGTTTGTTGAGTGGTGGCGATAATGAATGTCATCAGGTTGTTGTTTTGACAAGACACTTTAATATAATTGATAGGAGGAACTGAGACGCACCTTAAAACATGAAACAAAACAAAGCATTATGTGACATTCCTTTTAACTGACGTGTAAAAAATCATCGGTGAATGACTTTGTTGATATCAACAACAATTGTTAGCATAAAATTCATTTTAAATAGTTTGACATTGAAAATTATTTTTTAAATTGGATTAAAGTGAACATGTGAAGCTGCACAATTCTAGTTGATTAAATTTCTACTAAAATGATTCTTTTCATTATTCCCAGAAATAAAATTTTGTTGCAAATGAATATTTGTAAGTGAAACTTCTGCATAGAAACTTTTAATATTAACAGATGGCACCGCCAAGACAACAAGTTCAGGTTGCTGACAAAGGATATGGTGAGTGAAGTTTACGACATTTCTTTACAATTTACGAGTTCATAACTCGCTTAGTGATTTGAGAATTTGCAGAAATTTCAACAATTTAACTTCAAAATGCTCTTGTGATGTTTATTGCAATAATAAATTTCTATTGAAAATAAATTCAAAGTTTGCAAAACCTGTCGCGTTTACGGCCTGGTTACAAACTAACAAACACTTGTTGAGCTTGTTTATAAACAAATGATTTCGCGGAATGAATAAATGTACATTTTATGATTAATGAAGTTTATTTTTTGTACAAAACATTAAATTCTTCGACTTTTCACCTTTTTTAATTAATTTTTTTTCCTAATCTCTACCAAACGACTTTTATGCTTGGAAATAAATTTTGCTTTTGTAGCAATTGATTAATTATTGTTAAACTGCCTACAGCAGGCAATCAACTAATTTTATAATTTTGAAAATAGTTTCAAGTTGAACGAAGCTTCTTTTTATGGATAAAAATCATTCATCTCAAAATTTATGAACAAAACTTTAACTTCAATTTCCAAAAGAATCTTCCAAGTTTACAATTTAATATGATTAAACTAAATAGGTACATTCGCAAAGACATTGCGCTAGTGTTCGTCATGAAATGATCGCAGGTACTGTGACGAAACCGCACATCAGAATTGAAAGAAAAATATTATTCGACAGTTTTATTTCAACATTGTGTCTGTCAACTATTTTCGCTTGAATTTCCGTATTAATCGATTACATTTGCTGATTCTCTATTTTCACTCAAACAAATGATTGCGTTCAGCAAAAATATTGACTTTTATCGATTAAAACTTTTAATGCTTCAGAATATTTGAATTGATTTCATAGCTCGGTTTCTTAGTAGTCATTGTGTTTCCAATCATATGTTCCTAAACGAATACACAAAAAAAAAGTAAAAACGTGTAGTGATAAAATTTGTAAACTAAAATATCAAATATTTATACATTTGTGGTCTGATAAGAATGAATTTTTTCCTTAAATTGAGATAATGCGTTCTTTTGTTTGACAAAACCGGAGATAGGATTGAGTTGTGTCTGTGAAGTTTGTGTGAATAGTTTGCAGTTGATTACATTCGGTCTTCAAGTTTAAGGCTCTCTTGTGACAAAATTACAATTAAAATTAAGAAAGTTTAATTAATAATGGATAAAGCTAATACAAGTGGTCGAGCGTTGCTTGATGAAACTGCTGACAAATCACAAAGTAGCATCGAATCTCGTTCTCTGTTAATTTTATTCAAAAACATTTCATCAAAAAATCTTTTAAATTTTGCAGGAGAACACTTCAGATATGATCCAAAGTTTCGAGGCCCATTATCTCAAAGATCGTGTACTGATGTCATCTGTTTGTTGTTTTTCTTTGTGTTTCTTATTGCGTTCGGTTTCGCCGGATACTATGGTGAGATTTTTGTTAACAAATTACAAATATTGTTAAACATTTACTTAACAGAATAAATTTCATTATTAGCTCAACGTGAAGGTGACTTAAATCGCTTATTAGTACCTCGTGATTCAGAAGGCAAACAATGCGGAGAAGATAGTGAAGTGTTAGACAAGAAGTTTCTTCTATTCTTTGATCTTGCCAAATGTGCTGATCCACTTGTACCACTCAACGGTTGTCCAACAACGCAAACTTGTGTTAAACAATGTCCAACAACAAACTTTGTTCATTCGAAGCAAGCATGCCAACAAAACTTTCAGACTTACAAAGAAAAGTTAATTTGCACGAGAAATGTTGCAATGAAAGACATTAGAAATTGTGATGATGTTGAAAAGTGGATTGAAAAAGAACAATGCGCAAAATGGTACTTGAAATCTGAACCATGTAAGTATTTTTGCAATATGAGATTCTCATGATTTAAGCTTCATAATAATAATATTTATGTCGCTATTCAGTTGTGTTAATTACTTTCAATTTTCTTATAATTTCTCGAGAATTTTATTCGTTTTGTCAACGTCAAGTTTTCTTTTTGTAAATATTTTCAACAATTTTTGTGCTCTTGTGTTTAGTTGTTTTAAAGATTTCTCCTCGCTTTTGTTTCCAATAATCTCACTTTGCATAACATTTAGTTTTCAACTTGTGTCTCTCGGAACTTCTACCATTAAACTATGAATGCAGTGCAAAAATGTTCAACGAGAATCGTGGTCGATACCAACGCGACATGTTTAATTTAGATTTGTCAAAATCTTCTGACATGAAATGCGAACGAGTTGATCCAGCAAAGAAACGAATGTTGAAGGAGAAATTTGAGATTGCGGAATCATTTTTGGGAAGATTTATTGGCAATATTTTGAAGCATTTCCATTTCTCCGAAGAAAAAGATGTTTTAGGGGTAAGAGTGGAGCTTTTCTAACTACTGGTTGACTTCCTTCTGTAGTTTTTGCTTGAACTTTTTCACACATTCTTGGTAGCATGGCATTGACAATCTCAATTAAAAAGTAACAAAGACTAATGAGATTTGCTTGAACTTTAAACTTGATAGTGTAGGCTTGATTTTTAGCTTTAATCTTAGAAAAAATTGCGTGGGTGTAATTTTCTTACAAATCAAAATTTTTTTAAACATCACGATTTCGGTTTATCTTTTTTCACATTTCTGTAAATTTTCACACATACCCAAATATATTCTTCAAACAGTGGGCAATCGATGTTTCCCAATGGAGGTCGACGGCATTGTGGATGTTATTGAGAAGTCAGAGCTTGTTCAAGCACTTTACAATATTCGATTACTTCGATCAATTGATGGGGTAAGTAATGCATTGAACTTTATTAACAAACTAAACAGAAGTTAGAGATCTAAGAGAAACCATGGGAAAGTATTAAACTTAAGGTCTTTTAGAATGCAAGAAAATCATTTTAAAATATTTAATTCCTTTATTTTTAATAGAAAAGTAACATGCATGCTTTCACACTTTTCTTAACAAAATTAAATCCTAATATTTATAGTTCGAGTAACATGTTTGAATTTTATTTTCGTTTAGATGGGGCAATCGATAGTTGAAGATACTGTCAATACGTGGCCTGTGTTAGCAGTTGGATTCGTCATTTCTGCTTTCTGCTCGTTGATAATTATTGCAATAATGAGATGGGTTGCTGGACCAATAGTTTGGTTATCAATAGTTGGTGTCATCGCATTGTTGAGTGTTGGTGAGTAATTTTTATTCATAAACAAATTTAAGTTTTAATCTTAATCGAAATTTTCGATCGAATATTTTTCGTTATGTTCTTTAATTGCGAGAACTTTAACGAAACGTTTGAGAATTTTTCCTGTCGGTGTCATGGGAATTTCGTCGATGAAATAAGCTCCACCGTGGAGATGTTTATATTCCGGTAACTTTTCAGCGACATAATCAATGATAAATTGTTCAGTTAAATCTTCAAATTCGGGTCGTTTCACGATCACAGCTGCCGGTAAATTGTGCGCAATTGGATCAGGAATGCCAACAACTGACACAACTTCAACACCTTCAATCGATTCAATGATGTTTTCAATCTCAGAAGGGTTGATTTGATAACCTTTGTACTTCATAATTTCCTTCTTCCGATCGATAATGAAAATGCAGCCTTTCTCGTCAATATGACCGATGTCGCCAGTCTTTAGAAAGCCTTCAGAATCAATTGCGTTCAATGAAGCTTCTGGATTATTGTAATAGCCCTGAAACCAAAAAAATTGATCTCATTTCATTAAAATTCTCAAGGAAATCTTAATCAACACTTACGATAAATTTGAATTCCGGTTTAGCGTAAATTTCTCCGGTATCTTCAATTCCAAGAGGATTTCCTTCATTGTCAACTACTCTGACTTGAATATTTGGTGAAATATGACCAACAGTTAGTCCACAAATATTTTCATGCGGTTCTGTTGATGAAATCGTAATGCAAGCCTCACTCATTCCATAAGTGACAATGAGTGGATGTCGAGGAAAAACTGAACGAAATTCTTTGCGAAGATGCTCAGAAACGACACTTCCAAGAACTGAAAATATTTTAACACCAACAAAATCACGTGGATCGAGTAAAGGCGATTGGAGAAGAAGCATTAATTGATATGGAGCGAATTGAATGAAGTTAATGTCGTGCTTCTTAATTATTTGAATAAGCAAATCAACTCCAAATGGTTGTGCTGTTATGATCTTTGCATCTTGTGAACGAAAAGCGACAGTTATTGTTGAAACTACGCCAGTTGACCAATAAATTGGCGAGAAGCTCAAAATTCTCAATCCTTCACTTTCATTGAATAAATTAATGTGTGCAAATATGTGAGCGTGTGACAAACAAACTCCTTTTGGTGGTCCGGTCGTTCCCGATGAACACAAAATGATTGCGAGCATGTCACTTGAATTTCCAAATTGTGGAGGCCTAAAATACAAAAAGACGAAGTAAATTGAGTAAATTAATGTTGATTAATGTTGAGAAAATTAAACAATTTACTCGAAAGAATCTTCATTTCCTGTTGGGGCTAACAATTCGTCAACATAAACAACGCCTTCAATCTTTTCGCGATGTGTCATGACAACAGCATTATTGTCAAGTTCATTCAACGCTTGCTTCGTTGTTTCGTAAACATCAGCATCACAAAACACCAATTTAGGTTGTGTTTGTGCAAACATATGCTTGATATCGTCTTTCTTAAAGCCGGCGTCGAGAGGATTTATTGGTGCTCCGATAAGAAGAGCTCCATAAATTGTTGGTGGTAATCGAATTCCATTGCGACAAATGAACCCAATAACATCGCCTTTTTTGAAACCAAGTTTAGTTAAGTTTTGCGCAACTCTAATCGACGCAATTCGAGCCTCTTCGCAAGTCATAGTAATTCCATCATCATGACTAATAATCATTGTTCTGTCCGGTGTTTCCTTCAATTTCTTTAAAATTTCAACACCAATCGATGCATTCGTTGGAAATTTGAAAGGAATTTTTGGGCCTTGCCAAATTTTTCTTTCCGAATCGAATGTTGCCATTTTGCAGTTTTCGTAAATACTGAATGAATTTTTAAAAATATTTATGTGTTTGGTATTCACAATTTATAGTTGTGGGCACGACACTGTAGTTATCTATTTGTCAAAGATAACAAAAGCTCTGATAAGATTTTATTTATTTTCTAATATTAACAAAACAAAAATATTCCGAGACTTTCCTTCTTATTTCACGTATTGAAAAGAACTAAATTGAACACACAATTTAAACTCGTCGAACGACAGCTACACGTGATAATTCTCATGTATGTGACCAAACGAACAGAGACGCAATATGTCTGAACATTGAAGATGTCTATGAGACGCGTTCACTTATTCACTCAATGCACATCTTTCCTGCACACAAAAATACTTAAAACTTTTAAATATTTACGCATACATTCGAAGAAGTATTTCATACATAAACAGAAAAATATTTATACTGGTGGCACCCGGTTAAAGTAAACTAACTAAATGAAATTATAGACGATGACACACACAAGTGAACGAACGCATTTCTAAAGTGGATGAGAAATCTTTTTTTCTAATATTTTCTCTTCATTCAATTCAATGCCAACAGTTCAAAGACCAAACAAACGTTGATGCGTTTCAGGTTCCAACACATCGACAAGATATTCACAAATGTTTTTAACAAAATATTCCACTTCACCTGTTGAACTTTTTTTACCTCTTCATAGTTTTTTATTAGTTAAAATAAGTGGATGGTGAATTGCGACTCTTGAAAACTTTCTCAGAATTTCATAACTTTGATAGTATCGTCAAACGTTCTGCTTCAACACTCGAAATGTAAATTTAACAACACTTGATTGTTTTTATCACCGGCATTGAAACGTTTCGCAGAATTTTGCTTTAAAAACGAAACGTCATGTGAACGTTTTTATCTCATGACATTATTTTTAAACATTGTAAATTATTGATCAAATTTTTGTCTTATAAATATCTGTATTGTCATCAAGGTCGTGATATTGAAATAAAATCAGACTTCAGTAGAACTACATTTGATATTCAACTGAAAACTCATCATGATTAAGCTTTGCTATGTTTGTTAATTGCCTATTGAGATTCTGAACCTTTTTCAATTGAGTTGGGTTTATTGCAATTGATAATAAAAAAGATGTTTCAATTAATAAATGTTTTGATACACTGCAACCATAAAATATTCCCGTTTCTGATCGATAATAAAGTTTTCGAAGGTTTCTAGAAAATCTTTTTTAGATATCGAATTTTTTATAACTAAAACGGGATCAAATTTAACATTTAATTCAATTAGTTTCCGATGTTTGTTCCAATAATAATAATAATTAATGATTAAGACTCTTCCTTTCTATAATCATGACATCACATTGCGTAAGATTTATCCACCTGAAGGTCGATTAGAAATCTGCCAATACCGGTTTCTCTGGATGTAAAAAAATTAATATAAAGATGAAAATAATTTGAGAGATTCCTTAGTTGGATTTACGTTGTTGATAGAGATTGAGCAACAAAGAACAATGAAGTCGTTGTAAGAAAATCGTATAAAAATTTGTAATTTTTGTTAATAAAATTTCATTGAAATTTAGAAATTTTGTCGGTTTGATGTTTGTGTCGTTCCTTGCATTTGCATCATCAGTTAAATCAGAAGACATTAATAAAACAAAATTCAATTGTTACATCGACTATTTGAAGAAGAACAACAGAATCAATCAAGATTTTCCTGATTATTGGAACTGGTGGTTTGGTTGGTTTGCTAATTGTGACGCAATCGTTAATGATTATCTGGAAGACGTTTATCGAACGGCTTGTGCTAGAATTCAATATCATCCCAAAGAGAATGTTGAATGTGCAATGAAAATTGTGAGAAATAGAAAGACAGCTGATTGGACATTAAAACAAGAAGTTGTCATGAAATCAGATCGTCCGGAAACAGAAAAACAAGCAGCAATAGAACAAGCTTCGTCAGAAATGGATCTTTCAATAAGAAGTGCAGTCACACAGTGCTTCTAAGATGATAAATTAATTAACGTATTAGTTTTTATTAATAAATATTTTTTAAATTTGTTATAAAAGTTCGTTCAGTATCATAGAAATCTTTCGACAACTTAAGCTTTATATCGTTCTTGATGCTTCAAAATCAAAGTTTCTCTAACTTTTCTTCTCAAAATCTTTCCATTGAGACTTGTTGGGATTTCTCCAAAATAAACTCCACCATAAAGATGCTTAGGATATGGCAGCTTTTCAGCAACAGCTGATGTAATATCATGTTCAGTTAAACTATCGAAACCAGGTCGTTTTTGAATAAGAGCTGCTGGAAGATTCGTTGCTTTTGAATCTGGAATACCAACAACTGAGACAAGTTCAACACCTTCAATCGACTCAATAATGTTTTCTATTTCCGATGGAGTTATCTGAAAGATTAAAATTTCTTTTCGTTATGTAACTTTATTCAGTAGAAGAAATTATTTGCATCTTACTAAATGATCTTTAAATTTGAAGATGTCATTATTTCTGTCTAAAATATAAATGCAACCGTCTTTATCTAAATATCCTACGTCACCAGTCTTTAAAAATCCATCTCTATCAATTGATTGTTGTGTCGTTTCTGGATTGTTGTAATATCCTTGAAATTTGAATTCAGGCTTCGCACAAACCTCACCAACTTCACCCAAATCTAAAGGATTTCCTTCATCGTCAATAACTTTCACTTGAATATTTGAATAAGTTTTTCCAACTTTTAAAGCTTCAGAACTCTGGCCGGGACATAATGCAGCAATAAATATTTCAGTCGTACCGTAAGATATCAAAAGTGGTTTGTCAGGAAACGTTGTTTTAAATTTTGATCGGAGTGATTCACTCACAACAGCGCCAGTACAAGAAAACATGATGAGACTGGAAAAATCTCCAGTTCGAGATGCGGGAGAATTTAACAATGAATTTAAGTGAACTGGCGGCAGAACAATTACCGTCACACGATATTGCTCAATTAATTTAACACAAAGTTCAGAATTGAATGGTTGAATTGTTGATATGCGTGTTTCGCCTGTTCGAAAAGGCGCTAAATAAATGCCAATTAAACCCGTTCCCGAATAAATTGAACTGAAATTAAGAGACACAAACGTTTTGATGCTTTTACAATTGTAATGTGCGAATTGTAGAATCGTTGTGTGTGGCATGCAAACCCCTTTGGCTGGACCTGTTGTCTCTGATGAACATACAATTGCGACAAGCTTCTCTGAAGCTCGCTTGTCAAACTTTAACGGCTTGAAATGATATTCGCTACCCGTCGGCACAAGAAGTTCATTAACATACGGAACAACTGGAATTTTCTTTAAAAGTGTGAAAATCATTGCATTGTTTTTAATTTCATGAAGCGCTTCTTTTGTCGTCTCAAATAAATCGTGATCACAGAATACAAGTTTCGGTCGCGTTAATCCAAACATGTGTTTAATTTTATCTTTTGTATACGAAACATGAAGTGGATTCACGGGAACTCCTATCAGAAGACATCCAAAGATAAGCGGTATAACGTTGCCAGAATTTCGACAGATAAAACCGATGACGTCATCAGGTTTGATACTCAATCGCTGTAAATTTTGAGCGACTCGAATGCTAGACAGTTTTGCGTCTTTGCACGTCAATTTGCTGTTCTCCTCATGATTAATTTGCAAAATTCTTTCGGGTGTTTCGTCTAAAGCTTCGAGTAATTTTTCACCAAGATAAACGTCAAGTGGATATCTATAAGCACCAACGTCACCAGTCCATATTTTTGATCTTGTATTGAACGTTCCAGTAGCCATAACAATGATAGACACGAGAACGAAACTTTTAAATTTCACGGTTTGTGAGCTACTGATGAATTTATTACACTTTTTGTATTTTTTCTTGGCGGTTTTATACGCTGATATGCGTCTTATCAAAGTGATGATAAGACAAGCGCTTATCATTGCCAAAAATGGAACTCTGATAAGACGAACTTGCCGAATATGGATGATCAAAAACTGTTCAAGTTCTGTTTAAGGTGCAGGCGAAATCTTATCACAAAATTGCTTTTATCATTTTAAGAATTATTTGATAAAAAGCTAAAAAAAATTGTTCAATTTGTAAAATTTTATTTACATCAGTGTGAATGTAGTTAGGAGTGGCTTTAGTAACAGTTTAAGATCATCAAATTTGAAGTCCTTTTAATATTCTTTTCTCTCTTTTATAGGAGTTTACTTCAGCTATCATCAATACGATTTCTACTCGAAGAATCCTTTAAGTGAACAATACAAATTGCAACCAAATTTAAGATCTTTAATCAGTTCGTACTTTGTCGAAGCTCGAACATGGCTTTACATTCTGATTGCCATTGCAGTTGTTCTTGTCGTTATTCTACTACTTGTGCTGGTATTTCGCAAAAGAATTGTCATTGCTATTGCATTGATAAAAGAAGGCAGCAAGTAAGATGAAATATTTATGGAAAATACATTTCCTGTCATTAATTTTTGTTTTCATTTTAGAGCCGTGTCATCAAACTTAACGACAGTATTGTTTCCAATTTTCCCATGGATTGTACAAGCTGCCGTGATATTATTATCGATTTTAATGTTTCTCTACCTGGCATCGATTGGTGAACCGCAATATAAAGCTTCTGTTTCAAAGAACGCGTCTCTTTGCACTTGTTCAGATGCTTATGCGAACCTTAAAAATGGTGATATTTGTGACCCAGGAATTTTCAATAAATTATGTCATGACACAAACAATCGAAATATTCAATGTCATGGCTCCATTTCATGTCTCTACATTGGATTGAACCCACCACGTATTGTTCAATATTTTAAGATAATTAATGTTGTGGGATTTTTCTGGTTAGTCTTCTTCATATCAGCTTTCGCTGAGATGGTCTTAGCTGGAGCTTTTGCACGATGGTATTGGACAATAAGGAAAGATGATGTGCCGTTCTTCAATCTCACAAACTCAATTTATCGAACCTTCCGATTTCATCTTGGAACGTTGGCTTTTGGATCTCTCATTATTACAATTTGTCGAATAATTCGTCTTATTTTGGAGTATATTGATGGAAAGTTGAAGAAATATGACAATGAATTAACGAAAGCAATTTTATGTTGCTGTCGTTGCTTCTGTTGGTGTTTGGAGAACTTCTTGAAGTTCATGAATCGAAATGCTTACATTATGTGCGCAATTCATGGAAAAAACTTTCTATCAAGTGCAAAAGATGCTTTCAATCTCTTAATGAGAAATGTTTTACGTGTTATTGCATTGGATAAGACGACAGACTTTCTGTTCTTCCTTTCGAAGTTATTTATCTCACTTGGAATGGCTGCAGTTTGTTATGTTTATCTCACGAGTGAAATATTCCATCAACATTTTCCACATGTTTTCTTACATTATCCATTGGCTCAAGTAGTTTTTATATTCTTGGGAACATACATCATTGCAACAGTGTTCTTTGGTGTCTACTCGATGGCTGTTGATACTTTATTCCTTTGCTTTTGTAAGTATCAAACATTTCTAATTGTCATTGACAGTTTCCATTAATTTTTTTAATTATTTACAGTGGAAGACTGTGAACGTAATGATGGATCAGCTGATCGACCATACTTCATGTCCAAGCAATTAATGAAAATTCTTCATAAGAATAATAAATAAGAAAAATCATCGCACAACTCGGCAGTGCCATTCAAATCATTAAAAAGCCAAATAAATTTAATTTCTTTATAATTTCGCCAAAAATCAATTTCATAAATGAGAAAGTCATTAAAATATTTTCTGCCAAATGCTTGTGTTAAATATTTGTCAGTGTTTTATGATACATTATTATTAATTAAAACTTTAAGATTTGTAAGATTGATTAGAGTAGTTTAAATTTTAAATATTTTGCAAATTTATTGATGTATTTGTATTCTATTCGATATTGCTTTATAAAAGAAATTTGCAATAAAATATGAATTAATAAATTTCTCAATTTTATTCCAATTGATTTTTTCAGTTGTCATGTGTAGACTGAACTCAAAGCTTCAAAAAATGATTGATTTGGAATGACAAATTGATGTTGGTAATCAATCTCTCGTGTGCGGTTGTTATCATTTTCAATTAAAATCAAAATTCATTTGGAGAATATTTATCTAAAACAGTCACATCTCGTAGCAAGACTTTCGTTATTTATAAATAATTCATGTATGGCTATCAATAAAAATAATTTATGCAAATAAAATGCGCATTATGGTCGTGCAATAAAATTCATTGTTGTCGATCGAGGATAATTTAATTGTCTAGGAAAATGTATTTTAATAACCAAATCAATTACGAACCAAATATGTAGTTAAGATCCAAAACCAAATGACTGCAAAAACGATTATCAGACTCTTTATTAAATTATTAAACTAGGCACTTATCTTATCACAGCACGATTCCACAATTTCATCGCATTTATAAAATACTCGTTTGTTTTAAATAGTTTATTATGGAAGAATGAGCTGACAGATAAACATCTTTAAGAATATAGCGTAGAATTGAAGAAATCTGCCGACTTTTTGCAATAAAATTGGACTTGATGTGTCTAATGAGATTGAAAATTAAATAATCGACAGCATGATTGACGACAACATTAACGATTTTCGATGGTGAAATAATTTTATGTTTGATAAAAACCTTATCACCAAATGATTATCTCGTATTTCTAAATTTCGCGACAATGCATCACGAAACTGAATTGGTAATTGTGGAAACGAAAAGGAAAGTTTTCCATAAGAAGACAATTTCATTTTATCTTGAACGATATGAAAAATTCGCGAAAGAAGGAAACGGACATTTTGCTTTGAAGCGTTTAGCTTGGGTTGATATCAATTTGATGATATTAATGATTATATGAACTTCATGGCAAAGAAAGATTCACTGGCGAATTGCTCCAATCTCCAAAAAGTCGTTGACAACGTGCTTGCATTTGAAAAAAAATAAAAAAAATGAGTTGAAAAACGGCCGAAAACAATTTCTTAATCATTTCATTTTATTCAATGTTGAACAAATTCCGGAGACATTTTCTACTACCTAGAAACTCTAAAGGCACTCGGGAAGCTTCCAGTGATATAAATAAATAAATAAATTAAATAAATTAACATTTTTCAATAAATTAATTACTGGGTGGTTTTTCAATAAATTGATAACAACTTTTACAAAATAAATTAAGTTTTGACTGGAATGATTCGGAAAAGTTATTAATTATCATTGGAAAGGTTTGAAAACTTGAGTTGAATGAAGTTAAGCGATCAATCCGAGACCATCTGTGAGGCTTGGCACACTTATGTCTTCGTCATCATCATCGTCTTCATCGTTTGTGGTTGATGTTTTGGCACTTGTGTCTTCTGAGGGGATTGTGTTGATTATAATCTTTTCTTCATCTTGAATAAAATTGTTCATTAATCATCTCGATTGTTGTGAAAATAATTTTGTAAATTCACCATCATCATCATCGTCGTCGTCGTCGTCATCATCGTCAAGGTCATCGATGTCATCTGAGGAATGTAAATGTTTAGATTAATTCGGGGCGTTTGCTCTCGACCCGAAACCTACCGTCGTCATCGTCATCAGAGTCTGCTGGTGTCTTTACTTTATCATCTCTCAAGAGCTCGTCGCTTGAATCATCATCTACTTAAATTGATTTAAATATTTAAAAAATTAAGAAATTATTTCGCATTAAATTGCTTTACCATCATCGTCATCGGCAATCAAAGTGTTGACAATTCCTTCGATAAGACCTTCTTCTTCTTCGGATGTAGCTTTCTCGGGAGAAGCAGCTGCTGCAACAGATGCAACTTCAGGTGTAATTGGAGCAGGAACTTCTGATGAAAGGAGTTCAGAAGCTGCTGGTTCCAAGATTTCTCCTTCAACGACGGGAATAACATCATTGCTTGTTTGTGATACGATGTCGACTTTTTGCGGCACAGAAACTTCATTGTCGACTACTTGTTCGACAACTTTCTCACCAGTTTCAAGTGGTTCAACACTCAGTGGAATTTCAGCAGGCAAAACTTCATTTGTTAAAACTTCTGGAGCTTTCAGAGGTGCTTCTTCGATTGGTGCTTCTGGTACGACAGCAGCAATAGATGCTGGAATCTCAACTACAGGTGCTTTGGTGGTTGTATCGTCATCGAAGAAACCAGCGAAGAAATCTTCACCGAGAGCAGCAAATGTATCATCTTCATCTATTGAAACAGGAAATTAAAATTTTTGTCTTTAGAATTTAAAAATAAAAATTTACCATCAGAATCGTCGTCGTCATCTTCGGCATCGTCATCGTCATCACCACCTGAAATGAAGTACAAATTGAAAAGATGAAAAAATTGAGCTTTTAAAAACTTCAGTCGAAAGCTTACCTAAACCGAAATCATCATCATCGTCATCGTCATCATCGTCGTCATCATCATCTATAATAATTGAAACTTAAGCAAAAGAATTTCGACAATTTCATTTCTTGTTTCTACCTTCAGATGCTGCTGGGACTGTTGGTGGTTTCTCTGAAGGTTCTTTCTGTTGTTCGACGGCTGCTGGAGGTTCATCTTCATCGTCATCGTCGTCATCGTCGTCATCTATGAAATTAATTAAAAAATTGAATCAGAAACAAAGTTCAACATGTCAATTTGTACCTGCTAAAGCTCCCAAAATATCCAAATCATCATCATCGTCATCCGCATCGTCTAAGAATTTATTATTGTTTTAGGGGGAGCAAAATAAAAAAAAATTTCTTACCATCATCATCTCCAATCAATGCTAGAAGATCAATATCATCATCATCATCATCAGCTGCTTCTTCAACGGGTTTGGCTGGAACGGCGGGAGCTGCTGGTACAACTTCTTGTCTTGCATTTACCTTAATCCCTCTTGACTCCTCGATTGGCTTCGCTGCACCATATGCCACAATGATAAGTATCACCAAAAGCTCCAGTAAGAGTGTGAGTTTCATATTTGACTATCAAATTTCTCTGCAATAAAATGTATATTTATGGAATATAAAAATCGAAGAAAACGATAAACGGAACATCAGATATTTGGGTTAATATATTCTGTGTTTAATTTATTATTTAATATGAATTTTTAACCATCCAAAAGCTACATGGTCTCAACTCGAATCACGAGAAGAATTGTTTAAACTGTCCCACAAATCAGCTAGCAAGAATTCGGAATTCCTTTCTTTTCTTTTCAACTCAACGTTTCTCATTATCGACTCGTTTTTGCATTCATTTTCACTGTTTTTTGTTGACGACTTCTTTCAGAAAACGAAAGATTCAAACGTGCGGTAGGTTGTCAAGTGTTTGATTTATCGCTTTCAGTTAAACCTTTTAATGGAACGACTTGAAACTCTTTGTACACATGGACGAGTGAAATTTCTCTTCTCGAAATTTCTACTAAAGCTAATCAAACATCAATAAGTTTTTTTTTGCTGACGGAATTAATGCATTCTGCATTTTGAATTTAAAATTTGTTTAGTTTCTGTGAATCTTGACTTGAGTGTATAAAAAATTAGTTTCACTTTTACTACAATGACATATTATTAGCATCCGTGTTAGCAACTTCATGGGAAATAGTTTTAGAAAGACATTAACAGAAATTCATAGAAAACAAGATGATTGATTATTACTTAAATGACAAATCAAGATTTTCTTCGTCTTTCTCTTTATTCAGACTTTATACAGACAACTCTACATGGATCACAGCAAGTTTATATTTTCGGATGCTGGTCAGCATATGAACCAGAGAAGATAAAAAACTTTTTTTCGTTAAAAGTGGGTCGAAGAAATTTTCTAAAATAAATATCGATTGTTAACGATGTTTGTTAAAATCTTTTTGAGAATAAAAAGATGATCACGTCGCGTGGCGTTTTATAAACAGTTATGATAGCTTTAGTCAAAACTTATGAATAAAACCACGCACTACATTCGATAACACTTTCTTTGCAGTGACTCAAATAATTCCACGATATCCCATCAAAAAGTGTGTTAATGATATCGCATTTTTCTCCATGTAGGTTTCATAGCAAAACACGAGTTGAGTTACAGATTTAAACTCGTTCACAAAAAGATAATTGTTACAATAACTTCTGTAAACTTTGTCTACATTTCTATATTCTCTGTTAAACATGTAGTCACGGAGAAAAACATATCATAATGAAGTCTTCCGTTATTTGAACGAAATATTTATTGAATTGTGTAATAAATCCAGAATAATTTCTTTTATTTTAAACGTCCTGCACTCTCACTTAAAATCCAACATCAACTACTCATGTTGGACAAAAACACTTTTTATTTTACAAAGAATTTTATAAAATTGAAGTTATAATAAGAAAAACTTTCTTTCGGCCATGACCCGATTAAAAAATCTCAAGGACAGTTCGCGAGAGTTTTTTAAACTTTACTTTCTCAACCTCGCTACAACTTGACCTAATTTCATGTCTTTTAAATTCCTTTTAATGAACTTCGTATATATAATTTCTCCAACTTTTTATTTTTTAAAAGTAATGTGAAGAAAACTTTCTTACATTGTATTCTTAAAAAATTTTAAATTTTCCACGAAAATTCTTTTCACCAAAAAATTTCCGCTTCAATTCACTTTAAACTATCCAACAAGGCTTACGGGAAAAGTTAACTGTTTGTATCTTTACTGGTTAAAGTCTCAAACGAAAATGAACATTAAACTCAACGCTCATTTCTCTTCTCTTCTTCAACAAAAGTTAAAGCTTCTTAATTTCTTTTCCTCCGCTTCTTCCACCACTTTTCTTCGCCGCATGCTTTTACATTACGTGTTTCATTCTTATTCACTCATTTCATTCAACATTCGTTGTTTGTCGGATTTTTTTTGCGGATGTTATGGATTTTTATAAATGTTTTTCTTTAAGAATACAAATTCATTATGATGATTGTTTCTTTCTCCTTTGTCTGCAATTAAAAAAGAAATTAAATGTTTCATTCAACTTGCTAAAAATGCAAGTGTCATAAAAGAAGATAACATTCATATTTCCATGAAGACTGTCTCGGTCAAGACAATCGTTTATTGATGAAGCAAGGCCGCACCTTTGTAACCGTACAGATCCCACTTTCGATTTGCCCAACTCGTTATCATTTCTCTTTACTTTTATTGAAGAAGAAGGAATCATTTGAATAATCATACTAGCGGAATTTTCGAAGGTATTTAAGCGAATAATTTTACCGTGAATAATTTGGAAACAACGTGAGAAAAGAGATTCGTTGAATATTTCTGGGAATGTAAATATGTAAATTATTATCGTTACGTTTACGTTACAACAAATCCCATCATATCAACTTATGAGAAAGAAGAAAAAAAGATCTTGTGTACCACATTTTGGACGACTTTTTCTTCTTTGTTGCCATATATTATCATAAGGTACTTAAACCACTGTCGAGAGTTTATTTCTTTAATGATTTCATTTTCAAAAAGAGTTTCACTTAAATGTGCAGAAAATAAACTCAACGTCATTTTATTTACTTTCATCAAAACTTTAAAATGTCTTCACTTATCGGCATTCCATCTCAAGAAAGACATGCATCCCGTTGCCAAAAATACAAAGTAAACGATTGAAAAGGAAAACATTTTGATGAAACATGAATACTGGTTTAAATCAAGCAGATTCGAAATGATTTACATTTAGATTCGTATCTTTGAATTTCTTTTGATTTTTCTCTTCATGCTTTAAAATTGAGGTCACAATTTTTTTTTGTGGTAGGTAGACGACATCTTTTTCTTTTTCATTGATAAGAATGAACAGTTTTTTACTGAATAAATTTTTTTATTTGAGATAAACTTTATATGATTACAATTAACTACATTTTGTTCATTATAAATGGAATGAATGCACTTGCGAGGAATTTTAACCATTATACATAATTTTAATATATTTAGATATCTATTTGTTCAAATTCATATTTTACTAATTTTTTTTAATTATTCTGTTACTTTTTTGATTGTCGTGAGAAAATTGGAATCAACCAAATTCTTACATTTTGCATTGATTTTCTTTGATCTTTCGCTTACTTCTTTAGCAGATGTTGAGATAGTTTGTAGAGTCAACTGTGAAAGAATTTAACATTTTAATTTTGCTTCATAATTCATAAAATATCAAATTAAATTACCTGAGTATTTATGAGTGAGCTATCAGTCTCAATCAACTGTTTTGAGATCGGTGCTATGGTTGTTTGTATGAAACTGTTTAACATTGTTGTTGATACGTCATCTAATAATGATAATTTATAAGAAGTTAACATTGATCAAACTTTTAAAGTTTAATCTATCTTACTGATTTTTTTGTGTAGCAGTTCGTTTTCGTAAAAGAATTCAGCAGGAGGTGGTGGATAATCAGATGGACAAACAGTGAAATCTTCAGTTAATTCAGTTGCTACTGGAGTGTCTATTAAATCTTGTGTTTCGGATAGCCCTTCAACTACATTTCCTTTGAAGAGGATTTCTTTTGCGTTGTTTAAAGCTACATTTGGACTCTCAAGAGAGTTGTTACCAATCTACAAACGTCGGTTACAAAAATATGTTTCTTTGTACTTTGTCTTTCTTACGAAAACAATTCTACATACCTTCATATAAGATAAATTAAACAAATATTGTTCATCTTCTGAGTCCGTTTCTGGAGCTTCTCCATCAACATAAGTGGCCATATTTTAATTTAACAAGTCATAAAATAAATGTTTATCACTAAAATGAAAATATTTTCTCGCTCGTAGAAAATATAAACAAGGAGAGTGAAATTTCTTTGCTTCTTTTCACTCTAGGGGGATAAATAAAATTAAATTGAAGCCAAAATTTCGACCGACTGTCTTGTCTGTTCAACGAACTGAATTCTCATTTTGAGTTGAAAATCTTCAGAAAATAAGGCATCTTTAAATGAATATATTTAACTTAAATGAATATTTCATCAATTCACTTCATATAAACTGACATTTATTAAAAAACGGCAAACGTTTTCAAACTTGAGTTAATCGGCTTATCTAACTTGAACACTTCTAACGACGTTAAAAATTTGAGAAGTGTTTGCAATATTAGTCTATTATTAACTTTTCTCCAATTTTGTGAGAGACTTAATATAGTACTGCCAGTTGTATTTCAAAATCGATACGGAATATATCAAAAGCGAAAAGATGGGAAGTGATGGTACGAAGAAAAGTGATAAATCATTGTGGAAAAATATTTTTTGATTTTTCTATGAGCTAATTCACTTTTTATTGATTTTTTATCTTGCGTTGTGATGTGCGTGAACAAAATCTAATTATCATAATATTATTATGTGTCATTTATACAGCTGAAGACCATCATGTTCACTTTGACAGTATCAAGGATGACTTTGAGTCAGATCATTCTAATCCCGTCATTCAGAAAGCTCAAGGGAAAATCAACATTCACTTGGGTTTTCTCCAAGTGAAACATCGATATAGAATTGAGTTAAAAATTCCCGCTGATATTCTCAGTGAGTTCATAGTGAATAATCATAAGCTTGTATTGAGACTCGATGAAACTGCCGTGCCAAACATCAACTGCAAGCTCCTGTCGTTTAAAGGCGACACAACAGGAGATTTACAATTTTACGATGCCGAAATAGAGTTTTTTGCACATAAGGAAAAACTTTTAAAAGAAGAATTAAAGCTTTTAACGAGTGACGAAAAATCGGTGAGAATGATTTTCAGCGCACGAGTATTGGGAAGGGGCAAAGGAACGCCAATGCTCAAAAATGGCATACATTTACTAGGCATCGAAGATGATGAGGAATCTGGTAAGAGAAATGAATAAATTTTTGCCATGATCGTCACGTTTTCCATCTCAACGAAAATGTGATTTCTTTTTACAGATGCTTCAGATTGGCAAGGATTTTCTCGAAAGGAATGTGACGAGCTATAAACAAAGATAACAATTGACGTCTCGTTGACATTAAGCAATCCCACTCCTATTTACCTTGCATTAATTCAAGTGCTACTTCCTTTAAAATAAAACAAAATTTTTTAAGAATAACAAAAGAAGAAACAAACAAACATAGCTAAATATTCTTTATGCCAATTTACTAAGCAATGCACCATCATCTTGGAATCGAAAAAAAAATCTGTTGATTTTTTATTAAAAAAGATTTTAACTCTCAACTTTTTCAAGCATAAGTTGTTGATTAATGCTTGAACTTTTAATATAAGTCTTTGATAACGAGTTTATGTTTTAGTATTTATGATTACATGTAATCAAAGCAATCATAAATATTTATGAGAAGAAACAGAAGAAAAATCCCATTCCATCCAATTTAACAACATAAATAAAATTAAATTACAGAGTAGAATTGTGGAAGTGTAAGTTTTCATTAAACTTATTATCAGTAACTACCTAATTTATATTTACAACACACCCACACACAAAATACAACAAAAGAAATCTTTTCAAACATATTACGCAGAAAAAAGTGTCATCAAATTTCATATCTTGGCCCTAAACGTGACGAAATTTTAGTTAATTGATTAATTGATTAATTGTTTGTGTTTTCGTTTGTTTAACAGATAAAAAAAGAACAAAGATTAAAACTTAATTAAGTTATGGTATTAGGTATGTACTTGCTCGCGTGTTTTATCATTTTGAATCATTTAATTATTTCATTTTCTATTTATTTCTTCTGTTAACTGACTGAATTCATCGAGTAGAAAATTCAAAATGCGGAATGTGAAACTGAACAGAACTCTCCATACAACGAATTAGTTAAATTGAGAGTATTTTGTGTTAAATTCGCAATCATTTCTCCTCAACTTCTGAAATAACATTAGTCGAAAGTTTCAATCTCGCTTAAAATTTAATAATCATCACCAAAAGTATTTTCAAATGTTTAATTTTATTTGTCTCATTGGAACTTTATCGAAGTGAGATTGAAGTTCATTCAGATGAAATTAATTAAAAATAATTTTTTAATGTTAAGATTTTAGTCATATGAAATAAAATGTTTATTAGAAAGCTAAAAATTGTTTTTCATGAAAGGAAATTTGTTCGAAATGAATTCAGTGTTGTGCACAGACATCGAAAAATGTCTGCAAAACTCAAAGACAAAGACGTCAAGAAAATGTGTTCAAAACACGCAGCCACAGACATAGTCTTTTGAAAAATGATTGCCAGTCATGTCTGCGTGTTTTGAAGACATGTTCAAAGACTTCTCAAGAAAAATTTACTAAAAGCGCTTATTCTTTCTTGTGTTCCATAATTTTTATCAACTTTCAGTGCAAGTTACAAAAAATTATAGCACACTTGCGAAGCAAGCTTAAATAAATATTTTCTAAGCTCACTGAAAGTTCTAAAAAATTGTAGAACACATGCGAAAATAAGCGCTTTTAGTAGATTTTCTTAGGAAAAAGTTTTGTTTTTCAACAATGTTTGTAAAACACAAAGACATTAAAAAATGTTTGCAAAACACGAAGCCACAGACGTCTGGAAGACAAAGAAAATATGGCTGGAAGTCGTGTCTGCAAAACATGTCTGCGGTCTGCCAGTCATTTTTTCGAAGACACAAAGACATGTCTTTTAAAATTTCTCATTTAATTCATTATGAATTATATGAGAAATTTTAAAATTTCACTTAAATATCTTAAAAATGTTTAACTTAAAATGGACCTTGATTAAAGTTTTGTTGATTTTGTTGTTGATTCATCATATTGGGATTCATTTGATTTGGAAGCTGACGTTGAAGTTGAGCCACAAGTGCTGATGGTGTTTGTTGTGAAAGTCCACCTTGATTTGGCACCATTCCTTGTGCCATGCTGGGATTATTTGATTGTTGCGCCATTCCTGAGTTAACAATTTAATTAAACTTCACTTAAAAAGTATTTAAACAAAAAGTTTGCTCACCTTGTTGTTGCTGCTGTTGTTGTTGCTTCATCATCAATTGCCTCATTCTCATATCTTGGAATGGCTGACTGCTAGGATTCACCATTGGCTTGCCACCCTGACGATATGGTGGTGGAACATTCCCTTGTGGTCCAACTGATATATTTGTGTTCATTGTCACATTTGGTGTTTGTTGATTTTGCTGTTGCTGTTGTTGTTGCTGCTGTTGTTGCTGCAAGTACTGATTGCGTCTTTGTTGTGCTATAAAGTCTGCTTGAGGATTTCTTTGTTGATTTCCACCCACAGCCTGATTTTGTTGGAAGTTTGTCATTAAATTTCCTTGATTTCCACCTTGAACATTCGGTTGATTCGCACTCATGTTCGGATTATTATAGCCAGAATAATTTTGATTCATATTCTGATATTGATTGGGAAACATGTTCGCTTGTTGATTCTGATTTGCACCCCCGCCTTGTCCCATTTGCGATGATAAATTTCCCATTTGATTGCCAACATTTTGTTGAATCATGTTTGGTTGATTAATCATTTGAGATGCTTGAGATTGTTGTGCATTTTGCAACATTGCTGGTGCTATTGAGTTTGGTGGTATAATTCCACCTGAACTTGGACCCGGAAGAATTGTTTGCTGTGGTTGCGATGCTTGCATAACATTTGGATTTTGTTGATTCATTCCCATTGAGCTGGCACCTTGTTGGGCCATCAAAGCTGGATTTTGATTACCTCCACTCATAATTGCTTGTTGTCCACCTTGCATCATATTGCCAGGAGTCTGTTGAACCATTGGATTAATTGCACTCGCTGCATTCGCTTGTTGACTCAACATTCCCGGATTATTCATCGGCTTACCAGCCATTCTTGCACGATACATCATTTGACGCTGTGCTAACTGCTGCATTTGTTGCCGGTTCTGATTCTGCACCATTTGCATTCGCTGTTGATGAATGTTAAATGGAACATTCTGATTTGGGTGTCGTTGTCGAAGCATATTTGAAAGTGCTTGTTTCGATTGATTCAGTTGCGGACGTTCAGGGAATTGATTCACTAAATTTAGTAAAAGAGAGAAGCGGAAAATTTTTGTTAATTAAATATTTATGGAGATGAAATTTAATTTTCTTACTTTGAGGCGCGGCTGCTGGAATTCCAGCTTGATTATAAAATTGTTGATTACCTTGCGATGTTTGAACTTGCGCTTGTTGATTTTGCATTTGATTGTAACCACCCCATTGTTGATTTTGTTGTCCCATTTGATTCATATTCATGTTGACATTTATGTTTTGCTGATTCATATTCATTTGAGACATTTGCGACAATTGACCGATTTGTTGTTGCTGTTGCTGCTGTTGTTGGTATTGCATTGGATTTATTTGATTCATATTTGTCGGTTGACTTTGTTGCTGCTGCTGTTGTTGTTGCTGTTGTTGCATTGGATTTATTCCCATTTGATTCATTTGCATCTGATTTTGAGGCATTCCTTGTCCCATCTCCATCCCCATTTGATTCATCATCATGCTGTTGTTCTGCATCATTCCCATGTTGCCTCCCATTTGCTGTTGCTGCTGTTGTTGTTGTGGCGGTTGATTTGGATTAAACTGCTGACTCATTTGTGGATTCATCAAATGTTGATTCATCATTGGATTCATTCCCTGATTAGGCATTTGTGCTGGCATTGGATTTTGTAATTGCTGGTTAGGAAGTGGTGCTGGAGTTGCATTTCCTTTTGGCTTTCTTGGTCGTTTTGTGCCTTTGCGTGTTTTCGTCCCTGTCGCTCCACTAACTGGTGATTCGACTGATGATGGAGTGTCAGCTTTATCTTCACGATTCTTATCTTGCGAAGGTTCCTCAACATCTTCAGGTGGTAATGGAAGCGACTCGTAGAAGTAACTTGAAGGTTTCACAAGACTGTGTGTGTGATATTTCAACAATCGATGACTCTCTTCATATGTCAAAGGCTTTCTCTCCATTTTCACAGCTCCAAACCATGACCACAATAAAGGTGCCGGGTTCTTATGACCTTCCAACAAATCCCACATACTGACACGTTCTTTCTCAGTAATTCGCAAACCCTGACAGACAAAATTAATTTTAATCTTCAATTATTTTAACAAACATAATTAATTTACCTTTGTATCCATTAAACTTCCAACAGGTTCACATGCAATCACTTCACATGAATTTGCGCATGCTGGCTTGGCGAGTGGTAAAAGTTGCCTCACAAGCTTTATTGTTGCGCTGTTCTTATCAGCAAGTTCCTTTCTCAACTTCTTCACTAAATTCGTGTTAAGTTTCTTATTTTCATCTCTTTCTGATTGACTGTCAGTTATCAAAGTTGAATGAATTAAAGTTGCAAGCATGTCAAGTGCTGTATGAAATAATTCACTGAAAAAACATTAAAAATTAGCAAAGATCGTCGATAATCAAAAATTCTTAACAGCTTACGAGTTGTTATTCAAATCAATGACTCCTTGACTCATTAATTGAGCTAAGAGAAGTGCCCAGTCAGTAGTTGATGTGGAATTCTTTTGTATTGAATCGAACATTCCGCCAACAAGTGAAAATCTTAATTGGAGCGCGTTCAACATTTCTTCTCGACCAGTTGGATCATCAATGCCACCCACAAATTCAAGTTCTTTATTCTGTAAGAATTGGGAGAGTTGGGAATGTAAAGATTGCAGTAATCCTTCCTTCTGATCGTCTTGTCCTTTCAAACACGTCAGTACAAGTCCAAGAAACGGTTGTTGGTCGATTTGAACGCTTCGCCTTCGACCGGAACCTCCGGAAGTTTCTGAATTCTCCGAAGATTTGTTTTTCGTGCCAAAACTGTTTGTACTTTCCAGAACTTGACCGGCAACTTTAAGAATCCTTCCCTGAACTTCACATGGTAACTTTGCTACCAAAGGTGCTACCAACCAAATCGGCGGCTTTCTTCCTTGCTTTCTTTCTTGATTTGGAATGAAAACATCAATAGCAGCCCTAGCGACGGTGTCAAGCCACGATGAGAATTCTGACGAGTTGCTTTGTGTCTGTTTGTACATTAACTGAAGATCCAGCAAAGAAATTCTTAACGACCACTGCTCGAGATTCTCTAAAATTCTGACAATTTGTGACTTTTGATCCATGTTTGATTCAATCTTTGCATTTGTGTCCTGATCATAACAAATCATATGCAACAGTCTCTGAGCTTGTTTGTTAGTCAACATATTATCCAAAAGAATTTCATCTTTGCACATTTCATCGCAGTTCTTCAGACAACATTCCAAAACCCATTCCTGTGTACAAATCTGCTTCAACACATGTTGAGCAAATTCGGACAAACTTGGAGCGTTTTCATTGCTGTTCAAATTATTGTTGGAATTTCTATGAAAAGAAAAATGAAGAAAGAAATGTTTAAGAAGAAAATTTAAAAGTTTTGTGAAAATCAAAGGCGAACTTCCACCTTTAATTAAATTTTTCTGAAGCATGAAACAAAGAAGACTTTCCGTTGTTAATCAAATGAATGTTAATTGAATGTTTTATCCAAAATTCAATGCCACCAATAAAGCGACAAAAATAAATAAACAGAAAAAAGAAAAGATTTTCACACCTTCGATGATTTCGAGTGAAACACTCAAGATCAATCCTGTTTCAAAATTTCAACAAAATTAGTCATTAAGAAATCTTCACTAAACATTGTCAAAGTTTTCTTACCCCAATTCCAACATTGGATCATCGCCATCTCCCAACATTCCCAAGTCCTCGCGTGTCCCCAAAATGTGACTTAAATCAACTGGTCCACTCATGCTTTTTGGAGTACTTCCCGGATGAACGGGCGTGTTCAGTCCACTCTTCTCCCCACCACTTCCGTAAGATGTTTTATGAACGGTCGCATCAGCAACTACAAGAATTGCCTTCAATACTGCCAACACTGGAGCTACAGAAATGTTCTTATGTGCACCTCCAAGAAGAAGTCTGTCGCAACTCAACTTTATGTTGCTATTCATTGGTCCACTAACTTGAATCGGTGACGTACTAACTGAATACATTCCAGGTTGTGGATATTCAATCGCTTGAAATAATCGCAATAAAATGTGACAAGTCAAACGAGCGCTCGCTTCAACTTCATTCATAATTGTTTCACTTCGATAATAAATGAGAAGTGCTGGAAGTGCAACAGTTGCAACAAAGTCAACTAAAGTGAAGCAATGACGAGCTGAAAAATAAATTGATTAAAATTTAAACGATAAAATGATGAAAATTTTTCGTCTTACCAACTAAAATGCAAGTAAAGACAGCAACTGAATTGTACATGTGGACATTTTGTAGATCAACAGTATTGAGTATTTCCATGTAATAACCAGATTCATTCTTCGTATTACAAAGTGCGACGAGAGCTCCCAACCATTCAGCACTTAATGAGTTGCAACATGCTGTCAGTTCCGCACACATAATTGCAATATCGTTAAGTTTATCATTGTCAGTTTCACGTGTTATTGCAATAATTGCATTGCAGACAAAACTGTAACGATTCATAGCCGACTCGCTCAATTGTCGTCCCCAACTTGATTCAATTTTCCCTCCACGTTTTGGATTTGATAGAATGTCAGCCATGAATTGAGCATTGAAAGGTTGTGTTGTCGGAATTAATTTAATTGGTGCGTAGATTGTCTGCTTGATTTTAGGGTAAGCATTGTGAAAAGGTTCTGATGGTGGCTTCGTCTTTAGGATTGAACAAGCCAAATACAATTCATAGAGATAAGCAAGAATGCATCGTTCAGCTGAACTGCAATCACTTGGATTTGAAACATGTTTCACGACCTTGCACAATCCTTCAAACACTGCAGTTGTCTGTTCGGGTGAAAGCAGCAAGCAACTGTTGTAGCGTCTTAAAATTCCAACAACATACAAACTCATTGTTGTCGTGTAACTTTTAATGAGATTCGAATTCTTCGCCATCAATTGAGACTCCACATCGGGAAGTTCTTTTAAGATTTGAATGCACATATCAATCACTCCATAAATATTCAAAGCAACTTCCATTAAATCAAATAGAAATGCGACATGTTCAGCGACTGGCAAATAATTTGAATTTCCCATGGCGAAACTATTCAACATTTCTTGAACTGTTACAGCACATTGCCATGTGACAAAATGTTGATCAAAGTAACACATCGATTGACATTTATTAAGCGTCGATTCAAAATTAAATTCACTTCTTGAATGTTTCTTTACTTTTCCACCTTCGGCGACGTCAATACTGAACTTCTTGCTGAAAAGTTTGCAAATCTCTTTCGACATTTTCTTCACTGCGTGTTTGCGTTCATCGCGTTCCTTTCCAACGCCATAAAGAAGGATGTAACGTTGATTACAGTCATGTTGTGATGCATCATCTTGTGATAAAGGAAAGTGCATTGTATACAAATAATGACGACAATTTGCCGATGTTGAATTGGAATTCTTTTCAGTGCTTAACGAGTGAAGATTTGTTAAATTTTCATTATCTTTGGGACTGTCAGGAGCATCCATTGAATTATTTTGTCCATCTTTAATATTCTGAATTAACTTTTCCAGATCATCATCTACATTTGAATCGTCAAACTCTTCCATCTTTGGAGGTTTAAAGTCAATTTCAGAGAAGAAATCATCGTCGCCACCACCTCCAGTGTTTGTCGATTGATTTTTTCCATGTACACTTGGGTTGAGATTTGGTGGAGCTCCGTTGAGCAAGTCTCCCCTTGATATCAACGTGCACATGTACCCATCGTGAGAGAAGACATCATTCCTTATCAATTCACTGAATAAATGAATAAGATTCTTAAATTGAGCTTTGTTTTGTGCATTTCCATTCTCTTCGAGAACTGGCGCCGTGTCCAGAAAGCGAAGAAGAATTCCTTGAAAAATTGGCGTGCCATTAGCACCAAAATCTGAATCTTTGTCCTCAATATTGTTGTTGTCATTTTCATTCATTGAAATTTCAGTTTGGCGTTTATCAAGAAGTCGACCAACAGCCATTGCACGATGTTCACCCCATCGATGTGTTGACACTGCCCATTCACATAGAATCTTGACAGTATCTTCATCAGAATTAACATCCTATGAAAAATTCGTTATTGTTTAATTCTTTTTTAATTCATTTAATAATTAATTAACTTACGTATTCAATTTTTGTGTCCTTTCCATCGGAAGAATTTAATTCTTTTGAATTATCTGGCAATGAAGGGAAAATTTTTGCGTAAAGTGTGTCCAATGAGTTGTTGACGTCCATCCGATCGAAGAAATAACTGTCCAAAGTGTCGAGAATAGTTAAAAGTTTGACAGTTGAGTTTCCCGATATTGTCCGCCATTTGTCAGCACACCAACGCGATTCAGCTTGTTGTGAACGATGTTTTATGCTGTTTTCAGCGATTTTTAATTTCAATCGATACTCTTCATTACTTTTCGGGGACTTTTCCGGCATGGGAAGAGTTGAAGGTGCTACTGGAAGATAATCAAGTGGACTTCCTGAAAGAACTGATGGACGATTTTCACCAACACCACTCCATATTAAAGCTGTTGGACAATCAAGTGTCACGACTTGAAGCATGCAACTTAACTGAATGACCGTGTCACGATGTTGTGGGCAACTCAAATATTCTTCCAATGCCTTTTCATAAGGATTCAAATTCTTGCCATTCGTCTCTTGATTCTTTCCATTGTTCTGATCTTGTTTCGAATTCGTGTCAAGATTTAAATGATTTACCATTTCATAGATCATTGTGGATAATTTCTTTGATGATAAATATGCCAACTTCCTTGATAGTCTTTCTGATTGTACGAAGTCTTGCATGTAGCTTAAAGCGAGTGGAAGGTAAAGTTTAAGGATTCCATCTTCAGTCGGTTGCGTTCGTAATTTATCAAACAAATCTAAAATCCAATTAAGGAATTCATGCTTATCTAATAAGCCTTCTTCAAACATATATTTGCAAAGTTGTGTACAATAAGTCCATTGCTTCAACGCAAGTTTCTGTTCTTCTTGTGGTGTTGACGGTACTGGAACTAATGACGAAGAAGCACCTGCAGGACTCGCTAATGGAGTAGGAATTGTTAATTATGAGCTTGATGAGCTGCTTGATGATGTTATGTTCCCTGAGGAACTGCCTGAAATCACCGCCACAGATTTTTCTAGAGGCGGACCTGTGTGATAATATTCGATAAGTTTTGGGATCAAATCTTTGAGAAATTTAATCATTGTGCTTGTCCATTCAGTTGCCGGATCAGGCATTTGTCTTTTCTTAATCTTAGCTTCAGACACTGCAACAGTGTAAGCAGATGATAACTTTATGAACCAAGCCGCTCTTTGCATGGTAACTTGATTCTCACAAAGCATCGCAAAAATCTCTTCTTTCTTGTTAAATGACGGAGCTTTCTTTGCCAAACTGCTTAGAGGTTTATTTCCAGCGAGGTCTTTGAACCAATTATCTAAAGTTTGTTTAGTTCGTTGTGTCACTGGCCAGAAATTATCTTTTACGTGTTGTTTCTTTCGTCCAGAATCTGTGAGAGTCATCAATTCTTCCTTTTTTGCCAGAATTGCGTTAAAATAAGCTCCGACCTTAGAAGCCGTTACATTATAGTTTCTTGCTGTTCCAAACTCTTCAGATAGCTGTGGCATCGTAGCGAATCCATGTTTTACATTTAATGATGTCAGCTCATCTTCTTTTTGCTTTATTTCTTGTGGATACACATCAGCCGGGCCCAATTTTGGCTTCTTGAGGGGCCGCTTTTCTACATATGTCTCACTAAACATCTTAAAATCTTTTATTCCATCGTCAAACTATTAAAATCTTAATAAATATGACATTTATAAATTTTTGTTGTTGTCAACACAATTTTTTCTACACTTGTAACATGTAAATATAGCACGGCAATGAAACATGAGAATTTCTAACAAATTTATTCTAGAATTCAATGAATTGTAATGCTTATGATAGAATTTTACTCTGAATCTTCATGCAATTGTCATAGATATGTTAATTCTTCATCATATGTGATATTTTCGTAAACAATATTGTTGAAAATTCTGATTTTCCAACAACGCCACCTAGCGTTAACAAACGATAAATCAGGGAGTGATTTTTTTATCAGGGAGTGAGGAAAACTCAAGTTTTCAGTGGCGGCGCTACGATCGATTATCTGACACGGAGAAATTATCTGACACGGAGAAATTTTTTCTGTGCGTTTTGTATGGGAGGTCAAATCCGCGCGAACGTACCAAAGTCGGAAATGATGACTGAGTACATCATAAACATGTTTATCTTTATCGAACGCCGCTAGGTTAGTGATGTACCGCTGTTCGCGCGGATTTGACCTCCCATACAAAGCACTGCAAATTCGGCCGTACGATTCAGAGCCTGTTGTATGATTCAGAGCCTGTTGTACGATTCAGAGCCTGTTGTCCGTTCGATAGTCAAAAGGCCTGGTAATTCGTAAACAAAACGGATGAAAAAATATTTTTGTGATTTTGTCATCTAGTTAAATACTTTAATTGGCATAAATCTTCTTTAAACTATAGCTGAAATGTTTGGACGTGTGTTAGAATCAATTGAACAAGTTGTTGCACCAAATCCAACACTTTTTCAAAGTTTTGAACATTATTGGAAACTGATAAAAGTATTTTACACGAACACAAATCAAAGTGATAGACACATCGATGATACAAATATTCCTTTTTATTTGGAGCAAATGCTGCAAATTTTAATAAAAGAGCAAGATGAAGTTAAAGAGTATCACAGGATGAAAATGCAATCACCCGAAAAACACATTGAAAAGAAACTTGCCGAATGTATGGAATTCATGTTAGAAAATAAACCATTAGACTTGATGGTTGACTTAGCAATTAGCGAGAAACCTGTGGGATGCAGACAATTAGTGCTGAGATGGAGTCGAAAGTATCTTACGTGTTTGGAACATCCTGTGATTGCTCATGGAAGTATTTTTAAACCACTTCTCAAACTCATGACTGTCTGTAATGGAACAATGGCTTCACCATACGAACTCGACGAAATACTGTTTTTAGAAGCTGTTTCGGGTCTTGTCGGTAAAACTCCAGAGTATGTCAAGCTTTTTATTCCACCTCATCAGTTCAGTGATTCAACAACTGAAGGAATCTTCAGTACAAAAACGCCCAAGGACAACCAACTTTTTGCGTCGTCAAAGCTGGAACCAAATATAAGAAGAATTTCTTTAATGGTGAGTGATGATGAGGAAATCAAGTACAATGGCGAGGAAACAGTTCAAAAAAAGACGATAACTCCATCACCAAAAAAGATTTTAAAAAATTGCAATTGTGATGACGGCGATCGTTTCATTCTTTTAGACGCAATTATGAGTTATTTGGAAAGTGCTGATAGCAAGATTGTTGTTCGAGCATGTGAAGCTATTCTTATTTTAGTTTCATTAAAACAACTTCATAATCACTGTTCAGCTGTCAATGCTTCGTTCACCGAACTCTGTCATGTTATAGGCGAAAAATTGTTTTTTTGTGCTGAACAAATACCTGAAGACATGGATCTTGGAGATATTGACGATTGCAACGTTTCATGGGGTTTGTTCCCTAGAGATGACCAAAGTCACTTTATTGGTCGATATCAGTTAACTTCCTTCCTATGTTGGCTTGATTTCACGGATTTTCTTACGAAAGAAAATTTACTGGTGTCTGATCTCGTTGGAATGCTTTTTCGAGAACAAGTTTTGGAAAGGATCATTGAACCAAATCTTCTGGAACTTAATCCCGTCTTTGGATTGGTGATGACATCAAAAATTATCAAGCAAATTCATTCTGAAAATCTTCTTGAAGAAATTGCAACATGGTTGGTAGGGACAGAAATAAACGGAACAGACTGTCTGCTCAATATTCTTATTGAAAACGCACAAGATAATCCAAATATACTTTTACAAACACTTCAGTTTGTTGAAGCGTTGTTGGACAATCCAAATGAAAGAATTCTTCATTCAATGCTTTTCATTTATGTTAATAATCGAGGATATTATGATTCTTTGAAAGCTCACGAAATTGATAGTTGGTCAGACGAAGAAGAAAAACGTGAGAAGCGTCGTGGAAGTGTGGAAAGTTCAATCAAATCAAAAACAATGGCTCCCAATAATATTCTTAAAGTGATTAATAATTTTCTGCTTCTTCTTCCACGCCAATTGATGGCTGAAAGTGTTGGAACCTGTTATGAAGAGTACATGCAAGATGCCAGTCGTCATTACAAATTGTGGATAAATAAAACATCGAAATTTCACTGGCCAATTGAAGCATCATCGCCTATAAAACGTGTTCGTAATAAATCGCCAACGACTGCTGAATGCAATGATAGTGGAATATCGGAAGAATATTCTTTTTACGAAGGACCCTTGCTAAGACTTTTATTTAATCAAATAAGAAATATGGGAGAACAGCCTTATGAAATGAATTTAGCTTCTATTGCTATTTTATCAAAACTTGCGTTGTTACCGCATCCTTATTTACATGAAATATTACTTAGCACGGAAATTCCAATCGTCTGTGGGGCTTCAACATTGTTCACTGTCATCCAGTCACTTTCAAAGAAATTGCTTGCAGAAATTCCAAGATATCCTGAGTTTTCAAATAAGATTCGTGATACGGCAAAAAGACTACTAACAAATCCTCCACTGTTGAAAGAAGACTCAGAAGGTCAGAATCCACATGTTGCTGATGAGTCTGATTCGTTATTTGAAGCCTTGATTGTTCTTGAAGAATTCTGTAAAGAATTAGCTGCGATAGCGTTTATTAAGTATCATCATGCTACTGAATAAATTTCCTTATTGAAGATTGAAGTCTAGTCAAGGTAAAGGGATAATTAAATCTTAAGAAAAGAGTTAGTCTTAATTTTGTGTCATTGCACATGCCTTTGTTGTCACCACTTTTTATTGTTATTATTTGATTACATATGAAATAAAGAATGATTGAAAATAAATACATAAATCGATTTTTATGACCATGAAGCAGATATTGGAGAAGGATTTTGAAGATAACTCATAACAACTGCAGATACAGATAACATGAATGACGATAAAACTTGCTTTGCATCTTCTGTTACTCTGCTATTTGCAAAGCTAATACATGAACAGTATCTGAAAGAAAATTTTCTATTAATTTAACTTTAATTTAATTATTAGAATGACGTACAATGCAATCCATGCACAATATTTTAATTTCATCATTAGTCCTAACATGGAGAAAATCATTCCGAGGATGTTCAAATAATCAGGCATGAGATCTTCTTGTCCTGCTACGGCTCCAGATTGAGCTACAACTGGTTTATAGCGAACAATTCTATCAGGTCGCTTAACATTTTCAGTATTCACTAGAAGATATAAGGTTGTTAGTTATTTAATTATCAATGATAATCACTAAAATTATAGGATAAATATACGTACTTTTGATATATTAAACTATTGATTACAATATTAAAAACTATTGGAAATTGATAATTAATTATTCAAGTCTGAAATTTCGACAAACTGAGAGGGGCCTGGCAGAAATAATATTTACATTTCGTACAATGCCCCTCTCAGTTTGTCGAAATTTCAAAAATATGCCCGTTATTTCCCTGAATTTCAATATCAATGAGATTTCTCAATTAAAATTATGATAACTCATGACTATTTTTACATACTTCCTACAACTTTGTGAAACAAGTAGAAATAACTTTAACTTTGTAAGAAATAAGTATTTCAAAAATATATTGAACAAATCATGCTCAAATGGTTGAATAAATTCCAGAAGCTAATTTATAAGGTAAACAATTAATAAAAGTTTTTGAGAGGTTTCAACTGTTTGAGGAGAAAGGAGGTAAGTCTTTGAATCTTAAAAGAACAAATACCTAGAAATCATCTTGAATGGTTTGATAGAATTTTAACCAGCCATAAACAACATGACTATATAATGCACCTGTTGCCAATGATGTCAGAAATTTTTCAAATCACTTGAATTTTTCTTTATTGCTTCATCAGTTTTCAATAAGCTCCATCAAGTGAAATATTTTTGTAGGGTCATCAAATTTCCACTCGAACAATTAATCAAAGATGGAATTCACATTAAGGGTAAATTTTAAGAGCTTGAGAAAAATTTCTTCAGCACAGAGTTTAAAAGGAAAACTATAAATTATGTTCCTCATTTTTTCGTCTAAGTTCATTGTCTTATCGCAAACCAGAAATACCGAAAACGAAAATTGTGAACAAAGATGTATAAGTTTGTGTAGGGAATCGAGGGAAACCGAAGGTAAACCTGTGCTGAAAAGTACATAAGAAATATATGTTGAAAAAGGATTTTATGCTAAATTGTGGCCAATTTTTCATCCATTTAGTTTACTCTTTCATAAGGAAAGCAGAAATTTAATAAAATGGAAACCCATTTTTTTCCACATAAAATTTTTCCTTTATCCTGTTTTTTATCCTTAAAAGAATTTTCATTCACAGCTTGCAGTTTTAACACTTGTTGTTACTAAATGGCAGTCGTTCCTCTTTGAATCAACGAACAAAAGCTTTTCTAAGTCCCTTGACGTTTGAATACAGACCTTCAGCACCATAAATTAGATTAATTTTTAATCAAACTTTTGTAGGGATAATTTAAGGTACATTTAAGGTGCGAACAGGTTTTCCATTTAAAGTGGAAAAAAATTAAAATGAACTTCATAACTGTCTTTATATATTTTACATAATTACATTAGACTTCTTGATAATATTTCGTGTCACTTACAATCAGCCTCTGTAACCAATAGAAATTTGATATTTCTGAAATCTGAACAATTCTCATCGTTTCGACTTAAGAGAAAGTTTTATTAAAGTTTAAATTCTTAATAACAAGAAATGATAAGAAACGACCTCATTCAATGTGTTTATTTACCTGCTACCTTCTACTCTTGGCCAATAAAAAAATCTTGAGCTGAAACGAGAGCAGTGTGGCTGGCAGGCGAACTGACATTGCGAAAAAAAACTTTTAAATTATTTTATCATCATCTAGCGCTCGTAAAAAATTATGAAGTGCCATTATGAAGCCGCAAACATAAAGAAAATGATTCTAACGATGTCTCGGAGGCTCATCCTTGGATGAGAAAACTTTTTTCTCATGTACATGAGAAACTACATGAAACTCAAGAACAAAGAAATATGTTTTTATTAGGAGAACTTTTTGGATTTATTCACATCAAGGTCAGCGCGTGCCTTCTTTACTATAAAATCAAATTGAAAATGAAAAAGAAACTTTTACCATGTTTTACCCTCGAGATGAGCTTTTTCGTTTCGCAAGGGGATGAAATGTAAAATCGCTTACACAAAAATATTGAGAATATATCTGATCTGATCATACAGCTCATGAATACAAATTTTTAAATTACCCTCAAACAGTCGATACCCATGTGTGGAATAAAAGACGAAGGGGAAAAGACAAGAAGGTGAAATTTTAAGCGTGGGACTGACTGAACAACTGAACGGTAGATGTATGCTAAGCAGTGATATAAAAAATATTGTAATGAGAAAATTGGGTTGTATGACTTCACTCGCAAGTTTAATGGAGAAAAAAAAAAACAGCCATGATAACATTTCAACTGCAAAATTGCTTTTTATAAAAAACTTTAGCTAAAATTTTCTCTCCAAACTGATGTTAAAAGGTACAGGAAAAGAAACTTTTCTCAGGAAATAAAATCATGTTAAGCTTCTACTCTTCGTTATATAAAAAAAAATGTATCTATACCTAAATGTAAACCATTTTTGTCTTTTATATCAAGTGAAAGTTCAAGTTGCCTTCAAGCATATTTTCACACATGAAACGTGAAAAAAAAAGCGCGAGAACATTTGCTTTTTCACTTGAAATTGACGATATTGATGGAGAGCGACGAGGGAAGGTGAAGATAAAAAACGCTTGGAAAATATATTTATATATAAATATGCCTTAAGAGAAATGCTGGCAAGAAGGCAAAACAGCGAATGATTCTTACTCACAGAAAATTGTATTTTCGTGTCATTCTTCTTTCTTCGTTCACAGGATTACAGGTACGACGACGGTAAATTTATTTACGTTCAATATGAATAAATAGGAGAAGCAAAAGAATGGAAAAATATCGTTCTTCCCTTTTTTTTATATTTTATTCCGAGCTTTAACGCACTCATAAAATAATGTAGACAAAGATTGAAGTGTAGTCGGTTGTAAATAACGAACGAGAAGAATTGAATCGGGGAAGCAAGGAAAGCTCTGATGGAAACAAAATCCCAGGCTGACGAAAGAAAGCAAAGAAGCAAGAAAATATTCGAGATATTCTTTAACCCAGACTGATAGAGAATAAAATTTATCATCTGCCAAACCACGCAAAGAACGACGAAGCCTTAAAGTCACAGAAAGAATCAACAAAACTCCACAATTGGATTTATGGAATTTCTTATTGAAGAGCATTGATGATGATTCTCAATTTTCTTATTTAATCGTATTTCCGCTAAAATTATATTTATGAAAAGATTTTTCTTCCTATTATGTAACAACACGTGCTGTAAATTGCAATAAAAATTAACGAAAGATTTCATTGACGACTTAATGAGAGTATATTAAATCGAGTTCTTCTATTTAATTGATACGAAACAATGAAAGCTTTCTGAATAACAACAACTTGATTAAGTTTATGTTGTTCTTAACAGACTAATCAAACATTAACTTATTTTTGTTGATGCTCTAACATTTCGTCGATAGTCTTTCTAGGTAGTCTTGTAATAACTTCATTTCTCATTTCTCGTCATTTCTATTCTTGTTGCTTACTCGTTTCACATAATTAATTCTATTTTTCCCTGTCTTCACGTTGTCATTTCTTCATTAAGGATCGTCATAGTCGTTAAATGGGAGGAGGTGGATGTAAGAGATTGTCGGTGTTGACAACTTTATCTTTTATCTTTCAAGTGTAAAAGTTTGTCATTTTGTTTCGCTTTTAATTTATTTACAAAGAGTTTCATTTCATTATAGTAGATAAATGTGTGTTGATGGAATCCGTTTTAGATAAATCTTTTTTAATAAATAAGTTGAATTAATCTGTGCAATTGGTTTGTGACAAGATCTTTTTTAATACAATATTATTAAAATGATATCATTCCAGATTAATCTTACTGGTCATGCAATATTCCTGTCAGGGGATTACAGAATGGAAAGCCGAAGGGATTTTCAATCAATGGGCTTGGAAACATGTGTGAAAATTACTGCTTTTGTGAATACGTTTGGGTCTGCTGCAATATTTTATAAAGCGTGAAAAAGGCTTTGAAAGCTCGTAAGCTTAAGGGAGATCAGATTTGGTAAGTAAGCAATTTGTTATTACGTCTGTTATCAACCTTCAAACAACTCTTTTCATCTCGTTCTCTTTTGGTCTGTAAACATTTTCAAAATCAAATACGAAAATATTAAGAATGCTTTCAGAAGGAAATTAAAAAAGTAACACCCAAGCAAATCGTTTTCAAAGCGTTATCTTTGTTGTAAATAGTTCTTTAATCATCAAAGCCATTCGCTTTATTTTCCAGTCCTTTCTCAATCTTTTCTTCATTTCTTTTCTGACGGTATGTATCGTTAATTGTTTGCGAAATATTTCAAACAAAAAGGGAAATTGTGAAAGAATTTCCTTCCTTCTTTAGATTTATAAGAGTAGAAAGCTTAAAGGGATTTTTTTTTCTTCAAATTCATGCTCGATGATAGCAAGATGATGGTGATTTTGAATAAGAGAAAAAAAAGTAATTCAAGACATTTTTTTATCACTACAAAATAAGCGTCAGATTAATGTTGATGGAATTTCTCATGTTTTACCCTTTGTAAAAATTTTATGAGTGTTGCGAGTGCTCTTCCTTCGTTCTTCACATTCTTTCATTATTCAGATACACATCATGATGCTTTTCTGCTCGTTAGACAATTTTTCAGGATGATATTCTGGCAAAAAAATTGATATTACAAATGCAATGTGAAAGCTAAAAAAATCTTTCTGAGTATTTTGTAGATATTTAAAAATGAATGAAACAACTTGAATCAATATCAAATCAACCCACATGAATGAATATTTTTCTATAATTCACATCACTGAACATTTCTTGAAGTTATGCTTTGATAAATTGATTGCAATGGGAACATTCAAGCTTCACTTGTTAAGCTTCAAACTTTCTTTTCATGAATTACAAAACTTCTTTCAATGCTACCAATTTTAAAATTCTTTGAAATGTTTGACTCAATGTAAGTAACATCAGATAAATTTCGTCTTTAAATGTGGGAGGCATTTTCCATTCAAATGATTGCTTTGTAACATTTCATTAATTATTTACATAAACATTCAACTTTGACTTTCAATCTGAATTATTAATTTTAATGAAAAGCATAAAAGAAAACTATCGACAAAGTGACAATAAATCCTTTCAAGAATGATATTTAATCATCTTTTGGAAAATTATTATGATTCAATTAAAAACTGTTGATAATTTCAATAATTTAATTACATCTCGATTTATTTGTCTATAAATTAAATTCAAATTAAATTACATGAACACGAGATGAAGGGATTGTAAATTGTACCTGTTGTTACCTCTCAATGAGGCTTTTAAAAACTCACTTCCTGTCGTTGTCATAATGTCTTTCATCGTTAAAATGAGGGTAGACATAAAAATCATTTTAATGGCGAAATTACATCATGATGGGAGATGGGTTGGAGATGATTTGTGACTTCAAATGAATGAAAGGGAGAACGATTTACCTCTTAACAACCATTCTCTCATTGTTTTATGATTCGACTGCAATTAATCAAACCGAGAGAAAAGAATTTTGCGTGAATTGAGTTGGTGCCGGTGAATTTTTATATTTATTATATTGTGCCACAAACTTTTTCCACATCTACGAAATCCAAAACTTATTGGTGGTGATAAAAATAAAAATCCTAAAAAATCTGCCACCCACACAAACCGAAAGATAGAAAAAGCTGAAGTGGGCGATAGGGACATGAAATTTAATTTTTTAACCCTTCTTTTGCTCTCTGGCAGCAACAGCTTTTGCGATCGTTAAATCTCTTCTTCTTTGCATCAATGAGACTCCGCAATGGATTACATTTTTTCATTTTATGTGACATTTTAAGCTTCGAATTTTTTGCAATTAATGACGAGTGAAATTTTTATTTCGAATTTAGATTTAAAATCAAATTTTAATCGCATTTTTGGTCTGTCAACATCTGTTTGAAGGACCTAAGTTAAAGTTTATTTGAAATAAGAAATTTATAAATTTTAAATATTTTTAATTCTCATTACCTGGTTGATTATCGTTGAAAAGGCGATTTCTGACTCTGGTGCCTGGGGCTGAAAATTATTTTAATTTACTTCTATGGAATTAAGATAAATAATAAAAACAGAACTTACAATCATCGTTGACAACGGCTTGTCTAGGCAGTTGCCTTCGTCTAGGAGCTTGGCCTAAAGCGTTTATCAGAATTATAAATCCTCAAATAATTACTAGAAAAGATATTCAAACCTACAAATGCCATTGTTGCCATTTAATCTTCGTCGGGGGGTTCGATGACGATTTGGAGTTGAGATTTGTTCTGGTACGAAAGAAACGTCATTCCGTTCTAAATAAGCCAAAGCTATGCATTCTCTGAGCACTCTTCTCAATGTCATTAAGCTTCTTCTTACCCTATAATGATGTAATACATTGTCATGACGATAATGTGTGCCTATCAAAGCTTCAAGTTCATCAAATTTAAATCTAATTGCTGCGAGTTCATAAAATCGTTTTCTGTCTGGATCGACGCCATTTGTGACGTATCTAAAGAGAATATTTTGACTGTCATGAAATGTAAAAGAATAAGTTAATTAGTCTTAAATTATAAAATGTTTTAGGACCTTGAAATATCGCGATTTCTATCAGCAAGGTCCATTGATAAATTTAGAAGAAAACAAAAAATATTCCGAAAACTTATGCTTTACTGATTAAGAGAAATTTGTGAATTGAAATGATTACTCAGCTGAATGAAAAGATTTTTCTTCTCCCAGAAAAGAAAGCAATCATTTGAATAAAATTGTCTCAATTAAAAGATATCTTAATGACGTTCGAGTACTTGAAAGTTAGATGATTTTTATTATTTTCATTTTATTCGACAATTTATTTAATGTTAAATCAGATTAAGGAAAAATTGAGAAGCTACGATTTTGACGTCTGTTAAAGGGACCTAAATTAAAGTAAAATATTAATTAATGTTAAGTAGAAGAGAAACAATTTTAATTCCCATTACCTGCTCGATCCATGTTCGTTCGTTGGTGTATTTGGTCGACTGGAAGCATATTAAAACGTTTCATTTATCTTATAATCTTCGATTTGGACTTGACATATGTCCTGGTATGAAGGGAATATGTCCGACATTTTCAAATTCAATTAGAGCTGCTATCATAAGGTCGTTTAACACTGTCGACAGTAAATTTAAGTTTTCCTTTAATGGTTCATGATGACGAATTGGATGTGGCCAAAGAAGCAAATATTTGTAAATAGTCGCCTCAAGTTCGTTGAATTTAAATCTTATTGCTGTGAGGTCGTAAGAACGTCTTCTATCCGGATCAGCACCATTCGTGATTAATCTGTTAAGGACATTTTGACTATCGACAAAGGAAAACAAAAGAAATTAAAATGTACAACATTAATCAAAAAAATTCAGCAGACTTTGAATCATCTAAATTTTCGTCGAAAACTTCTGGATCCAATAGTGAAGTAAAAGCAAAAGGAAGATAATCGTCAGGAGCTTCCATTTTTAAAATTTGAAATGCCACACAAAATTAATTAAAGAATTTCAAAAAATGTGAACGAAAAATGAATTTAGCTAACTAAATATTAGAAATTTGAGAATTTTAGATGCTTACTAAGCTGTGTGTGGATTCGTTTTTTGGCAAATGACAACTAAACAAGAAATCAGAAGTCACTTTTTAATTGTTTCGTTACTTATTCATACAAGCTGGTCAAATCGTACATTTAATTACTTCTATGAAAACTATTTGAATTTCCATGAAATTCTCCCTTTCATCAAACAATTGAAGTGTAAAAAAATCTTTCTCGCTTTTTTTCAACTTACATTCAATTCACCTTATCAAGATCGACTTAACTTTATTCTCACTGCACTGATAGAAATAAATTTGATGTTAAAAGAAATAAAATAAAGATCAAGATAAATTTATCATGAATAATAAAATTTATTGTTTGATAAAACATTTTATTTGTTTTCTTATCAGAAAGCAGCTTATAAGCATTAAGATAGCAAATTTCTTGAAATCTTTTAAATAACTCTGAAGCAATTTTTAAAGAACTTACACCCAACGGATTAAGTACTTCCATAAACATTATCAATAAAAAAGTGATTATTTATTATTATTCTGCAATTTTCATATCAATTATAGTTCTGATACTTTTACCCTGAAGCATCAAATCAACTGCGTCATTTATTTCTTCCAACTTCATATGATGTGTAATGAATTCATCGATTTTAATCTTTCCATTGAGATATTCATCGACAAGCATTGGAACAGAATCAACACTTTTGTAACAACCAAATATTGTTCCTTTTAATGTTCTTCCAAGCTGAAAGTCCATTGGAGAAAGCGTCATAGCTGCTTTATACGGTGCAACGCCAATAAGCACACAAACTCCATAGCCTGGCATCGCCGATTCAAAAGCTTGTTTCATTATTTCAACATTTCCAACTGCTTCAAAAGTGTAGTCAACACCACCATGTGCTATCATTTTTAAATGATCTTTGATTGGTATGTCAAGATCATTTGGATTGATACATTCAGTAGCGCCGAAATGTTTTGCAATGTCAAACTTTGATGAATTTATATCAATTGCAATTATTCGAGATGCACCCGAGTTTTTGCATCCCATTACAGCAGCGAGGCCCAAGGCGCCAAGCCCCCAAACAGCGCAAGTACTTCCTGGAGTGACTTTTGCTGTGTTCACTGCAGCACCGTAGCCTGTTGTGACGCCACAACTAAACAAACAAACTTTATCAAGCGGCGCTTTCATGTCTACTTTCGCAAGATTTATTTCCGGGACTACTGAATATTCCAGAAAAGTTGAAAATCCTAGAAATGTGTGAATACTCTGACCTCGGCATCTTATTCTCGATGTGCCATCTGACATTACACCTCTCTGTTGTGTCCCAAATTCAACACAGAAATTTGTTTTATCGCTTTTACAAAACATGCAATTTTTACATTGCGGAAGAAATATTGGAACGACATGATCCCCGGCTTTGAATTTTGTGACACCTTCACCAACTGACTCAACAATGCCGGCACCTTCATGTCCTAGAATAACTGGAAACTTTGTTGAAACCAATTTCCCTGCTTGTCCCGAAACATCTGAATGACACTGGTAATAAATTATTAATTTTTTAATACTTAAGCTTGCTGATAATTTATCAATTAAACTCACAATTCCCGTTGCAGTTATTTTAATGCGAACTTCACCTTTACGTGGTGGGTCAACTTCAATCTCTTCAATTTTCATTTGTTCTTGTTGAGCCCATACTATTGCACCACGACACGTTATAATTTTTCCTTCCATCTTTCACCTCTTACATCTAATCTCTGACTAAGCCTCTTGAAACTTATGAAAAGTATTCGACGACTTCTCTCTTGAGAAAAACAGCAAATGTAATTTTAGTTTTGTTTTGGTGTGCTTTACACACGTGTATGGGAAAAATATTAAAGTGATGACTTTATTTACTGTTTTTATGTTTTTAAATGTACTTGAAAGATTTGAAAAGAATTTGTAACGTGATTGAGTAACAGCTACATGAACATTGAAATTGTAATTATATAACCTTCTAATAATGTAGTTCATGCTGATAATCTTGTGTGATCTACTTTACATTTTTTATTTCTATTTTTGCTTACGAAGAATATTCAACTGTGCTTGTGAAGTTCATGAAGTTTAAAATGTAATTCATAAATTATTTATGACTTGGAGATCCTTGAACTTCGATTCATCGAATCTAAAATAACAAAATTCTAATCCCGATCTAAACACATTTCTAACTAGCAGTGTGTGTACTTAAATAATATTTGTATCAATAACAAGTAAATTCTATTTACGTACAATTTTAATAATCTTAAGTATCCTCCTTATCAGAAAAAAATTTATTTCTGCATGTAGATATCTCGAGTTTTATTGCTGTAAAGATAAACAGAAGCTTTATTGGGGTTTGAGGTGTTACAGTATTTGTTTTAATAAGTTGTAAACATAAATAATCTAAGCAGAAACTTGAAGATAAAGTGCGAAATTATTCACGTGTTCATTGATAAATACAAACACAATGTTTATGTGTTGATATCAAAACTTGTCGCTTGTCCAATTAAAGCTTAGTCCATTCATATGCGTGATTAGTTAATCAATATCTTGAACTTCTTAAAGCAGATAAAGTTGGCAAACGTGAGCCTTCAATGATTTATATTTTCTTTTGAGAATTTCTTTAAGCTTTACATTTAAAAGAAATTTTGCAATTAGTGGCGAGTGAAATTTTTATTTCGATTTTAAATTGAATTCTTCAAGTTTTTTTGTATCTCAAGTCCATTAAGAATAAGAAATTTATCGATACCAAAATAAAAGAACTTTTGATTCTCATCAGTTGCTCAATTATCGTCAAAAAGGCGATTTCTAACTCTATCAAGTGCCCCTTCTTGAAAGAGTCGGCGAGGGCTTCTAACTCTTGGAGGTGTGTCTGAACAAGTTCATAATTTAAATGTGTTTAGTTTACTTTCAATTGAAAATGAAATCTTACGAATTCGGTTGTCGTTTCTTCTAAGCGGAGTTCTATAACCATGAGCTTCATCTGAAAATAAATTTTTCAGACAATAAAGCCACAGTTATTAAAACAGTAAAATATTTTTCATTACCTGGTTGATCGTCAAAAAGCCTAATTCTGTTGTGATCTCCATCTTGAAAGAGTCGACGAGGTCTCTCAGCCCTAGGAGCTGCGCCTAAACCAAATTTATAATTTTGTTCGCTTTAATTCTTTTTAAATGAAAACTAAATCTTACAAATTCGACTGCCGTTTCTTCTAGGCGGAGTTCTATGACCATGAACTTCATCTGAAAATATATTTTGTAAAAGTATTTTAACTTTTTATCTCATACCTAACAAAGCCACAGTTATTAAAACAGTAAAATATTTCTCATTACCTGGTTGATCGTCAAAAAGCCTAATTCTGTTGAGATCTCCATCCTGAAAGAGTCGACGAGGTCTTCTAGCCCTGGGAGCTGCGCCTAAACCAAATTTATAATTTCGTTCTCTTTAATTCATTTTAAAATAAAAATTTAATCTTACAAACTCGACTGCCGTTTCTTCTAAGCGGACTTCTATAATCAGGAACAACATCTGAAAATAAATTTAAAGTTGGAATAACACAGAAAAAAGGGTGAAGTAACACTTACAAACTGGGTTCGGAATATTTGGTGTTCGAGGAGTTCTTTGCTGAGGTATGACTGGAGAGAAGAATTCAATCAAAGTATCAAAAAGAGAAATGATTTCATGAAATTAGCATCACCTCTAATCATCTGTCGTTGAGGAATTCTTGATCCAATCATCGGTCTGGGACGTCTATCTAAAATGAAGAACAATAATTAATGAACGATAAAATAAAATTCTTAGAATGAGTTTAAAATGTTTAAATATTTACAAATGGCATTGACTCTATTCATCGGTCGTACATTCCGCACAGGAAATCTTGGTCCAATTCTCGGCCTGAAACGTCCATCTGGATGAAGAATAATAATTCATGAATAATAAAATAAAGTTCTTAGAAAATTTTAAAATATTTAAATGACCATGGACTCTATTTATCGGTCGTACAACTCGTACAGGAATTCTTGATCTAATTCTCCTGGGTCTGAGACGGTTATCTGGATGAAGAAAAAAAAAATCAACAATCATAAAATAAAGTTCTTAGAGGGATTTAAAAGTCTTGAATTATTTATAATTACTATTGACAATATTCATCGGTCGTACAACTCGCACAGGAATTCTTGATCTCATTCTCGGTCCGAGACGTCTCTCTGGAATGAACAAAGAGTCAATAAAAAGTTTTTATATATCGTGTCTAGTATAGTAACGAGCAGCGTTAGGTGATCCAATTATTCCAGCAGCAGCATCTAAGATAAGAAATTTCGTAAAATTTGTTTATAGAATTAATTAATTTAAAATAAATTACAATTAGCATCGAGATGAAGTGGGATCACTTCTTCAGGAATTTCGACTATAATCAAGAATTTAAAAAAATAAATCATGAAAGTCAAAAAAACAAATTATGAAACTTACAAGTACCATCGCGATTTTGTACATCTTAGGTGGAAATTTTGATAAACATAAATTAAATAAATAATCAAAGAAATTAAAAGAAAACTTACATGTAGCATTGCGATCAGGCATTTCTGGCAGTACTTCATCTAAAGTGAAACATTGGATAGCAATTATTTGTATAATCTTTAACTAGATTCAAAGAAAGCAACTTACAAGTACCATCGCGATTTTGTACATCTTAGGTGGAAATTTTGATAAACATAAATTAAATAAATAATCAAAGAAATTAAAAGAAAACTTACATGTGGCATTCCGATTAGGCAGTTCTGGTGGTTCTTCATCTAAAGTGAAACATTGGATATTAATTATGTGTGAATTTTTTACCAAGATTCAAAGAAACAAACTTACAAGTAACATTGAGACCATTATTCAAAAGTTGCACCAATTCAATTCTGTCTTCATTATATATTGGAAATGCGGCAGCGACTTCTGGATTTCCCGCACGAATCATCCGTTTTGAATCGATTAAAACTCTTCTCAGTGCATTTAAATCTTCTCTCAACCGATTGAGATTTATAACTTCGCGAGTCTTTAAAATGTGAAGTTTGACCATAGCATCAATTTCATTAAAATCAAATTTTATCGCGGCGATATCATAAAAGCTTTTTGCAGTTAAGTCAACACCATTGATTGTCATTCTATAAACCAGATTTTCACTATAGAGAAAGAAATAATTAATGTAATTAAAAATATATTTTAAGATTCTTTTGTACCTTGAATCTTCAGGGTATGCAGCCATTAGTAACAAATGGAAATTTTCACAAGAATTTCCAAAAATATCTTCAAAAAAAAATTAAACTCAACAAAAATATGAAATTAATTGAAATGGTTTCTGAGAAAAATATTCATTGCCAAAATTTATTAAGTAAAGAAGAAATTCCGAGCCAATAAGAAAGCATCGAATAATATTCAACTCGAGTTTCCTTTTCCCGAAACTTTCGGGCCGAAAGTAACAAGATCTTTTTCAGTTAAGAAAGCTCGGACAATAAATTGATATTTGATCCCACAGTCTGGTCAAAATTCAGGAAATTGGTCCATCCGAAAAAGAATTAAACTGTGAGAGAAGAAAAATGAATGAATCTAGTCAGTAATTCAGTATGTAAAACCCTGTTGCCTCAAATTGCGACATCATTAACACCCTCAGTTATTCGATAACATCCCTTTCTTCCGGAGAAGCAAGTAGAGAACTTCGTTCCATTGTAAAGCATCTCTTTGTTACTCTGATGAAGCGCTGAAAAAATGCTAAGCAAGGAAAAGAAAAGAAAATTGTTTTCAATTACAATAATCGTAGACCATTTTTCAAATCTTTCTCGCCTCGACAGACCGACATATTGTGATAAAAGGGTATGAGCTGATAAATGTCTGAAGGGGAAATAAGACAAAGATAAATGGTAACAAGGTTTATAAATAGAAATAAATGCGATAACGCTTCTTGAAAGTTACATTCATTTTGGTGTTATTCTACATTACTGTGAATTTAAGTACAAGGCGGAAGGGAATTAAAGATACAGCTGTGACATATTTTATACATATCATGAATTCAAGTGATGCTGATTTTTTTATCGTGATATGTGCAAAACTTACAACGTTTACGAGCATCTATCAAATTGAAAGTAGAATGTAAAATTAATTTTTTGAATAAGGATTGCTGACATTTTATAAACTTTTTTTTTCTGGTAATAATTACCTAATAGTTTGGAACACGAATTTTATTATTGCCGAGTCGCGTGTATTTCAGTTGAAAAGTCATGAAACATTTTTATGAAAATTAAATTTTCTTGCCAGATCTACAAATATAATTTTATTTTAAAACAAACCTAATGTATGCTTTGCTACGTTTAAAATCATTATGAAAGCCTAGGGAAGGATTTAAATCAAATTTATATATAGACTGAATAAAAATAAATAAAAGCTGCTTTTCAAATTTAAAAAGCCTTTTAGATGATGATTAAATTTTTTGAGCTTTGTTTCATGAGAAAAATTTTGTAAAAATTTGTACGATTTCCAAAGCTCAATTCTTTAAAAGCGTTTTTCAAGTTCAAATTTGAATTTCCCGCCTTTTTGTATTCGACGCTCGTCGACTGTTTTCGACTACAACTCACATTTTAATCAAGTAAAACAAAATTTAGTAAATCTCACAAAAAAATTAAAATTGTCCTCGTGTTAGGCTTGAAAAAGGAAATAAAAGAATCTAAAATGTTTCGCATGGGAATTCCTAATCAGTCTGCTGAAGAACAACGTAATCAAGTACGAAGAAGTGTAAGAAACAACTTTTTTTCATTTGTCGCTCTTGTTGTTATGATTCGTTCAGGTGAGAATAAATTAAACTTCTTATTATTTGCAGCATTATAAATTTATCCCACTTTATCTTACAGCCCCATATGTAATTGAAGTCTTAGGTGAATCATCTTTATGAGATTGGAGTCACCTTTCTGAACTGGGAAATAATATCTTCCGAATTTAACCAGCTCTAGGTGTTAAAACATGAAAACATTATAAAAACCAAACATACGATTTAAGATAACATTATAACTAAGGATTATATAGTAATGGAAGTAGTGGTGTTGAATAATAAAAGTTGTTGATTCAATAATTATTAAACATTAAATTTAAATTTATTTTATTCTAACAACAATTTTCAGTATCAAATATGAGTTCCTAAAAGTATCCATTCTACTTAATTTGAACATTGAAGTCTGCGGTGTGAATAATTTTTCCCTCGATTTAAATCGCTTGTTTTGTTTGCAAGATTATTTCAGAGATTTAAAATTGCACTCATCGGGCTCATTAACGCCTTGGCTATTAACAATTACGACAATCTGTGAGAATTTTCTTGTTGCTTTATTAAAGTTTTTTCTGTTTCTTTCATTTCGCTTTCAACTAGGTAATGGAAATGTTTGTGTATTAAAAGATATTTCTAGAAAAGAGCTTTAAGGGAATTTGAATCTGTAACCATCTCAATGATTGTCTTTGTATCGCTTGGTTTCTATTAAATGTCGATTTGCAACATCTCATCATCAAAACGGGATTAGACCGTCTCGGAGGAATCTTTTGTTGCCTTCAAATATCTTTGCACAGAAGAACGACAACGGAAACAGAGAAAAAAAAGAGATTAGTAAATTATGCAACGATTTAGGAATGTTTGGCGTTTAATAGCCAATTTTTTCTTTTTCAAGCTTCCATTTAAGTGCTAACTGCTGCCGGTTTTTTCCGCGTGTTCCGAAATTTTCTACCCACACAAGACCTTGAAGGAACAAAATCGCCGCTGTTGTCTTTAACGTGTTTTTGTCGCGATTCCATTTCTTCCGTCTAATTTAACTTTTCTCACTCGAATTGCTTCTTTGTGACACATGATATCCTTAAAGATATCTCAAATGTTTTAAACGTAAAATAGAAATAATTTACGATGCCATTTTGGTCTTTCCAGTGAAGTTTCGAGTTACAATTCCTGAATTGAAAGTTGAAGTAGAAGATGAAACTTAGAGGCATGCAAGTGTGAATGACTTTTCATACTTATGAGTTGCTGTTTTAAAACTGAATCAGTCACAAGGATGTGAAATGATGAAAAGAAAATGCGTTGAAATGAAAGGATGAACAGAAATTTTCGAATCAACTCAGTGTTTCGCAACAAATTCATTATTTTTCATCTCGTTTTGTTGGAAAGGAAAATCAGAATGTGTTCGTTGCAAAGAACATGAGAACGGAAAATACCAACAAGCTCACTCATACTTTACGTTGATTGTTGTTTTAGGAAATGCTTTCACATGCCTTTCGGAAAAATAAACAGAAGTTGAAGATAAATCCACCCCCACACCATTCTCAATGAGATTTGGATAAAATTGAAAGTAAAAACTTCGTTCCTGAATAAAATGAAGAAAAAGAAAAATTTATGAATGAGTTGAATTTTTCATCGCAAATCTTCTTCTTATGAATTATTGAATTTGATTTAGAAATGTAAGAAATAAGCCAATTAAGTTAATCTTCACATGTATGAAGAGAGTTTTATCATTAGAAGATTATTTTTCCCTAAGCTTTTAAGAAATTTCTTCAATGATGAAAGAGAAAAAAAAATTCAGATTTTCAAAAGAAAAAAAAACTTCACGAAACCTTTGAAGCATTACAAATTCAAACTGAATCAATCACGACAAAAATGTGTCCCATATTAAGTCAGGCAGGTTCAGATTTAGATTCAAATTCTTCACTGAACCAGAGCAACAATGAATTCACTTTAAACATTAAAGTCGATCGAAGAAAAATGATTTTCCGCACAGGAAAACATTTTCTTCCATTTCGCAGATTAAGTAAAAAAGAAAATTCCTCTTCTATTGAATATGTTGAAGAAAGAAGAATTTGAGTAAAAGTCTGGCTGGGGTAACAGAAAGAAAACAGAAAAAACGAAACATTTACTTCGACTTGCTGATATCATTCGATGCCTGCGAATCACTTGAAATCATGTAAATGAACCGAACACTCTCTTTCGATGTCATTTGCGTTAAACAAAATCCTTGTTATAGATAAAATCACTTGATGTTATCTGTGATAGAACTTTGAGACTATACAAGGAATAAATAAGCTGATGCTTAAGAGATTTCTCCAAGTTTCCTGTAATTTAATTTGAATTTTATGTAGCAACGAAAACGACTCATAAATAACTTTAAAAATCCACTGAACAGATTTTCTGACAAAAAGTTGAATAACGACAAAGGTTACGTAGAAACTTCTCTCTTGATAAAATTAATCAAATTAAAAGTTTCATGTCATAAACAAAAAAAGGCTTTCCAATGATTTCACTCCAAAGTTCTCATTTGTGATCTCAGATCAGTGATAACAAAAAAGTTTCTGTCAAACTTTTCTTTTCTTGTTTCTGAGTCCAAGTTTTGTGGTTTCACAAAATTCTTCTTTCTGATGTTGTTTTTCAGTGCAAGACTTTTGACGTAGTCAGTTACTTAACTGCGGTTTTGTTTTTGTCATTATCTGGGCGAGATGTTATCTTTATGTGAAATGTATATCGACAGTGAAATCCCTCTGTTCATCATTAATTCATAACGTGAACACCCAGATGCTGCTTATATGGATTTCTAGAAGAACTTCACTCACTTCTTGTGACTTCGAGAGAAATAATTCTTTCCAGTTGAATTCCTTTTCCTTACTCCATCGAAAGTTCCGCATTTCTGACCAAACTCAGAGATCTTCACAATGAAAATCAACGGTTTGGATGGTCTTGTTTAGACAAACAGCTTCCAGACGGAAATCAAACAGTTGCAGGTCTTCACTTGGTTTTTTCTTAAAACACATTTAGAAGCTTCTCGATACACAAACATTTTCTACGTTTCCAGTTCGATGGTTATTAACCCCGAAAGCTGTCTAAGTTGAGGACAGAAATTGGCTGTTCATTGTATGATGTTTCGTATTAAAGACGAATCAAGTCACTGACAGATTTTATATAAAAAAAATGCAAATCTATCTCGAATGGCTTGTCTCGATTCTCATCTTTAATCAATTTAATTTCATTCTTTCGACGATAACCAAAACTTCAATTTTCAACAAGAATTCGAAGTTCGCATTAGCGTCATCGTTCATTTAATTAAATTTGGTTTTCCCTTTTTCAATGTTTACAAAGATGTTGTCGTTTGTCGTGTTTCTTTTAGTTCGCTTTTCTCTCTTTTTATTTTTATTATTTGTTTGTCATCGACTTCGTCAATGTCGTTTTTTCTGTAGTCCATTGGGGATTTGATGCCTTACTGTTTATGGTTTGGTGTCGTCTTCTCTGAACTGAATACAAATTAGCTTTGCCTTCTCTTCTTTCTTCTTTCCTCGACGATTTCTTCACGATGCTCGTTTAAGTGCTCAAAACTGATTTTATTCTTTTTTACCCACTTTCGTCGTACCTCAATCATTACGACTTCATTCTATTATTCCCAAGTTTTTCAAGTTTCAAGGTTTGCAGGAATGTTTCTTTTATTTTGCTTGAATTTCGGAAGATGAAAAACTTTATTTACTCGAATTTTTTGACGTGAAAATTGAAATAGAAATCATCAAGCTGCTGCTCAGAACAACGAGATCAATTCGATATAACATTGAATTATGTGACGTCTTCAAAAACAAATGCTCACCCAGATAACAAAGGTCAAATGATTTTCCGCCCACGCTATTCAATTAACCAAAAATTAATTGGCGTAAAAAGAGAAGAATCGTTTTCATCTCCCATCAAATGTCTTCATTAAACATCTTTAAATTTATTGATTAGGATTCCATGAACCTTAACTCACAGCATCTTCCATTACTACGAAATGTCCTTACCATGCCACGAAAGTTCTTCTGTTTCTCAAAACAACATCTCTGCACATAGAAACGGGTCCAAATTGCCATAATTAATTATCAAAATTTTCTTGGAGTGCTATAACGTTTTTGGCTAATTGAATAATTTTATCGTCTCTTGCAAGCTTGATGAGATAAAAGGTTCGACGAAGCTCAAAAGAGAAATCAAAAGAAAATTCTCTCGACAAGAATGCGACTTGAAGTGAAGACAACAAACAATTCTGATGAATGATTAGAAATTTATTTAATTTAGAAAAACTCTCCAATTGCATTTCGCAAATTCTCTTTCACTTTGATGTTGCTTTGCAATGCGTGACAAGTTTTCGATCAAGAAATCGGAGATGAAACATTGAAAAATCCAATTCGAGTCCATTTCCTGTTGTTTTCAAAGAAAAATATCTCCGACTTCTGCTAGAGCGACATTTTTACACCTACAACAGACATTGAGCAACCAGAAGAAGATGAAGACAAAAATCTCATAAGAACAAAAACGAAAAAACTACGAAATTGAATCGCTGTTAGTATAGAAGCGTGTGGCTATTAATAGCAGAAATTCTCGTTACTCATCACGTTTTTACAGTCGATGATGTTTATTCGATTCTGACGCAATCTTATGAGTTTGATATTGAAAATCTTCCCCGTTTTGTAATGCTAAACAAAATGCACTGATCTTTGGCAGCAAGACTTCGACAATTTCTGTCGTCATAAATCCATCAGTCAAGAAAGCCAATTTCAAATGTTCATTAATTTAGTTTTTATGACAAGACATGAATTATCATAAAAACTGGAAATGACATCAATCGTCAGCGTAAAGTGGATGAAAACTTTTAACCTGTTGATTAACATTGCTAGTTTAGAACTCAACCAATTTTATTTCCATTTTGCGAAATTTTGGCACATTAGAAACTCGAATTTAGTTTTAACTTAAATGTCAACTCAGATTTTATTTCTGGCGTCGCAAATGAATAAAACTTGTCGCTTTTCATTAGTGGAACTTTGAGAATCTTAATGCAATTATGAAGTCATGTAGCACGACTTAAAATTGTTTTTGTTAGATCTTTAAATTGAGCGACTTGTTGGGCGAAGTCGCAGAGAAACGAGAAAACAATTTACATTCCCATAAATCACCAAAGTGGCGCCGAGCCGAAAAAACAATTTTGTAACATGATGTGCAAAAAGCATATTGGCGATTGATTAATTGAACGAAACAAACAACGAGAAAAATGAGTGGAAAAACGATAAAGTTAAACTTCGAATTTGAACCCGATTGAGCGTAAAACCGAGAAATTTGTTTCTGATCGCGAACTTCTTGACGAATAATCTCAGCTGTGCTGTTCGATGATTTTCTTCTTTCCTTCTTTCTTGCGATTTGACCGACCACGTGTTGGTCATGATTAAAACCCGAAACTTGAATAGTTTGACATGAAAGCAAACTTGATCCGAAGCTTCGATCGGACAAAGAAGAAGTAAAAATGCCATAAAAGTATTCATTTGTCGAAGGCAGGAAAGAAAACAAAAATAACTAAAATTGATTTGACCCACATTTTCATTCGATTCTCATTCTCTTGTCCGCTGAGATTTCAACTTTTTCTCATGCTTTCAAAACTGCCTGCCATCGAACAAATGAGATTAAAAGAGACTCGAGATACGATGATATTGTGGACCAAAAGCAAAACAAGCATCAACACACACCATTTCGATGACTTCACTATAAAAGTGTTTACAAAACACCACAAAACTATTTTTCTTTCTCCACTCTCATGAGTTTCTTGTTTCTTTGTGCAGCATTTGAATGAACGCAAAGCAATAAATTTTGTAAATTTTTCATTTTTTTCTCTCTGCTTTTGGCGTTTGCCACTCACGATTACCGATTGCATCACACGAAACAAACAAAAGTCTTTTCAGAATTCAACAATATTTCATCGAATCTTTTATTCTCTTTTTCTCGCGGTGCTTTATAGTTTTTGAATTGAGTTAGTTTTCTTCACATCATTTGATGGCGTTCAATCTACTCAATAAAAAATCAACAAAATTATAGACTTTAAAATGTTTAACGTAATAAATCGAGCTTTAATACTTAAGTCATCATTAATAAATGAGAAAAAAATATAATTAAATAGAAGTTGTGTACACATTTACAAAGTTGCAAAAAAATATTTTATTTGCACTTGCTAAGTAGCTCTAAATACGGTTAAGATTGTGTACACTTCTCATTGAACATTGAAACATGTGTTGAGACACTTGTTATGAACATCCACGATAATTATTCTAGTCAAGGTTTGATGTTGCGAATTTCTCTAATTTTCAATTTTTAGTGAGTCCTTGAAGAAGTCACTTGAAATTTAAGGCAGAGATCAACATTGCCGATATCTTCGTGGATACCATTTGTTTGTTTTCAAAACAACTTAATCTAATTAGTAACAGTATTATTATTATTATTATTATTTCTTATAATAGCCAACAACAAATTAACGATTAGTTAGATTTTAAAATTTTCTAGTGTTTGACAACCAAAAAATGTTCCATGTCACTGTCGACTTAATTACCTTCAAAGTGCTAAAATAAACAAGCAAGAAATGTTCGCTTATATTAAATAACAAGCATCTAATTAAAAAAAACTTTCCATTCACCAAATACTTTAAGCTTAATTGTTGTCACAGGTGATTTCCGAGAAATATCAACAAGAGCGAAAAATTTCCTTACTTTCTTCCATCGTTAGCATATCAAAGCTATAAGCATGCCTGTCATTTCTCGTGCTAATTAAATTGCCAAACGTTTCTTCTATCGCTATGGGAAAATCTGACAAGACTCAAGTTGAATTTCGAAAATTCTTTTTGAGTTGGAAAGTTATTGTATTTAATTTCTTTCGGTTGCGGTGTCTGTCTATAAAATGATCGTAAAATGACTTTTATGAGTTAGTTTTAAAGCCAATAGTGTTACTAGTACATCCGATAAGTTTTGAAAGATATATGATATAATAAAAATATTTAGAGTTGTGATTGTGCTAGTGGTTTGCTCGACATTCATGTTTACATTATGCAATGCATTGTAGCGCATTAAAAGCCGGAAATTTCCTAATACGCACCAACAGAACTATAAAGTGAATGATTTAAACTTATACTATTGTAGTCCAATAATTCAGAAGCTGGCAGTGAATCAAGAAGAGCGTGGGTGGATAATTTTTTTGCTTATAAATGGCTGCAGATTGGGAAATTTTTGATTTATTGACGGTGACGAGAAGATACTAAGGAAGTGTGGTTGCCGGATAAAAGATTGATGATCGTCGATTGTACGATCTTGAGCATGGTGTCGTGTCTAAAATATCGCCTACAGAAAATACAAATCCCATTACAGGTTAATACGAAGCAATCGATTTCGAACACTTTGAAATAAATCTCGACTCTTTCCATCCTAAATCTTTAATATTATTCAAAGTAATAACGACAACAAATCTTAGTAGCAACTTCTGTATCGAAGTATTGCTTTCGTTACAAAAGTTTTCATTCAACTTCTTCAAAGTAATCTAAGTATGAAACAAAACGATTTGAGTTGTCGTTTTTATTTAATGTTTTTTCTTTTTATCTACACGTCTATAAAGAAAGGAAGAATGAAAACTATTTAATAAAAGTTTTTTTTCTGATATTGATTTTGATATTCGAGCATAAAAGGTAATGTGTATTGAGATATAGAAGTTCCCAAGTGCCCTCTTACTCAAAAGAACGTCTTGTTAAATAGGGCCATGAATAGATTGAAGTTAACTTATGGGACGTTCTGAAAGCTATTGTTATGTCAATTCAATAGATTGAGTTTGTAAAGTGATACAACGAAGCTACATAAACTTTTATATTTAAGACGTAAATGGCAGACTTTATTTGGTGTCATGTCATAATAAAAGAGACAGAATGTTCTAAGGTAAAACGTGACTTGTTCGATAAAAAAACGAGACATTCGTAAAATCGGGAAATCGATCTTCCAAAAATTTGGACAATAACCAAAGCAAAGAAATCATTGTGACAAATAAACTTTTGTCATGAAACGTCTTTCCTCGATATTTATGTCGAATGAAAGAAAATGAATCTTTAAACATTTTTGTATCTTTTGAATTGAACCGACTTTAAAAAAATGAAGCGTGAGCGAAAAAAAATTCTGTTGTGACATTGTCCATAAATCTGTTATTATTCTTTTTTCTACACAAAGGACGAAAGCTTTCGAGAATTTCAATATTTTTCATCCTCCTTCCATTGAAGCCTGTTTATCTTTCGCTTTCAATAAAATATTGCTTTAGGGACATCAAATAAATTGGGAATCATTTTTCATTCTTCTCTTTATCTTGTTGAGTTTTTTTTTTGTTCAATTATGATTTTTAAAAGCAACATGACAATGTAATTCGCCTAAATATTTTCTTTTGATAACGTTTATTTTTATTAGCTTTTTTTCTGCTCCACTGTTTTAGCAACAAAATTGTTTGTCAATTTATTGTTTTAGATATTTTTAGACGTAGAGCTTTCTTCACTAATGCAATCTATTATCATGTAAATACTGCACGTATTGTTTGAAAAGTTCAAAACAAACTTAATTTGTTATGCAAATATTGTCCATTAAACCATAAGTTGATCAGACCAACAATACTCCTACACATTTCATTCCCTCATTGTGGATTACGAAAATATATCGAACACTGAAAGCGATTTACTCTCAATAAAACATGTTTCATCAGAATTCTGATAAGCAATTTCAATTAATTCAATAAACAAACAAATAATTCCTCAACTAGACTATTTGAGCTCGGAATTTCCTTTCCACCATCAAATAAATTAACAATTCAATTTGCTTTTTATTTCTCACAATTACGATCTGAAATATAAATTTGAAGTATAAAAGACTGGATAATTTTATGTTTTCTACTCAAGTTTAGGTTTTCTTTTGCAATCCATTTCCGAATCCTAATTTTAAGAATTTAATTTACATTTTGCTTCCCTTTTCCAAACACAGAGCAATCATGAAAATTCAAAGAAGGTTGAAAACGGGAACTTTTCCAATTTTCGTATTCAAATTTTAAAGTGGGTTTGACAAAAGAAATGATTTTGTATGACGAGACCCTCTTAAGCAGTGTGTAGTATCCGACAAATTTAATTTGAAGTACTTTTGAATCTAGTGACGAAGCTTTTTTAATAAAAATTTTTATTTCGCTTTCGGCGAAACTGGTTAAAGTTGATTTTTCCTGAATGAGACAAATTTCCTTGTTAATTTCGGAAATGGGAATCAAAATAAGTGAAAACATCCGCACCCATTTCTGGTCAATTTCTTTATTGGGTCGAAATAAAAATTGAAAATTTATTTACTTTATGATGCTTCTCTTTCATCCCACTTCATGATGTTATTCATACATATATCGTTTCCATGTTGCAATCTACGAAATCTGATATTCAAACTAGCAAAATGTTTCATATTGTTCGGAACATGCTACATGCATAGTTTCAAATTTACATGGTCGCTTTATAAAAGTTTTTATTAAATATTTTACACATTTAGTTTTTGAAGTTAAAAAAGCAATAAAATTCAATTTGAATATTTAGGTAAGTGAACACATTTTGTGTTGAAGAAAATTTATGATTAAAATACATTTAAATATTTGACAAATTCCTAAAACAAAAAAGATTAAAAATCTTGTTTGATGAAAGTTTTAATTTTCTTTTTCTTTCCAGGATGCTTTGTGAAATAATTAGGTAAGAACTTGCTGATAAACATAACAAGCAGTGCTTCCATTAGCAAACAGATAAAATTTCTACAAAAAAAAGTTTCAATTCATCTCTTGATAAACTTCCAATCGACATTGTGTACATATGAAAGCTCATGTTTCAATCATCTTTGAACATTATTGAGTCTTTATGTCATGTGATACGAGTAAATGTGAGTACAATTCTTGTTCGAAAATAGATTTTCGATTAAAATTTCCCATGAAAATGTTGTCGAAATGTTCTGCAAACTAATTTTATAAAACAATTCTTGAAAAATTCTTCCTACTAACTGTCTGAAAAGGAATTTCCGGAAGCTATTTTATCAATTTTGAATGCATAATAAGTACTGAAGAGAAAAGCATTAATTTGAAGTATTCAAGATAAAACTTTTTATTAGCTAAAAGAATGCAATAACGTCAGCTCATGGATCGGATAGCCGTTCATTGATGTGATGAAAAAAATGCTGATAAACTGCTTTACTTTCGCTTATCTACATTCTCTTTTAGTGGTATTTTATTTATTGTGAAACAATGAAGCTCTACCCGAACATAACAAAAAAAAATCCGAAAAAGTGGGAAAATATTTTATTAAATGTTCTTCTGCTCAAATTGAAAGCATGAGCTTTCCAAAGTTAAATAAAATTGAGAAAATATTGACAATGGAATTTCATTTTATTTTCCAATCTTTATTTGGTTCATGAGGAAATATAGCAAAAAATATTTCTGATCATGATTATGACATGACGTTTTAAGTTCCTGGAGATAGAGTCGATTCTAGAATGAATTTCATGGTTTAAATTTTAAAGTGAACAAAAATGCTTGAAATTGATAACAGCATTGAGTAAAGTAAAACAACTTTCATCATCATTGCAATGGATTTATATGCTGAGTATTTACTAGATGAAGCTCTACATGATGAACTTTTATATTAAAATACGTTAAGCTATTTATGAGTAATGATAAACAGTTTTTGTAAATAATAAACACATTAAGAATATTATTGATATAAATGAGCCAATTAAAAATAACCAGACTATGAATTCGACTTAAATCTTATTTACAGTCAAACCATTTTTTGATTACCTTCATAAATTTTTAAAATATTCAATAAATCATGAAAAAATTTAATCCTTACACGTCTGTTAAACAAATTTTTCCCCTCACTGATTACCTTCCGTTTTAGCCTATAAGCGCGCATTGTTGACAAAATTTCTCATGAAAAATTCCAAGTCAGAATTTTTGATTAATTTTTTATAAAACTCAATTTGTTTTGATCCACAAAATCTCTCACAGTTCATTCTACTGATTGTCAATTTGGTTGATGTATTTTCATCCCGACATCATCATGGATAACAACTCCGTTTTATTGCTTCGTTCAAAAAATTGTTTGATTGAATTCTTCTCCATCACAGCTAAAAACATTAAGTATGATACACTCAGATGAAAAGAAAGCATCGATTCCATAGATTGTGTAATGATTTAGCTGTCATACAATATTGATAAATGAGTCTCTTTCAGATCAATCATCCGGTTAGGGAGAAAAAAATAAAGACAAGCACAGCGTAATATTTTGATTACTTATCCGACAAAGAATTGAAACATTTGCAAGCACTTCCTCTTATTTAGATATTCTACACACAAGTCAATAAGCCAAATGCTTTAAAAGCTTTCATGAGTTGACTGAGAAGAATTCAATAATGTTCGGTTCAACCACCGTGATAATAGCATGGGTTTGCTTTCCAAAGCTCAAAAAGGTTCTCAACCATAAATATCCAAACAACGAAGATTCCAATAAAGTATAAGAAAAGTTCTCATCTACTCTCTAACCAACAGTAAAAAACCATTAGTTAAACATTAGCATGTTGAATTTTTATTTTTATTTTCGTATCTTTATTTTTATTTTTATCTACGCATTTCCTTTTTTTTTTTGCGAACGATGAGATGACGACATGAAACTCAAAAGCTCGCTGACCCATAAAGAAACCTTTTCAATAAAAGAATGAAAAGTCAATCGAATGAATTCTTTTTCATGGCATTTTCATCTTTTAAAAAAGCTTTGTGCTTATCTTCTTACTTAAACACGACACCAAAATAATGTCAAAGTACATTAAAAAATGTTGACGTTGTTGAAGTCATATTGGCATGGCACAAGATATCGATATACTCAAGGATACGCTCAGATAGTATAATTCGATGAACACGACATGTTTGATGACAACATTTATTTATTCGTTGTCACAAACATGAGAATATTTAAAGCAGGAAATCATGAGCTGGGTTCTGTTCACGAAAATAAGCTTCTTTCTGTACATTTACGTCAATATCAAATGGCTTTTATTTAGTTTTTCTTTTATTGTCTACTGGATTTCGATGACATTCAATTTCAATTGTTATTTCAGTATCACATAAAATTTATACTCTTCATCAGAACTCTTACTTAGGTATCTACTAGTCGAAAAAAAAAGATTCTATTTGTTTCAAATTTAATAAACTTCATATGTCAATCATAAAAATCCTGAGGAAATCTTTAGACGAAAAAAAAAGAAGAGAATTGTATAAAGAACGTCGTACGTAGCAGTTGAAAGCATAAAGCAATGCTTTTCATAAAACTCTCACTTAAGATCAAGGCAAAAGCGAGTGAAGTGTACAGAAGCAATGAATGAAATGTTAATCTTACATCAAGGATGCCTTCCTCGAGACTGACATAATGAACATGACATGGGCGAAACAAAATGATAAATGATGATGCTGGTAAGGTTGATGTTGATAAATGAGAATTTTATTTTTCTCTTCTCTTTCCAACGGGTCAACAGTTTTCATTTTCTCCTTCTTTCTCATGAAGTGGCATTTCGGAAAAAAGATTTCGAAATTGTTTTCACAACATGCCTTCCGATTGTTGATGTGGAAACGTGATATCATTAATGATATAAGAATCATCAGGGTCAAGTTTCTGATGTGACAATAATACGTGGCGAATTTGAGCTTTCTTTTTGCTTTTTTGTTTCATGCATGTAGATACAAATGACATGGGCAAAGGCAAAGAAATACATCAAATTGACGTTTTAGATTTAAATTCTTGTAGAGAGAAACAAATTTGATCTGAATATTTGATTAGGAAAATGGAAATCTCATGGGTGAAATTAAAGCTTTGCAATAAAAGAAAATCTAAGTTTCTTTTAACTTTAATGCTCCTTTAACTTTTTAATGTAACTATAGCAAAAGCTTTCAGACAAAAGAAGAAAAAAAGTTTTTCAATTCCGCAAGCTTTTCCACTTTTGCACTTGATTAATGGGCACTCTTCTGGCTTTACTCTCGTTTTTATGCGCGATTAAAACAACTTATTCTGCTACTGAGAGCTGCATGAACTCATTCATAAAACATGAAAAAGCTTTATCGTTAAGAACTGAGAAAGGGAAAAGAATAAAATCATAAACAGCTTCACATGCTTTTCACTTCTTTTGCTTTTCCTTCTACCTCATAAAATATTTCATTCTCATATTTTTCATCAGGTAACTTTTTGATGCATCAACAAAACATTTTTGACGTAATGAAAATAATTTTCAAGAGCGCAGACGTTTTCAAATTGCTTAATATGGATTCATAAAACTTTTTTCCCCATCAAGCGGATGTTCAAAAGTATTGTCGATTATCAAGCAAATGAAATTCACGAAAGCTTTTCACAGCTTCGAAATACTTTTATGATGGAGGGTGAAATAAAATTTCAGGTGAAATATTCAAGCAGATAAATTTATTTCTTTGAATGGTTCTATAATAATTTATTTTATAAAAATTAAATTAAAAGCGAAACAATAAAATAAATGCTTTTGTTAATTTTTTTTGTTCATCTTCAACTGTGTTGAACGACAGTTTTATTTTTATTTGATTATGCATTGTTTCCATTTTAAAAATGATTTGTTTTCAACATAATTTAATAACAAGTTTAATATTTCTTCTCAAATAAAAGAATGAGAATGACACAAATTTCATTAAATAGCCAAGTGAGATGACAACTTGGTAAATGCGCATTTACAAGCTTTTGAAAGAAGATGCAATTTGATATGAAATTGTTATAAAAGCTTTTCGGATTGTCAAAAGCTTTTCTTGACTTTGCACAACCAAATTATGCAAATGATGAGATTTCTTCAACAAGGGGATAAAGAAAGGAAATCTTCTTCTATCCATTTACAAGTAAGAATAACAGAAAATGTCTTTTTGCATCTTAATTTGAAAAATTGGTTCCTTTATGTTTCTTCTTTCATCACATAAAAAGAGAAAAACTTTGCTGTACAAAATCGATACATGTCAGAAATCAACATCTCCGGAAATTCAATTTCATGCCAATTGGTTGTACAAATTGCATTTTGATTCGAGTGCGGTTTCTGCCAAATGAAATATTGTGAGATTTTTTTTGTAGATCAAAAAGAAAGAAAGAAAAAATAAATTTAACTTATGATTACGTTTGATATTAAGGGTTTTGGTCATTTGGTTACAATATTAAATAAGCTTTCCTTTTTGATGTTTGCACAAATATTTAGTGTTACAATTTGATAAGTATTTCATCAGATATGCCACATTATTCACTGAAAATATGCACTGAGAGACGTTGATATTCATTTATAATTGTTGATATGAATTGTTTCCAATTTTATTTGTCATTTCATTTTAGTTGACGGTTAGAATTTGTTTAAAACTCAATTATTATCTCTTTAAAACAGAATAAATTTCTGAAATGCTTTTAAAAAGCAACTCCAACATATTAATGTCGCAGATAATCATAAATATTTCAATTGTAAAATCATTCATATCCATTAGAAAATTTCATGTTCATTTAAATTTAATAAAGTTTGCTGATTATTATGTGTGTATGAAATTGCAAACACGTCCCGATAAAACTAAATACATGACTAGTAAACTCTTGCAATGTTTTAATTTGCATTTTGCAACAATTTCCTCAATAAAATATATGAAAATAAAATTATTTTTATTTTGTGGATTTCTAATGGTTTCTTAATAGAGAACAAAATTAAACAAAGAAAAATTTTATTTGCTGATAAAAGTTTTAACGTTTAGATATTGTGAAACTCACATAATGTCGCTTATTGTTACGAGTCCCACTAATTATTATGTTTATTTTATTTTTATTTTTTGCTCTACTTAAACATCAACATTCCCTTTTATCTTCTTTCCTCTCAGCATTTTAACAAAAATGGGGATCGAAATTTATTTCTCAATTATTTCCAATTTTCTAACTACGTACGTTATACAAAGGTTAAAGCATTTCTTCAGTAATTACAAATAGATTAACATTGTTTTCATTTACTCTAGAGTTACACTTGTTTAATAATCATAATAAAAGGTCGACATTTTCCACCCTCTGCCAAAGTTCCATAATGGCGGTTAATTAATGTGACATTAAGTACTAAATGATTTTTACTTTTAATTCAAAAAATCATTGAAAATATAAACATGTTGTTAAGAAATATTAAATGCTTATTTACGTAGAAAAAACAAACTAAATAAACTTGTTTCTTAGAAACAACGATAATCGGTTATTAACAAACAAATGATCAGATTATATTCATTGATACATCTCATCATTTTGTGAGTGACTTTTGCCATCATCATCAATAAATGTCCATTGGTATTTGCTGTTGAATATTACTTAATACAAAAGAAACAGAAGAGACTCGTTTTGTCAAGAGATTTCTCCATAGTAGTCGAGTCGATTAGCGCTTCATCCGCTTTAACATCATCATCACTGTCGTGTTCGCAAATTTCGTCATCTTTGGACTTTTGCAGTAAATGTTAAGGTGAGAAAACTCTCAGACTTCTTAGTAATGTTGCAAGTACATTAGCTAAGCAATTAGCGTTAAGTGCAAGTTGACCAGCACCAGCTTGTCCAACTGGAACGGAAACCATTTCTTTAAAACTTGATGCAACATCGTGAATTTTTAAGACAACATTTCGTGTTTGAAGTGGAGCTGATGTGAAACGTACTAAATCTTGTGCAAGTTCGGTTATCCGTCTTAAAGCAGTCAAGCAAGCGGTTAAATGTTCTGGAAGATTTTTTGCAGCATTATCTGACATTGCAATAACCAAAAGCTTCGAAGCTGTCACAAGACGTAGTGAAACATCTGTAAGCTCTTCCTTCGAACTTTGAAATTTTTCCTCGTCAATTTCCGATCCACCGCCTGCATTCTGAGCATCCGAACACATGACAGCAACATGATCCAACTTCAAAAGCAACCCAGACATCGCCATAGTTGTCTTCGACATTAACGTTGCGACATTTATAATATGACCATTTTTATTCGAAAGTTGTGGACTTCCGGGAACTTGTAAGTGATTGCATGTCTTTCGATTCAATTGTGGCGAGCACAAAACCGATAATGGAATTTTCTCGTGACCATTTTGAGACATGTTTACAGCGTGTCCATTTGATTGTAAGCGCATTGATGGTGGAGAAGCCAAGGGATTAATTCCACTACTATTGATAGCGTGATTGAAGTTGAACATGCTTCGATCTCCTTCACGCATCGTATTGTAATGTCGATGATGAAAGTGCAACGAACCAACAGCTCTAATAGGCGATGAGTTTGTGCTACCATTTTTAATAATTTGTATTGGACTCTTCGGTGATCCAAGTGGTGGTGAGTTGGGAAAGAAAATAGGCTTCGCTGGTAACGGCGGTAATGGTGGCTTGCGCATTGTATCAACTGGAGGTGGTGACTTTTCACTTATACGAGGTGGTAGAGTGGGTGGTAATGAGTTGTCTGCATTATTATACAAACTATAAGCTCCATAATCATGAACAAGTTTAACAGGCGAATTAAGTTTCAATTGTAATTCAGCACTTTTTGGTGGTCTTTCCGGTGCTTTTCCACATGTGTGTCCATTAGCTGTACGTTTTGGAGGCAACCTTAATGATTCATTATCATCACTGCTGCTTATATTTCCATTTGTACATGTCCCATTCGTTGCCAATGACTTCATGTTAAAGCTTATTTGTCCTTTTCGGTCAACTGTCGCATATTCGACAAATTGATTTTGTTGTAAAGTTGATGCCGTACTGTGACCGTTGGTAAACATCATGACCTTGCTTTTTACATTGTTCTCAGGAGTGACGGGGCCTTTTTGATTCACAAATGACTGCTGGTTACTATGTGAATGTTCACAACAATTCATAAGTCCATGATGATTATCATAAAAGCTATTACAGTTCTGATTTTCACGAGTGGACTTTGGCAAAGACAAAGGCATTGATAGTGGTTGTTTGAGGGATGTATGAGGTTTTGTAGGTGGTGTGGGCTTCACATTTATTGGAACATTCTTCGGTTTGACACTTGACATTGTTGCTTTTTCAGACACACATGATGGCGGAGGTGGAATGATGAACGACATAATTTCTTCGGGTGTGAGCTCAACAGCGGGGGTGACAATTTTTGTTGGGGGTTCAATAGTTACCTTTTTGAGGAATTCTTCTAGGTCACGATTGCTTCTTTGTTGTTTCCCATCGGTGTCATCAAAGCCTGAAGGTGGAGCATTAAACACACTATTTGGAATGTCAAGTTCGTCGGGTGTTTGTGGAGGTGGAATTGTTGTTAAGTCAATGAGATCCGGATCAGTATCAATAAACGAATCATCACCAAGTTCGAAGCCATAAAGCTCAGCAAGTTTCTTCGCTGCTAAATCTTGATCTGAGTTGGTGTCATTACAACTCGCTTCTTTAAGTTGTCTCAAATATTCTTTGAGATTATTATCTTTTGAGTCGCCTAAAGCATCGGGACTGTGTAATCCAAAACTTGTGCGAATTTGTTTGAAGGTCTTTTGTGTGTTTGGAACTCTCAATTGGTTTGTATTTACATTTGATTGATTAACATTTCCATTGTTGGTTTTATGAATTGGCGAATTTGTTGGTGTATAAAGAGACTCCGAGTCACAATCACTTGAATCATTTCCAAGTGCTTGAAGATCGCTGATGATTTGACTTAGGCCATTAATACGACGTTGAACTTTTGGAGTGTTTGTTACTGATGATGGAGCGGTATTTGTGTCATTTGTAGTGCTGCCACTGCCATTTGATCGACAATCAAATGGCGTGTAAATAGAATTTAATCCATTGCTGATGCCATTCAAGTCGTTTTTTATTGTCTCAGCGAGAAGTGTCAAAGAGTCACTGTGCTTCAAAGCTCCAGGCGGAGGTGCTGGGGAGTTTGCGTCAGAAGAAAACTTATTACTGGAAACACTTTCATTGTCACTTTCAACATCAACTGACGTCTCACGCCAATAGTTTGCACTTCCGTCTTCTTTTTTCAATCCATTCTCGTTATTTTCATTTAAATAGCGTTGCGAATTTTCCACCATTTTTTGCATCTCAGCAACCCGTCGCAATACTTCCTGATTTTTAGCTTCGACAAATGTCGTCAATTTCTGCTGTGGGAAATGTTTCAACGTCTGTTTATATTGGTCTTGATTTTCAAGAATTTCCATTGACACCACACTGTGCATATCAAATCCAAATTCATCCGACTCTGACGATATTTGTTGACTATATTTGACATTTGACGACATATAATTTCTATTTGCTACTTGCTCGTCATTGTTGTTGATGTTGTTAAAATTTTGTTTCGACGAAGTCAATAAAAGTTGCTTCGTTGAATGATATGGCGGTGGCATTAAAAATGCCATACTATAAGTAGGCTTGTCATTAGGTAGTAGATAATTCCATCCAGCAGGAAAAACATTGTGTTGTGATAAGTATGGCGGTGCAATGTCTTCCTGATTCGTCTCAACATCATGTTCGATATGTGTTTCAAGCTCTTTTCCTATGAGAATTAATAAAGAACAAATTTTTGAGAATTATTGGATAAGAAATGACATGCAACTTTAATTGACAATCAACATCCTTATTAAGGAGTTAAGAATTTAATCTTCATCCATTAAATTCCATTTAACCATCTACTTCTATTTTAAATACCATAGAATTTCAACAAAAGAATAATAATAATGTGACACTCACCCATAATCAGTCTAAAATAACCCGCAAGAACAATGGCAAACTCATTAGCATCTCGATCCTCCATTGAAAACGTGATTAATTTATCAGGCAAAATAAATACAGATACGGAATTCGTAACGTCGTCTTCTCTCGTCACAACGACACGTGAAAGTTCTTCAATCGTGCAAATCGATTGTGGCTGTTTAGAAAATATGTAAATTGAATAGTTTATTAATAAACGCGCTATTAAATATTGATTAATGGAATGACATTGCTAAAGTCGCAATAAACTTACCACAGAGTTCTTCGAACCAGCAATTTGACTGAGGCCAAAGCGTGGGCTTACAAGAAGTACACGTTCGATGCCATCACGTTGATTTGTACTGAAGCATTTAGCACCATAGCTGGGTAGTCCGGAAATAATATCTAAATAATGAATTTTTGCTTGCAGTTGCGTTAGAACCTTCGACGAAGAGCCTGTCATTTGTGAGTTGAGTTTGAGAAAGTGTGAGACGAGTCGACGCAATTCTTTTCGTTTCATTCCATCAATTAGCGATGTAGGCACAAAGCGTTCAAGTCCAAATTCTCTTCTGTTGAACATTTGTTTATATTATTAATGAATTTAGTTTTTGTATAGACATTTCAAACTTACTCAACAGTTTTAACTGTAAGCTTTGATGGTGAAACGTTGTTGGCTAACGCGTGTTGATGCATGTGAAGTGCTGCCAATCTTAGAGCTACGTCAGGTTGAAGCTCGGGTGCGAAACGTTCTTGAATAACATCGTTACAACATTGCATAAACAAATAATCTAAAGCATTCAAGTCTTTTTGTGCTAAGTCAGCTGCAGTTATTGGTACGAAAGTAACACGAAATAAGCAACGAAGTTTATGTGCTCCAGGGCGAGATGCGATGCGCGCAACTGTCTCCAATGGATCCAAAAGTGTCAACTTATTACGTTTCAGACTTTTAACATGTTCCAGCACCAGATTGAAATGTTCATTTGCGGTAATGCAAAGTTTCTCTTTTAATGATGTTACAACATCCTATCGAAGTACAAACATCATTAATTAATTAAATGAATTAGAAATGAAGCTTCATCTTCTTCTTTTCTTATGTTTGTTGTCTTAACTAAATTTCATTCTTACCTGTACAGTTGTGGTCGAATCGTATTTAAAGGATTTTGTTTGCCCATTTTCTAGGAAAACTTTAAGTACATTAGCCATTGGTGGAATGAGAACATCGCTTAATGAGAATGCCGAGGGCTGTAAAAGAAACAGAAGTAAGCAAAATTGAAGAGATTTTAATTACAAGAAATTACCGGAAATAAAGGTGAACCATTCACACACACAGATTCTGCAAATCGAACTCTTATTGGTCTCGTTTTCAGTTTATGCTTCTTAGCTGGAGATAGCAAAGTTGACTTCCGTCCGTTCATCGAGTACGTCAATTGAGGTTGACATACAACCATTTCCACACTTGTCTCGCAATTACGTACAAGCTGAATCACGTGATCACGAGGTGCGTCTTTCACATCTTCTCCATTTACAGCGAGAATTTGATCGCCCGGTTCAAGCTGTGAAAGGAAAATTATTTTTATTCTATTCATTGTTGAGTCGAGTGAAGCAAGCAATTTTCAATGTTCTTTTATTACCTTTCCCACACTCGGACCACCCTCGGTGACAAAACGAACTATGACTGGCTTTTCACTGCCTGCAACAAAGCCAAACCCCAATGTAGGGCTTCGATGAAGAACAACATTGCGTGGTTCAGGAGGTGAAATGTCGTAGCCATAACGTTGTGGACGTTCAAACGTAGTCGTTTTATTTAAGTGACTGAAAGTATTACGAAAGAACGAAAGATAAATAAATTAAATCTCATCTAAATGTCAGCTTTGGCATTACCAGTCACAAAAAATTACTTACTTGATGTAATAAAACTGTCCATTTCCCGATGGACTTGTCACTGCTTTCTCCCATCCATAAGGAAGGTCGATGTTTGGTCCCCAATTTTCAGCAGGTGGCAGCCAACCAGCTGTTCTTGTTATGTGACTGAAAATAGAATTTAATTTGTTACGGAAAACTTTTCTCGTGTCTTCTTCAAAATTCAAACATTGTTTGAGTGATTTGTCGAAGGAGGCTTCATATCCTAAATATTGACTTGAGAGATATTTGCGGAAAATTTCACAATCATTAATTATTCCTGTCATTAGCAATGAGTTATTTGAAACGTGTGCCGCTTATCATCGTCATTCACCTTAACGCTTGTCTCATGTTTGAGGAGGATTTTCAACACAAAATACAACGAACATTAATTTGTTATTCATAGTTCTAATGGGTTGAGACTTGAGAATGAATATTTAAAAGTTAAGGTGATGTTGATGATATGTAGGGAAGAATCTTTAACCGACACCCCTGGGTACATGAAAAATGGAAAATTTTATCAATTTACACAAAAATAAATGCGAGAAAAGCACGAGAAAGGTGGAAGAGAAGAAATTTCTCGTCTCTTCAAAACTTTTTAATTAATTTCGGAAAATCCTTAATCTAATTTTATCTTCCATTTCGCGTCAATCGTGGAATCATATTTCCACACCGCAATATAAGCAGTTCCTAAAATTAGGAATCGAGGAAATTGCTTTATGATGAAAAACCTTTAAAGCAATTTTAATACTTTCTAATCATTTCTGATATTTGCGTTTATTTTACCAGCATCTATGAAGAGGTGTGCCGATGGAAAAAGTTTGGGGAAAATCATTTTTGAAGATTGTTCAAAAAGTTCTAAATATACATAAATTGGAATCTCTTCTTCACTCACCCCTTAATTCCCATTTTTCATCAAAAGTAAAGGGTTAAAAACGATGAAAAAGGATAGGGCAGAGGTGGAAACGCTTCAATTTTATTTCTACCTCATGCCGCTACCCAAAAAATAAGAAAGAAAAAAAATCCCTCGAATTTTCATCCTTTGAAAGTTTCATGTTAAGTAATCTTCCGAGCGATTTGTTCCATGTTAAACATTTATTTTATATTTAGATGTGGCACACGATGAAAGCTTTCAACATAAAGAACGAATTTATCGGAATAAATTGACTGCTCAAACATGATGCTTTCATGGGGGATCAGTGAAGTGAAAAATTTTTATCTAAACGACTTGCGAGAGACGGAATTGACAGCTTGTTGCATCTCAATCTATTGAACGATTGTTGTGAAGTTTGTTAAAAGGAAGTTCTAACTTGTAATGTTCAAAAAGCGAAAGAAAAATAAATTTTCATGGAGTATCTTGATGTTCGTTCATTTTAATTCTTCTTTACAATTCAAGCGAATTAAATTTCAACTTCAACGCTTATCAAGCATGATGAAGGTTGTTTTCGTTTTGTTTCTTTGACTTTAGGTTATTATCTCGTGATTAAGATCGCACTTGTTTGCTGATTCAAGACAACATGTACAAGAATGATTGTCTGTACAGGAACAGATTGTCCCACGCAATTTTCATTTATTTTGGGAAAACCAAAAAAAGAAAATTTTATCTTTTAAAAAGGAAGTCTTGGCGGTTGCTTGGCTAACCTTGTTATTCAATTATAAATAGCTTCAAGTACATAAATATTTGATTAAATTAATCATTATGTGATTTCATGATTTTGTAAAAATCTCAAATTGAATAAAAGAAAGGAAAATGAAAAATGGGAAAAATTCTTCAAGTGTTTTCTTTTTGTGTAACTGTAAGTAATCTAAATTGCAGAGCTTTTAAAGAATCTCTTATTAAATAAAAAGCTCTTGATATCCCCTCGTAATCGTGATAATAAATCCTCATCATGACTTTAACAAGTCACATGATCTCACAAAGTCACAAAATCCAAACTGAGTGGTTACATGAACATTCATCCACAATGAAACATTGTGTAGTCATTGATTATAAGAAATTCGTGGGGGTGATGGAAGATGAGGGAATAAAATCATATGGCCCGTGAAATAGAAATGTATAAAACCGAGCCTTTAGAACAACTGGCATTGTAAAGTCTTTGGGTACATTTTTCTCTCTTCTCTTTGATTTTATGCTTTGTAACCTCATCTCGTAGCCTAGCCTGGCTGTAAAGTGTGTTTTTGCCATGCAGCCATACAAATTTTCCAATACCAATGCTGACATTTGAGCTCCCCTTGACGACCTATCCCTTTTGCCGTGATTTATGCTCAACGCAATGTGATTTATGTACTTTACACGCTGTCTCATACAGCAATTTCTTTAAAGAAAAGAGTTTAATTTATGTTCCATTCACCTTATTCTCATAAAGAACTTTCTCGATGCTTAAGTTATTAGAAACAAAATAAGTAAGTTAAAGTTAAAAGCGGAAAGGTTGTGAAAAAGTATTAAAAATTCAAAGCTATTTAAGTTGTAATTTTGTGGATTAAGGTTAACATTTGTAGCAATTAAAATATCGGAAGAACGAATATAAACAGAATCTGATTTAAATAATTAAATCAAAACTAATAATTTTACTCCTTTTGTTCCATGAACGTCGTGCAAGAATTTATAAACAACATGAAAATTGCATAATAACAACTTGTGGTTGCAACAGATTTAATTTTATTGCTTGGGAAAAGCTTTTAAAAAAACTTTTATCAAATCCTAACAAGAGTTGCACAATCTAATACTACCGATGTTTGTTACCGCTAAGTGGATAGAACGAATTAGGTTAATGAAATTCTCTTTCATATTCAACTGCTGATGCTGGGATGCTCAGCAAATGTTTGGGATTTCGTTTGGCACTTTATGACTTGCAAACAAACTCGTTTACAAGAAATATAAAAACTTGATTTTACAATGGAAAGTTGATTTGATTTAAGTTATGTGTCTGGTGGAATTTGTCATGGTGGAATTTGATTTCGCAGAATAAAAAACTTTTTATTTGAACTAGCAAATTCTTAAGTAAGAAATTAACTTGAAGATGATTTTTCCAACAATCCAATTCTTTTTTCCTTCAATATGTGGAAATGTTTCCATCGCTATCATAAACTGGATCATTTTTTTTTTTGCCATTCGACCCCGCCTCAGTCATTGCCAAACATACTTAATTTTATCATCGCTCATAATGTGAGAAGAACAACTTGTGATATTATTTTTATGCTCTAGATATAAATGTTAAAAATATCTCGTAAAATGTTTATTCGAACATAAAAAAGTATCTTTCACAGATATTTCTTTTCCAAATCATTTTGGAGCGCGCGAATTGTGTTCATACCCGATTATTTTTTTCGACGCCTCAACGCTTAATTGAAAATCAATAAATTCATTGTTTTGTGGCATGGTTCGCTTTTTTATTTATTTTCTCGCCCTGTGGAGTTATTGTTGTTTGTTTATACAATGTTCAGCGTTTATTTGATGGGAAATTGCCTCTAGTGGCTTTCATTTTGATGCCTTCATTGACAACAAAATGTGTTTTTAATCACAGATTTAAATTTCAATCTCCCTTGCTGTTTTTGAAGTAATCTGTGGGCACTGCCATATGAAACCAATTCAACCGGAGAATATAATTTCATCGACTTCCTAAGTACTTCATGTATGTATTTACATAGTTATAGCATTGAATTTGATTGGAAGTTGCACATGGAAAGCAACAGTGGAAATCTCTCACATAACATTACAGAATTAGATTTTTTTTTTTTGTTATTTATGTAGTTTCCCCTTTTTCTTCATTTATGTGGATATCAACCGCAATTCTCCCCTTCTGTTTTCTCAATTATCCAACTCATTAGTATCATGCCTCGGTCAGTAAAACAAAACAAACGCCAGCAATAAAAAACAAAAAGAGCCATGAAAATCTGTTCCGGATTTATATTAAAAGCTTTTCTGCTTCGCTTCCTAAGATATTTTGCTTTGGAAGGCTTCTTGATTATAAACGCAAGCACAAGGAAGGAAAAGAGAGAAAAAAGTATAACTTTTCAGACATGTCCCTTCTAATTTCATGTCTTATAAACTTGATTTTTTTCCGTAATTATTTTTCATTGCACGTGAAATTTTCCGCTAAAGTTAACGACTGAATGAACGAACTTCCCTTGTCGAATGAATGGATTGTATTATCCTGTAAGTATCGCGTGATACGACAGACATTTACCTTATGGTTTCCTACACTACATACTTTCGAGGCTATAATCTTTTACCTCCCGCAGTTCGCTCTTCGCTGTTCGTTTCAAAGTAAGCTGGAAAAGCACACACGAGCAGGGGGAAACAAGTCAACTAATCGATATCGTCTACGTTTCGTTTATTTATAAACATGAAGCTACCCAAAGAACTTCGTCGTATTAAGTAAATCCTATTCGTTATTGGATTTTCATTTAAAACCAATGCAATTTGCATATTCAAAGCTCTTGTGTTCAAAATCCGATGAAAGGACATAGAAAAGCTTACTTTCAAAATGAAATAGCTGAATAAAACTTTAACATTCATAAATCTGGAGAAAGGAAATAATAATTTTATTGTAAACTTTAAAAGGCTGATTTCCCCCATTAAACATTTAATCTCGTATCTTGGCAACTATAACAAAAGATTTGAGTGAACAAAGAAATATTTCTGAAATTAGTCTGGGATGGAAGGAAATGATTAAGATTTTTGATGTTTCTTTCTTTTTTCTCTTCAAGTTCTGTTTTATGGAGATTTGAGCTTCCTTCGAAAGTAGTTCAAAACTATCACAGAGCTTTTAATTATCATTAAAAGATTTTCTTTTATATGTTGATACTTACTTGCAGTAATATAATCTTCCATCTTTCGCTGTGTGTACTGTATAGCCCTCCTTAAGTTGCTCCTGAATACATTCGAGATACACATTTACATCTTTAATGGGTGGCGTTGATGAGGCACTGGACGATGATGTGATTGATGATGGTGCCGCTGGTGTATGGTGTAGTGGTGATGAATTGCTTAGTGCCGTTGCCGTAGCTGTTGCGGCGTTTGTATTTGACGAAATTGTTGACGAAGAGGATGAGGATGATGGTAAAGTATGATCCGCATTACTTCCATTAAGTGATGTCGGACCGGTTTGAAGCAGCATCATGCAACCCACTGCAAAATTTTAATAATTTCCGTGTCTGGTTTCTAAAAGAATTCCAAAAGAAAAGAAAAGAGAAAATTGAAAAAGTTATTTGGGTTGAATCCTTTTTTGAATTAATATTCATTCAACATAACATTACAAGCCATTATTCCTCTGGCTCTCTTTCTTTCTTTCTCTTCTTCGGATGAAATGGAAGCATATGCAAATGAGATGTTTCTGTGTCCAAAAATTATCTATCTTTAAAATATTTTCCTAGCTAAACACGAAAACATTTCGTTCTCCCACCCATCAAGCCCCCATTCGGTGTGAGAGTTGTAATGTAAATGACAAGAGCATTCAACAAATTTCTCGCCTATTTTTGAAGCTCCAAAGGGTGGAAATACAATAAATATTCCAGATACACATTAGTGGGAAAATTCAATTATTTTTCTGTTGAAAAACGAAAAAGCCAAAGAGAGAAAACAGATAGAAACTTTGATGGGTATTTGTGGGAATGAAGCAGCTCACAAAATTAATGGATTTGAAGTTTGAGTTTGAATTTACATGTTTGAGAGTCTCATTTTAGCCGCATGCTCATTAAATGAACTGACAATAATCTTTGTTGTTTTCCAGTTGACTTGTGTAGCTTACGAAAAGCGAATTTTAAGTTGGATGTTAACACCCTTAAAATTAAAGGAAACATTTTATTGAATGAGATCTTAAACAAGTCGAGAAGCAACCGATGTTATAAAACTTCCAGGGTTGAAAGTGAAACATGGTGTTATTGCGGCAAAACAAGATTTGGGCTCAAGGGTAAAATCAATGGCAGAATATACAGAGACACTTGTTTCAATTTACGATCTATTGTTTGAGAGAAAATTTGTATCCAGTACCTTATGAACATGGCCTTTAGAGATGTAAGATAAAAGCAAATTGAATCTGTCGATTGAATGAAATTCAAAAAGGATTTTACACATTTGGGACGTGTTATGTTTGTGTTAAGGCTTTTAATTGAACGTTACAAAGGAAAATCAATGTTCAGTATATTTAAAATTATTTTCTGTTTGTTTTTGGCATTTCGTTTGGAAAATATCAACGACGATTTCATCTTGTATTGGAGAACTTTAACATTCTCTTGAAGTCAACAAGTACTCGTTGTTATCTTAACTAATTATTATTCATTGTTTACGGTTATAATGAGTCTAAATCAAATTTTCATATTAAAATATCCAAAGGGGTTCCAAAATCGATTGTAGAAATTTTCAACTATCGACAATGCTTCGAATGAATTTCGCCGAACAGCAAATAAATGTTTGTTTGATCAGCATTTAATCTCTCGTTTTCTCTACCTATAACTCAAGCAAAAACAATAAATTACGCACATGTATTCGCATCGAGAATGAATCCCTTCTAATCCCCGCAACATTGCGTGACTGATTTCATTTTCAGCATGATATTGATTTCGACAGGCGCTTTTTCTTCTACCCTAAGCAATGATTTTTTTCCAACTCGACTAAACTCCATAGAATGTTGTTGTGGCATATCAATGGAAGGATTACTAACATGCTTAACGAAATTGATAAATTTATTGAAAATGATATTAAGTAACTCATTCTACACTACGCACATTTGCAATGGCTTCGACTGGTCATGATGGAAATCAAATCTAACATATTTAATCACTCGCCATCATGTTCATTAAGTTTCATAACAACTTCTCGAAATATTGTGAAATTTATTACACATTTCTGCTGACGTTGGCGAGATAACATTAACTTGTCTAAATTATATTGTGAATGAGAAGAAATAAATTTATCGTTTATTAAAAAGTTGGCGGTATCAAAAAACTGATCTTAATTGAATGATGGACTTCTGGGGAAAAGAAGGTTAAATAAAATTTATATATCAACAGTCAATAAATGTGCGCAAAGCAATTTCAATGTCTTGTCGTTGACGGCTTATATTAAGATGAGAAGAGCGAATGATTTTTATAGCTTTTTGATTAGAATTTATTGTGTTGAAGAGCTCCCCTGTTGCTTGCTTAAATAAATTGATATTGAGTTCATATCGGTTTAGGAAAAGTAATAAACATTTCCTATTGAAAATCTTCCCTCAGACAAGAATTGAATTGCATTGAAGAATAAAAGAGGAAGAAGAGAAGGAACAGATTGGATAAGAAAATAAAAGGAAGAAAGAAAAACTTTTACAATTCTCGATGATTACATTTCATCATATTTTTTTTTCGTCTAAGTTTTCTTCAAAAAACTTTTTCTTATATTTGTATGGAAAAAGATTGTGCAAATATCATAAATTTGTAAAAGTTTTCCTTTCAATCTAGAAAGATTGACTGAAGAAACTATAGAAACTGTTACGATCATAGCGTTAGAATGTTGATCAAACAAACTTCTTTAGATTTGTGTTGATTTTCGTATTCTATTGAAGATATCATGCTAAAATTAAGAAGATATCGAGTCAATATTTAAGCTACTCAAAAGATTAATAAAGTCATTTAACCAGAAACGAGTTCATAAATTTGTTAGTGAACAAACAAAGTAAAGCAAAGCAAAATCTTTGGAATTCTATCATGGTAAAGCCGAAATGCAAATATATCTAAATAATGTTTAGATTTTCTGAATATCTCGATTGAGATTTATGCAAATTATAAAGAAAGATAATAAATGTAAAAGTCTACATTAGTTTGATGGAGGGTTTCACTTGTGCGTGTGTGTATGTGTAAGTTAACGAGTCAGATCTTTTTATTCACTAATTTCTGTTTTAACTGCTTTTAAACTCATTAATTTTTCATTCGAAATGTTTTCATTCTCAGATATTTTCCCTCGTAAAAGCTTCCATTAAATTTGAATTATTTCGAACATTGTCAGCATAATGAATCAAAATAACTTTGAATGTTTGTTTACCCAAAAATCATCTTTCGTAGTCTCGTCATTCTATTTGACATAATGTGATGATTGTAGGTTGAATTCTTGTTTATAAATCATCTTAATAAATTATAATGAGTATGATATTCGCACGAAGACCATCATCATCATCAACCTTTAAATGTTGCAAAGATAAAAGAGACTAATTTAACTTTTTAATTCGTTTTCGAATAAATTTGTTAGCATTAGCAAGATCTTCTTTCAACACGATGGTTGAATTAAAAAAATAAATATTTAAGACACTGAATATAAAAGTTAGACAATTTAAAAACCTCAAAAAGTTATGTCGCAGAGCAAAAGTTTAAATTGAAGAAGATTTTAAAAAATAATTCAACGAAGATGGGAAAAAGGCAAATTTTTTCCAGCGCTCTTCAAACAAGAACAAAAAGAAAAATTTCCTCTTGTCGTATGTTGTTGTTTTAATGAAATGAACGTCTTGCGTTAACGACAAATTTTATCTGACTACGAACACAGATTCAATTAGAATCCATCAGGCCCGTTAACATTTAGATGGTTGACAGTGAAATCTTCGGATGTGTGTGATGGCTGTAATGAAAACAGAAGGAATGGTGGAAACGCGAAAGAAGGAAAAATTACAATGTGTACATTAATCTTTCTTTTTAGCGCGAGCGGCAGAGAAATGAAATATTTTTATTCCCTCGAAACATGACGCGAAAACACAAAACGAATCTCACTCAAATACATGCACAGACGTTTACACCCACACGCTTGACGCCATCAACACTACATAACAATCTTGTTTGCATTTTCATGTGTCAAAGCAGCCAGTCAACATGCCAAATGCTTAAGAATTATGCGCGGCTCGAGAGGAAACTTGAATTTCCTTCATTTCTGAATTTCACCGCTTCTCGAGTGTTTTTCTTTTTAAAATATCTAAGCACCGCCGCTTGATTTCAACCATAAATTCTTAATTTGATTTTAAATGTGAGGAGAAGTCAAAACCATAAATTTATTTATTTTTATGTTACGTTTTTCCTCCTTTCGTTTACGCAAGAAAAAGAAAATATCCGGTGAATTTTTTGTTTTCTTTTTGCGAGAAGAAAATTTACGCTTACAATGAAGTTCCTAATGGTGGCAGGATTATTTATAATATGGACCTTCAAGAAGAAAAAAATGAATAAAATTTCATCATGAGATACAAAAAAAACGAAAGAAAGAAAATATTTCGTCTAGTGACACACGAGGAACATCCAATCTAACTTCTAAGCATAATTAATCTTACTTTTCTCAAACAGCCAACTCCGAAATATTTTTGGCTGAGCTGTGGAAATGATTAATAAAAACTTATTTATGATAACGTGCTTAAGCTGTTGAAAGAAAGTTAAGTAAGTAACTAAACTGATGGGGAAATGTTGACAATCTTGTTTTCGTTTATTGGATAACCAATTAAAGTCACTGATCCAATTAAACTTTGAAGAAAAATCTTTAGAGGCAAATGAATCTAACAGATCCGCTAAAACGTAATAATTTAACGGTCAAGGGATTTGTGAAGATTTACAACCACAAAACATCAAAGTAGTTCAATCACGCTCGTTCATATTTTAGTTTTGTCTAAATATTTATTCAAATCTTAAACGATTTTGATTTCAGTAATTTGTAGAGTCAAACACTTGTAGATATGAAATTTCTTAATAAGTCTGAGAAATGTTTTATTAAGCAAATTTAGAAGAGCGCTATCGATTGATGTGAAGAAAACTAACTCAATTCAGAAACTATAAAGCACCGCGAGAAAAAGAGAATAAAAGATTCGATGAAATATTGTTGAATTCTGAAAAGACTTTTGTTTGTTTCGTGTGATGCAATCGGTAATCGTGAGTGGCGAACGCCAAAAGCAGAGAGAAACAAATGAAAAATTTACAAAATTTATTGCCTTGCGTTCATTCAAATGCTGCACAAAGAAACAAGAAACTCATGAGAGTGGAGAAAGAAAAATAGTTTTGTGGTGTTTTGTAAACACTTTTATAGTGAAGTCATCGAAATGGTGTGTGTTGATGCTTGTTTTGCTTTTGGTCCACAATATCATCGTATCTCGAGTCTCTTTTAATCTCATTTGTTCGATGGCAAGCAGTTTTGAAAGCATGAGAAAAAGTTGAAATCTCAGCGGACAAGAGAATGAGAATCGAATGAAAATGTGGGTCAAATCAATTTTAGTTATTTTTGTTTTCTTTCCTGCCTTCGACAAATGAATACTTTTATGGCATTTTTACTTCTTCTTTGTCCGATCGAAGCTTCGGATCAAGTTTGCTTTCATGTCAAACTATTCAAGTTTCGGGTTTTAATCATGACCAACACGTGGTCGGTCAAATCGCAAGAAAGAAGGAAAGAAGAAAATCATCGAACAGCACAGCTGAGATTATTCGTCAAGAAGTTCGCGATCAGAAACAAATTTCTCGGTTTTACGCTCAATCGGGTTCAAATTCGAAGTTTAACTTTATCGTTTTTCCACTCATTTTTCTCGTTGTTTGTTTCGTTCAATTAATCAATCGCCAATATGCTTTTTGCACATCATGTTACAAAATTGTTTTTTCGGCTCGGCGCCACTTTGGTGATTTATGGGAATGTAAATTGTTTTCTCGTTTCTCTGCGACTTCGCCCAACAAGTCGCTCAATTTAAAGATCTAACAAAAACAATTTTAAGTCGTGCTACATGACTTCATAATTGCATTAAGATTCTCAAAGTTCCACTAATGAAAAGCGACAAGTTTTATTCATTTGCGACGCCAGAAATAAAATCTGAGTTGACATTTAAGTTAAAACTAAATTCGAGTTTCTAATGTGGCAAAATTTCGCAAAATGGAAATAAAATTGGTTGAGTTCTAAACTAGCAATGTTAATCAACAGGTTAAAAGTTTTCATCCACTTTACGCTGACGATTGATGTCATTTCCAGTTTTTATGATAATTCATGTCTTGTCATAAAAACTAAATTAATGAACATTTGAAATTGGCTTTCTTGACTGATGGATTTATGACGACAGAAATTGTCGAAGTCTTGCTCCCAAAGATCAGTGCATTTTGTTTAGCATTACAAAACGGGGAAGATTTTCAATATCAAACTCATAAGATTGCGTCAGAATCGAATAAACATCATCGACTGTAAAAACGTGATGAGTAACGAGAATTTCTGCTATTAATAGCCACACGCTTCTATACTAACAGCGATTCAATTTCGTAGTTTTTTCGTTTTTGTTCTTATGAGATTTTGTCTTCATCTTCTTCTGGTTGCTCAATGTCTGTTGTAGGTGTAAAAATGTCGCTCTAGCAGAAGTCGGAGATATTTTTCTTTGAAAACAACAGGAAATGGACTCGAATTGTATTTTTCAATGTTTCATCTCCGATTTCTTGATCGAAAACTTGTCACGCATTGCAAAGCAACATCAAAGTGAAAGAGAATTTGCGAAATGCAATTGGAGAGTTTTTCTAAATTAAATAAATTTCTAATCATTCATCAGAATTGTTTGTTGTCTTCACTTCAAGTCGCATTCTTGTCGAGAGAATTTTCTTTTGATTTCTCTTTTGAGCTTCGTCGAACCTTTTATCTCATCAAGCTTGCAAGAGACGATAAAATTATTCAATTAGCCAAAAACGTTATAGCACTCCAAGAAAATTTTGATAATTAATTATGGCAATTTGGACCCGTTTCTATGTGCAGAGATGTTGTTTTGAGAAACAGAAGAACTTTCGTGGCATGGTAAGGACATTTCGTAGTAATGGAAGATGCTGTGAGTTAAGGTTCATGGAATCTTAATCAATAAATTTAAAGATGTTTAATGAAGACATTTGATGGGAGATGAAAACGATTCTTCTCTTTTTACGCCAATTAATTTTTGGTTAATTGAATAGCGTGGGCGGAAAATCATTTGACCTTTGTTATCTGGGTGAGCATTTGTTTTTGAAGACGTCACATAATTCAATGTTATATCGAATTGATCTCGTTGTTCTGAGCAGCAGCTTGATGATTTCTATTTCAATTTTCACGTCAAAAAATTCGAGTAAATAAAGTTTTTCATCTTCCGAAATTCAAGCAAAATAAAAGAAACATTCCTGCAAACCTTGAAACTTGAAAAACTTGGGAATAATAGAATGAAGTCGTAATGATTGAGGTACGACGAAAGTGGGTAAAAAAGAATAAAATCAGTTTTGAGCACTTAAACGAGCATCGTGAAGAAATCGTCGAGGAAAGAAGAAAGAAGAGAAGGCAAAGCTAATTTGTATTCAGTTCAGAGAAGACGACACCAAACCATAAACAGTAAGGCATCAAATCCCCAATGGACTACAGAAAAAACGACATTGACGAAGTCGATGACAAACAAATAATAAAAATAAAAAGAGAGAAAAGCGAACTAAAAGAAACACGACAAACGACAACATCTTTGTAAACATTGAAAAAGGGAAAACCAAATTTAATTAAATGAACGATGACGCTAATGCGAACTTCGAATTCTTGTTGAAAATTGAAGTTTTGGTTATCGTCGAAAGAATGAAATTAAATTGATTAAAGATGAGAATCGAGACAAGCCATTCGAGATAGATTTGCATATAAAATCTGTCAGTGACTTGATTCGTCTTTAATACGAAACATCATACAATGAACAGCCAATTTCTGTCCTCAACTTAGACAGCTTTCGGGGTTAATAACCATCGAACTGGAAACGTAGAAAATGTTTGTGTATCGAGAAGCTTCTAAATGTGTTTTAAGGAAAAACCAAGTGAAGACCTGCAACTGTTTGATTTCCATCTGGAAGCTGTTTGTCTAAACAAGACCATCCAAACCGTTGATTTTCATTGTGAAGATCTCTGAGTTTGGTCAGAAATGCGGAACTTTCGATGGAATAAGGAAAAGGAATTCAACTGGAAAGAATTATTTCTCTCGAAGTCACAAGAAAATGAGTGAAGTTCTTCTAGAAATCCATATAAGCAGCATCTGGGTGTTCACGTTATGAATTAATGATGAACAGAGGGATTTCACTGTCGATATACATTTCACATAAAGATAACATCGCCCAGATAATGACAAAAACAAAACCGCAGTTTAGTAACTGACTACGTCAAAAGTCTTGCACTGAAAAACAACATCAGAAAGAAGAATTTTGTGAAACCACAAAACTTGGACTCAGAAACAAGAAAAGAAAAGTTTGACAGAAACTTTTTTGTTATCACTGATCTGAGATCACAAATGAGAACTTTGGAGTGAAATCATTGGAAAGCCTTTTTTTGTTTATGACATGAAACTTTTAATTTGATTAATTTTATCAAGAGAGAAGTTTCTACGTAACCTTTGTCGTTATTCAACTTTTTGTCAGAAAATCTGTTCAGTGGATTTTTAAAGTTATTTATGAGTCGTTTTCGTTGCTACATAAAATTCAAATTAAATTACAGGAAACTTGGAGAAATCTCTTAAGCATCAGCTTATTTATTCCTTGTATAGTCTCAAAGTTCTATCACAGATAACATCAAGTGATTTTATCTATAACAAGGATTTTGTTTAACGCAAATGACATCGAAAGAGAGTGTTCGGTTCATTTACATGATTTCAAGTGATTCGCAGGCATCGAATGATATCAGCAAGTCGAAGTAAATGTTTCGTTTTTTCTGTTTTCTTTCTGCTCCCCCAGCCAGACTTTTACTCAAATTCTTCTTTCTTCAACATATTCAATAGAAGAGGAATTTTCTTTTTTACTTAATCTGCGAAATGGAAGAAAATGTTTTCCTGTGCGGAAAATCATTTTTCTTCGATCGACTTTAATGTTTAAAGTGAATTCATTGTTGCTCTGGTTCAGTGAAGAATTTGAATCTAAATCTGAACCTGCCTGACTTAATATGGGACACATTTTTGTCGTGATTGATTCAGTTTGAATTTGTAATGCTTCAAAGGTTTCGTGAAGTTTTTTTTTCTTTTGAAAATCTGAATTTTTTTTTCTCTTTCATCATTGAAGAAATTTCTTAAAAGCTTAGGGAAAAATAATCTTCTAATGATAAAACTCTCTTCATACATGTGAAGATTAACTTAATTGGCTTATTTCTTACATTTCTAAATCAAATTCAATAATTCATAAGAAGAAGATTTGCGATGAAAAATTCAACTCATTCATAAATTTTTCTTTTTCTTCATTTTATTCAGGAACGAAGTTTTTACTTTCAATTTTATCCAAATCTCATTGAGAATGGTGTGGGGGTGGATTTATCTTTAACTTCTGTTTATTTTTCCGAAAGGCATGTGAAAGCATTTCCTAAAACAACAATCAACGTAAAGTATGAGTGAGCTTGTTGGTATTTTCCGTTCTCATGTTCTTTGCAACGAACACATTCCGATTTTCCTTTCCAACAAAACGAGATGAAAAATAATGAATTTGTTGCGAAACACTGAGTTGATTCGAAAATTTCTGTTCATCCTTTCATTTCAACGCATTTTCTTTTCATCATTTCACATCCTTGTGACTGATTCAGTTTTAAAACAGCAACTCATAAGTATGAAAAGTCATTCACACTTGCATGCCTCTAAGTTTCATCTTCTACTTCAACTTTCAATTCAGGAATTGTAACTCGAAACTTCACTGGAAAGACCAAAATGGCATCGTAAATTATTTCTATTTTACGTTTAAAACATTTGAGATATCTTTAAGGATATCATGTGTCACAAAGAAGCAATTCGAGTGAGAAAAGTTAAATTAGACGGAAGAAATGGAATCGCGACAAAAACACGTTAAAGACGACAGCGGCGATTTTGTTCCTTCAAGGTCTTGTGTGGGTAGAAAATTTCGGAACACGCGGAAAAAACCGGCAGCAGTTAGCACTTAAATGGAAGCTTGAAAAAGGAAAAATTGGCGATTAAACGCCAAACATTCCTAAATCGTTGCATAATTTACTAATCTCTTTTTTTTCTCTGTTTCCGTTGTCGTTCTTCTGTGCAAAGATATTTGAAGGCAACAAAAGATTCCTCCGAGACGGTCTAATCCCGTTTTGATGATGAGATGTTGCAAATCGACATTTAATAGAAACCAAGCGATACAAAGACAATCATTGAGATGGTTACAGATTCAAATTCCCTTAAAGCTCTTTTCTAGAAATATCTTTTAATACACAAACATTTCCATTACCTAGTTGAAAGCGAAATGAAAGAAACAGAAAAAACTTTAATAAAGCAACAAGAAAATTCTCACAGATTGTCGTAATTGTTAATAGCCAAGGCGTTAATGAGCCCGATGAGTGCAATTTTAAATCTCTGAAATAATCTTGCAAACAAAACAAGCGATTTAAATCGAGGGAAAAATTATTCAGAGTCTGAAAGTTTAAAACGCAAAGCTACTTAAATGTACAAGTGACAATGAAAATATTCGAGACGAAGTCAATTGCACAAAACGCTTTCATTGTTCTCATGCTTTACCTTTTCTAGTGCTTCTGCTTTTGTTTCGTTAAAATACTATGCAATATGTGTAGTGTGTCTGTGACTTACATAAGAAGTGCCTGCTTTCGACATTTTGTGTGAGCAGTAAGAACAATAAATTTAAAACCAATTTCAAGTTTCATAAAACACTTTGAGAATAAATTTTGTGAACATTTTTTTCAAGATTGCTTGTTTTTATAAAAAGCTGATACTCAGGAAAAGTAAAGGCAGGGAAAGAGTTTCATTCTTTCGTTCTTTTAGCAAATACTTATTTAGTGTTTCAAAGTATGTTTAAGGTTGGTTGAATGCTTGTTGTAAAGAATGTAACGATGGAATAACATAAAAGAGGCATTTCTTGGAAGTACATAAACAAAAATCATAATATAAGTAAATTTGTTTCTGTATAAAAACAAGATTTAATTACGAGCCATTTAGCATTGTGTGAGGGTAATTAGGGCACTAAATGTAGTAGCTTTAAAGTGTTAATTACATCTCTTCGTTCTGACGGCTGAAGTTACATAATTATGAGCCACTTAGCTATTGTCTTCAGCTGTTTCAACACTGTCACTTTCACGAGTCGTTCTTAAATGAAAACCCAATTTTACTCCCGCGCAACAGTCAAGCATAAAGAACGAAGAAAATGAGCTTTAAGGAAAAGTAAAAAAAGAAGTAAAATATGGAAATTAGAATTTCAAAATCACAAACTCGATGCTCCATTTGGGGCGGAAGTTATGCGACATAGAAATTATTTAATCAGCAAAAGGCTTTTTTTTCTGCCTTTTCTTCATCGTTACGTCGCTAGTGCTGATGACAAAGGGGACTCGTGAGAATATTTTACACAGCCATTTAAATCTCAAGCTTTATTTCTCACCCAAAAAAAGAATTTCAAATCATCGCAATTGGAACAAACGAATGAATGGGTTGAAAAGTGAATTTATAATTTTTCACTGAATACAATTGCGAAGATTTGTTTTCAAATTGAAAAAGTCTGAAAAGAGTCTTTAATATTTAAACGCTTGGGTTTATTAAAGCGATATTTTAATTGCGGTATTAAAGCGATAATAAAAAAAAAGTAACTGGAAGGCCTTGAAGCAAATTTCATAATCTTTTATTGATGACTTCAATCGATTGTTTATTACTGACTACCTACTAGTGACGGTAGCTCGCGACCACAACAATTAATTTAATCAAACACTCACAAACTGCAATGACTTTTTCATTATTTAAAGTGTTCGTGTCGCACGTTAAAGGCTAAAACATTACGTAATGTTTGAACGTCCCTCAACAGAGCCTACAATGTAGTTTAATTACAAAATTATATATTATATAAATATAAGTCATGTATGTTCACCCCATCAAACCTCAAATGAAGTTTAATGAACTAAAATCCTTGCATTTCTTTTTTTTCCATTTATAGAATCCAACAAGCGGTTTGAAAGATTTTCAATTTTACAATCATAACCAAGTCTACAACTAGGATTGCCCTTAAACGATTCAACATGATGGAATGCACAACTTTTACCAGAGAGAATTCTTGGATCGAAAGGCCTTATCGATATTGTGCTTATGGAAGGAGAAAAAATGTCACATTTTTGCGTTGAAAATTAAAAGGCACACCTGGACAAATAATAACACATAAAAATGGTAAAAGTTTCATTTACGTGATTACAATTCGATCGAACTACCAAGCTGCATGATTTACTGATTTCCAATTTCATAAATGTTTCATTTTTTACTCTGACTCCGGTCTATGAGACTGGCAACGTAATGTGGAATCGTAAACGCACTTTTAATTTCCAGCTAATAAATATTGCGGACGTGTCAAGTTGTTGACATTTTTTTTGCTCTCTCTGCTTACTTTTTTTTCATTCTTTATTGTTTACCGTTACATTTATGCTGCCTAATTTTGGACGCAAAACAGCGAGTGAGGTTGCGGGTGAACAAAAAAACTAAATAAACCATGGTTATTAGCTTTCGCTTGTGACGATGTCAGCGAAATTTCTAATCGCCACGAGTCTGAAGTTTTGAGGTGTATAAACGAAAAGACGAAGCGTAATAATCGTAAATGCTCTCGTTTATGTATCATAAGAGTGGAATGACTCTGCTAAAGTAAAAATAAAATAAAAATATTCCACGCATTAAATATTCACGAACTCACTCACCTCCAATTGCTGAAACGTTTTGTGCTCCCATAAAATTACATCCACAAGCTTTTAAATTAATATTCTTTGACGCTTATTTTACTCTCCAAGAGATTTTTCATTGATTTTTCTTTCTTTCATTTTTCACTGACAGATATTTTCATGATTTTCTTTTCTTTTTCTTTCGTATCAACTTGAATTTGTATTTTCACACATAAATCACCATTTTTTACTTATTGAATTCTCTCTTCTTGGTTTCCTTCACAGTTCAATTAACGACATTAAAATAGATTTTTTTTTATTCTTTCTTTCTCACTCTCTCGTTTTTCTAATGCGGTTTGTGATATTTTTCTTCGTCTCGAGACGGTTATTCTCGTTTACTACATCGATATTCCATTATTGAGGCTGAAAAAAAAGAAAGAAACGAGAGCGGAGGGAGGGAGAAAGGGAATCACATCAATATTAAATCGTCAGATTACAGACGGTAACGTTGACAGCACCCAACCGCATACATATTTAATGTGACGGTATAAGAGGCTTCGAAAAAAAAAAACGAAATGAAATATCACTTTGTGACTTATTCGTCATTCACAATTCACATTGCGACCTTTACAAACAAAAAATGATACGAAAAAAAAATGTATTTGAAATTGTTCTAAAATACATCAGCGAAAGCAGAATGGCAACAAGATATTCTAATAATAAAAATATTTATTCAAACAAAAAACCGCAATTCGCTGTTTTGTGTTGCTGTTTGCTGGTTCAATATGAGGGCTTTTGTCATATGTATTCACATATGTGAAAGAGCTAAGCAGAGAATTTGCATATAAGACGCTATTCTCTCACCGCTTGTATTTGTATCTTTATTGAGTCATGTAAATATTTAAGTACGTCAAAGGTGCTCGTTTTTATCTTCCTCGGCTACGCGCAAAAAAAAAGTTTACATTTAAATTGACTTAGAAAATGGTGTGAGGGTGGAAAGATATATCAAGTAAGGAACGAAGTTGAAGCAAAGCAAATTGGAAAATAAATAGACCTTCAGTGAGTCATCAGTAATCAGCTTGTTTGCTGCTTTCGCACTCGCAACAGATTGGATGTCAAGCTTTATTGTTTTGTATTAAACAACGATAGAATAAAAATGGAAGAAGAGGAAAGGAAACTTTTATTTGCACAAGAAATTTTCGCGAAGGCATGAAGGCGCAAAAAGATGATGTTTAGAGAAACACCTGGTGCTACGTCTACAAAACAGTAGGGAAAATGTTGTTTTTTTTAATACTTAAACTTCTTATGCCCTTCACGTCACGAATTGAGAAGCAACAAGAATGCTTAAGCTAAAAAGAATCTCAACAAAATTACAAATTCATTTGAAGAGAAAACTTTTCAATTACTTTTTTCTTTCCTCGTGTCTGTGCTTGAAAGAATTCCTTGAAACGCTTTTAGGACTTTATTTGGTTGAATGAGAATAAACCTTAGATAATTTAATCTTTCAGATGGTCGAGATTTACTTCATTCTCCTTTAATTAGCTTAACAAACTCAACTTCAAGATTTTAAGCACTTTGAATAACTCATTGAAAATTTTGTTCCGCTTCAAACCCGAAATCAACTCGTCTAATTATTCTTCAGCATTTATAAAATTAATAATTTTCAAAATTTGAATTCAAATTGAATTTTTTCCACCCCCGCGCTTCTTTCGTTATGAGCACTAATCACTTTTCTACAACTTGTAGCGAGCCTAGCACAGCAAAAAACTTCACAAATTTGTCAGCAAGCGACTGAACTGTTTGTTCGCGCGACCTTTTTTTTCGATGCCATAAATGTTTTGATTTTTTTTTGCTTGCTGCCTCCATTCGAGGCAAAGTTTATGACAATAAACTTCTCGCTCTCTCTCCATCCTCCCGTTGTGATTGTAAGAAGCAAAATACAGAAAGCAAAATACGACAAAAAAATTCAAATAAGAGCGAAGAAAAAAAACCAAAGGAATTTACAACGTCACATATTAAAGTGATTGAAGCAAATATAGCGAGTCGTCAAATATCATTGAACCATCTGTCGGTAAATTGATGTTTAAACTCAACAAATTGTTCTCCAATTTAGACAAAGTGGCATTTAAAAAGTGCGCCGTGCTGGGAAAATCATTTAAAGCCAACGATTTAATGAATTTTATAAACATTAAACAAACAAATTGATAAGAGAGCAACAATCACTGACGACTTATGCGTGCGGTTGAGACGCTTGTCAAGTTTTATAACAGGATAAAAACTTTTCTTAAATGCCATTTAAAACAGCATGAAAATCTCTTCGTCTGTAGTTCTCATACTTTTCTTTATTTTTATTTTGATTCAATTGCTCTGAAACAACTCAGCATTGCATTGCAGCCGCGATGTTGAATGGAGAATAAATGAGTAAAGCACATCAAGAACCATAAATTTCCATTTAATTATCTCCTGTTGTCGACAAACTGCGGTTTAATCCAATTTTCATCTTCCTTGTGATTTTCTTTTTCTTTCTTTCTTTCATTTAGTTAAAAGTATTTATTTATTTTTATTCTCTTTCTTTTTATTTCTTTCACTTTAATATTTTTTATGAGACAACGAGCACTGACAAAATTTATTTTTTTAGTGAAACATCAATACAATAACAAAAAAAAGTTTAACTTTTTGATTATTTATTTAATTCTTTTTTCTTACTTGTTTTTAAATATTCTCAACGGAAACAAAGGAAAAGCACGTCCTATTAAGATCGAAGCTAAAACACGACTGCTGGTTGAGTCTAAGGTTGGAGAATGTTCACATTTTCTCTATTTACCGAAGTCAACTTGTATGCCTTGTTTTGTACAACATGAAAATCCAAGAGAGTAATTTTACAAGAGAGTTTTTGGAGAAAATTTTGAGCATGAAACAATTCACTCTCTTAAATATTTTTCTTGTTTCCCTGCCAGTGCTTTACGCAGATGATGATAACTCCGTAAACAAACCCATGATACTTAGAAAGCTCTTATCAAGCTATGTGATTACATTATCGGTGTTTTATTACGCTTCGTGACCTTGATGAGCGTGAAGCTATTAGATCTGAAGTATCATTTTTTTCCTATTCTCAAAATTGTTTTTATACATACACAGCAGTGTACATTTGGCTTCAATGAAGTCATATTGTTAGCAATATTATTATGCTAACAAGTATCAAAATATATTCAGCTGAGGTCTAGTAAAAAGTAAATTTAATTAAAATAATTTGTAAAATAAAATATTATTAGGAAGTTGTTCGTTTGTTATTGTCTAGTAATTTACGAGAATGTCTTCTCGACTATACAAATATCTAATTAAAGTTGTTGATAAACGTGTACCAACATTTGGTCGACCATTTTGGGAGTATGAGGCTGGACCCAAGACAATGTTTGTGCTATAAAAATTGTTTTATTGTTTGTTTTGTTTTAGTAATGCTCTCAATATCAATTAAGATTCTTCTGGGCTCCTTTATGCAAATGGGGTTTAGTGATTGCTGGTATAAAAGATTTAACAAGACCCGCTGAACTTTTATCTGCAGAACAAGCAGTAGCAATCGGTGCCACAGGATTTATTTACTCGAGATTCTCTATGGTCATCATCCCTAAAAACTATACGCTTCTTTCAGTGAATGTTTTCGTAGCAATAACTCAGAGTATACAACTGTTCCGAGCGCTTCGGTATAAATAGCAGACAGGGAATAAAGAAGAGCTGGTAGCAGACCATGCTTTACCTTCTGTTGAATCAGATAAAACAAAAGATTAATTTACTTCAACACCCGTTGACAACAAAATAGAACAAACAACAACCCTAAGAATATTTTCTCTTACATTGAAGCACACGAAAGATTATGTTTAATATCATCATCAGACGAGGTCAATGAATCTAAACAATCGGTGAACTAATGCAGTGACCACGTTTCAACGATGACAAAATCTTTTTTACTGATGATAGAAGAGATAAAAATAAAGAAAGAAAGAAAGAAAATTCTTCGCTTGCAAACATAAATTGTCATCATCATCACCATCATCATTTCCTTCTTTCTTCTCTTAATAATAAAGTCCAAATCTTTTGAACGACACATCGAGTTTAATATTAGGTAGTCTATGGTTGTGTCGATTCCAAGGTACGTGATAAAATGAGAATTATTGTTCCCTGCTTTCAAGCATCGGTGATTTTCTAAACAAATTATCATCATTGTGTTATTTTCTTGGGGACATCATACATAGATATACTTTCACTAAATATACAAACATTGTTTGTTCGTTCCTGACTTCAACTTGTTCTATTTTGAACAGCAAATATTTATGTTCTATAGATGATTGTAAATCAGGATTAAAAGTTCATTTTAAAATTGTTGAGGTTACTCTGAAATTTAAGTGTATGGCAGCAAATAAATTATTAAAGGGACAACAAATCTTTAACTTTATCATTACAATTAACTTCAATTGAGAAACTAATGCAGTTGATTTTTTAACCATAAGATTGGTGGTTCTGCTTAAACTTTTACCTACAAACATGCTGAAGCGAATAACCAGTTAATTCCCTGGTATTATAAAATATAAGATTAGATGGCTTCTATTAAGTTTACCACAAAATGAAACTTTAAATGAATTTTGTCATCAGTCGTAAAAGCTTTAGCTAACTACTGCAAAGGTTTTTGCTTGGCGACGTGAAAAATTGTTACTATAGAAAATCCTTTTAATTTCCATGAATGCTTCTATGCTTTGGCTGCTTTGAAGATGAATTCATGAAACAAGTTTTTGCTTCAAAAATTTTCCTATTTGCAATCGTTGCCTGCTGTGCTATACAGAACTCATCAACGTCATGACAATGTTTGTTGATTATGAATTTTCAAGCCTGATGATGACAATCGACAAAGCATGCACTGAGAACTGTTGCATCCTGAACACTGTTTTATTAATGATCAACTTTACACTACAGCGACAGCATTGCTTCGTTATTCTCTCCTTACGTGAAAAATGAATTTATGAAAGTTCTGCTAGATGTTGACATAAACTGACGTTTCAGCAAGCTACGAGACCATTGATAATGCTTAGTTGAATTTGATGATAGACATGTATTGTATTTGCTTTAATAAACAGAAACTGAAGTTTGTGTTATGTGTAAATTTTAAATATCAATAGGATGAATTTTCAGAAACTATCACAGAAAGATTTATTAATAATTTTGCTTAAAATTCAATTTATATTCATGCTTCATCATTGCAATCACTTGGATCACTTTGTGCTTCTTTGTAATCCATTTCTAGTGCCGCCAGATTTTCTCTTGCTTCCATAAATTGAAACTCTTCGAGTCCCTCTCCTACATACCAATGAACAAAAGCACGCTTTGCGAACATCATATCAAATTTATGGTCAATATCTGCCCACGCTTGTGCAATTGCTGTTGTTGAAGCTAACATAGAACATCCTCGTGTAGTTTGAGTTATCAAACCATCGTCAACAACTAAGGGTGGTTTGCTATTAATACCGATTTTAAACCCAGCTGGTGACCAGTCGACAAATTTCAAATTTCGCCTCTTTTTAACTTCAGCTATGGCTGAGTTGACATCTTTAGGTTGAACATCACCACGAAATAGAACACAGCATGCAATATACTTTCCATTATCACAATCACACTTAACCATTTGATTCTCATTCTTAAAAAGATCTGACGCCAACTCATTAATCGTCACCTGTTCATGGACTCCTTCGGAAATTGGAATGAATGGAGCATATGACGCAAGTGGAAAATGTATTCTTGGATATGGCACCAGATTTGTTTGAAACTCGTTCATGTCAACGTTAAGTGCTCCATTGAAACGAAGTGATGCTGTTATACTTGACACAACCTGGGATATTAGACGGTTTAAATGAATGTAGCTTGGACTGTCAACGTTTAATCTGAAAGCAAGGGAAAGACATGAAAATCAATCGATTGAACATTTTCAACGAGACCATCAAACTATCATTGACACAGTTTGAACGTATGAAACTTACTTTAATTTGCAGATATCGTAAATCGCTTGGTTATCAAAGATGAATGAACAGTCTACGTTGTCCATGGAGTAGTGGGTGGTGAGAACAGAATTGTATGGTTCGACAATAGCCGTGCAAATTTGTGGCGATGGATAGATGGACATTTCCAATTTGCATTTTTTTCCGAATTCGTCGTTCAAATGTTCCATCAGTAAAGCTGAAAAACCTGACCCAGTGCCGCCACCAAATGAATGAGAGACAAAAAATCCTTGAAGACTGTTTGATTGCTCTGCCATTCTTCTCACGGTGTTGAGAACTGGTGGGAGAATGTCACGACCAACTGTTAAAAATCCTCTTGCAAAGTTATTTGCTGCATCTTCTTTTGAATTTATCATTTGAGCAGGATGAAAAAGACTACGAAAGACTCCTTTGCGAACTTCATCAATGACTGTTGACTCGGTGTCAAGTAATATTGCCCGTGGAACATATTTTCCGACTTGTGTTTCAGCGAAAAACGTGTGAAATCCATCGTCATCGCCAACTTTGTCGCTAACTCGATAACCATCTTTGCCAATTTCATGTTCGAGACAGTACAACTCCCAAGTTGTATTAGCAGTCTGAATTCCAGATTGTCCAATGTGAATAGAAATAGTTTCTCTGTTACTGAAAACCATTTTGATAAAAAAGAAACTTTAATTTCGACAAGAATTTGATTTAGAAAATTTTGAATTTAAAAAAATTTTATTTCCGAGAAGAATCACAACTTGATTTGCCAAAGGTTGAATTGAAACTAAAAGAAATCTCGAATTGAAATTGCAAAACTTGGAAATTTAGAACATCATTGAGTCCTACGATTATATTTTTCGTTACTTCTCTCAGTTTTTTTTTAAAAAGATAAAAACTTTAACTGAACGTTTCCTGTTCCCAAAACATGTAGATGTTTCAATTGAATTTTTTAAACTTTTAAACTCAATCTCGAGCCACAGTTTATCCCACAAATTTGTCATGTTGTCGTGATGATTTAATTTCTTTTAATTTATCGTGTTTCAAGAGCTCATCGTCGTTTGTCTTTTTTTTTCCTGAATCACCATGATTTGAATCTTTCACAACTCCAAGAGATTTTTTTTCTGCTGATTACACGAAATTTTCTTTCCTTTTCATCCGCTGCTTAACTCTTCAATGAGGGGGAAAAAAGAAGGAAAGAAAAAAGTTTCCATCACGACAAAATTATCGTCTTTTCCGCACATCATCATCTAACAATCTCATCATCATATGCTTAGCTTTTTTCTCGCTTTATTGTTCCTCTTTTCCATTGTTGACACATATTTTAAGGGCGGTTAAAAAGACAGGAAACAAAAAAGGAAGCGGACGCGACAGGAAAGAAACTTTTCCTAATGAAAATATTTTCAAAGTGACGTTGTTTGTGGAAATGTTCTCTAATGTTGCCAAATCAATTATCCAAAGTCAACAACAAGAAGAAAAATATTGTTGAAGCATTAAGATATGGAATTATGGTAGGATTAAAGTTGAAACTGAGACATATAACATATAACTCAGACAGAAATATCATGAACGAAGGTAAACCTTTTCATATAGCTGACTGCCGATCTGAATTAAGAGCGAAGGAAAGAGACAATCACACAATTGCTTTTTTTTTCTTCTTCCTGTTTTTCTTTGCTTTCATTTCTTCTTTTTTAAGATCGACGGTTTCCCGGTGTCCTTTGTATACGCGCTTCATTGAACGTCTCATAATTATTCCAGTCCCGTTTACGCTCAGTCGCTCCCTTTAGATCCTTTTCTGCCGTATATATTTATTTATTCTGTATTGTGACTCTCTGCTTTGAAATGGAATAAAAAAGAACAAAAAAAAAATCTTTTTTATTAATCGTTGCTGGGATTTGTTGTTGTTACTTCTCTTTCAATAAGAACGAAGCCAGAATTGTTTGATGGTGGAGCATAATTAATACGAAAGGTTCGTGCTTTCATCTTTTATTCTCAAATTCTTTTTTCGCCAGACGTTGCACGAGAAGAATAATCAAGCATGAGTTTCCATTTGAAATATAAGCTTGCCTCATGTTAATGCGACATTAATCGTTAATGTTTCTCATGATTATTGATAAGAATCATTTTGTTTCTTTTGAAACATCATATTCAGAGTGAATTAGTTTATAAACTCTCTTTTGCAATATTAATCAACAATGGTGTTTGTTTGTATTTTCAGAAAATGTATTCTCAAAAGCAACATCATTAACATTCTCAGTGAGAATCAGAAGGAAAATTGCGAAAGAAATACAAAACTCTTCAATTAAGCTAAACTCGGAAACTAAGTGATACCCTCAATCTTTTCCGCTTTTAATTAAACCAAATCTCGTACATTAAAACCCTTCCTTTTTCTATTTTTTTTCTTTCTTCCTCCACTTTAATTGAGTTTCATTTCTCTGTCTTTCATTCACGCTCATCTCAGCCTTGAATCCGCTCGAAAGTGCTGCAAGAAAACCAATTAGCACATGAAAAAAAAGAAAATAGAAAATACACAAATTCATCCATCTTAAAAAAAGTTTTCTACTTAATTAGCTCTCTCGAAAATCCAATCGATTGGAAATTGAATCTACATTTACGCTTGGATATCTTCGTCAATTTCTACCAAAAGTGTTGTGCTTTTATCGGAAAAGCAAGAGACGAGCGAATAAAGTAAATTATAGCAAACAGTATAAAGGAGAAACCGAGAATGAAGCTCATGGCGATAGAAAGAGATTTTTATTTCTGTATCCTATTTTTATCAGTAAGTTTGTTGTGAATTTCATCGAGAAGTGCTATTGAAAATCGTTCCATTATGTTGCAAAGATAAAATTTATGAACAGAGACTTTGAAGCGAATGTTAGTGAACCTTAAAGTCCTCGTCTGCTTTTTTAAATTTATACAAATAATGAAAATCCTTTGATTAAAGTTTTTCCGTCTTGAGTAGGTATTCAAAGTTCTGTCGTTGAAAACTTTCTACATCGTTTGATATCAAAAGAAATCAAACCTCTTAGAAAAATAATTAAGTTGAGATTGCCACCAGCAATAGATAATGAGACACTTTAATGAAGAAATGCTTTCCTGAGGTTTTCCCATTACAACTTTAAAAGCTCATTTTCATACCATTTTAACTGATAGAAATTAACGAACCACATGCAATTCATTTAGCTTTGTTTGACGAACATTAACTCAGCTTGCAGCTTCACAAATTTTTATAGAAGATCATAGCAGAAAAAATAAAGTTTTATCGGTATGAAAACACAAAAGGCCATGCTTTAATTTGAATTTAACTGAAGCTATTGTTTAACAAACGGAACATCTTAATAGGATCACTCGTTCCACCCCACAGCGATTCAAAGCTCAACGTCGAGAATAATTAATTATAAAAGTCTTTCGTTGGTGGCAGCAACTGACTGACTGCAAATTGATAAGAAAATATGGAAATTTTCAATGCAAAATGGAAATTGCAATCAACGACAACAGAACAGTGAACTTCAACGCTTGAAGGATTTTCTTTCAAAGAAAAATTCTCATTAAAATCTCATCTCGACACCAATTAGATTGCAAGTGGGATGGAGTGACAAGCTTTTCCAAAAATAAAAAGAAGGAAAGAATTGGAAATGAGAAAATTATTATTATCATTTCACTTGTCGTGTTTGAACTGTTTCTTCTTAACAATTAGATTCTCAACCTTGATTATTTATTTGACTTGAAATCCTCTTGTTAACGATTCATGCAGCATGACCAATCTCGTCGTTCTCATTTCTCTTTTCTTTAAGCAAACAAAAGGAGAAAAATTAAGAAGAAACCTTTTCCATGTTGTTGTTACTATTGTTATTATTATTATTATTTTTGTTGTTAGTATCACTTTCAAACCTTAACAGAGCTTTTCACTTGGGGGTGTTGGAAAAAGAAAGGCGACGAGAAAAGCTTAGCATAATTAATTCATTGGATTCGTGATGATGCCCCGCGGCCTACAGCTGGTGTTATCAGAGGTTACAATCTCCATAATCCTATCCTAAAGATGTTAAGACATTGTTTTGTTGAGCACAAATATACCCAATTTACAATTCAATCCCGCGTGCCTTAATTAAAATTAATTTTTATCTCGCTCCGAGAAAAATATTCGATTGAAACCTCTTTACTCAATCCACCAACTGAAGCGGAAATTGTTTTAGAAATATGCCCGAGATAATGTCCGAAGTGAAGTCCGAAACATACAACGTTGGGAAGGAAAATAAAATAGAAAAAAATAAACTCTTCCACCCAATTAGATCACAAAATCATTTCGGAAATCGAATATAGATATTTTTTGTTTCTCGCTCTCTTTATCTTCTTTTTTTTGTTCAAAAAACAGAAAAAAACCAAACAAAAAAAATGCCTTTTGGGTATAGATCTCAATGGAAGATGAAATTTCAGATGTGAGGGTGGAATGTTTGTGGATAAGGAAATACAATCATTTACTGACCTTTGTTTTGGTTGAGAAAGGGTATTGACGAAAATGAGTTTCGTGCCATGAGCCGAACAACATAGAACATCCAAACTCGAGTGAATTATAGCCGGGCAAGCCACTTGTCCTTATGTCCTTTACGAGATAAGCCTATTAAAAATGAGAGTCACGATGAATCCGCCCCTTCAATCCTTGATTTTTTTCCTTCTTCTCCTTCTTTCACCGTCAAAAATGCTGTAAGATATTTTCCTAATTTAAAAAAACTTTTATTCCATCCCTGAAAATTCTTCCGTCACTTAGCGAAGTATAAGAAATGTATAAATGTAGACGAAGATTTCATGGATTTTTAATTAATTAAAGTGGTGAAGAAAAGGCGATTGGGGAAGGGAATGAACGAGACAAAGAAATTTCAGGAAACCAAGATTTACAATCCACTTTTCAATTTTCGAGGCTGAATTTCCCTTGCGGATTGTTTTTGTTCCATCTTCTCGTCTTGTCTTCTGTACTGCAAACATGTGGTGTAAAGCATATGAGAAAGAACGTTACTAACAATGATATTTTATTTAGATATGATGTCAGTGATGTTTTTTCCTTATTTAATTTGCATAACATTTACTGTCATTTCCACTGGCAAAAAATGAAAATAATTTTTATTAAAAGAAGAACTTTTTCATCATTTTGACACAACGTTGAAAACAAACCGCTTTTTCTATGATGAAAGCTTTTATGATAGAAGAAAGAAAAATAATTAAATAATTAAGCCAATTGTGGTCCCATGGAAATCAGTAGGAACTTTATAATTAAGATGGGAACTTTGACTATGAGTAAATATTTAATTTCAAATGAATGTTGAACAAAGATACTTAACGGAAAATATCTAATATTTATTTACCTCATATTAATCAGGAAAAATTTTAAAGATGTTTTAAAAAATTTCTTAAAGTCCTCTCAATGTAATTTTTTCTTATTCATGATCTACTTAAAGTAAATTTTCAGATTTGACAAGAAATTTCTTCACAAAATTACTTCAGCTTAGTTATGAAAATGAAACACAGATGTCGCTACATTAATTTAAGCATGAAACAATAAACCGCACGAATCTTTTAAGCATGAAACAATAAACCGCACGAATCTTGACACGAATAATGTTAAGCAAATGACAAAAAATAATTATTAGGTAGTTACTAAGAAATGATAATTTATAATATTTTTATCTAATTTAAATAATAAAATTAATTTATTTTATTAAATCTAGCAAATGTCGGTCCATCATCGGTTTCTAAGAAGAATTTTCCTTTAGTGCCCTTCGATAAAGCTTCACCCATGGGAACTGGACCGCTTTTATAATCTTTGTTTTGAAACTCCTCCCAAGTATCACATGGATAAGACATAAAGCCATATTTTTTTTGAATACTTTCAGCAAAGTACATATAACTTCTGCCATGGGAACATCCTTCAACATAATCTGACATTGAGCTACATCCAGGTTGACTTGATTTTCCTGCATTAGGAAAAAAATCAGCATGGCCCAAGTTTTGATTATGTCCAAGTGTACCAGCACATGTATGAATAACATCAACAAACTCTGCATCAGTGGGATCAAGACAATCGGCAATGTTCTTAGAGTTAAAGAATCCAGGATATGCTGGGTCTATGTTGGATTTAAATCTTTTAAAATTTAAATTTCGACAATAATTTTATTTAATTTATTACCTAATCCAGTTATTCGTTCAACCTTCCCACTTGTGACATACATTCCAGTATACCCAGCAGTGTGTGCACCTAAAGAATGTCTACAAAAATAAAATTGAAATGAACTTTAATTTCATTGAATGATATTTTCCATTTACTACCCAATAATATGAAAGTCAGTCAAGTGAGCTTTGTGCTTTATCACCATTTCGTCAATCACCGCTGCTACATTTTTACCAACGTTTTTCGTTGATGCTGCAGAGCTGAGATAATTATTATCCTGTGCCATCTTTCCCCAATCAACAGCTGAAAAGCTTTGAATTAAAATGAAGTTTAACAACATTATAAATCCTACGAACCTACAATGTTGAAGTCTTCTGACTCTTTCAAGTAAGCATCCTTAATCAATTGAATGACAGGGCTGTTCAAGCTAAACATAAATGAAAATTCTTTATTGCTGTTAATTAAATGGTGTGTGAAAAGGACATCAATCAATCAAGCTTATTTCGTCAACATGATCCTTCATTTCAAAAGTCAAAGCAATCGCACCATTTTCAAAATCAACATGACGTATTTAATAGGATTAAGAGAACAACATATTTTGCTTTCTTGTTTGAATGGCAATTTAGAAGGTTCCATTGAATTACAAGGAATGAAAGTGAAGTAATGAGAATTTTTATGTTTCTTTCTTCAATATCTTGACATTGAATGATGATATTTGAAGGAAAAGGATTTTCTTCTTACTTGTTCTGCCATCCATGTATAATGAATTTAGTTTTCTTTTTGCTGTCATAACTTTTATCTATTGTAAAGTTGTTACGACTTTCAGGCCCAGTAACTTTCAAAAGCTTTGGATTTGTTTTATACTTTCTAAAGTATAATAATTAAAATTCTTAATTAATATTAAATTTTGAAGTTTCCATAAAAACTTACTTATTGTAAAGCCACAGAGTAATTTTTGAATCAGGATTTTCATGTGCCAGTGAAAATTTTGCATTTGGATTAGTTTCAATGAGTTCAATGACTTGGGGTTTTCCTTCGCCGTTGGGAAAAAACATCCAAGTTTTCCCGTATTCGGGGTCATGCTTGTAAATATCCAACACATCAGCGCAATAAGCTGAAAGAGATAAAAATTTCTTTTTTATGTAATTTGTAATGAATTATTTTTAATTACGATATAAACGAATAAAGTTGCTGTAAACAACGACACGACAAAAAATATCCCAAAAAGTGTTAGAACTCATCTGTGCAATGTCTTACTACTGTCTGCGATGAAATTTCAAAATGTAAAAACCTTTTTAACTTTTCGAGATGAACTTGAGCTTGAAGTTGACATTCAGAAATGTTCAAATAACTAAATAATATCTAACATAAAAATTCATTCATAGAAAGCCAAATATTTTATATATGTCAATGTCAGCATTAATTACTCTTTCCATATAATTACTGTACATTCAAAATTACCTGATAACTTGATAAAAATAGCGATGGTTATTAAAAGCTTAATAGTCCACTGATCCATCATCAAATACACGAAAATGAAAAGAAGTTTTGGAATGAAAGAACTGAACACATTCAAGTTGAATTGCTACTTTCATTTATATTTATGCAATTATCATTTAGACATTTAGGACAATGTGTAATTAATCGGTTTTATAGAATTCTGACACCATAATTTTTTAATCGAAATATGAAGAACTTCAAACATGAATAAAAGTATTTCCGCCAAGGGGTGATTTACTTATAGTTGATCACTAACATTGTTGGCGAATAATGAAGTTGTGGCCATGTTCATGAATTCCCCCTTGCTTTCTGTTTGATTTAAATTCTTCATTACTATTAATTATCAACTATTATGAAAGCATTATTTTTGTTATGAATGTCATAGGAAATATTTCGTGTTAGAACAATGAACAGAATCTATTCATGTTGTAAAAGTAGAATTGTCATTATTTACATAACTGTTGAAAGTCAACAATAGCAGACCGTGAAATATTTTGTCAATTTCATTTTCTTTTAATAATTAATTAAAATATGAACTTTGATTGAAGACTTTATTGCAAGTTTGGAGAGTTATTTAAATCAATTTTATTAATTCAATTTTTCAGATGTTTCTTAAGATGTTTAGTGTAGTTTAATGAATTTTATTATCTGCTGTGGAGTCAACAAATTAAATAAATTTTCTTTTTAAAAGGAAAGCTTATTATTTAATTTAATTAATGGAATTTCTGCAACATTTTATAAATAGTCATACATACAATTCTAAGTATAAGTGAAACAAATTGTTTTTCTATAATATCTGCAGGCTTATTATCATTATGTTTGTCAAGTCATGAAGTTTTCTTTTATTTTATGATTTATGAGTAAACAATGAAGTGAAGTTATGCTACATTATTAACAAGTCTTTTAATGAAAATTGGAGAATTTTTGTTGTCACTGTTTAAGCAACTGTAGAAAGAAAATCATTGAAAAGTTAATTTAATTTCACAAACATTAATTTAATATCAACAATAGTTTTATGAAAAATTTCTAATCAGAATCTTTGAAGTTTCGACGATTTTCTTGCTTTAATGCTTATCTCAGCTTTACTGGCTTGATATCGCAAGCGATTAACATACTCATGAGTGACCTCATCGGAACCTTGATTTCTGAAAAAGTTCACAACTGAGTCATGGTTGCTCGAATACGGAAGGTTATTGAAATTTCCAGCTAATTTCCCAAAGGCATCAATTTCTTTCATCAGCGGATCAACATCACGAATAGTGTTGAATGAAATTGTTTGCGTGTTAATAGATCGGACTAAATTTGTGACTCTACCAAGTGCGAATGGCGATTCTGAGTTTGTTTTGATGAAAAACATTCCACTTGAACTTGAACGACAATCTTCTCCAGCAATAGTTTGGTCTTCACTTGTGGGTGTGCACATACCCAATAGATAATAAATATAATTTTGACATCTCCAACCCCAAAAGCCATCAACTGATCTAATGGATTCTGCAAAATAATCAGGAGCACGATGACTGAAATGAAAACTGTGTGAAAATATTTCCATGGCGTTTGCGTTCAATTTACTCACTGGCTGCATTGGAAAATGTTGTTGTTAATAATGTTGTGACATCCAGGTTGATAAATCTTCAATTATATTTAATATTAGAAGAAAATATTTGAAAAATTCGTCTTCAACTTACGCCACCATTCAGATAGAAGTCAACATGACCACATTGCTCAATCTTTCCCTGCACTAAAGCATTGGTATGAAAAACATCAACAAATTCGGCATCAGAAGCATCGAGCTTATTATCAACATCAGCACTGACAAAAAGTGGCATGGCAGGGTCAAGTCCCGTGATCCTTGGTAGTCTAAATGTTAACTCAAGTTGCTTTGAAACATAATTAGTTATTTGAGCTCCGAGTGAAAATCCGATTAAATGAATATCATCGTTTCCTGTTTCCCTGATTCTTGATATGAGTTGTGCGATACATTTGCCAACATGTTTTGTGTTGTGAACAGCAGCAGGATAGCCTTTAATGAGAAATATGATCATCAGGTCAAAACGATAAATTATGTTTCGAATAAATTTTCTTTACAAGGTGCTGGTCCAAGTACAGACCAATCAGTGAAGAAGAGATTATATTTTCCTCGTTGTAAATATTCATCCTTCATATCAATTAGCGGCGTTAATTGCATGTCTGAATTATATCCATGAATAATGATTTTCACTGGAAAATTTGGATTGTAAAATGAGGTTGATAAATTTGATTTCTCCCAACAGTCATCAACGTGTATTGCTTGTCTCTCATCAGGATTTGAACTTGTGAAAAGCCAAAATCTGACATCTTTATCAGGACATTTTCTATCAAGGATCCATGTACAAGGTCCAATATAAATAGCATCACGATTAGTTTGTGGTTCATTAGATTCTTGACCACTGGCACTGAACACAAATATGGCTAAAAAGAAATAAAGCTCCTTAGAAAATTCTTAGAAAAAACTGTGATTTAATAGTTTTTTTCTTTTTGTTCCCATTTCACTGAAAGGTGTTGAGAATCGAAAAATTTCATGATTAATTTTTTCATTTTTTGACAAACTCGCACGTTGTAATTAACCGTAAACATTTGACACATTTTTTCGTTTCTTATAAACTTTAAACCCAATTCCAAAATATACTGATAAAATACGTTACCAATTAACCAGTAAAAAGATTTGATCATTTTCACTAATAACTTCAGTTTTTTCTTCTTGTCATAAAATATATTTTGAATTTCATGATCTCATTGAATCCAAAAAAATAATTCTTTTTCCTTTTAATGTTCTTAACTTCGCAAAGTTTATTCGACAACTAAAAACTCCACGAGAGAAAACTAAATTGAAAGAAGAACTCGAAAAAAGTTTTAAACACATTGACATTTATTTTATGCTAAATAGTTTTAAAATTCTTCTCACGTTTTGATTGTGATTGGAAGTAATGAAGTGTAATCAGCTGGTACTGGTCAAACAAGATTGATTGCTTAAGAGTCGTTTATATCACTCTTGATTAATTTTAATATTATTGTTTGTGTACTATTTTCAGTGAAAATGTTTGAGAAATTTAATAACAATGCATAAAAAATTTATTTGAAGTTAAACAAGAAAATTGAATGTGTCTTGGATAAATAAAGCAAAGATTCTTAAACCTTCATTTATGAAATCATAAACGAAAGTTTGAGAATCAGTGGTAATGTTTCAACAGCTTAGTAAACATTGAAAAGAAATTCAACGAAAATAATTTCTTTTAATAACAATTCAATTGATAATGAACGTCGTTGAAACAAAAGAGACTTCACAAAAATATCAAAACAAAAGAAAATTCTAATAAATAAAGAAAGCTACAATCTTAGGATCAAATTTTTCAATTTTTTAAAGAGAAATATTACTAAATGGATGATAGAATTACAAACCCACACCTTCGTGTTGTGTTTTGAAGCTCAAGGTTTTCACCACAAAAGGTAAAAATACAATCAGATAAAATTTATAACCGAACATGAATGAAATCAGTTCAATGAACGAAAGCTCATTTTAGCGATATTTCCGTGGAGAGTTTTTTGTTTTGTGTGTTAAAGTTTACTTATCTAACCGATAAAAATTGCATAAAACTTACACTTGAATGAAGAAAACTGTTTAAAATAAACTTTACACGTAATATTTTGGCATTTAGACGAATGTTGTCCTCATTCATTGTTTGTCTTAATTGTTTGTGGTCTTACACTAACCGAAATTAAATGTGCAATAGATGAATGTGACAAGGTGAGTGCAGTAAACTCAAAACATTATAGTCAACATTTCATTCTCATTTCATTTCCATTGGTTACACAACACAACGCATCATTGTTTCATCGGTCGATCGTTGAACTTTTTGTTTGTTAGTTTTTCTCGTATGACTTAAGCTCTAACATTCTTTCGAATACAAAGTTGCTATTGGGGAAATTGTTAAATGCAGCAACAAAATCAAGTTTACAAATCACAGTTTTAAACAACACATAAAACGTGATTTGCAATGAAAGTGAAAGACATCCACGAAAAGTTGCTTTGATAAACTTTTTTTTTTTCATCCAACAGACTTTTCCAGTTTTCAGTGGTTTTTATATTTTTCCGTTCATTTATCGTCAATGCAGTTTCATTTGCATCTCTCTCATAAAGTTCAATGGCAAAGTAAATTGATCGGAACTTTTAATGCTTATTCTCTAAATTTAACCGTGCTTAGGGAAGTTTGAAAGCCAATATGTTGTTCCAACTGAGAGATTTTATAAAATTTCAAATCGAATTATTACAAGTTGTTATTTTTTTATTTCCCCATTATTCACGATGATTTATTAAACTAAAATGGCTCATAGTTGATTCAACATCAAGTTGCAAGTACGCTGCAAGCGAGTAAGTTGAAAAATCCAAAAGCATTACTTTCTTCGAATGTAATAAACTTGAACTAAACCTTGAATAGTAGTCGCAATTCGAAGAGGGAAAAGAAGTTAAAAAAAAAGTAAATTTCACTTTCCAACAACGAGTATGATGGTGACTTGAAGTTAAAAAAAGTTATAAAGACAGATGAATATTGTCACGTTGTGTGCATTTCTGAGAAGCTTCGATGCATTCACAAACAATTGACAATTAACGGATGATTTCCGATTTTCATATAAATTATATAAGTTGAGCGGTGGTAAGCCTTGGCAAGGTCGAATCGAAGCTCAATTATGAAATACAATCGGAAGAGATTGTTTTTATAAACATTAACAGAAAGCTTCATCATGTTAATTTACAAGAGAAATTTTAGCAATGCTGGTTGTACTTTCCTTTTCATAAGTTCACAATCAACGGGGCATTAAACGCCCAAAGAGCCAACAACACCATGTATTACTACATGAGATGAAGTCTATAAAAAAAACTTCTCATATACTTGAAACAACCTTGAACATGAGTACGTATAAAAAATTGCTTTTGGCACTGATGAGTGTAAGTAAGAGAAATTATTGCGCAAAAAAAAAGTAACTCTCCGTTTCTACTTCCTCTGTCGAAATGTCAGATCTCTTTCACTTTTTATCTGTTGTTTGACTTCACGCACTCTACTTGCCCATTTTACGTTGGTTACGAAATTACCATCCACCAATAATAAAAGCAAATTAATGAAATTTCTTTTTTTCTTTCTTTCTTTCTCCATCATGCTCAGAAATCTTATACAATCGCTTTTTATCATATTTTATTTAATTTTTCATTATTATCTATTGCTTGCGTTTCGCTTCTTTAACATTTTTCTTCTTTCAGTGGACTCTCGAATGCGTATGTGAATATACAAAATAAACAGCAACATACACTCATGAAAATCTTGTTATGATGAAGTAAAAGAAAAAAACTTTCAATTTCAGTTTTAAGATCATGATCAGTAATTTTCGTTTTTTTTTGCTGCTACCAACTCGCGATGCATGTTTTTTTTATTTGGTTTCTTTCTTTTCTTTTCCGCATACGAACGCAATTACGATACAATCATCATGATGTCAAGAGCAGCAACATCAACGGAATTATGGTGTTGAAATGAAATGAGTCAGCATCAGTGTGCATGCGGATATTATAAAATAGTGAAGAGAGGAAAGAAATGATTTATGTTTTGTCTTCAACTTATGCTTCTTCTTATGTTTTGAGTTCTTTCACTTATGACATCATCTTTGTAGTTTATTTCCTTGATGAAAGATGAGATGATGTTGCCGGCAATGTGGATAGATTGACTCTTATCTAACATCAAACATTTTGAAAGTGCATGAATAAATAAAAACCCCAGGGAGCTGACAAATTTTATTTCTAAGAAATAATTTGGTGACTGATGCATGGATATTGCACAATCTCACCAATTATGGTTCATTAAGGAATTAAATGCTATGAAAGTCCCTTCCTTAATTACATCCGATAAATTATTTTGAGAAGGTCGTAGCTGAAATTAAACAAGAATCGTTAGTGCGCAAAAATAAACAACTCGTCGGGACTACACTCGAGAGTGAAACTGATGTTTTGTGAAAGCGATGTTTTTCGTAAAAAATATTATTTCGGAGTGATGTCATTTACTTAATGGATTTATCCGCTGTTTCGCAAGATTCGAGCTTTTTTATTTCACCATTTTTGCAGCTTCAGGCAGTTTTCATCGATGAATTGCATGAATGTTTACTTCATGATGATCATGTAATTTCTAAGTTTGATTTGCATATTTAAAAGTTTTAAATAAATGCTTTGAGATTTTTCACAGCCGATATTTAAGACTTCAGACTTCTGTCGGATTAAATAAGAAAGCTTGTAAATGACTTAATTGATTTCTTTTGTCTCATGTGACGCCAATGGGCGAAACTGAATAATTTTGGTAAATTAGCGTGAAAAGATTTTATTTTGTTTACTAAACCTCAATTAGCTTTAAACATTTGATGCTTCATAAGCCTGGAAATTTCACATTTATCAATGACTTCACGATCATTGAACTTCTTGTTTTTATGAAGCATGATAATTTGAATAAACTATTTAATAAGTAAACGTAGTTACATAGCTAATTTATGCATAGAAATAAGCAAAATAAACATCAAAAGCCTTTCAATTCGTATCGTATCGCTACACACGAGAGGAAGGAAATTTTTTCCATTCGATCGTCATCGAACTTGAGCGAAGAGAAAGAAGAAATTCGAGAGAAATGAAGAAAAGTTCGACTGCCAATGATTCCATACATTCAACATCAGCATAAACTAAAAGCTACTCACTATCTTAGTTTTACTTTTGTTCCTTCACTTGTGCTTTCTGTGTGCTTTTCATGTGTATGCGTGTTGTTTTGGAAAAAGCAAAGAAAGAAGTAAAAAAATTTCTCAGACTTTTATTTCAAAATTATGGTTAAAGCAGTTGCTTTTCAGACTTCTTTGAGATCTTACGGCTCAAGAAGGTCGTGGAATTTTTCATTTTTTTTCCCCAACATTTTACTGCTTTCTTCAAACAAAAAATAACAGTTTGAGATTTTATTGAAATATTTTATTTGGCAACATTTTTTGCATTGTGAGTTTAACTAGAAGATCAAATAGAAAAGAAATAAATAAATAAATCTTCTGCAGAAAGTGTAAAAATTTAACAATTCAGATACACACGAATAAAATATTGAAAGTCAATTAAGGAATTAAACTTCAACTTATATGAATTCTCGTGAATCGTTAATTATTATTACTTACAACTTCATGAGACATAAAAAGGAAAGTGTAAACAAAAGAAGAACTTTACATGAGAATTTCAATCTGTGGACGCGCTTAAAGCATCGTCGTGAAAGTTTTTATCCATTAACAAGCCAAGACTCCCACGAGTTTAGCGAGCACAAAATAAAAGTTATTCAAAAAAAAATAAAAAAAAGCAGCAAAAATTTCACCCGCAAAAAATAAGCAAAAGTTTCTTCTTAATTTGTATACAATCGGAAATTTAATGATGTTCGGATGGAAGCTGAGCGAGAAATTTTTTCGAATGACAATCGCCTTGGGATCTTGCAAAAGCAAAATGAATTCAAAATTGTTTGCTTTGCTTTTGAGTCAGATGCTTTAAGATGTCAGAAAAGTGATTAGGGACAGATAGAAATCTTTAATCTCGTTTTTATTCTGATATTTATACCTCTTTTCGATCTTTTCACTTTCTGCTCGCTAACGTCGCTTTCGGAGATTAGCTCGACAAGCGAAGACAGACAAGATTTCTCCATTTTTCCGCCGAAAATCCGAAAAATTTTGCTTCTTCACCGCTGTGGTTGAGGTTTTGTGGTAAACGACCTTGCGTTTTTGCGTTCATTTTCCATAGCGCGACGAGGCGTAGAAAAGCGTCGAAATTTTTCTTTTGTGAAAACGAATTGTGATGAAAAAGAAAATTTGCAATTTTCTGTGCTTCATTTTTTATAGAAAGTGTGTCGTTTAATGTTATAATTGCATTCTTTTTCGGTTGCTATCATTCGCGTCGTGAACTCCCAAAATTTGACTTTTCTATTTATGTTCAGAAAAAAACTTTTGAAATTTCATAAAAATGCATTTCGATTGTCAATCTAACTTTGTAACTTTCATAAAGCACCTCCGCATAATAACAACAAAAAAAGAAAGAAAGAACAAGTCATTTTACAACGAACAATCAATTTACACACTTGATATTATATTATTGTGAACAAATTGAAAAGATATTAAAAAAAGTGAAATTTACAAACTTTTTTTAATTCGTAAAGAGATACCTAAATAAAATAAAAATATTTATTCAATACATTTGTTTTCAAGTGTGTGTAAGTACACAAAATAACAACAACACATGCTAGATCGTCAGTTTACCATAAAAAGCTACGAATTGGGGGGAAGATGAAAAAGAAGAAGAATAAATGTTTACTTTAAATTGCAAACTAAGAAAAATAAAACACGAAAAATATTGAAAGTGAAATTTTTACACTACTGCAGATTATTTATTTATAAAATATATTACGGCAGTTCTTTTGTGTTGTGTATGCCATCGTTGACGAATTGCTCAACAAATTGTATAATTTTTCACAATTCGTCAGACATTTATGAAGCTTATGTTCCGTTGTTTTTATTACTCTTTTAGGATATATTCAAACAACCAACAAAAGGATATTAAAGAAAAGAGAGAAAGTGAATGAGAAGAAAAAAGAAGAAAAAAAGTTAAAAAGATGATTGTTAACATTTTATGAAAACGAAGTCAGTACAATTTATATCTTGTGTCGAGTGCAAGGAAATAAAAAGAAAAGTGAGAGATCAAATTTTAAAACCGCAACTGAACAGTGAAGAATGGGAGACGGATTAAAGAAATGTTGTTAGTTCATTGAAAGTAAAACAATAAATATTCCATTCCAGCATCGTTTCATTACTTAAGTAAAAAGAAAGATAATTGACAAGTTCAAGTGTAAATAAAGTTATCAAGAAATAAACCAAAAAGAAAAAGCAACTTTTATAAAAAGCTCGTGTGAAAGACAATGTTAGGTTCGAACAAATGGATACTATTCACTATAGTTGGTGGAATTCTCATATCAATTCACATCGATGCAATTGAATCGCCGACAAAAGCACTCATTGATCCCCAAGTTCTGTCGTTTACAAACAAAAAACTAGGAGTTACCATAGAGAATCTTCAAGTTGTTCCAAAATCTAGTCGACGACAGTTACGTAACTTAGTTCCACCATATCAAGAGTTTTCCAACATAGATGGAATCCAATTTATCGATAATCGTTCAAGAAACAGTAAAAATCTGCCCGGAACTTTCGGCACATTTCGTTTTGAAAACTTGAATCATCGTTCATCATCACCATCACCATTTCGACGAAGATCAGACGAATATGACGACTCAATCGGAACATATCCTGCTGCACAACTTGCACTTGATACTAATTACGACTTTGATTATATGAATGAAGACAATGGAAGTTTAGCACTGATTCCCAGTGACAATGGCTACAAGAAATTTCAAAATAAGATCATTCCATTAACATTACTACAACCGACGAAACTTCAAAACGAAGAAAGCACCGAAGGTCAACAACAAGCGACAGTCGAATTGAATGAGTCAAATGAAAGTGAAGCGGAAGCGAAAGAAAGTGATGAAAGGTCAAGCAAACAATTGGAGGAGGGGAGTGGTGTGGGTCAGATTCGCTTTCCTGATTCATCATCAACAATCGCAGCTCATGCTGAAGCTTTAACTGCACGACGATCCGGAATTCATTTCGCTGAAAATGAAAGTGAAATCAAGCCACAAAATTACAATCCTTTCATTCCACAAAGTTATAGCGAAGAGTCTTTGAATTTTGGCGATGCCATTCCACAATTTCAGCGACCATTTAACAATGAGGATGTTGTTGAAAATGAGAACGACAGATCTGCGGTTGGAAATCGATATTATCGACCATATATTCAACCATTTAGAGACGAGGTGACGAAGTTTGGTGATATAAATGGTCCGGTCACTGCTTTTAATCGCCCTATTAGAGAATTGCTTAACTTCCCAAGATCACAATTTGAACCAACCGGATATTTTGAGCAATCGACTGATAATGTTCGACCGCCACGTCATTTCTTTCCACCAAAGGTTTTCACGGAATACGCGCCAGATTACACACCACCAGTCAGTTCCAAGTTCTATCAGCCAACTTACTCTTGGAAGACTCGACAGCCAAGAGTCGTCTTTCCAGCAGGAGATTTCACTCAAGGCACCGCCGGAACTACTTACGTAGGAAACGAAAATGTTGTATTCAGGTGAGTTGAACGAGAAAGTTTGTCGAATTTTTTTCCTCTCCTTTCGATGATTGTCTAGACGACGAGACAATTAATGACAACGTCCAATCAATTTCTTTCAAGGGATCAAAACTTTGGAATTAACGACTTGGCAGCTGTTCAAGACGTTCGAAATGATTTTACTCAACAAGATATTGAAGAATCGACGGTGATCAAAGATAAAGGTATGTAAATCATGTTTTCTTTCTCTCATTTGAACATTCAAAAGACCTTGACCTTAATCTGACTTTAGCTTTCTTCCTTCATGTCCTACAAACAGCAGCTAAGCTAAACTTTTCTATAAAATTTTATTTTTTGCTGCTGTTTCTTTCTTTTTCTTTCTTTTGAAAGCATGTTGAATAATTTGATAACACCCCAAGCTTCAAAGCTCTTCTCTTTCACTCCCTATCTACTACTATTCGCTTCTTTCTTCTTTCGCACTTCATCATATATCATGCGTCATACGAAGAGAAAGTGAAAATAAGTGTTCAAGCTCTAGCACGTACGTGTGAGTCGCACGGCTGAAGAAATCGATTTCCATTTAAACATTATCAAACATGTTATGCAATATGTTTTGATTCACTTTGTTTTAATAATAAAATACATAAAAAGTTTAAACATCCGATTCAAGTTATTGCGCGTGGATGAATTGAATGTCAATGATCGGAGAGATTAATGATTGTCAACTTTTTTTTTCTTCAATTTCATTTATAGTCACGTTCAATCATTTTTAATTGAATTTACTTCCGAAACAAGAAATAATTTCTATTTATTAACCTCAGCTACTTTTTGATATTTCTTTCCCTTTCCCTTTGTATAAATTCTTGTAGAAAGCTTTGTAAATATATAAATTACCAATTGCCGTAGCTTCTTTTTCATGCTTTGATGCAGAAATTAAAAGAAAAACAAAAACAAATTAATAAAATGATTCTTTGGTTGAACACAACTCATACAGCTGGTGTCGACTTCATTCGAACACCGCGTTCAGAAATGGAATGTCAACATGAGGGTGGGACGTGTGAGTTTTTTGTAATGTGTTGGATGTCAGGCGGTTTATTACAAGGAACATGTAATGGCTTGATGCAGGGTTGTTGTCATAGAACAGCAAAATCATCAAATTTAGGCGCTGAAGCAGGAAAAACCTTTGTCTTAACAGATCTTCCGAATAAAGATTATGGACCGGTCGTTAATGATGCTAGTGAGTGTATAGAACTTCTTCGATTACATGCGTGGACTTGGGCGGAACACTTAACATCATGTTGATCATTAAATATGCACACACACGCTTACTTAATTAAACATTAATTAACAAAATGTAACAACACTAAACAATCCTTTAAACAATCAACGAGACAGATTGCTAATCACAAACTTATTACACGGTATTGATGGCAGAATTATGCTTAGTTATAGTAAGTAGTTGATAACAATGTTGTAGTTAGTGGATTGAAAAGTTTTAAAGTTAACAAACTTTTTTTTCCAAACCGTAGTTTGCTAAATCTTGCGTAAATTTTGGTGTCAGTGAAAACGCTCAGTTGTGCAATGCTTTAGCGAAGAAAATGGAAAAGCGACGACTTGAACTTTAAACAATCGCGTGATGGGTTAAACAGGCAATAAATGATTATAAGTTTTCTAAGTAGCTACGAAGATTATAACAAATTGGATATTATCCACTTTATTTAGCAGTTAATCAAAAGTGCTTTTGAAATGTGAATGAAGGGAAAATGAAAAACATTTTCATTTGTTTCGTTTTTCTTTTTCTAGCTAAGCTTAAATGACAATAGAAATCTTTCTTCATTTGAATGAAAAATGAAATGAAAGTCTTTCTTTTCTATTTATTCCACTCTTCTTGTCTCAGTTCAGATGAAATAAAAAAAAAAGGCAGACATTATTTTTTCAGCTGAGAAGAGATAATTTTTCTTCCTAAATTGCGTATATGCTTCAATGATTTAACTGTCTCGAGGTGAAAACTCCAATTTTAACGATCCATTGCTGCATAATTATAGAGAGTAATTCAAGACTCTGTTTTGCCTTCAATGAGCTTTTCTTGTTTCGTCTATCTCTGTGAATAAATCTTTGTGACAAACAAACAATCCGCTTTTAAATTTAGGATTCCCAAAGACACAAGACCGAAGACAAGACCAGATATGATCATAATCGTTAGGTAACGACACGGAAGTTCCAAAAAGAAATTATTAAATTTTATTATCCATAAATTAGCTTTCATTTTCTCGTTCCGTTGGTCAATTTGCTTTTCATTGTCTACAGAGGCTCAAGATAATTTATAATGCTGTGGACCGTCGTCTCTAACAATGCCTTTCTTTCAATTAATGAATATCTTGCTAAATTCAATAACAATATCTTTAAGTAGTCGACGAAGTGTTGGTGACTTTATGGATATTTTAAGAAATTGTTTTGTGTTGTAATGCATGAGACTTTTGTTTTTATTTCACAGAGGATTTTGGTATCATTTTAAAAATATAAATCATTAGGTTCATTATAAATCATAGGTTCATCAAAATATAAATCATTAGGTTAGGAAGATCTGTTACGTCAAAAGTTGTTTAAAGCTTTAAATTGTTGTTTTTTCTTGCATGAAGATAATTTATTTTCTTTTTCTTTTCTAATGAAACTTAAAAGAATTTTATTTTGTTTTTCTTTTCTTGTCTGTTTCTAGGCTGTGGAATTTCGTTAGCAAAGCAAACAGCACAACGACGGATTGTAGGTGGAGATGATGCCGGTTTTGGATCTTTTCCTTGGCAAGCTTATATACGTATTGGATCATCTAGGTATGACTGGCATTTCACATAATTATTGCTTTCGTGGAAATGATTACAAAGTGCTTGAAATAATTTATGATTTTGAAATATCTTTCAGCATTTTTAATGAGTTTTGAAGAGATATTCATGTATGCATTTTGTAATTTATACGTATTAATCATAACGATTACAATGATCAAGAGTAGAGCTAACAATTTTCAATTGAATGGAGATGCATAAACTTATTTATTTTAATAAATGCGTAGATAATGATAACAACAATGAATTAAATATATTTAAGAGTTATTGTTTATGGGAATAAATAATTTATTATTTTAAGTAATCATTAATAAGTTTTCCACGCAACCAACATTAACTTAAATCTCTAACTTTTAACATTAAACGATAAGCAATCATAAACTAACAAATTTATTTTGTTTTTAACATATTTTTAACAAAAAAAATTGTTTTGCTCATCATTCGGGCACATTCTCATCATTCACAATCCCGGAACCTTTTCCATAACTACTAACTGCTGATGTCCATCATATAATCCAATTTCATTGACTCCCACCCACGCCTTGCGACGAAAAACCTTTTATATTCACGCACTTAGGTCTATGCTTTCCAGATGTGGTGGTTCCTTAGTGTCTCGTCGTCACGTAGTAACAGCTGGGCATTGTGTTGCTCGTGCCACTCCTAGACAAGTTCATGTGACTTTAGGTGAATATATTAATAATAATCTGTACAAAGTTTGTAGAGCTTAGAAAGTAAGGCCCATAAATTATTATATCTCTTAGGTGATTACGTCATAAACTCAGCCGTAGAGCCTTTGCCCGCCTACACCTTTGGTGTAAGACAAATCAATGTTCATCCTTATTTTAAATTCACACCGCAAGCAGACCGGTTTGATGTTGCTGTTTTACAGCTTGAACGTCCTGTGCATTTTATGCCACACATTGGTAATATTTTATCCATAAATTTATTAATATAATTAAGTTAAGCTTCATGATTGAAATTGATTTTAGCACCAATTTGCTTACCTGAGAAGAATGAAGATTTTCTTGGGAAGTTTGGATGGGCAGCAGGGTGGGGAGCATTAAATCCTGGCTCAAGACTAAGACCGAAGACACTTCAAGCTGTTGATGTGCCAGTAATCGAGAATAGAGTGTGTGAGCGGTGGCATCGAGCAAATGGAATCAATGTTGTCATATATCCGGAGATGCTTTGTGCAGGATATAGAAACGGTATTCGAATGAATTTAGATGTTAATAAGAATCTTCAAATTTTAAAGAGAATTCAATTTCTCTAAGAATATTAATTGATTCTCTCTTAATTTATTGATTTATTTATTCATCATTTCGACAATTTTATTTTCGTTTCAAACCATTTTTCTTTCATTTTTCTGTAATCTCATCGTGTTATTTAGGGTGAGTTGTCATTTCTTGAAAGCTTTCGAAAAGAGATTGATTGATCATTATTATCCTTCTTGTATACATTTTCATGTCAAACATTGTGTGTGTCTGTTTACAGAGGACGAGATTCATGTCAATTAAGTATCAAATCCAATGACATTGAGCAATGAATGAATATTTTAAGAAACTTTGAACTTTCACTGCTCAACATGATTTACTTTTTTCTTCTTTCAATAAGCTTGAAAATAATTGAAATCTTTTAAATTTTACAGGGCGACTCAGGAGGTATCAATCAATTCAACTGTCAATAAAGAGTAAAAATAGAAAGACGATGTTAATTTGATTCTTTGTAGGTCCTTTAATGAATGAGAAGAGTGGCCGATGGTATCTCATCGGAATCGTCTCAGCTGGCTATTCATGTGCATCTCGTGGTCAACCTGGAATATATCATCGAGTAGCTCATACAGTAGACTGGATATCTCACATAGTTAATGCCGCTCTTTAACTGCTTTGAACTTCACAAAACATTCTTCTTGTTCTTTTATTTATTTTTTGTTGTTAATCTTTTGTTTTCGTTAATTTTCTTTTTATTCCATTAATTTTCCGAGAAATAAGTTACCTTAACTTTTTATCCTATTTAATATTTATGTCATATTTTGTTAGTTTCAATCACAAATAATAATAGTTTGATAGTGGAAATTGAAATTCCAAAAAAAAAACTTTAAAATATTTTCAATCAAATCAACAACAAAAATATGAAATGAAAAATTCATTTTACAATTGTCATCTCAGCATAGGATTATAAAAAATAGAAAAGTAGGAAAGAACATAAATCAAATTTGTGATAAAAATTGAATGCTTCAGAAGTAATTTCTTAACATGTTAAAGAGAAACAAAAATACTTCATGAAAAAATGTTTTTTATTGTAATAAAGTTCATTTTAAGAGCTTATAGTATGATGAAAATTTTTATTTCAATTTTAATGAATAATGGAAGAATTCTCCATGACAAAAACTAACTTTCAGGTAAATTTTTCTTCAACTTTTGTTGCGACAGTGAAACATTTTGAATAGAATCTAGTGCAGCTTTGGAAGAGCAGTCAAACAAAAAGCTTGAGGCAACTTGTTCCATTGCATACAACAGCAGTTTGCAAAGAAAAAGTCTATAAACCCAATTAAACTTTCTTGATTTCAAAAGTTTTACAATTTATTAAAGTCTCATTTTTAACTCCAATCTACTTTTTCCTCAAACCTGTTCCAAATCGAACAGAGTGTTATCATTAATAATTTCATGTTTTTTAATTCACGTTAAGGTAAATTAGCTGTTCTGATAAGAAAACTCTTATGGGGCCCCATAATTACTGAGTCATATGTTTACAATTAAAGAATTAAAATAAAATTAAAAGTCATAAAAACAACATACGGGCAATTAATCCAGCAAGTCTTACATTACCTGTTTATTTTAAGTTTTATTGTTTGATAAGATTTCTAATATTAATCACAGACATTAAATGTCATATTTGAAAGGCTTAAATTCACTTAAAAATGAATAGAAACTCTCACTTGTTATTGTTCGCATTGTCGAATAAGCAACTTGGAAATGTTTTGTATCCAACACTATCAATCCCAACATAAGTTTCGATTGTCAAATACAAAAAAAAGTATATATGACTAATTTATCTGCAGTCTTTTCTTCCACCGCTCTTTTCATTTGATTTCACAAGAAACAGTTATTTCTCTGATAGACATTTTACTATTGGAGCGTTAGTGCAAGAAATGAAAACAAATAATCGTTGGGTGACTAGATGAGATTTTATTTAACATAAATGTTTATAAGCAGTGGAAATCTAGTAATTGTGTCGAACTAGCACACCTGTTTTACATTCGTCTTCTTGTTTTCTCCTTTCCAGCAAAGCACAATCATAAAAAATTTAAGCAAAAAATAAAATCAACTGTTCAGTATCATCTCATCGTTGGTAGGAAAAAGTCGCGTTTTGAATTATTGTCGCGTCTCAAATCTCGACTTTCGACGTCAATACATTCTCTCATATCAAGTCACTTCATGAAGTGGATCATAATCTTCATCTGTGCTTGAAACATTAATAAACATCAGAATAAGAAATAAAAAAGTGTTGAGAGTGTTTACATATTTGAAGCGAAAAAAAAAATGGAAAAGCCAAAAATAATCTCGTAAGAAATTTTAAAACGACATCATTATTATTATTTCTTGAAGAGTGAAATGGTGTTTAAAATATTAAGTTCACAAAGATGCTTATATGGCATTTTTTCGTTAGTTTTACTCTTTTCTCGTCAGTGATTGTTGGAAAGTCTCGTAAGTTTACATTATTAAATTGTTGATAAATTCGTGAAGCAAATAATTCATAATCTCGACTTTAAAAGATTCATCTGACTGCCCGCCGCGACAATGTCGCTTAGCGATACTGTGTTGGATGGATGGTGGGAAAAGTCGGGATGGATGTGGATATAATCCGTGGTTGTATTCATGCTGCATGCAAAACACACAAACAACAGTTAAGAAACGGAATTCAAATCAACAACTCAGACGACACGACGAGTTACAGAAAACTTTCTCAAGACGTCGTTATGATACAACTGATAACTTACTTACAACATCAAATTGTGGAATTCCAAGAACTCCTAGTAATTTACTTCAAAGAAGAATAATTGGCGGTAGACCAGCACAATTTGCTGAATTTCCATGGCAGTCACACATCAGAATCAAGGAGTATCAATGTGGTGGCGGTAATATTCAAGATGAAACTGAATTTAATCACAGAATCATCAAATATTTATCATAATTCTTCTTTTAGCTCTCGTGTCGAGAAAATTTGTTGTCACAGCGGGACATTGCGTATCTCGAGCTAAGCTACGTGAAATTGTGATATATTTAGGTGAACTTGACACTCAAAATTCTGGATTGATTTATGAGCCACTTCCAGCTGAAAAGCATTCGGTTGTTCAAAAATTTGTGCATCCACAATTTAGATTTAGATTAACACAACCAGATCGTTTTGACATAGCAGCATTAAAGCTTCGAAAGCCTGCAGGATATAAGTAAATATTTAATTGTGTCATTCGTGGAATGAAGTCAGGTTGATTTAATAAATTTCAGAACACATATTCTGCCAATCTGTTTACCTTCGCTACCTTTGGATATTGTGGGTAAAAGCGGCTACATTGCAGGCTGGGGTAAAATAACTCAGGAACATGGACATACTGGAACTAACATATTGAGAACAGCTTCAGTGCCAATTATATGTGAGTGTCTATAATGATTAAGTGGAAGACTAAATGATGATGAAAATTACAGCTAAAAATGAATGCATCAGATGGCATCAGAAGAAAAATATTCACGTCGAGCTCTACGATGAAATGATTTGTGCTGGATATAAAAATAAAACTGTTGATGCTTGCTTAGGTGACAGGTATAAGTCTTTAAGATTCTTTTAAGTCTTCAGATTACTAAAATTTAATTATTTTCACAGTGGTGGTCCATTATCAATACTTGACAATGGACGATATTATTTGTTGGGTATCACAAGTGCTGGCTTTGATTGCGCTCGTCCACTTCAACCAGGAATTTATCACAATGTACAAAAGACACAAAAATGGATTCAAAATGTTATACTCAACAACTCATAATTATAGACTTATGAACATTATTTATTGCAACAATTTATAAGTCAATTAAGTTTAAAGAAAAATATTTAAAGATTAAATTTGCGATGGAAATTTAATTAATTTTTATAAAGATAATGAAATTGCTTTAACTCAGTCTGGCATTGTCATTGATATATTTAATATTATTTATTTGTAATCTATAAAAGAGATAAGAAAACAAAATACAAGTTTTAGAGTGATAAAATATCTGATAAAGTACACGAGAGATATTTTATTTTTTTTGGAAAAATATTTTCTTATTCGCATTTCTGTTCTCATACTGAAAAGATGAAAAGAAAAGTTCGTTATTGTATCATTGCTTGGGTAGTTATAGCATTGGTAGCTGCTATAACAGCTGTGAGTGTGTGGTTAATACTCCTTGCTCCATATGATGTGAAACGAGCGACAATTCGATTTGAGAACTCAGAATTAGAGTTTCGAGTGAATTGGCGAAGATATGACTACAGATGTTGGGGATCTTTTTACAAATGTAAGTTATGCTTTAAATTTTCATCGTAATTCCAAAGATGATTTAATATATTTAACAGCTAACTTACTGGTTGGAGAACTTGTTGAGCTCGGAAATTATTATTCAATAGAGAAAAGAGATGACAGAATTTTGCTTGAGTCAGGGTCTGGACCACGAACATGGCTTTGGAAAGATGAAGATATTGAAGGAACCAGTTCTGTATTCATTGATGCTTTGGGACAAATTGATATAAGAATAAGATTAGATACTGCTGGAAAGAATTGGTACGCCGGGCCACAAGACGATAATCAGCTTTATCCGGTGCAAAGGATAAACTTCGAAAATCTTCCCTTTGTGACAACTAACAGAAGACATATTATGGAACGATATTGGATAAACAACGATGGATATTTTGTGTTGAATGACTATTCATCACCAATTTTTGTTAATCATATGAATGAATTAACTTTTAGAGCTAACAATGCGCCACCATTTCCATCAAATGATGAATATCCGACACAAAAGCTTCGATTAGGAATGGGCAGCGACATTAAAACTGCCCATTTGAATGTGATTAATCGATTGCTTGGGAAGCCTAATGAGAAACCAAACATGGAAATGGCTCGACATCTTACATGGAATCCTAGTATAAGATTTCAAGAAGAAATTGACATTACTGTAATGATGCCTTACTTTAACGATATTTTGAACAACGGCTTCCGAGATGGTGTCATTGATTTTGATGGAAATTGGGAGATTTGTGAAGGTTCTTTGATCGTCGATAGTGCAAGATTTCCTGACGTAAGAGAATTCATTGATTACATTAAAGCAAACGGCTTTAAAGTGAGATTCAGAGTTCATCCATTCGTCAACTCTCAATGCGATATTTTTTCTGACGCTTTCGAAAATAACTTTTTTGTTTCTTCGGAATTAAATGCTGATAACAATGAACTTTATCACATAGATTTCACTAACCCAGAAGCTTTCGAATGGTTTAAAAAACGATTGGAGGGTCTTCAAAATGATTTATCAATTGACAGCTTTAAATTTGATGGTGGTGAATCAAATTTGATGCCAAACGAGCCGATTATTTATGGCAATATTACATTATCACCAAATTTAATAACAAGAAGATATGTTGAACTTGCTGCGAACTTTGGGGGTCTGGCAAATGTGGTGACGGGCTGGGGAACACAAAATTTTCCCTTATGGATTCGAATGTCTGAATTTGATTCAAATTGGGGCAGCAATAATGGGATTAAAAGTTTGATTCCACGACTTCTTCAACTGAATATGAATGGATATGTCTTTGTTTTATCAGATTTTATTGGTGGAAATAGTAAACAGCAAATTTCAAGCGAACTTTACCTTCGATGGTTACAAACTTCCGCTTTTATGCCAGGCATACAGTCATCTTATGGCCCGTGGGATTTTGGAAGCCCCGAAGTAATCGCAGCTGCAAACAAGACTCTTGGAATTCGTGAAAAGCATTTCGATTTGATAGAATCAATAATTGAGTCATCGGTTCAAAACGGAGAACCAAGTTTGTTAAATTTACTTAGATAAATATTAAATTTCCTTATGAAACTTCTTCTTTTAGTTAATCGTCCGTTATGGTGGATTGATCCTAACGATTTAGTTGCACAAACTATCGATGATCGTAAGTATTCGAATGTCATACTAAATGTCATAATAAATCATAAAATTTAATGTCTTTTCAAAGAATATTTACTCGGTGATAAAATTCTTGTCGCTCCCGTACTTGAAGAAAATGCACGAAAACGTGACGTTTATTTACCAGCTGGTCGATGGGAAGATGGAAATACTGAATTTATATATACTGGACCTGAATGGCTAGAAGAATATTTTGCTCAACTTGATGATCTTCCGTACTTTATCAGAAGAGATTAATGTCAATATTAATGTGAATGTAAACGAGTCGAAATAGTGAAAAGCAAACGAAATATTAAAAAAAAGATTTTTATTAAAACAATCTCTGTATGAAAAAAATTAATAAAGTTTCGCGTGAGTATTGCTTCTTAATCTTATCAAACTGATAAAAATTGTCTAGAGATAAGATAGCAGGAAGGAAATTTCACAAGTTTTCAAAAACTTTGCTAGTTTTTTGTTTACAATGATGAAAGAAGTTTGTTGAAATTAAATAAAATTTAGTTTTCTAGAATGTACAGAAGTAAAGTTTTAATTATTTTAATTTCATTAACAAATTTCACACTTGTTAAATCTAGAAATGAATTGAAAGATAAGTTAAGCTTAGAAAATTCACAAATTACGTGACCAAAAATGAAGTTTTATCCCAAAATTTTTATATCAAATATTCAATAACGAAAATATATAAAAAATTCATGAAATTTTCGGGCACGTAGCTTTTCTTCATTCCAAAAAGTGATAAAAAACGAAAAGATTAAAAATAAAACCATTTATTCCCTTACATGAAGCTTACGATGTGGAGGATGAAGACATTTGTAGCAAATGTGACTGCGACGTCATGACAAAAACAATCGATTGTTCAACAAGAAACTTAAACCAAATGTTCACCATGCAGCAATGGAGGTCGCTGAACGAAACTAATAATATTTATGAAATTCTTCTACTTGACAACAATTTTCTTGAAGAAATTGATGCTCCATTCCCAGTATTGTCTTCTCAATTGAAAATCATAGATTTAAGTCACAACCAAATCAAGAGTATTGGAAAAAATTCTTTTGGGAATTTGGTTCATCTTGAGGAACTCGACTTGTCGTTTAATATTTTGACGAAAAACAATCTCGATGGAGAAATCTTTTCTTGTGAGTCTTCAACAATCAAACGACTGAGATTGAGCTACAATCTTCTTACCGATATTGTTCCAGAAATATTTAAGTGCATTAAAAATTTAGAAGAACTTTATTTGGATAATAATCCCTTCATGGTAGTACAACATGATGCCTTTTCAGCTTTTACTTATCTTCAAGAGCTTCGAAGACTTGATCTAAGTCGAATGAATTTAAGCTTCTTACCACAAACCATTTTTAATGCTACTAGGAAATTGGAAGTTTTGAAACTTGATGGAAATGAATTCAAAATAATTCCAAAAGCTTTGAAGTTTGCTGAAAATTTACAAGAACTTTCATTAAATGCAAATCCATTAGTTGATTTGTCAGAAGAAAATGCAATGCCGATGCTGCCAAAATTAGAGAAGTTAAGTTTATCATATATTGAAACATTGAAATCGATTGGATATCAAAGCTTAAATGGTCTTTTGAGCTTGAAGGAAATTAGAATAACAAACAACATTCGACTTTCATATATTCATCGAAATGCATTCGCTTCCATTGATACAAACAATCCAAGCATTAAACGTTGGCCACTCGTTGAAAAGGTTTTCCTTAATGACAATAAACTATCGATGATTGAATATGATCTGTTTATTAATTGGATGGATATAAAAGAGCTTCACATTGAAAATAATCCTTGGATTTGTGATTGTCGTATGAAATGGGTTGTTGATGATTTAATTCCTGTGCTGGTTAAAACAACTCCAAACTCATTAAACGATGTTTTATGTATTGAACCTGCATTCCTTTTCAATCAAAAACTTTTAGATTTACATGAAGAGAAAACTTCTCTCACCTGTTTTCATCATTTTGTTGATTATAATCACAGAAATATTAATCAAACATATGATGCCGATTATGAACAAACATCAATTAATACTTTGTATGAATTTCAAACAAGGCATTATGATTTCATCCTTGCTGCGCTGTTAATTGCTGTTCTATTATGTATGACAATAACTTACATTGCAGTTTTAATCTGCAATCGCCTCTGGTAATGAATCAATTATTGTTATTGTAAATTATTTGACATGAATAAAAACACATTTAATTCAACATTAATGTGAAAGCAAAACTTCCGAATTAATTAAATATTCATTGATTTGTTGTGCATACTTAATGTGAAGAGAAACATTACAACATTTATGCCAACTGTGTGATGATAATTCAAATGTTGCACAATTTCCACCAAACCAAAGTTAAATAAAAAATGTATGTAAATAAACATCAGATGGATTTCCCGAAAACGTCACAAGTTGCACAACATTATTTGTGCTGCTCGAAAAAATAACTTTTGCCTCTCCTTGTTTGCTTTGTTGTTGATGTGTAACACTTCATTTACTTGGCGAATATAAATAAATAAACCACTTTACACTAATATAAAGAGAGAAAGAAAGAAGGAAAGAAAGACAGAAAAAAACAACAAGCAGCGTCAACAAGCTGAAGCGGTTTCAATAAATTTCACTTTCTTTTAGTCGACCGATTGAAGCAACTTTTCATTAACATTTAAATTTCCCCATTGTTCTTATGTGGCGAGCCAAACTTACACTGAATTTTTGACTTTGAAACTGAAAACTTGTTACGAAATTAAAACCAACACAAGAGACAATAAAACTTTTGTTTAATTATATTTGTTTTAAAAAGTATTTAGAGTACATTGTTGATAACAGGTATCAGAGCGAGAAAGTGCCTTCGCTTATCAAACAATCTCGATAAGTAAATCCAAATACTTAAGTCGACTAACACAAACATAAAAAGTTTATTTTCAATATAAATTTGAGTTATGCAAATGACTGTGACCTGTATTTGGATACTTAATCGATGAATATATTCAGCTAAATATCGCAAAAGCTTTCAAAATTGATATTTTCCGTGTGAAGTTGTTTAAGAAACATCTCTATGGGAACTTTCCTTTAGCAGTGTTAATTAAGATGCTATCGTGACGTTTTAAATTGAAGCTAGTTGCACTCTTTTCTTAATCGTTCCACTACTCTTTTCTGTCAATTGATTAGCTGCCTTTTCTTCCTCCATCTCTTCTCTTCGATTCATAGTGAAGTGAATGTCAAGTTCAATAGCGTCGTCGACGCTAGAGGAAAACTTTCTATACACATCTCACATGTTACGCTTATTAATCTCATACCCTACCATTTATGTGATAATTGAATCATTTCGGAAGTGAATTGCTGCTTTAATTTTTACCACATTTTCCGCACAGTCAACCAATTTCTTCTTCACCATATTTGTTAGTGTCATTTGTATAGGTGAGAGCGCACGAGTCAGAAAGGCATTTTTTTCTACCCATTTCGTACAAGAAAAAGTTTTTACTTTCGAATCTGTTGTGGTTGCTTTGCAAACTCGAAGGCAAAAAAAAAATATATCCAAGATACACGATTTTTCTTTAGTTGTCTACGAAAAATCATTTTATTTATATTTTCGGTTGATTCGGCTTCAGTTGCGAGTAAGAAGTTGTAAACCAACAAACCTTTTCTTATTGCTCTTAGGCTTGTGGAGTTGGGGATTTTGGTCGTAAACTTTGGAGAGATTATAAACTTTTCCTTACCGCAGCCAAATACGCTTTAAAGTGATTCATCAAAAGTGAATAAAGAAGCATAAAACATTGCCTGAGACGCCAAGAAATGTCTCAAAAAGTTTCAGTGAAAGTGATTTTTGCAAATTCATGTTATTGATGATCAATAATTTTAATTTATGTTTTAAACAAACATTCAAAAGTGATAATTTGAAGATAATAACAGAAATAACATATCTAAGAAATCATGCATCAAGTTCAATTGAACATGAAAAAAGTGATAGCAGTGATAATTTGCTGCTTCTCATGTTATCAGTGTGATTATAGTTATAACGATAGATATAATGAGTTAGTGAATCACGGCAGTTTGAAGTCATCAATCGATAGTGAACTACCAAAAGAAGCAAAATTCTTCGATATGAACGATTTTGATTGTAAGTTTCAATCCGAAAGATTTGCATTCAACTTCTATTGCATGACATTCTATTACAAATTGAATAAAACAAAAACGAAAACAGAAGTCTTAAGCAATAATTCACTTATTGTGTAGTAAATTAATTTGGAAATATGTGACGCACTATAAATCGTTTTATTTTTGAAATCTCCTTAAAATGTTATGCTAAATAATTTGTGATTGAACGACGACGCGACTGATTCTCTAAAATTTCTGTGCTTTGTCTCAGCTTGATGTTTGTTTGTTGCTCTTACAAATCAATCATCATGATAAGACTGCATGGCTTAAAGAGAAGGAAAAGATCTCTCACTCTCTGCATATTTCTTATGCTTTTTTCATTCTTTTCGTTTTTCTTTCTTCATTTCTTTTCAAACGCAACACGAAGAGGAAAAACGTAGAGCAAGTGAAACAATGCAAAAGAAGAAAAGAGTTTCACCAGACCTCAGAGCCATTTGTTGTTGTCGAGACTTCTGAGAGAGCGTAAATTTATTGCTGAGTCTCAACTTTAATTTCATTCGTTTTCCTTTACTTGTTCACCATGTCTTCAGTTTATATTCGACGGTTAAAGATATAAAAGCGTTCCACACATGAGCCCGCGACGTCGATAGAAATAATAAATAAAAAGAAATCTTTTCATTCAAAAAACGCGTTTCATAATGCAATATTAAAAATTTTGTTTTTGGGTGTGAGCATAAATTATCGCGTCGAGTGAAAAGTGAAAAGCTTTGAGTCAGAAGTTAAACAAATTAAACTGTTCAAGGATAATGATTGAGAAAACTGTCTGATCGGTGGATTGGACCAAATTTTCTTCATCGTTTACTTGTTTATTCTTGTGAAAGAAAGAAAAAGAATTAAATCGTGAAAAATCAGTTAAGACGACGAAATATTAGAAATCAACCATGGTTAAAATGGTTGATGATCGATTAAAGATTGTCATCAGTGTCGTGATCGCTTTCCTATCTGTAGTTTCTAATCTAAATGTTGTCATGTGTAGTCCATCAGCTCAACAAGAGCATGAACTTCTACTACTTGATGCACTCAGTCGAAAGCAAATCAGCACAAATCTCAATGCGATTTCGAACAACAACAACTACGAGTCGAGTGCTATAATGAATATGTTGGGAAGAAGTATGTTATTTGAGATTGAAGCAGAATAAGAATGTTTCCACTTTCGCTTTCTCTCATTTACAATTATTACGAATTAAATTTTAAAATATTCATGCGGTCATTTCATATCCGTCGCTTGTTCAATTCACTCATCATGCTAGCCAAGGAGTGTTTCATTTTGTAAACTCTCTTCACGTATTAATTAAAAAATTGAAACAAAAGTCATTCGCCTCCCACTTTGTATGCTACAACGATTATTTATCATAACGGGGAACTTTAGTTTTATTGACAAAACGCAAAATTTAAATGGAGAAAAATTTCATTTTATTTTTTCTGTGAAGAACAATGAATCAAAAGAAGCTTCAAAGTGGAAAAATTGTGCTTTTTTGCACTCATCCACCCATGAAGCGATATTTGCAAAACAGCAATTTTACCTGCTTTCAGTACGAGAGCAAAAGAAAGAAAGAAAATAAAAGAAAGAATTTCTTTCTCGATAATTTCATTAAAGTGTTTAACTCTCGCGATTTGTGACGGAAATTGAATGAGACATTTCACTTTATGTTCCGACACTTTCTTGTCTTCCTTCTATCTGTTTCTTTCAATTATTTATTGTCTTCATTGATATATCATAACAGTTTTTATCTTAAACATTTTTGTTTTTTTTCTTCACTTCATTGAGTTTGAAGAGTTCAAAAAAAAAACCAAAAAATGAAAACAATTTACGTGATCGGCGAGTGATGTTATGCAATACGATTACTTACTAAATAATTTTCCGAATTTTTTTAATGAAATCATTTGTCTTTGAACATTTCCGCAGTTATTCCTCAAACTTGTCAGTACAAAAGAAAGAAGTACGAATGTGGTTTGTCAATTTCGTGTGTACTTAATGGAGGTAGATTTTGATCATTTTTTTAATCAAGAAAGAAACTTAAAATGAATGACAATTTAAAGGAAAACCAATGGATTTATGCTCGGGTGGAATGATTTGGAGTTGCTGTGTTGATCTTCTCACAACAGGTTCACATGACGATGAAGTATCTCAACCTGGATCCATTAACAATGCGAGTGAGTACCCAACTTTCTCAAGATGAGCTATTAATTAAGGTTTCTATATCAATCGACGATGCACGCAGTGAATCCACAATGATATGCAATTTTAAAGCATTTTAAATAATCAGTTAATGTGATTTATTAGAAACTAAATGGAAAATGTTATAAAATTTTACTTAACGAAGCTTAAGGAATGGACTAAGTCCGAAATAATATTTTTTCATGCATGAAACTTTTCAATCGAGATTCAAGATCAGATACAATGCACTCGCTTTACTTTCACTACTAACTGTCATCGTCATTAAAAGCCTTTCTTCACTTGAGTCGTTTCCATGTCCGAGTGAACTCTTTGACAGTAAAATTATAAAAAAAGTGATGATTGCTACCTTTTGTCATGTTTTCTCGATCCTCAAAGTCGGAAAGTCCCAGAAAGTTATTTCACGAATGGTTGATTCTGAAAATGTCGCAACAAAAACTGTCCTGACATTCGGCAGACGTCTGAGACATTCAATTATGCAATTCCGAAATAATAATAAGAATTGAGATTCTTATTAATCACGCAAAATCTCTTAAGCGAAAATAAATGAGTGCCGGCAAATTAAATGTCTGACGGAAAGAAAGAAACTAAATATAATTAGCTTTTTTGTTACACAACCGACCAAAAAATAGTTGCCTCCATTCATTATTATTTTAAGAATATGCCAAAAGAAACAAAAACATATTTCGATTGTGGTGTGTGAATTTTACTTTCGCTTTTTATTACTTTCTGGAGTTATGGGTTTAATAGAAAGAAGCTAAGAAAGTAAAAGTAATTTGCATTAGGGGCAATCATATTCCTGAACGTTTTCACAACCTTACTCAACTAGATACGTATTTATGCGAAACTTCAAATTGTTAATTCTAGAAACTCGAAAAAAAAGAAAAGAAAAGTTTTTGAATTTCTTAATGACAAATATTTGATCATCATAGGCAAATTGCTTCCAATTACACTCCCGAAAGTTCGAAATGAATGTCAAAATCAGGAAATTAACAGAGCATAGAGTTGCAATTTCCACAATTTCCATTATTTGTTAGATATCTTGCGAGCTTTTATGTAAAAGCCTCTCACAAAACCGCGTCGAAGCATATAAGTTATTCGAAGAAATTGTTCAAGAGAACTGTTAAAAGATTTAACAAGATTATTTCGAAGTTGTTGTATAATTGATATTTACATTTGCCACTCATCACGAACAACAACAAACTCTGTCGAGAGAAGTAAAGTGACGACATTGTTTGCAATTTATGTGCAACTTGTTCAACTTTAAACTCAATTTAATTGTAGGCGATATCATTCACTTGATTGGATATTATCCAACGAATCGTCCAACAACGACGACAACATCGCGACCACCAAGTCATGATGTTAATAACAAACCTTATTACCAATATCCTTATAATACAAATGATTGGAACTACGAGTCTAATCATATCCCGCATGGACCTGGTTCATCGATTTATCCCTCCTACAACTCTCCGGTTTCAACATCGAATACTCATCATAAGCCACACAATACTTACAACTACCACAACTATGGCGGATTTGTTGATGATTCAGGCTATCAAGCAACCTCCAGTCCAGTGATTTCCAACAACCACAACTATAATCATCCTCAAGTTACGCCTTCTAGACCTTCATCAGCAAACGGATATCAAAATAATGATTATCCAGAAGATGTCTTTGGCTATGGCTCATATCAGGGTATTGAAAGAAGTTTATGAAGTTTTAAAGCAAAGCACCTGAAGAATGCACGAAACACGATCCTGATTATAATATAACAATCCACGACCTTGAAATTTTCTCACAAAATGCATTTTTTTTTTGATAAAAATCTCTTTTCTTTCTTAATTAACGACGATTTACTTAACTCTCATAAAATTTAATTAATCAATGCTTTACTCTTAATGAAAGTGATAAACATTTCAAACTAACTTGCTTAATTTTCCTTTAACTTTTTATTTTCTAGCTTGTGGTGAACTTTACACGAGATCAAATCGAATAGTTGGTGGACATTCGTCAGCTTTTGGGACGCATCCTTGGCAAGCCGCTTTAATTAAGACAGGATTTTTGACAAAGAAATTAAGTTGTGGTGGTGCTTTATTATCGAAAAGGTTGAACAACTTGAATTATCTTGATTTCATTATGACATAACAAACGAATTTTCTTTTCTTTTCTTAACATCTAAAACGGATTACAGATGGGTAGTCACAGCAGGTAAATATCATCTCATGATGCTTGAGACATGCGGAACTTAGGCTTTTGTTTGTTTATTATTCTCAGCTCATTGCGTTGCAACGACTCCAAACTCGAATCTGAAGGTTCGCTTGGGCGAGTACAATGTGAAAGATCAAGATGAGCGTCTTCCGCATGAAGAATATTTAATAGAAAGAAAAGAAGTTCATCCCAATTATTCACCGAGTGATTTTCAAAACGATGTTGCCCTTGTGAAGTTAAATCGAAACGTCAAGTTTAAGCAACATATTTTACCGGTGTGTCTGCCTCCGCCATCTGCAAAGCTTATTGGAAAAATGGCAACTGTCGCAGGTCAGACATTTACTAAACCTTTACAATTGAAATTGTATTAATCAAAAGAATAAAATCACAGGTTGGGGAAGAATCAGACACGGTGCAACAACAGTTCCAAACGTTCTTCAAGAAGTTGACGTTGAAGTTATTCCAAATGATCGATGCCAAAGGTAGGAAAACTTTCTCTAAGTGAAATTATAAATTGAATTAAATTGTTGAATTTTAGATGGTTTAGAACAGCTGGTAGGCGAGAAATTATTCATGATGTTTTCCTCTGTGCGGGTTATAAAGAAGGGGTAAGCTTACTCACTTCTATTTGTTTACATTTTTAATCTAATTTTAATTTTTTTTATTCCCTTTTAGTCTCGTGACAGTTGTCAATTAAGTATCAATTCCAATCAAAAGAATTTCTTTCAAAACTCAAATCTTATTTTAAGTCTTTTAATTGTTTTCGCAGGGCGATAGCGGCGGACCGTTAACATTAACATTGGATGGCCGTAAGACACTTATCGGGCTGGTTTCATGGGGAATTGGGTAAATATTATGAATAACACAAAAATTAAGTTTCAAAACTTTAATGTTGATAAATTTAAAGATGTGGACGCGAACATTTACCGGGAGTGTACACAAATATTCAAAGGTTTGTTCCATGGATCGAAAAAGTAATGGGAAAAGAATATTAAACAAAGAAATATTCAAAGTGCCTGCAGCCAATTATATTTAATATTTATTTGAGTATTTCGTATTGCTGAAAATGTGAAAAACAAACCAAAATGTTAAACACTTAAGCAAAGCATTTCTGTAAATATTTGATTGTAAGAGAAATTTATTTTAAGTGAATTGGATAAAGTTTTTAATAAATTGTATGATTAAGTAAATTTATTTTATTGGTCTTATTGATGAAGTTTATTTTCAGGAAATTGAAGCAATTATTGTCGAGTTGAATGAAAAATGCTTCGAAGTTTTGTGTTTTGCATAACCTCAAGGGGCAAACACAAACGAAAGATTTCAATGCTACAAACAATGGAAACACAAATTTTGTGATCATAGTTTTGTGTTCGAAGAAAGAAAGAAAAAAGTTGAAACATTTATTTGGTATCGCTTGTCTTGAGATCGCGTAAAACAGTTTATCCAAAATATTCTAGGTCATTCAACTGATGAAGTGGCTTCTGCTTGTTTTCTCGTTGATGATTAAAGTAAGTTTGCTTCTGACGTTGAATATAAACAAATTGAGATTCTTTAAAGCTCAACGGAATTCTTGTCATGCAAATATCTAGGTCATTTCTATTTAATCATTTATTTTACGATTGATTGGCATAACTAAGAGAAAAAAATCAGGCTAAATGATGCGGTCTTAAGTATTAAAATAATACTAAGTAAAGCAACATTGAAAGGTAGAAAGCGACAGGCGATTAGAAATGTTTAATTACTTTCAATTTTATTAGCTAGTCTACATATGAAATTGTTATTAAAATTACCATTAATTGATAGAGAAACATTTTGAAACATTAAAAAATTTAAACAATAATAAATGCAGTTCGCAATAAAACATTCCAACTTTAAAAACATTAAAAGTATTAAAATGAGTTTTTTGGATTGCTTTCAAATAAAAAACAAATTTTTAATGTTTTCCATGAGCAAAGAAATCATGTTTGATGCTTTTCAATACCTTTGTGACAAAAATTCATTGAATAAAGCTTTTAACCATTCATTTGATCACTGTTATCGCTCACAAATATCTTTCCCAATGTTTCGTTCATGTTTTATAACAATTGCACCTGACTGTTGTATTGAAAGATCAACAAAAGAACATTCAACATCACAAAACATCGAGACTAAAAGACATGAGAGAAGAAAAGTAACAAGTTCAGTATAAGTTTAACTTCTTCAGTGTCAAGGTCTTAAAATAACAGCTAAAAGCAAGAAGGCAAAAGCGAATAGAGGAATAAAATTTAGTCTTCTTTAGCTCAGTGTATGTAACGTGAATGAGTAAAAAAAGAAAAATTTATGAAGCCAGTTTTCTGGATTTGTTTTGTTGCAAAAAATAAAATAAAATAAAACGAAGAGAGATAAATTTGTTTTAAAACGTATAAAGCGTAGTTCTGGAGGTATCATAATAATAGTTTCCTTTTTGTGGCATAAAACATACATCTTTTAGATAGAAACTCACGTTCTTATAGGTGCAAAATTTCAAAGATTAAAAGTAAGATTCTCTTGTAGAACGAAAACAAACTTGATTGCAAAAAGAATAAATTTATTCTTGAATGGAGAGAGATCTGGAATTTGTAAGACATTAAAAAAGATTTAATTGATGTCGCCTTTTAATTAATCACTAAATAAGTATTAAAAGAATTCTGAAAAAAACGACAAAAAGAAGATAAAAAGTTTGCAATGATGAAGTTTAAAAGAAGAATTAAAAATAAGTTGAATAAAGAATGTGAGACAAATCGAATAAGAAGACAAGAAGAAAAATGAACTGACCTGAAATTAAATCGTTAATTTACCTTTCTTCCAAATCGATGAATATTGGCTGATTCCATCAAGCAAAGCAGTGAACGTAAAGAATCGCGCGTTGGGCTCCAGAGAAAGACTTTTTCTCTTCGCCTCATATTTCGTGTTTGTGTTGTTTCACTTCTCTTCTCTAGAGCCCGCTTTTCTTCAATTTTTTATTTTATAACATATACATATTGATGGTTTTCTTGTGTATTACTTTTAATAAATACCGTTATTGAATAACAGTTTATGTGAAATAATTATAAAAGAGCGAGAGAGAGAAAAAGATGAAAATTTAGTAGCTTTCTGAAAGTTGAAGATCAAGAAATGAAAGAAATAATCAAGACAGTCTATCGAGAATGCTGATGCAATTAAGATTATCTCCGTGATGTGCTAATGTAAAATAAAATTGTTTTTTTCCTTTTAGATGGAGTTGACATCAAGAAGTTTTCTATGATTTCTTATCAACAGTGCGTGTTCGTTCAAAGTGTGTTCAAAAATAATTAAAAATACTAAACAAAAAAAAAACAAAGCCATTTAATAATTATATTGAAAGTGAAATTGTCGCATAAATTGTTTTGGTAGTTTAAATACTTTTTCTAAAGAAAGTTGATAGATCATTCACCTGGAATACCTTGAAAGAATGTTGAGAAAAAGATAAATTGACACGAATCTTCAACAAATTATCACATCACAGTTATACTATCAACTTACGCCAGTTATTTGGTTAATCGAGAGAATCAAAGAAGATTTTTTAATTAAATATTTAAGGTGAGTTTGCATTCTATGTTAATACAGTGGACTCTCCCCATAACATCTTGTTTTCCGGTCCTTTCAGAAATGCTATAGGGAGAGTACACTGTAATAAATTTAATAATTCCTTTATAATTGAATATCTCGTGAAAACGTGACTGCATTCAAGGTTTTAAATTATTACATATTAATCTACTTCGTATAAGAACCTTTTTTTGCATAAATAGGAAGCATTAATATGTATAAAGATCGCATGAACAATTTTTCAATAATATTTCTGTTCTACGTCGAGAAGATGAAAACGTTAATAGAGGTCAAGATTCAAAGTTATTTGCAGACAATATAAATTGCTTATCGAAGAATTTCTCCCAGTCCCGTGTTGTTGTTCAACACTCAAACACACACAAAACCTGTCTTTCAGATTATTTACATTTTCTGTAAATAGGTCAGCACAAATACCGAGTTTGTGCAACGTGGGAACAATTCTTTTAAGGAAACTTTTCTCTCGATGAAAGTGTTGCTTAATTCGATTCTCTTTGCATGCCAAAGAAAGGGATTAGATTGAGGTTGCGATTAAGTGGCAAACATTTCCAGGTTGACATGAAAATGTTATTATTAAACGAAACAAGCCCATTGTGCGTTGTTCACGTTTCTTTTTCGAGAAAGGTTGACAAACGATCGGGGTTAATAGAAGAGAAATTTTAATTACGCACAAAACATGTGTCGTCAATTTACAAACAAAAACAACACAAAAAGATTTAAAGTTAAATCTTTATTCACTTTTAAAAATTACTTTTGTTGTTGAATTTTTACGTGACAAAGGCCACATTTCTTTTTGTCTTCTTGTTGTTGTGACTTTTTGAGTGAATTTATGAATCTTTTAAACATGGAAAGAAATTACAAAGCTTTTACGAACTAATAAATTTTATTCTCGTGACTTTGGAAGGAAACCATGGTTCACATCATATCTCAGAAGAAAAATGAACTTTTTCTTTCCTCTCTCCCGAGAACCATAAAAAAAATAAGAATAAATGAATTTAATCATAGATTCTCATTATTCGTCATTAATGCTTCCTTTCGCAATTTCTTAAGTGTAGAATGAAACATCTTCGAACACAATTCTCAGTTCTTTGCACCACCAACACACTGTTGATCTCAAATGATGATTGTTTCTGTTGAAATGTTGATTTTTATTATGCTCAAGGCAACATCTAAGAAAAATTGAGAAAAGGTTTAACAACTTAAATGCATGAATATTAATTCTGTAGTATCTACTTTTCACATTAGAATTAAATTATTCTGAATTATTTTCATTAACTTAACATTTTAAATTAACTTTCATTAAATTTCACTCTTCAAGAATTAACATTAAATTCAATTATTTTGATAATTTCACATCATATAAGCAAACACTTCCTAACATGTCATTGTGTTCATCAAATGAACAGTTCAATCACCAACCGATCAATCAAAATTAATTTTCTAAACATTCCAAAGTTCTTTGAACTTTAAGCACATAACAACAAAAAAACAAGCATCGACAAAAGAAACATTAAAGAGCCATTAACAGTTGATACTGATACCGAAACCAATTCATGAGCGCATGACAAAGCAGAATAGTGCGAAGAAGGAAAGAAACACGAGATTGTACTGCTTTGGTTTTTCTTTTCATTTCTATCGATCATTAACTCAAACTTCACGCAACAGTTTCGTCACACGATAAATTTTCCAACTAATTTCATTTATTACATCACTTAGTGCAGCTTGTTTGTAATAAATTGACAAGAAGAAGTCTTCACTTATGTATTATTCAAATATGAGTATTAGACCACAAGAGATTATGCAAACATAACTTGAAACTCAAGTTCAGATATTTAATCCAAATGACCACAATTTATTCATTTTCTGTTTCTCTTTCAGATGTACGCAAATAATCGGACACGAAGAAAATGGAATCAAGTATTACTGTTTCTAGTGTCTTGTCACTTTGTTAAATATTCGATAAGTAGTCCAATATTCTCATCACAATTTTCACAATGTGAGTATTTATGAAAAATGGAAGTAACATTCGTTAAACTTATGCTTTTGTTCGTGAATGATATAAAGTGTAATTATATAATAACTTACGATTAAAACAGCTTGCGGAATGTGCAGAAAAATAAGTTTAATGCCAATGTCAAGATACATGAACTCGCTCGTTTGTCTTGCTTGTTGTTGCTAAGGCTAAAGGAAATTACATCAAAATATTTTTGTATTTATGCTTCATTGTTCTATGATTTTAATGCAAAAACAAGACGAAGAAAAATTAAATGTTGAAGAATTTATTCTTGTTAGAGTTCTCAGCGCGTCGTCTTCAGACCGATAAATTTGATTCCCATTGTCTTCATTTTTTAATAATTAATTTTAATTAGCCTCCAATTAAAAATAAAGCGTTTTTTTTAGGTGATTCCGTCTACATTTTCAAATAACATTTAAAGATGTTTCAAAAGAAATTCCAAGCTTAGTCATAGCTTAAAAACTTTCAACTTTAATGTTACGTAGTACGATCTGTGTCAGTTTTCTTTTAACGCTAAAATGCGATGAATATTTGCATTATTTACGAACTTTTCATTCTTCATTGACGCCTAAGCGGATCTGACAAAAAAAAAAGTTAAAACCGAATGAGTAAATAGAAAGTAAAGTTTTTTTGAAAGGCGAAATTGTGTCACTTCGCTTTGTTGTTTCAAGAGTTACAGAAAAAATAAAAAATTGAAATGAATGCTTAAGAATGAATCATCGTTTACAAGATGCTTACACTTTCTTAATGTTTCAATTTCGATCTTATCTTCATTGTTTTTATTTCTCAGTTTCATGTCTTGCATTCAACGTGAATCTACGTGTGAGATTCTTTTATTCATTCTTTGAGTTCTTAAAGTTTAATAATTTTATTCTCTTCTCTCATGCCATCATGTCATGGCTATGACTTCACGTGTTAATAATATTTAACAAAAAAAATGGGAAGAAGTCTTTTCTTCTCTTCAACAATTCTTTCATCAAGAAAGCAGCACGAATTCAACTAGGGCATTCAATTATCTTTGCCTATAATTAGCTGCCCGTTGCTACTACTGTCACTCGCCTTTCAACGTTCGTTTAATGGTTAAACTACGCGAATGTTTTCTTTAAAAAAAGCTAAAATTTGTTAACAGCTAGCAAGTGTCTTTGAGGTGAATGCACTTTGTTGAATGTTCCAGTTAAACATCTCGACTTGGCAGCTAACCAAAGAAAAAAAAGAACGTGGGCTAAAGATCTGATGAACAATGAAGCATAAATTTTCTCTTAAATAGAACATATTATAATGGAACATAAGCTACTTTCATTCTCTTGATGTCGATGAAAGATACGCTTATGAAGGTCAAGGATAATCTTTAAGTGCTGTTGACCAATCAACAACGATTCATGTCCATGCTGTTGTACAATGTAAAACCTCAATCTCACGATTCTTGATCTTTCTTTCTCTCTCCTTTCTGCTTTCTCATTACATTTCAGTTCAAGCTGCTAGAAATATAAGAAATTTACCCTGCATAGCCAAAAGGAGTGGACTGAAAGGTGTCTGCATGTTTGCAATAGATTGCATAAAATCTAACGGGACACATCTAGGGACATGTATTGATAAGTTTTACTTTGGCTCATGTTGCCAAATGAAGGTATGTTCGTTCGCTTAAATAAATAAATGTTGATTAAGTTGCATTTAATGATAATTAATCTTGTGTATCCCCTTTACCAGTTACAAGACGTAGATTCAATTTACAATCCAGAAATAAGTGATAATAGAATAGATACAAGCTTCTCCACATCATCACATAACACAAACTCCATCAGTGAAAAACCATTTGTACCAGCATCATCGTCATCAACGACTTCTCTTTCGACTCCAGTTACGCATATCGCGAGTAATTATAAGACCACATTAAAGCCAGTAATTAATTACAACAACAAAACGTTTGAATTGATACCGACGTCGTCAAAACGTCCCCAACCAACAACGGAAAGTGCAACAGAAAAATATACAGTACAAGTTGGTGGCTTTACAACGACCTTAGGCACAATCATACAAAGAAATATTTCATCTTCAATCGGTTTGAGTGATGAGCCTACTACAACTGAGGGCATTAAACTCACAACATTCCAATCGATTCAGGACACGAAGAAATCAACAACAAAGTTGACAACTAAACAGCCAACATTAAGTACAACACAAAAGAAGACTACTAATAAGAAGCATAGCACAAAGCCTTCAAATTCGACTAAGAAACCAGTTTCAGTGCAAGCATTTAATCGAACATCTGTTTCGTCAAGTGCGACAAGTACGGCGAAGATAACGAGAAGACCAGTAACGACTATTAAACCATCCAAAAATGCTACATCAACTGTGATAAAAACAACAAGAAAACCAGTCGCGTCAACAAACGTAACCGTAAATCGTAGAACGACAATTTCATCGCGAAGAAATTCCACGATTAGCACAAGGAAACCAACAACTATTACAACATCAACGACACCAGAAGCGTTGATAACAATTTCCTATGTTGAAACGACAAAAGTTCCACGTCCCAGACCAACACCAACCGATTTCGTGGTGAAAGTAGAGCCTTCAACTCTCTCCACAGAAGATTTGCTTGTCACGACATTTTCGGTTAACTCAGTTGATAGAACGTCAAGTATGAAGCCTTCATTCACAACAGCTAAGCCGACAATGACCACATCGACCGTTAAATCTACGTCCGTCACGCGAAGAACAACTAAACGTCCAAGTCCAAGCTCAACGACAGTTTCTATTAAGAAGCCTATAACGGAACCATCAACAAGTACAACGATCAGAACAACAACAATTAATAACTTAACTTCTTCCTCTGTTATGAAAGACGAAACATCTTCCAGGCCGTTTAATTTGACATCGACAGAGAGAACGACAACGGAAGGAAAGGTTGAAATTCCCACGACATCAACATCGCCATCAGCATTAGTAACATGGACAATTGAGAATGATTTTGTTGAGAATACAACAAAAGGTGAGTTTATCTTCCATCTGGTGAGGTTGCATGCTTACATCATTTATTTATGTTCCTCATTCATGCACATTCTTGACAAAGCGCATGCAAAATGCTTACTACAAACTAAGTTAATTAATCCGTGACAGAACGTGTGCAATTATTCATTTCAACATTTTATTATTCGCTTTTGTGATGCAACAACATTCATAATAATCTTGCTAACTTAAAAATGTTACTAATCACACATTTTCAGACGAATCTTGGATTCTCATTTCAAGTGTTACACCAAATGACACAAAAACACCATCAACAGAATCGGTTTTAAACACGACTGTTGTCACTTCTACATTGTTTTCCACATTATCTCCTAACATTACAAATGAAATAACTTTTGGGCAAGGATCATCAACCGAGAAAGTACCAGAATCGACTTTAATGTCGACGAGTAGTGAAGAAGAAGATTCGTCGGAATATCTTGGTGTGACGGGGACTTCATCTGAATATTCTTCATCTGAGAGTCAAGAACAAAATGAAGATGAAGAAACCACGACAATAGAAATTTCCGAGTCTGAAGCTATTAAAACTAATCTAACATCATCGACAAACATAGAATCGGGTAAACGACAGAAACAGTCACTAATTTTATTAACATACATATTTTCATGATGTCTAACTGTTCTAACAACTTCATAACTTCATTCATTCATTCAAATATGTCGTCAATTTGTGATAAATCTTAACATACTTTTATTCCTCTTTCATAAGAGTGACAACACTTTTGAATGACACATTATTCAATGCTAAATCATGTTAATAATATCCGACTTAATAATTTAGAAGACACATCACATCCCGTTAATATTTCATCGTCAACCCAACGACCGAATGATGAATCAATGCCGGTTATAAATCCTGATGAAACGACAATGTGGTCAGTGACACAAAGAAATAATGAGACATCCGAAGCAGCATCCTCAATTCAAACATCGACAGAAGAAAGTGTAACGAGATTTAATGAATCATCGTCGGTATCTTATCCAACAAGCGCCATTCCAAATCTCGAAGGAGTTGATTACAAAACAAGTAGAAGATTCTGATGAAGAAAAATACAATTTTGACTTACATTTCCTTCACTTTCTAGTTTGTGGAAAGAGAATGTTCCCTGAACCAAGAATTGTTGGTGGAGCGAAAGCTTCTTTCGGTCGATGGCCTTGGCAAATTTCCTTGCGACAATGGAGAACTTCAACTTATCTACATAAATGTGGAAGTGCGCTATTAAATGAGAATTGGGCGATATCTGCAGCGCATTGTGTTGACAAGTAATAAAAAGAAGATTTTGTATGCTCAATAAATTTGAATGTGAAATAACTTTTCTCGTTTTAATTTAAGTGTCCCGCCATCGGATCTTCTTCTACGATTAGGGGAATACGATTTGTCAATTGAAGAAGAACCTTATGGTTATCAAGAACGACGAGTACAAATCGTTGCTTCTCATCCACAGTTCGATCCAAGAACATTCGAATATGATTTAGCATTGCTTAGGTAAATATTTTTCAAATTTTGCATTTATAAATGTTGTTTATTTAATGATGATGATTTTCGATTTAGATTCTTTGAACCGGTTGTCTTCCAACCAAATATTATTCCTGTTTGCGTTCCCGAAATTGATGAAAATTTTATAGGCAGAACTGCTTATGTGACAGGATGGGGAAGACTTTATGAAGGTAAAATAAAGAATTTGAAGAAATGATGATTAAGAATTCTTTAAACTTTCGCACTTTTAGATGGACCACTTCCATCAGTACTACAAGAAGTTACAGTACCAGTGATTAAGAATGAAATATGCGAGTCAATGTATCGTAATGCTGGTTACATCGAACACATTCCTCATATTTTCATTTGTGCTGGTCATAAGTTGGGATCGAAAGATTCATGTGAAGGAGATTCAGGAGGTAAAAAGTCAAGTTTGTATTCAACATTATTTAATTTTATGATAACGAATAATTGCTTAGGTCCGATGGTTATTCAACGAACTGATAAGAGGTTTCAACTTGCTGGAATAATTTCATGGGGTAAAATAACCGGCAATTATGATAAAATATTTACTTTGTTTTCATAATACTAATTTCTAGGTATTGGATGTGCTGAGCCTAACCAACCCGGTGTTTACACAAGAATATCCGAGTTCCGCGATTGGATAAATCAAATATTGATGTTTTAGTTGTCAAAAAACAAAAGGAAATGATGAAGAAAGTCGCAAGATTAAAATTTAAATTCCATGCGCATAAACCAACAGTTGTGATTAACGTCAATTAACTTTATTGTTGTGTGTTCATAAAACACGTTAAAATAATCGAGAAAAGCAATCTTAAATGGTGCTTAAAGTGGAGATTAGCAAATGGACAAACCATAAAATAATTTCATGATTTTTTATTATATTTCTGCATGAGAGGGTCCTTTGATAGCTCTCAAGAGCGCAACAAAAAAAGAATAATCGAAAACCTTGATGTAAAATCAGATTATGTTAAATTAAAGTTAAATTATTCAAAAGCCGAATTCTTATTTATTCCTAATAACTACAAAAAAGTATCTTTAAAAACTGACAAGAAGATAGCAAAATCCATGGAATAATAATTTGAAATGTTTTCTAAACGAATCTTTCATTTCTCATTAATATTTCATCTTTAAGTTTTATTTGTATTTGCTAAGGACTTTTTAAACTTCTAAGAGAAACAAAAATTGTATCTGAATATGAAAATGAAAGATGAAGAATGTAAATTCAAACAATAAAATTTTATTTATTAAGAACTTGTGAGAATTTTTATTATTTTATTTCAGAAAATTAGTTTTAAAAGTTAGTCAAGTTAAATTTTAAATTCTTTTTTCATTATCCTTTAATTACCATCTAACAAATAATGAAAATCTTAAGAGAGCTTTCAAAGTTTTTATCGTCAACATCATGAAATGCAGTATGAAAGCATGGCATGAAAATAAAAAGAAATGTTAAAAGCTTCTGAGAGAAGATCTCGCAACCACCTTGACACTGAACATGAAAAGCCTATAAAAATCTCTTCCGTACTCTCATTATTCAACACGCATATAAACACACACATCGACAGCATGAGGCAGTTTGTATAGAAAATAGTAAACTACCGAATGAATCTCTGGTCTCTTCTTTAACGAGAAACATGAATGAAGCAGAAGAAATAGGATTGGAAATGTAAGTATGTTGTTTTACTTTCCTGTTAATTCTCAGTTTCTTTCACGAGCCCCACAACCAACGTCTTCAGCTGAAAACGTTGTTTGAATATTCACTCCATCATCTTCCAGTTCCATTCAGTCGGTAGTTGGCAGTCGATCGCGACGGTTGGAAAAAAAAGAAATAAAATAAAGTTGATTGAGCGAAGAAAGAAAATAAAACGAGAAGCGTTAATCAAACATTCTTCGCTCAGTTGTATACAACGGTACATTGGGAATAAGTAGTTTAAGTGACGAAAAATATAAAAAATTGTGTCAACTTATGTGCGAAAAGGAAATTAACATTAAATAAATGAGGCAATGATAAATAATCAGCTGTCACTCTAACGTAACAATTGTTTTGTCAGCGCTGATCGTCTTAACAATTTAAGCGCTGATCTCGGTGAAGAAATAAAAAAGAAGAATAAAGCAACATAAGAGATTTTCTCACTTTATATAGACAATAAATTAAAGTGTGAAAATCATCGCACAGATTAGCCATGATGTATCATATTAAGTCAAACCTCTCACTCAAATTGTTGTTCTTCATCCTTATATCGCTGGATAGCTTTCACACATTAAACGGATTAAGTTTAGCAGGTGACAGAGGTGAGTGAATAAGCGTACGCGATTGTCGTTTTAAAACAATAAAAGAAATCGATGGTAGTGCAATGAGCCTTTTAGAAAGTGTCAGATTCTCTCACTTTTTGTTTTTCAACTTAAATACGAACCTAATTGAAAATGAATACGAAATAAAAAGGCTCTTCGAAGAAAATATCTGCAAGTTTCTAACTATGTCACGACATGAAACCAAACAGTGCAGCATAAATTCCACATTTCTCTCCATTGACTCGTTGAGGTCTGTTTTCCCTCTTCTTGTTGCCTTTTTTTTTTCTTCTCCGTATACTTACTCTGATGATGATAATTCTTTGCCTCTCTCTCATCGAAACCATTTCCATACCACATCACGTTGTGTTTACGAAAAAAAAAAAGTAAAACTCAAAATATGGGTCAAAAATTATATTTTTATTACTGTTGCTGAACGTAGATGAGATTCATACACGCAACCACAAACAGCAAATAAAAAAAGAAGCCATTCGTGATCAATCCCGAATTTTTTTTTGTTACTTTTAAATTTCACTTGTTGCTGATGGTTCAACACGAGGCATCGTCATGTTTCTTTCTCATTGTTGTTCATTTTATTTCTTATTAAAATGTTAGTCTGGTCGTGTTCTTTATCGGTACTCGCCCTCAAGAATATTTATTTGTTAAGAAAGGAGAAGACAAGGAAAGGCAAGAAGAAAACAAAAATTGGAAAGTAAAAAATTGCCTCAAGTCACTGCTGCTGATTGCTGTTTCTGATTACTTTTTCTTCTTATAGAAGGTGCTGTGTCATCTGTTTTCTCTCTCACTGGACTTTGTTGTGGCTCGTTTTTTATTTTGCTTTTTGGGCAGTCATCTTAAACGTATTTTTATTACCTTCAATTTTACCTGATTTCGGTTTAAATCCAAAGTCGTGCGAAGAATTTCTGTCGCTTCGTTTGCATGAAACATTTTAAATTTCTGTGTCAATTTGCACGCTTTTATTTTGCATAATTAGCCGGAAGAGTTTTGCGCTTCTTTTCAGCTTGCTAATTGTTAATGGGAGCTCAGCAAAAAAAGAGAGAATTATGATATTTGACGAAAATTTCTTGTAAACTTGTCTTTGCGTTAATATTTTTAAAATCAATATTTGAAGATGCAAATTGCGGATTCGTGAAAGTGAAAGACAAAAACAAAAAATATGTATCTGAGACATTGAGTTCAACGCGAATGGGATGTAAGAGAAAGAATGGCGACATTGCATTTAAATTTAATAAAGCACGAATCATATGCTTAAAATAGAAATGGAAATCGTATTTGAGAGAGTGACAGAGAAACAACAGTTAGCACTTTGCGTTCAATAAATTTAATTATTACTTTTTCAGTAAATGTACGTTCTTGAACTTCTTTCTGCCTTATCACCAGGCCATTGAACTCACCATGTAAATTTTAAAACATGTACACAAGAATATATTTGCTTGCCATTTAGCCCAAAGGGATTTAGAAGCTTTCAGCAATGTTCTTCAATTTGCAATAAAACATGAAAGACTTTTCACTGTTTGTTCTATCTATTTATATGAAATGTGTTTTTCTGTTTTGACATCTTTTAGATTATGATTTAAAGCATTGCTAAGTGTATGAGAATTTAAATCACGTACATAAAGTTAAGATCATATCTGACGTGAGTGAAAAGAAGAATTCGTGTTCGTATTCTTAAAAGGAATTTTTGAAATTCTTCTTTCTATTCAAAGGCTTTCAACAATTATATGGAAATTCACACAAAAAGGTTCGCTTGAAGACCTTTTTTAAAACACTTAACTTTTTTTTTCACTGACTAAGTTATCCTTTTAAACTTTTCGCGCCAGGTCAATGCTTTACCCTTCTCGTTTAGTACGCTTGCTTTTTAGTACCTTTAGCTTAAATTGTCTTGGGAGGCTTTCCAACTTTTGGAAGGAACCACCGAACCGCAATAAAAATTCATGAAGGCAATGAATCGAAGAAGAAAAACAAAAATTAGAAAATGAGGTTTCGTTTTAGCTCAACAAAGTCGCATTAAGTAAATTAGTCAGCAGCACAGGGAAGACTTTGTAGATGAAAGAAAAGTCTTTCATCGATTTCTATATTTTCAAAAGCTAATTTCGTTTTGTCCAATGAACTCTCTCACCTTCATATACTTATCATAGCTTTCAATTCTCAATCCAATTACAACGGCAATGAAATTTAATAATTTTATTGCGCTACAAAGGTTGATGATACTTATATAGTCTATTGATGCTTAATTCACTTCACTTTCTCTATCAATCGTAAAGGAAAGAACATATGCGATTAAATTAACGAGACATCGTAAAAAGAACTTCGCATCAATGGGATGAAAAGAGAATTGAACGCTTAACTATAATTCGATCATATGTGAAGCACTGTTATCTATGTCAAAACGGTATTATTGCAGAAAAATTATTTTACAGAGCATAAAAATTGTCTGACATACTTTTTTATGCTTCTCCTTTTCAATTAAAAACCAGAGCTTCAATGATTCTTTTTTTTTCTTAAATAACATAGGAAAGCTAAACAAACATCAAATTATAAATATTTTCTCTCATTCCTTCATCAAATTTAATATCTTCAAAGAAATTTATTTCAATGTTTTTATTTTTGCGTGTAAAAATAGAAAGAAAAACAAAAAAGCTTCTTCGCCTTTTGTAAGAGGTTTTTGATCTTAAATTTGGTTCGACAACAATGAGAGAATCTCGGTTAATATTTTGGGGCTTTAGCAATTAAGGTATTTTATTTGTTATCTTGACAGATTCATTCATATGGGAATATTTTCTTATGCTTTTTTTTCCTCACCACCCCCACATATTTCGCAGTTAGCTTTTCACAGCCATAAAATCAAATCTTTTTATCTCTTGAGAATGTCGAACATCCTCCAGGTTCTTCTTGTTTTCATTTTAACCTTTACATTTACATTATAGCCTTAATGGTTAAACGTGAGATTTCAAACTATATCATCGGGAAATCTAAAAGTGATACGATAAACTCAGTGAAAGCTCTAAAAGCAAACTAATAACATCACGTTCAAACAACACAAAAGAAAAAGGGTCGACAAACCCATGATCCTGTAATTGCTTATTTTCTGACGCTTGTTTTCGACAACATTCAAGACATGATTTTGCGACAAAGAACAAAAATGAACGGAAGCGGATGTGGTAACAGTAGGCAAGTCACGCAATATACGAACGTTACTTTCAAAGGATTTTTAATTTCGGTCATAAAAATAGCATAACCTGAATCATTCGTGCCAGAATCTGTTGCTTTTGTAAAGAAATCGATAGTTTTCATAATCATCATAAATAATCATACTCAACATAGATTCAACGAAAATTTAGGTAAAGTTTAATGTGCAGTCAAATTCATGGACACTTAATCACGTTTCGCTTTAAAGCATCACCTCTTAGTAAACAACAATACAAACTTTCTTTACTTCAATCGATTTCTTCGGTCTACAAAATCTCAATGTTGGATGTTTACTTTTTTATGAGACATGTGTGTCGTCTCTGGCTTTGTTGCTGCTGTTGTTGTAAGCAAATTGTTCAATTTGTTCGAAAGTAAATTGAATTAGGAGTCTTCTTCTCTTTTCTCGTTTGATATTAAAAATGAATGATCAAAGATTTGCTTTTCAATGTTCGATTATTGTTTTCTTCTTTTTCGATGCCATGTTAACAACTCATTTGTCTTTACTTTCGGAAAGTTATTTATGAAAGAAATTATCAGAATTAACTGTGGGATGAACAGCTTAATCGTCTTCAAATTGAATGAATTCATGAAATTGAAAACAAAAACTATCTAAAAGTCATTTCTAGTCATCTTAACTCTTAACAAAGAAAAAAGAAATAAATAAACGAGAGACGAAGAATGAAATGAAGAAGAAATGTGTCATCGAGCTTACAGAGAGTAAAATCTTTATTCAAATAAACTTCTTTTTCACTTTTCATCCCGCAGACCTGTAGTAAAAGATTTTGAAAGCAAAACTAACCGTGAAATGGTTAAGAGAATGGAAATTGTTGAAGTCATCAATTTACGCTTGTCTTATGTATTGTAATTTAAATAAGTTCTGCAAGTGAAAGCGTTCTGTTAAGTGGTAACGGAATAAAAAATATTAATAAAAATAGATGCTTGAAGTAAAATAAAATCTACTCGACTGCACTAATGAAAACACTGTAAGGTGAAGTAGGTTACTCACATAAATAATCTTAAAGCAGCAGCGAGAACGTCTCTTCTGGTTTTGGTTTCAAAACTTCCCAGCGAACGGTTTCAAATATACATAACAACACACACACACACTCACACAAAATGTGAACTTTACGTCCGTTAATGAACGGAAGCTAGTTAGGAAAGTTAAACATGGCCCATGAAAAACTGTTCTGCTCTTAACTTAATTAATAAAACAACATTTCTAAATATTTAGCTCTCTCCTATTCACGCTGAATATTTCGTTATCATTAAAGCAGTAACGGGTAGAACAAGAGTCATTACTTAAAGTATTTATAATGTTGTCTGCAACTTTAATTCTTCATTTAATTTTATGTTAATGTCTTTTTCAGATGGAAGAAAGCTTTTTGGTGGCTATAAAATTACGCCAAAGTTTTGTATGGACGCGAAAGCCGCCAAATCTGATGTAAAAATTCATGGACCAGCCATTTGTATGTTCAATCACGAATGTGTTGAAAGAAAAGGAAGAGTCATTGGAGCTTGCATGGATGGGTGAGTTTCAATTGGTTACACTTTAAGAATTCGAACACGGTCACATCTGTTTTATTCTTCACCCATAAATAGTTTTCTGTTTGGGACGTGTTGTCTATTATCTGGTGAAGTTGAAACTTCTTTAGCTGATGCCAGCAGCTATGAATCTCAAGAACTGAAAGACAATACAAATAAGATGAAAGAACATAACAACAACAAGCCTCTTGTAATAAATAATCAATTTTACGGGTCGAATGCTGCTGATGAAGATGAAAGTTTATATGAGAATACGAAAATTGAGGTTTCGAATGATGCTGTGGTTGTTTCATCGCCAGCTTACGGTGAAAAAATTACTTCTTCGAATTATCCAACAGAATCTAGTTTTCAATCAACACAATATGGTGCTAGTCATAGTCACTCACCAGGTTATTCAACAGAACTCCCGACCCGAATTCATTCGACAACACAATTGTCTGACGAGTACGAAATGAATAATTTCCCAGCTGAAAATCACTTTAGTAAGATTCCGTATGATCACAGCGGCATATCTTATTCACCAAGCGATGCTGAAGTATTGTCGGAAGATAATCTCATCAGTTCATACCCGTCATCAACTCCTGAGACTTTTGTTACTGGAACAAGCACAGAAGCTTTTGACTATAATAATAACAAAAATAAATTCTCGAAGCCAATTTTCAAACTGAAACCTACGCAGAGTCAAACTGCTTCAACTGAAAAGTTTGTTCTCGTTCACACAATTTCGAATGAGAAAGTAAACGAAGCAAATCAAGAAAATCATACGAAACGACCTTCAACAAACGAATCCATTCAATCAATAATCTTGATGTTGAATGGAAGTAATCCAGGACCAGGACCTGAATACAATGTTGACTCGATGAATAATTATGTGTCGGGTTCAACACCGTCATATGGCGGTGGTAGCACGGTAATGATCGATCAAGATAAATATGGCTCGTCAAGTTATTATATTACGACAAAGATTCCTTCATCATCTTCAACAAGCTACGTTTATCCAACCCGTAGACAGCCAACAAAAACCACAACGGTGAAAAATGCCAACAGAATAAAAATCACATCAACAACTCAATCTCCTCCAACAACAACTCCACCAAATGTCCCTTCAACGAGTTATGTTTATTCGCCGAAGCCAATTAGGAAACGTCCAACCGTCACATCATCCACCGTATCGCCATCAACCTTAATCAAAAAGCAGACCACAAATATCGTAAAGAAGACGACACCGAAACCATTAATAATTGTGAAAAAGCCAACGTCTAATGTTGGGGGCAATTACGTGGTTATTTCAGGTGGTGGTATCACAAAACATCCATCACCGACGGTTCATATTACCCCAAAGCCTATCGTTAACATTTTAACATCAAGTACGGTAAATCAAATGAGTAATATACAAACAAAGCGTCCTTCTGGCATAAATGCACCCAAACCTTCATCGTCAGTTACCGAACGACCAGTTTTCATGAGTACAACTCCCGGTACATTTATTTCATCGTCTATTTATGTTCCAGCGATACAAGATTTCCATAACGAAGGATATTTTGTTGTGACACATCAACCTGCTGCAGCGGGTGTTTCATCAACAGCTGTTTACACAATCAACTCAGGAATATTAAATTCGAATGATGTTAAACTATCTGAAAATGATTCGGTGGATCTAAATGATGAAACATCTGTGATAAATAATGATGACTTGAGTAACTTTCCTCCAGTGCGTAATCCGAATTTAAATTTAACAGCAGTAAACACGGTCATAAATGAAGCAGAAATATCAACACCTGAGTTTGTTGATGATGAGAAGCTTACCAGTAAGATTGATTTGCTCGTTACGAAACTTGTTGCATCGATGCAAGGAAATTTAGAAAATTTAATTGATATTGTTTATGAACGTAAGAATGTTACCACAGTGGAACAAAATTTAATAAATGTGAAGAAGAATGGAACAATTCAGGCAACAAAGCCAACAAAAGTGAGTAACACGAAGCCATCAAATGTCAAGGTTACGACGAAAGCACCGACGAGAGGAACAACCGGGAGGCCTAGCCAACAGACGACGAAAAAAACCGCCACAAAAGCTACAACAAAAAAACCGTCGACAGCCATCAAAAAGCCAACGTCAAAGCCCGGCTCGAATAACAGTCAAACAAGCAAGAAGCCTCCAGCTCGTGTCACGACAACCGTTTCAACGAAAAAGCCCACAAGGAAGGTCACTACGACAACAACATCAACAACTGAACGTGCACCAGCCAATGATGAGTTGATTCAAGAAGAAGGAGAAGATGGAGCGACAGGGGAGAATGAAGATGAAAATGTCGTCGATGAGAGTGAAGTTGAAGCAACTCCAGCCCCTCTTGAGAATGGAAGAATTCGTAAGAAGATTAGTTTTCTTAATTAAAAACAATTCACTCTGGGATAAGTTGAGAAATATTCTTACAGTTTAATATTTCACAGAATGTGGTGTTCGTCCTCATTATAAAAGTGGAAGAATCGTTGGTGGCAAAGCATCAGCATTCGGTGAGTTTCCCTGGCAAGTGCTGGTAAGAGAATCAACATGGTTGGGATTATTTACGAAAAATAAATGCGGTGGCGTCTTGATATCAAACAACTATGTAGTCACAGCAGGTAATTTCTCCATAATTTTACATTTCAATCTTCTTACTGAATCGTAATTTTTCCTATTTTCATATTTTTTTCTTACATCATCCACCCACACTCCTATATATTGGGGAACAAAACCATAGCACATTGTCAACCTGGTTTCTTAGCATCACTTGTAGCTGTTTTTGGAGAGTATGACATCTCAGGTGATTTAGAATCGAAGCGTTCGGTATCAAAGAATGTCAAACGTGTCATTGTTCATCGTCAATATGATGCTGCAACATTTGAAAACGATTTAGCTATTTTAGAGTTAGAATCACCGATTCGTTACGACACACATATAGGTAAGTTAAAAAATTCTTTTGTCTGCTTGAACGAACGTCTCGACTTTCATTCATCTAAACATAAAATATTCAAATTTATTCTTTTGAGTTATTTTTTTTTTGTTTTTGATGATGTAAACGTGACATGTTCTTTACTTTTCTCTGAGAAAAAATAACATTCAAAAGAGCTGCATTTATGTTGGGAAGAGAAAGGTCAAGGGTTAGATTTGTCTGTCTCAGTCTATTTAAGTATTAAAATAAGACATCATAGACGAATAATTTTAAATTCATGGAGGAGTCAGCATAGCAACTAATAAAATGTTTATAAATATCTATCAAGTAAGGATGATATTACATTACAAGCATTGCTCATTTTATTATTTTGAACATGAATATATGTACACGTTTATGGTAGTTAATTAAATTTATGTTCTCAAATCATAAAATTGTTAATAAGAGAAATGCGAAGAAAATATTTTCATATATTCGATTTCATTCTAAAACTTTTGTTATTGATGTTGTTTCTGTTTAAATTTATTTGCTGAGAATATTTGCGAGTTTCGTTGCCTGAATTTTGAATCAAATAAATAGGCGGGGGGTGGTATTGATAAATGAATTCCCAAAGTGATTCTGACAGAATGTGGAATTTTATTTATAAATAGAATTTAACTTCATTTTATTGCTTGTTGCAGTTCCAATTTGCATGCCACCTGATGGAGCAGAATTTACTGGAAAAGTGGCCACTGTCAGTGGGTGGGGACGACTCAAATACGGTGGAGGTGTCCCTTCAGTACTACAAGAAGTTCAAGTAAGTTGTTGTATGTGAACCGAATCAACTTTTTTTTATAGCTAAAGCTTATCATAAAATGTTAAGTAAAAGTCATAAAAATGCTTTCAACACACCCGAATTAACTTTTGTCTCGATGACGTCATAAACTCTTCAAGTTTTCTCCATAAAATTAGACATTCAGTTTGAATTCTTTTATCTTATAAATCTATTTTTATCTCAATTTATTCAAAGGTTCCCATCATAGAGAATTCTGTGTGTCAAGAAATGTTTGCTGCTGCAGGTCATACAAAGAAAATTCTCTCATCGTTCCTCTGTGCTGGTTACGCGAATGGTCAGAAAGATAGTAAGTGGGATGTTTGATTTAAAATAAAAGTTGAATTTATTAACTTTTGTTTCTTTTTTATTAATCTTCATGAAGGTTGTGAGGTAAGTCGTTATTTAATACAATTTTCCTTTTCCTCGAATTGCCTTAACTTCTCTTTTTTAAATGTACGCAGGGTGACTCTGGTGGGCCGCTTGTGATGCAAAGATCTGATGGTCGTTATCAGTTAGTTGGAACGGTTTCTCATGGCATTAAATGCGCATCACCGCTTTTACCTGGAGTTTATATGAGAACAAACTTTTACAAGCCATGGATAAAAAGCATAACAGGAATTAAATAAATCAATGTGAGAGGAGATTGAGGCGAATCTCAGCAAAGAAAATCTTCTTACTTACATGTCCTTGTTTTAAAATTCTTCCGGTTTTCCTAGAAGAAAGAAAAACTTTTCCGAGAACATTCCACAAAATCTTCCTTCTATCTTTAGACATTTTTTTTCTGTTTTTGACGCTTCATTTTGTTATTTTAGGTCAAAGTTTATTCTGGGAATTCATTTTATATTTTTTAATTAAATTTCTTCTGCAGTAAGCTGGAAACGAAGATTTCCATGTGGATGAGCGAAGGAGATTTAAAATAATTTAAATGTTCATCTAGTTTTTATTTTTAAACATGAACAAAACTTTGTTACCGACTTTAACATTCAGAAATGTTATCGTCGTTAAAGGTTTATTTCAACTTTTACGATGTAGATATGTCTATCTATCTTTACTTATCTATGTCAGAAAGTTTTCATCTCCACATACTTCCTGTCGTCTGCTCAACGTCAGATTTCTGATAGAAAAAATGTCTCGAATTTTATTTGGTTTGAGCTGTGATTTTGAATTTTGAAATGTTAGATTTGCTTTTTTTTTGAACTTGTATCAAACCAAATTATCCTCGAGAACGGAAAATATATGAAATTGTGAAAGAAAAAAAGAGGAAATGATTTAAAATGCTCAACTTAATTTATTCATGAATTTTTTTTGTCTGTTTATGCATTTTGAAAACGGAAAAGCTAAAATTTATTTTCTTTGTTCTTTCGAGCATTTGCGAAGAATTTATGAAAATGTTGTATATAAAATTAGATACTTTATGATGAGTTATTGTTAATTAGATTAAATTTTTATTTATTTGATTTATTTATTATGATGATGGCGATCGAGAAGAAAAAGTTTTCAATAAAATGAAAGTTAATGTATTACATAAAATTTGATTCTTTATTTCTCTTCGACAACAAACAAAAGGTTGGAAAGGTTAACAGCTTTTTCGTGTCAAAAAAATATTGATTTATGATGTGGCATAGTGACGAATTAATGGCAGACATGACGTATTACAATGCGTGGGAGTTCACCACTAGCTCTATGAAAGAATCAAGAACAAAAATGAATAACTTGTCAGTAAGTATTACGAGGGATTATGATAGCTTTCTTTATATCCCCTCCCCACCCCCATTCACATCATTTTTCAAAGGAAAATGTTCAGACAGCCAGAATTTTTAAATATCTGACAAAGAATATTTTAAATTAATAATTTACACAAAATCCATCCGGTTAACCTTTGTAACTACATAAATGTAAAATTGAAACATAAATGAGTTTTATTATGAGAGAACCAATTTTAAGATAAAATCTGTGCACAATTAAAAACAAAGCTAAACTTTTTGTTAGGTTTAGCAGCCTCCGGTTATCACGGAGTTTTTTTATTGAGCATAAGAACCTTTCTTTTATTACATTAAATTACAAAAATCCGCCCTTAGAGATAAGATGACATTAAAAAAATGATTTTACACAAACAAGGCGCATAAACATTTTTGTTTCGAGAAAAGTTCTAAGATATCCAAGTTGTTGTTTTTAGACATAAGAAACTTTTAAATTAACTAAAAGTTATGTCTTAAACATTTATCGATCAAGCGCGCAACACGTAAAACTGCTTTGACTTCTTAGAGTTTCTTTCCGTAAATAAAACACATAACTTTTCCCACAGCAATAACAATGATGACAAAGCTTTTATGAGAAACGCTGCATTCGTTGTGCTGTGAACAATTTTTTTGTATAATAATTTGTTCTAAAAATATCTCTGTAGTCATTTGAACTTCTGCACAAGTTTTCTTTTCCAGAATAGTTTTTTCTCTGTTCACTTCTATTTAGCTTCCGACAGTAAGTTTTTCTTTCCTTTTTCCAAAGCGTCCTCGTCCACGAAAGCATGAATTAAACTTTATGAATAAAATGTCGCGCATGCGTTCTAAATTACACTTCGCTCTCGTTCGACATTATTGCACCGAATTCTGGTCGGATTTCCCCGCAGTACTCTTCGTACTTTCGATCGAAAAGCTTCCAAAACTTAGAAGCGCTCGAAAAAATTTTACCTAAAGTTGTGGAAACTTTTTTTTCCCTTTTAATTAAGAACTGAAATATTCCACGCTATTCAAATGGAAAGTCCATAACGAGAAAGTCATCAATTTCTCATATTAATAACAAAAATAAACAAGACGTGGATTACCAGTCGTGGATAAATATTTATCAGTTAACAATAGAAGCTTTCAAGTATCGGAAGCTCAAATTGAAAAAAAAAAAATAGAATTGTGATATAATATTTATTTCATCCTTTACTTATCCAATATCAAAAAATTAAAGCTTCTCACTTAAAACAGTGAATCGCCAAATTGTGTGAGGAAAACAGAAAAGAAAGCAAAAAGAGAATAAGTAAAGAAAGTGAGAAAGAATAATAAAAAAGGTTTTCCGAAGCGTCACATAGAAGGTAAACCGTTTTTCTTTATTTTCTTCAATGCTAAAAATAGAACATCATCAAATTTTTTTCTCCCTTTTTTCCATTTTTTTATGTTTTTTATGTGTATACATGAAATTCATAATGTATGAAACGTGAAAAATCCATAACGTTGAGCTTCGTCCAAAAGAGAAATATTTCCCATTTTTCATTTTATCATTTTTTTTGTTAATGAAATATGATGTTCAAGCATCATAAATCCTTCGTCTAAGAAAAATTATCTTATAAAGGAAGAAATTCTCTTCTACCTATTCAAGAAATATATTCATTCAATTTAATTTCACAAATGTCTTTGCTTATTCTTGTGTTTATGTATACATAAATATAAACATAAAATTGTGATAGAAAGCAGCAGGTGCTTTCTCGCTTAAAGGTTCATATGAAGTTCCTAGAAGTGTTTTCAGCACGAGGTGTTTATGTATATTATGAGTGGAAAAAATCTAAACGAAAATAACAAAAAAGGATGGTAAATTTATGTTTCGAAATCATTGATCTAGATTTAGATAGCAGTTGAATAAGATGACTTAGCAATGAGCTTTGCTTGATTAATTAATTCAACATTTTCATCAAAATCATTTTACACAAGCCCACCCTTTTACCCTTTTCAATTTATAATGAAATTAATTTAAAATATGAATATAGAAATGAGATACTTTTCTCGGAAACATTACGTCATCCACATTTTCACTCGCTTCTTTCCTTTTTCTGTCCTTGAAGACTATTTACAATCTGTAAATAAGCAGAAATTTCTGCAGAGTCAAATAATCTTAAATTCCTGTTATTCGATATAAATTATGGAGAAAATAAAGTAGCAAAATCTTGCGATAGCTGATAAAAAAGCGCACAATGACAATCCCTTAAGATGCTTGATTATCGATAAATTTTTGTCAAGAGTCATCTTAACGACTTCTTTTCGTCTTGATTAGCTGATATATTTATAGATGTTGAGATAGTTTGCCAAAATGTCTCTTCTTGCTTTAACCATTTGTCTAAATATATTCTGCTGTTTATTTAGGATGACTCGTTTATGTGAAATCGTATTAAGTTAGTATAATAAATGAACATAATTGATTGCGCAACAAAAGATTATGAAATTCAGCAAAGCATTAAGGAAATTAATGACGTCATGTTGAATATTGTGGGTGAACTGAAATGAAAGTTTGATTTGGCACTTTCCGCACCTACATTCATTTCCTAGATTTTCCGGTTGTGTTGTGAATTTCGAAAGGAATCTAATTAGATCAACAATTCGTAATTGTTGGTTTTATTTATCAAGTTGCTTTTCATTTCCCTCTGAACGAAAAGCTCGTGTCGACTCTTTTTCACCGCTTCTTCGCTTAATTTAATTAAAAATGGGACACTCGAGAAGATTTTATCTGTCTGCAAAGCGTTTTTTGTTTCACCCTAAAGTAGCTGCTTATGTATTTGCTTTATAATTTATCTCTCATGTAAACTTGAACCTTGAAGATCTCATTTGTCCACATTTTCTTTTTCTTTGTTTGCTTTATGACGTAACGACGTAACAACACAAACCACTTTCAGTTGTTGTCTTTTACGAAACTATGGAAATTCTAATGGTTACTTATACTTTATGACTGTTGGGTAGATGTTTGGAAATGTTCCGAGAATAACTTACGGGGCTTATACATTCAGTTATATGATGTAATGCTCATATAAAATTCATCTGATATTCTCTCGATGTAAACGGAAATAATCATCAAATGACCATGCAGTTCTCGAAATTGCTTTTCGTATTCCAACCTCCATATTTATGCACATAAATACATAAATATGAAGATTAACGTTAACATAATACGACTAATGAAAAATCGATTGACTTTTAAACAAAAGCTAATTCGGGATTATTCGCACACGTTTGACCTTTTAATGAGAAATGCTGATTCGTGTATAATCCTAGAATTCAAGCTTTTACATACGATAAATTGAGTTAATCTATTCTATTATAGTTGTCAAAAAAAGATTGAAATGTTACTGTCAGTGATGTAGAGAATGTAGGAGTTGATGAACAAGAAGCGAGTTTGACTTCATGTAAATTTAAGAATTTCAATTCCATTCCACACTGACAACAAAAAAATGTTTAATTATAGTATATAGCACCTCTTTGAGGTGAAAACTTCTGAAGACGGTAATGAAAATTTTCTTGAGATTTATCATCATGTAAAAAAATTTATTTTCCTACTTTTGATTATGTAATTTGAACTTCCCTTTCCCGATGAATATCTCTAATCAGATATTTTCCAGAGCTCAGGCTAATTTTAGAAATAATTAATATCTTATAAATTAATTAGTTGAGTGTTAAAGCTGTGTAAGTATTACCAATGAAAAATTATAATCTCAAACTTGCTACATCAACGTGATGAAAAATTTTTATGTGAAAACTTTTGTAAATGTAAAGTCGATTGAAGCTTTAAAGTTTAAAGCGGAGGAAATTTCGAGCCCTTGACATTCAAGATAAAGACATTCTTTTGATATCTTTCAGAAGTATTAAATTTCATCAAAGCATCTGTTGATATTCTCATTAAATATCTTTACAACACTTTGAAAAATATTCTGACATTTACTCCCAAACTTTGATCCAACAAAATAAAAATTCTTTTTTATTATCATAACAAATCAATTCTTTTCATGAAATACTCATGCATCTGCTTTTTTAATCTTTTAACACTTCATTAGATTATCAAAGCAACAAAATTTGAAGACAAAGTTCAACTCATTCATTGCTCTCATTTTTAATTCTTTAATTGCTAAACGAGATTAAACAAATTTCATGAAAAAGAATTTTTAAGAACAAATTTTCATTCATTTTGTGTGTGAAAGATTTCCAACAATTAATTCAGGATTAACAAAAGAATAATGTCACAATTTGTGAAGATATTAAAAATTTGAGAAGCTTCTCGCAAAGTTTTAATGCTTTATTATTATGAAACTTGATGTCAAGCATTTGGGGTTTTGGAGAATTTTGATATCAAAGTGACTCATCCTTTGTTTGAAATATTTTAAGCCTTTCTGTTTTATAATTAAAAACTTAACAAGCTTTTCCTTAATTGATTCTTTTGCTGAATTCTTTTTCACAAACCAACTTTTTTTTGACGAAGGCTTGCTAGACAAATTCATTAAATTATTTCAATTTTTATTTTCCTTCCTTTTTCTTCAATTATACTTGAAGATTTTTCTTGGACTAATCTAAGATTCATTAAATAATTCATGCCAACCATAAGAAAATAAAAAAAAAAGTTATCAGAAGAAAGATAATCAAGCTAAATCCGATCCTTTCCTTTATTATCCCATTTTATTAACTCCATATTAGAATCGTTATCGCATGATGAAATTTCCAACTCTATGGATTTGTGGATTACTATTGCTGGCTGGGGGAAAGGGTGTACGGGCTTGGGGTGGACTCTTCAACCGTTTCTCACCCGAAATGCTTAGTAACATGGGCTATGGGAGTCATGGAGGTTCGTCTTTCCGAGCTCAGCCTTTGTTTCAAGTAAGTAAATCATTTCCTTAAATTTCTCTTGTAAATATCTTTTACATACTCAGAAGTGGATTAATGACAAATCCCAAAAGCATTTCTCGTCATACATGTGACAAGGTTGAATATTTTTAATAATAATTTTGACATTATGAAAATAAATGCACTAAGACATCCCATTAAAACCTTTCTTGCTTGTCACATGAGAGCAGATAATGAATGCATTAAAATTTATATTTATAACGTGTCATGTCACTTTTCTCTTCTTTGAATTAAAATATCAGAATTTTCCATCAGGAAGGTGAAACTTTTTTCAAGGTTCACGCTCGAAATACTCTCGAGATTTAAGCAATTTTTTTTCAATTTTATCTTCAATAATTATCCTTGAACTTTTCAATCATGAATAATTCAATAACGTATAAATAAATCGATCAAATTTGTGACACTCCCACGCCTTAAATTATCTCTCTCGATTAAATTGTGACTGGCACCAAGTTAGAAAAAGAAATCTCTCAAAAATATTAATTCCAAGCATTTACTTTTATTTAATCGTCTAGGGAGAAAATTTCATTGAAGAGGAACCGGCAATAATCGAAGAGGAAATTTGTTACGGCAAAAGATGTACAGCAAACGAGCATTGTTGTCCAGGCAGTGTGTGTGTTGATGTTGATGGAGGTGAGTTAAGAAATTAAAAATAAAATTTTACGTCAATCTTTTCAATTACATCAAACTTAAAGCTTTTCTTCTTCAATGATAAAGCTTCATCATTGTCGTTGCAATGATGATTTGCAAGTTCTTCTAATTGAGTTGCAGACAATGGAAATGAAATCTTGAAAAGATTAAATTGATGTTGAAAAGCTAAGTCATCAAGAAGATTTCGCCAGCGACATAAATGTCGCATAATATCTCTGTCAATGTTTTATTTATCGGAGAGTTGTTGAATTCATTTTCCTTCAAGTTATGTTTGTGTCATCATTAAAGTGGTGTAGCTGTCTGCTAAAAAAATTATTCAAAAAAAAAAGATTAAACGCAACTCAAACAGCTATTGAACATGAAATGTCTCGATTAATTTTATGAGAAGGGAAATATTTTGTTTTTCAAGTGGGTTTAATGCTGTTTCTCAATCAGGAAAATGGAGTAACGTGTTACATACATTTACAAGTTATTTAGCGTTTTTTTATTAGCAATGCAAATATGGAAGTCAAAGATCATCAAAATTTAAAAACAAATCGTAAGGATTTAGAAAAATTTTCATTCAAATCTTAACTCCCTGAGGTGTCTTCCATGATAAAGCCATTTTCGTTTGATTTTAACTTAAGAAGTCTGAACAACCAGACGAGCATTCGTCTACATCGTCTTTTCATAATTTTCTTTCTATTTAATTTCTTTTCGGTCGTCTAGTAATTGGAAACTGCTTGTTTGCTTATGGGCGTAAATTGGGAGAGCTTTGTCGTCGTGATGCTGATTGTGAGTCAGGTTTAGTCTGCGATGTGTCTGCAGTTGGCGGTGCCAGTGTTTGTCGGGCTCCAATGGTCGTTGCTAAACAATACGCCGAAGAGTGTACAACGTCAAGTGACTGCGATATCACCAGGTAAAATATTTAATTCTTTTATTTCCACTCAATTAATTAATTAATTATATTATGAAGATATATAAATGCATACAATTAATCAACCAACCAAAGCATTTTCATAATTTAATTACCCGTAATTAATGGAATTTCACTCTCAATTGTGAAAAAGTTATTCACATTTTATCAAAATCTTACAAAAGCCGGATGAATTGATATGAAAATAGCTTCTTCATCATTATTGAATTACGTCGAAATTGTATTCAATTACAGTGACAAAATTTTAATTTTTTCTCTCTTTTCTTCTTTAAATTTGTAGAGGATTGTGCTGTCAATTACAGAGAAGACATCGCCAAGCACCGCGAAAGGTTTGTGGAAATTGATTCGAAGTTGGATGAAATGTAATTCGAGAAACTTTATTTATTTTATTTAAACTCAGGTCTGCTCATACTTCAAAGATCCTCTCGTTTGTATTGGAACAGTGGCTATGGATAAAATTGTAAGTTGGTTTTTATATCTCTTTCTGGTGATAACTCAATTCAATGGAAAACTTTTGTTCGCAATGCTCTCGTTTCTGTTTGAGAAAATAATTCTCAATACGTGAAGCGATTGTGTGGGGATACGAATAAAGATTTTTTCTATTCTTGTCTTAAACATCGTTATTCTTTATTCTTTCATAGCTGAATCAGGAAATTGAGCATACAGCTGGAGAAAAGGTAAAATAAAATCGTCTGTTGTCTGCATTGCACGTCTAACTTTTGCACTTTTCTTTTTATTACAGCGATTGACTTCTTACAAACGGTCCGTGAAATAGAATAACTTCTAACCATGACGACACAATGCAATCAACCTAATGCCGAAAGCGAATCCTATCCTAGAGGTAACATGATAAATATAGTGAAAAACAAATTGCAAAAGGCGCTTTGGATCTACATAAGGTCTACCATTTAGTTCTACATAGTTCATAAGATGAAAAGTCATATTTTAAATGAAAGTTCTTCGCACACCCACACATGAAATCTTTTTAAAATTCTGTGGAAAAAAATAAATCAATCGAAAACTTATGCACACAAACATATCATAGGGTTTAAGAAACAAAACTTCATGAGAAAATTTGACTTTGAAACATGCAAGCTGTTAAGCTAATCGCTATAAAAAAAGTAAATATTCAAAGTTCAGCTTTACATGCAAACATATAGTGGATTTACAATCTAAGCTTTCTCGTATAGTGCGTGACTTTGTAAAAATGTTTTCATGTATCAATCAGGATTAAAAGGATTTGTTTCAGGTCTAATGGAATCTTAAGTAAACTCAATTTAATGGATTAAAAGATTAAACAGAAACAAAGTATCAAAACGGATTTGGTTTATACTTGCATATAAAAAAAGGTTTAGTACGAAAAACAGCTGAAAATTTAAAACATGTCAACGTATGTAAGCGAGGTTTTAAAATCTCATTAAGATTTTGGTATATATGAAGAAAAAAAAAGCCCCAATAAGCTGAAAGTTTAAAAATACTTGGAAGAGCGTAAGCGAGGTCATAAATCCACTGTTCTCACTATTTAAATGCTGATCTTTTAAATAAATAAAAAAGAAATAAGTCATTGAAATTATGGCAATCGAAACATATCAACATTAAGCCATCCAAACTTTTAATTTAGAAATAAAACTTTTTCAATTTAATCAGCTTATTAATTTTCACTCATAAACACGGAAATCCTAAAGGGAAATACCGTCGATGACGAATAAAAAAAAAGTTTCGAATTCCCCACTCATAAAATATTTTTTCTTTACTTTGCTTCATAAAAGTTCTAATGGAAAAAAATAAACAATGTTAATATTAAATATGAATGATAAAACTTTTCCTCCTCGCGTTTATTTTTATTGGTTCTTAAGCATCATTTGTATCAACAATGCAAAGAAATGAAATATCTAGCGATATCGAAGAAATGGAAATAAAGGGAAAACAAGGGAAAATGCGAAAGTTGTTAAATGTTAAATGTTTGTTATCAGAAATATGATGGGAAAGCTAAGGTACTGTCTGTTGAAGAAAAAGCTGTCATGAAATATTTTTTACGTTCTTTCCTTCTTTAACTCATAGCTCGGTGGAAATTGTTCGTTCCTCTGAAATATATTTATATATCTATTATGAAAAATAAGTGAGAAATGTGTATAAAAGGCTCTAAATCGGCTGAGAATTACGCTATAAAATGAAATGTGTCGTTTATTTTTAAGAAAATTGAAATTTAAAGAAATATTTTATTTACTCATGCGCCTCAGTGTTATGAAATAAATTTATTTCAAATGAGATGAAGACAATTTAAATTTGATTCATGGAAAATAAATAAGACATTTAGTGTAAATATACTTTTATGAATATATGAAGAATTAATTTTAAAGGTCGTTCTATATATTCATCACACACTCAAAAATATGTTCCAAAGTTAAAAAGATGGAATTAAATGTTCTTAAATTCAAACGAACTAGAACAAGTTCTAGGGAGAGAAAACATTTTAAGGCTTAACGCCTTTGGACCTACACGTTCTGAGAAAATATCATTGAAGGGCAGCTTGGTTGATAAAAAAATAAAACATACAATTTTTACTTTGTAATGAAAATTTGTTCCTCGAGATGCTTTTTCGTTGACATCCTAAACTTAAAGAAACTCTTTGAAAGAGTATTCAAACGATAAAATCTTCAGAAAGGAACAATTTTTCTTTAAGAAAATATAACTTGCGTCATGATTTCAACCATTTTCTATCTTCGCTTTTGCCTACAATCTAAGGAAAGATATTTCGTTATGTTTATAGCTAAAAAGGAAGAAGAGTAAAGTTTTAGTGCTATGAGACTAAAGTAAACGTTGTTATAAATATGACTACATGGTGAAGACACTTTATCGTCCAAAGTATGTAAGTTAAACGATGTTTACACAAAGGAAAAATGCGTCAGCAAGCAATGGAGGAAATGATGGTGAAGTTTGAAGAAAAGTGAGCGGCTTAAAGTGCTAAAGAGCTTTTGTTCTCTTCATCACTTTCTGTTGGACGTTGTGTTTAATTGACGGAAATATTTAATTTTAAGACAAGCTTTCATGTTTGCTTCAACTACGTAACGTGAACATCATCCTTAAAATTTGACTAACTAACATCTAAAAAAGCAGAACATCGCTAGAAAGCAAATTCTGAAAATTTGTCTTCAATTAATTATTTAATTTTAATTAAACACAATCAATCCTTTTCAAATTAAGAAGTCAAAAGTCGTTAAGTGATTTCTTTATCCATCCTTGCTCTCATTTAAGTCAACAATTCGTGACACAACCGAATTAAAATATTTATTGGCATGGAAATCAATGATGAGGACAAGGATTTAATAACTTTAAATGAAATATTGATTTTTGGTTAAAAGATTGACTGAATTCACTTTATCGAACTTTGACTTCATAAGAACATTAATAAAAATTTCATCCATCTTGCAATTTAATGTCGAAGATTTATCAATTTTTATTTAAAGCTCTGTTTGAATATTTTTCCATCATGCTGCTTCCATTCAGCAGAGCTTCAAACGTGTAAGCTTAAGCATTAAATCTGATGTACTTTTTAGTCAAACATGATTGATTGCATAAAATGTATGTGCTTTATATTAAGTTATCAGCAGCTCTGAACATCGCAACATGAACTTTGCATCTTGCTTTTCATGTGTATATTCACACTTTGCCATTAATTTAAACTTGCAAAGTTGAACAAATTTATCTCCACTTTCCATTGCAATTTTTACCGTGTAATGGGTTAAAATGCAATAACTTAATTAAAATATAAAAGCATAAAACGAAATTAAATGTAATATTCTCGTTTAAACAAAAGTTGAATGCGAAAAACTGACAGAAAATTGTGTTTCATAATTTTTTTTCACTGTGGGGAATTCGCATTCGAATTGAATTCCCTTGAAACTGCACATTTAATTAATGAAGCAGTTTTTTTATTTACAGTTCAATGAATCCTAAATACCTAACATTACAAGGCGTTAACTGCAAATATTGTGAAGGAAAAAAACGTGCAACCAAAAACATATCAAAAAAATGAACATAAATATTTCCTTATCTAAGATTGAATGAAATGTGAAATGTGAAATTCATTCAAATTGCAAACATATCATTTTGATGACAGATTAAAAATAAAGTTAAATCAACAACAACAATTACTTAATTCAAATGGGCCTATACATATCATTGAAAAGACAAAAAATATCAATTCTCTTGATTGTGAATAAATAAAAGTCGAGGTAAAGCTACAATTCGATACATATCAATTTTGATGAAAATGAACAAAAAAAGAAGAGTTTTTACATGTATTATTAATCTTAATATTATTATAAACTTCTAATCTATGTTATAAACGACATTTATTAATTATTGATGAAATCTGTCAATAAATGATGGTAAAAAATAAAACATTTAAACATATCACTATTTGAATATAACTTTTAAATTTATGTTCTTGGTGTTGACAAATAAAAAAATTGAGGAAAGGAAAAAAATTTACATTGATGTAGCAGAAAATGCAAATTGAAGACACGAACAGAGAAAAATGAAAAGTGAAAACACAAACAAAATCATGGAAAATTGAAATGAAGAATTGTATAATTAAAAGAAAAACCAAAAATGTATCAACATTCAAATAAAGAATAAAATTCCAAGAAGGATCAAAAAGGGAAAACTTTGTCTCTGTTCTTTCAACTTGACTTATTTTCAGCCTTTTCTGTTTTCTCTTACCTGACATCGCAATAAGAGAAATTAAGTCGCACCCGTGAATATATGGCATGTATCATAATTTCATTCTTGACGTCCATTATCGCAATTCTCATGGTTCGTAAAATTCACAGCTTTTGTCCATCAACTGTGTAGGTGTTGGCATCAATTATAAAAACCCTTGTCAAAATGCGCTTCAGATTAATATCAATATTTTTCATGCGTTGCTCGTTTTATGAAAAGAAAATGACGTAATTTCATGGAAAAATATTTAATCCATTTAATATGGTTCCAATCCAATCTTTCTGGAAAGTATTTTGTAAGCTTTGCAATACATTAATGATTAATTACCTAATGAATGTATAAACAGGTACAACAATTTACTAGTAGGTGTCGTAATTACATTGTATGAACTCTTGAATGAGAAACTTTCTCGTCACATTAATTATTAAAACCCAGTTAAACTTAATTGACATTTGTATCGTGAATTTTTTATATTTCTCATGAAAATTCGTCTTGAACTTAGTTCCATTCAAATCATCTTAACGGGAGGAATAAACTTACAAGTGGTGTATGAATTTTTTATATCTAAGTTTAACTTAGAACCATCCAAATCATAATAAATTTTAACGGTTATTTAAATTTCGAATTTCTTTTTAGTACTCACTGGCCCTGATTGTCTAAGCGTGCCCAACCCTGATATTCTGCGAATGTTTTCAAAATTAAAAATAAAAAAAAAGTGAAAATATCATTTTAATTTGTGAAGTGTTATTATGCTTTGTATCATTTCGAGAGTCAACCCAAAAAGTTCTTTTCGACGCTTTACATTTTACCGGCAAAATTCATTAGCAAATAATTATATTCAAACTGCGCAGATTCAATTGAACGAAAATATATTTGGCAAATACAATTTCTATAACAATCGGTAAGAATTAGTTCATATTGATAAGGTGACAGTTGTGAAAGATCACTTGTTGACCTCTCTAGAATGCAGATTTTCAAGTGAACAATGTTCTAGTGACATTAGATTACAAAAAAATTGCGTATCATTTTCATGTTTCCTTTTCTCTTTCACGATTTTTTATCGTTGTTGTTGTTATTATTGCGTTTTTATCTCGCGGAGTTACAGTGAACGCTGAATAAACTTTCAATTCATAAGTAACAAATCATTGTCAAAATATCGCGAAAAAGAAAGTTGTTGTCATTATTTTAATTCGGAGATTTCTTAAAATTTCGTTGAGATGAATTCGAAAACTTTTCTCTGATCTTTTAGATTATTACCGAGCACAATGGCCTTTTCATCTTCATCTGGATTATCATCCAGTAGTAGTCTTAAAAAGAATTATGAAAATCGTTTAGCAAATGAGAAGTCACCTTATCTTCTTCAACATGCTCATAATCCAGTGAACTGGTACCCTTGGGGTGAAGAAGCAATTGCATTAGCTAAAAAAGAAAACAAACTTATTTTCCTTTCCATCGGTTACTCAACATGCCATTGGTGTCATGTGATGGAAAAAGAGTCATTTGAAGATGAAGAAACAGCAAAAATCATGAATGAAAAATTTATAAACATCAAAGTGGATCGTGAAGAACGTCCGGAAATCGATAAGATTTACATGACATTCATTGTTTTAATTAACGGTTCCGGTGGATGGCCATTATCAATATTTCTAACTCCAGATCTCGCTCCAGTTACCGGAGGCACATATTTTCCACCCACTGATCGTTGGGGAATGCCCGGCTTCAAAACGATCCTACACAAAGTGGCACTTAAATGGGAAACGTCAAGTGATGATCTCAAAGAGACTGGATTGTCAGTAATCGAAGCAATACAAAAAAGTGCTTCACAAAGACGTGTTGATGGTGACACTGACGATAATCCAATGACAGTCGAAGAGAAGTTTCGTCAAGCTATTAAGATTTATAAGCGTGCTTACGATCCCAAATGGGGAGGCACTAACGGTGCTCCAAAGTTTCCAGAAATATCAAAATTAAACTTCCTTTTTCATGCTTTTGTTCAAACAAAAGATAAAGAAATGTTAAAGCTTGCTTTAATTACACTTGATAAGATTGCTGATGGTGGAATTCATGACCATGTATTTGGTGGTTTTGCAAGATATTCTGTTGATAAGAAATGGCACATACCGCATTTCGAGAAAATGTTATACGATCAAGGTCAACTGATGATGTCATATTCGAATGCTTATAAGATAACAAGAGATACAAAGTATCTTGAAATTGCTGATAAGATATTTAAATATGTCACGAAAGATTTATATCATCCAGCTGGCGGTTTCTACAGTGGTGAAGATGCCGATTCATACCCAACAGCTGAATCAAAGGATAAGATTGAAGGTGCTTTCTATGCTTGGGATTACGTAGAAATTGAACAACTTTTCAAGAATAATCAAAATAAATTTACAGTACAAAATGCGTTTGATATTTATTGCTTCCATTATGATATTAAAGAGAATGGAAATGTGGAAGCGTCTTCGGATCCACATGGACATTTATTGAATAAAAACATTCACTTTGTAAAGAAATCACTTGCAGAGACTGCAGAGATGTTTGGCACAAATTCAGAAAGTGTTGCGTCGATATTGAAAACTGGAAATGAAATTTTACATGAAGTCAGAGAGAAACGTCCACGACCTCATCTTGATAACAAGATAATCACTGGTTGGAATGGTTTAATGTTGTCAGGAATAAGTAAATTAGCTTGTAGTGGTGATGCTCCGAATCGAGAAGAATATTTGAGAGTTGCTAAGAAGCAAATTGAATTTCTCAGGGAAAATTCTTTTGATGTTAATGAAAGAAAACTTCTTCGAGCTTGTTATGGCGAAGGTGAAAACATTTCACGAGGATCGAAACCAATTTATGGCTTCCTTGATGATTATTCCTTCCTCATCAAAGGTTTAATTGATTATTACGTTGCAAGTCTCGACATGACGATGCTTTATTGGGCAAAAGAATTGCAAGAGCTTCAAGATGAATATTTCTGGGATTCAAGGAATGGCGGATATTTCTACTCCGAGGCATCACAATCAGACGTTGTCGTTAGAATGAAAGAAGGTAAATGGAATGATATTAGTAATTAAATAAAAATCAACTTTAATTAACTTAAAGATCACGATGGAGCTGAACCAGCAGGAAATTCTGCAGCGGCACAAAATTTGATTCTACTTGGCGCTTACTTCGAAGATCAAAACTTCAAATCAAAAGCACAAAGTCTCACTCAATTCTTCTCAAATGTTTCTCCAATGGGTTATGTGCTGCCAGAAATGCTTTCAGCATTAACACTCGATGATGCTGGTCTTCATATGCTAGTCGTTGTTGGTGAGTATCAAAACTTTCTTTCTCTTAATTAAATAAAACTTTTTTTTGTATTTAAAGGACCTGACGATGAAAACACTCGAAGTTTCATTGAAATTGCCAGCGATTATTACGTTCCTGGCCTCATCTCAATTCTATTAATCGTTGATAAGCCACATGAAGTCACACGACAGTCAGTCAGCCAATTCAAAATGGTTCGCAATCTTCCAACAGCTTATTGCTGCCACAACAAGCAATGTGCGTTACCAATCACCGATCCGAAATTATTGTCAGAAGAATTTGCATCAAAATATTTATCTAGCAGAATATAAAAGTTTAATTCGTTCTATTTTCGCTTTATGTGATATCTTAAATGTAAATATTTGTTACTTTTGTTGAATAAATCTATTTTCCTTGTTTTTTTGATCAAAAAAATGTGCAAATTTTTAATCTCTTTTATTAATCAATTAAATTAGTTCAAGTTTTCAATAATTAAAAAAAGGAAACTTAGTCGGGTTGCAATGAAAAGAAAATAAATGTGTGTTAATTAATGCTTCTTTTAAAAGATTATTTATGTTGATTTGTGAGGCTTTCGTGAATCGATTATTAATACAAAAGAAAAGGAGAATAATATTGATGAGTTAATGAAAGCAAACTTTTAATTTCCTTGTGAGCGAACGTCGTCAATCTTGAGAATCATTTTCACAAGTTGCGTGGCGAGAACAATTTGTTGTTTCTTTGAATGAAGAGCTTCAATGACGTGATGTGTCTTCATATCTGAATTTCCTGTCATCATGCAATCAACACCGAGTGATGATGAATTCTCTTGAACCTGACGTGATTTGAGTTCTGAGAGTGTTTCGATGGTTAACAATCCGCTGTTGCCAGCAAGGGCAAGTGGAATTGCTTCCAATGCAACACTGAATGATCTGAAAGCATATTGTTCAAGTGTTGACAACTTATCAGCTTCACGAGCGACAGCCAATGAGCAAGAAATTTCTGCAGCTCCACCGCCATAAACAATTCTTGAATCCTAAGAACAAAACTCAATGAAAATCAATTAAAATTTCATAATTTACAACAAACTTACTCTAATGAGTGATCGAACAATGCACAAAGCATCATGAATTGATCTTTTAGCTTCAGCAACCACCATTTGATTACCACCACGAACAAGAATTGTCACAGCTTTAGAGTTGGCGCATTCCTCAATGACAAGCATTTTCTCCTTTGTTGTTCCAAAAGACATTTCACGAACAAGTCCAGCTTTGCCTAACTTTTCGCTTGAGATTTCTTCGAATCGAGGAATAATTCGACCACCAGTAGCAACAGCAATTAACTCAATTTCAGGACCACCAACCCAACGTACGGCTGGAAGATTTTGTTGAAGCAATAAATGATTAGCTTCGTCATCGAATCCCCATTGACAAATGGCGAGTGTTGCACCAGCATCTTTGACTCGCTTCACCATTTCAATGAATTTCTCTTGTTCGTATTGACGAAGTGCTTTGTAGTCTTCTGCTGAAGTGACATCTAACTTATGTTTGGTCTTAGGCTTTGGTGGTTCGAATGGGCATGTGAGAATTGCCAACTTGACATCTTTCATTGATTTAGGCATTTGAGGATGTGACATTGTCTTGTCAACAATTACACCCTTAACTAAACACGAATCTTCCATGCGTCCACCGACTTTTCCTTCCATTTTAATCATCTCAAAGTTGACATCTTTCTTCTCGAGATCAGCTACGGTGAGTACTGCATTGACAGCCATTTCAGCCATTTGACGATGACATTTGTTCACAATTTTACTCCCTAAAGTTGTCATTGCAACTTTCACTAAAGGCTCGATGTTGTCGAGAGTGATTGGGAATGGTTCAGCAATGCTTTCTAAATTTTTTACTGCACATTGAGCGGCTAATTCAAAACCATCAGCAATTCGAATTGGATGAATTCCACGATCAAGAAGGGATTCAGCTTGTTCCAACAATGCACCAGCAAGAACAACTACTCCAGTCGTTCCATCACCAATCTCATCATCCTGAGATTGACTCAATTGGACCATCAATTTTCCAATCTCATGATCAACTTCCATGAGCTTCAAAATTGTTGCTCCATCATTAGTGCACGTGACTTCACCATCTCCACTAACCATCATCTTGTCTAATCCTTTTGGTCCAAGAGATGTCTTCAATGTTTCTGCAATTTGACGTGCAGCCATGATGTGACTCTAAAAATAAATCAAAATACATTTCTGGATGACTCACGGGATGTTTTAGTGAGGTTAGACAGCCGATGTTTTTAAATGAGGCGAGGATAACTTAATTAATTCCCTAAAGTTTTTCATTTTAATTATTTAGATATTTAGAGGATGTTAACAATTGTTTGCACAACAATTAATAAAGATTCTTCATTGTACTCATTTAATTTTGAGAAAATTCTCGAATGTTTCTCGTGACTAATAAATTCTTGAATAAATTTAATTGATTGAATTACATTTCAATGAAATTTAAGAATTTATCGTCTGCTTTAAATAAACTTACCTTAATTGCTTCATTTCCAGTCAATCTTGATTGTTTCTCTTGATCTCGCAATATAATAAAAGGCCTGCCGTATTCATCGAAAGTAATGGAACCTAAAGAATCGATTATTATTGTTTATCTTATTCTAGACAGATTTGTATCTATCTTACCTGGGAACATTGCCATTTTAGATGTGATTGGATACTGCTTTATTTAAGAAAACTTCTAATTTTTTTTCAGCTGTAACAATTCTCAATGCTCGAAGTTAAGAGTACTAAACCGTAGCTTTCTTACAACATAGCTTTGCAATTCCTTACACAAATTTAAAGAATTAAAAACCGTTGAATTTGGTCAATTATTAATAATTTTTATTTTTCAATTATTTTTTCTTTTGTTTTTTGTGTTCTGTTTCCTTATCATTACTATCTTTAAACTCTCTAAGATCGGCACAAAACAAAACCGTTTGCGCCCAACCAGATTTTTCTCCGTAAACTCGTCGAAATTCATTTCCGATTTTTTTATAAAGAGTTGGTGTTAAAGATTTGATTTTGTTTACTTCAGGTAGATAATGTTTTGCGATTTGAATGATATGAGTATCAACAGGAATAGCTTCTAAATGATTTAGAGACATTAGACAAACGCAATCTGCAACCTTAAAGGAATGAAATGAATTAATACAATTTCTGCAGAATTTATGGAGCGAAAACTTACCTTCGGTCCTATTCCAGTTAATGTTGTAAGTTCAGCATGAGCATCTTCATAATTCATATCTGTTAGTTTTCTGAACCATTTCAAACCACCTTTCGAAAGAATTTCTTGAGCCGACTTTTGAATATATTTTGCGCGATAGCCAAATCCAAGAACTCTTAAATTTTCTTCCACGCCATCCTTGGCCAATTCGCTTAAAACTGGAAAATTGTAGAACTCTTGTCCTTCTACATCACATATTTTCTCTCCATAGTTAGAACAAAGCTTATTGACAAGTGAAGATATTCTTGTAATGTGATTATTTTGAGAACAAATGAAACTAAATAAGTTTTCAACACAGTCAATGTCCAACTGTCTGATGTTTTGAAATTTTTCAGAAATATTTGTGGCGAAATGATCATGACATTTGCTCCATTCTGAATAATGTGACTCAAGATCTACATCGAGTCTAAAATAACGTGTCAGCAAAGATTCATAATAATTTTCCTCATACAAACAATTTTTAACTTTTCCTGTTTTAGGCTTTGGCACTTTCATACGTACAAGGTTCTCCTCAGCTGGTTCAGGATAAGGCAATTCTCCAAGGATTGAGTAATACAAATTATTATCTGATGATTTCAATCGCCACACAATATTTGCAAATGTTCCTAAATATGTTTTTTCCTTGTTTTCCTCTTCCCGCCATCTAAAATTTAAGAAAAAAACAAAACTAATTAGTAAATGATGAAAGATGACTGCATTTCAATGTTCACTTATATTATTACCTAAATGACTGACCTCCAGTCAGTGTCATTTTGAGCTGTAATGGCGATTTCAATTTAATATTTCTCCAGAAAATTTTATTCGACATGATTTTGTTTGTAATTTTTTTTTTACAACAAAAAACAGGCTTATGAGGGGAAAGTAAGAGAAAAATTTTAGCAGAGCTTTTGAGTTATTGCACCTGTTGATTGCAATTTAATGTGCAAATTGTTTCATTTTCTATTAAAATCTTTAGAAAATTCCATTAGATTACCAAAACTTTTATTAAATTTCAAGTAAAGTTAAGTAAATTAATGCATTTAAAGTATTTTCCATGTGAAGTGAAAAAACGAACAGGCCTTTTTCAAAACAATTGAGAATTCAGGGTTTAAAATGGAAAGTTAAGATGTGAAATGTTTACGACCAACGTTGTAACCAAGGTGATCAACAATTGTAAGCCCTGTTTTCTTCCTCTTTCTTAGCTCGATTTCGGAAAAAAGAGAAAAAGTTTCCAAGAGCGACGATCAATGTTGAGTTGATCTAAAGACTTCGCAGAGTGTAGACGTTTGTTTTCTTATAGCTTGGTGTGAGATTGATTCTTTAACAAGCATATTTGTTAAACATAAAAAATTAGACTCACCACTCAAATGTGATTGAATTAAGCTATTTCTTTTCAAATCATCCATGGACTTATTGATTAGATAAAATATTTTTGAATAAAACGAAACTTTAATCTAAGAATTGTGAAATTAAACACTTAGCAAAAAAGTGAAGAAGAAAACAGAAACAGTTTTATAAAAGGTGCTAAGAAGCAAAATTCTTTCTTTTTTTTCGCAAAGACGTTTGAGTGATTCTCAGATTGTAGGAACAAGAACGTTTTTTATAAAAGAAAAAATATTATATGAAAGTGAGCAAAAGAGTTTATTGAAGCAAATGTGTAAAATTGTGTAATAAGAAGAATAAAAAAAATTTAACAACCAAGGTCAACATTTCATACTCTTTTTTCTTCATTTCCTTCAGTTTTATATATTTTCTATATCGTGTACACAAAATAAAGCAAAAAAGAGAAAAAAAAACAGTCTAAAGAAACAAGTCATTGATTCCGAACTCTTTTCAATTTTACTTGGGGGACTGGAGAAAATAAAAATAATAATAATAATAAGCACACTCCATACCCACGAACAGAAGGCGAAGAATAAATAAAAGAACATCAGAACCGGTGGTGGATGAATGATAAAAAAGTTATGTGTAAATATTCTAGAATACATTGAAAATGTTATAAACAGAAAAGTTCAACAGAGATTTTATTGCAAAAACAAAAAAAAAATATCAACAAGAAGAGAAATGATCAAAGAAGAAAAGTTCTTCGAATTAAAATTCCCGTGACCCTCCTTCGGTTCCTAAACATCGCACTCAAAAAGAAGTAAGAAAATAAAATAAGTTTGAATCGAAATTGCTTCGTAAATATTTTAAGACGAGTGAAAGAAGTTTTTTTGTTTTTCTGTGTTTTGCATCTTGTTTGCATATTCGATCGTGTGTTGGAGTAAGAATTTCTTTTATGAACTGGCAAAATCATTTAGCGAAAAAGGACAAGCAAAAAGGGGCAAAAAATTGTTTATCTGTCTGCAATCGTTGTTCTGTCTTTTCTCGTTTCGTACACATTGTGTAATTAAAGAAACAAATGCTATAAAATTTCCTGCCTTGTGAACGTGAAGAAGAAGAAATTGTGAGAAACCATTAGAATGGATCGCCGCTATAGTTCAAGTTCATCGTCGACCGCAACAGAAACCGCGAAAAAATCTGCTGTTGGAAACGCTCTTAACAGTTCAATTCGTTATCGGAACAGTGCATCATCTGACTCAACGGTAACAGCAGCAAATCATCGGAAATCCTTTCCAGCAAGTACATCGGACGTTGGGACGAGCTTTAATAGCACAGTTCAGGTATGAAAACAGTTTGATTGCCTCTTGTTCACTTTCATATTTCGCCTTCGGCTAGAAGTTTGTTTAAGTCTTTCAATCTCTATCTAGTTTAGAGATCAATAACATCTTCAAAAATTACTGTTTGTTTGTTAGCTTTGATTGTTTTTCATTCAAAATTCCACTCTATATGATATCCCGTGGGCACACGGCAACACCAGCTTTAAATGTTAACCATTTTATTCCGGAAAAAAGACAAAAAAGAGAACTTCTATGGGCTCACGGGGACATTCCTGATGTGAACTTTTATTTTCATGTCGTTTCGCGTTTCATTTCGTCGTCTTAACGGACAAGCATAAATTTCACTTTGAGCGGGAAAAAAAGAAGAAAAAATTAGAAATCGAAAATTCTTTTCATCGACTTTAAGATTTTCTTGCTTATTTATTTGTTTGAAATGACAACAAGATGGCAAAAGCGAACAGAGAGAACAAGACGAGCGATGAAGGAAAAAAAAGAAAAAAGAATGTGTCTCGTTTGAGGGCGATCGAAAGATGATGTTATTGGATTGCTTGACTGCTTCATTCATTGTCTTATTTGCCATGGGAATAAATTTCAAATCATATTTAATATGTCTTGTCTTCCACAAGTGATGGACCAATCCCCATGTGAACTCATGTTCTTTTTCTTAAGAAATAAGTAACAATGAGGAAACCAGTGAGAGAAATAATCATCGCATCACTCAAATAGCAAGCAAGCAAGCAAATTTATTAATTTTCTTTTCAATGAGAGAACCTCGTTCCCAGCGAAAAATAAAGAATGCCCAGCAATTAGAGCCCATTATAGAAGCTTCCAAAAATGAAGTTCATCATAATCAAAAGTGATCACAATAAACCAACTGGGAATAAGAAATATCTTAATAAATGAGAGTAATTCTTTTTTTATATAACTTTAAATGTAATTACAAACCTACATTACGACAAAGAATTCGAAACATTTCACAAAGCTCGAAAGTGGAAGTCGCGGAAAGTGCTTTGTGTGGTTACTGAGTAAAATCGCTCAGCGCAGCGCAGCGATGTGAAGAAGGAAAAAAAAGATCATTTGTTCATGCTTTTATGTATAAAAATTTGATCTATTTTCGGTGCAAAATTTGTTTTCACTTTTCTTTTTTCTTATTATTTCACTTTGCTCATTTCGGGCGCTCTCATGCTGGAACTCTTTAATCCATCCATTGAATTTTATTAGCGAACATTGAGCGTGACATTCTTTTTTATTTTTTTGCTTTATGTGTTTAATTTCTATCCTAAACATATTCTATCTCACTCTTCAATTCGCTTAAGTCGTCATTGTAGCAAAAAAAATATTATTAAAGCTTCTCGCACAAGATTTATATTCGATATTTTTTTGTAGCTTTGAAATGAAATTAAATGAAATATCCGCCAAGTCGAGAAACGAGATTTAATAATTATGACCTCAAAAGCACAAAGAAAGAAGTGAAGAAAAAAAAACTTCCAAGTTTTCTTTCTATTTTCCGATCATCTCCATCAGATCGATCGCTTAGATTTCGTGAAATTTTTGTGCAACATTCAATGAAAGAAAGAAATAAAAAAAGGTTTTTAAGTCAATTTTGTTTTCGGACAAACTGGCATGAATCTATCGACAAGTAACAACACAGCATGTGATTTCAATTTAATTGTCTCTCCTTTCATGCTGCTGAATATGCTGTTAGTAGGCAAATAGTTGGTAGAAAGATTGAATCAAACAAAAAGTAAAGTATAAAGAGCTGGAGCCACATGTGTCTGCACCTAATACGTATTAATTGAATTTCCTTATCGCACTTTACGATTTGCAATAAATTACTCGCTCTTTCTGACACCAACGCAATCTCGATGTTTACAATGTGCATGAAATAATATTTTTCCTTTCTTTTCTTTGACACTCCATAAACGTATTCGTTCAGGTTGGTTGGTTGGATGGAAGGAAAAAAAATCAACACGAATGAATACAACATACGAATGTTACTTACCAAAATATAAAAAAAATTTCCTCTTTCTTTCGATAACAACAACGACAACAAACACTTTTTTGTTTTTATGGCAGTCAGTAGGTAAATGCTTTTTACACATTTTTTTTTGATTTATTCTTCTTCTCATCTCGCCTTGAACGTCGCAGAGAATCATGACTAGGAAATTCTCACTCGAATATTAAAAACAGAAACACAAAGTCTGCTGATGTAATGGTGTGACTAATAAAATTAGTGTGTTTTATGAAGATACTTGCGGTGCACGATTAAGATCATCTCGATGAAATGAAATCTTAATAAAGAGCGGCCTTGTAAGCTTTAAAGTGTCACTTCCCAGAACATGCCTTTCCGTGAATTCTTCCAATGCATTGAATGTGAAGAAGTAACAGGTTTCTGCTGATAATTGTGAAACCCTCATGAAGAAATCTTTAAGGGAAGATGAGCATTGTAAAAGCAGAAAGAAGTTATCTTATCGTCAGACAGTTTTTTCTTCCATTCTTTTCTTTTATTCTTCTCTTCTTTCATGTTTTCTCTCTGTAATGCAAGGTAAAAAGAAACACTTTACCTATCAACATCAGCAAACAAAGCATGAAAGGGATATTTGAGAAATTCTTGTGAGAAAAAAAAAGGTTCTTCATTTGAATTCCTTTTTCCTTCTATAATTGTATCCTCTGACGATACCGGCGATTTATTTAAAGTCTTTAATCCTTAAAATTTCATTTTCATGCTTTCAAATTGATTCTGAAATCGATTACAATGATAAATTGTTCAATTAATTTCACCAGCCACATGTGCTTGTTGTTGGTACTCAATTAATAACAGAATTATTGGAAAATCATTGCATTTTCTTTTTCTTTCACTCTCAATCGACTATCGACATAGATAAATGTATACATGAATGTGAAGAAAATGAAAAAATAACTTGTTATATATTCAGCCATGTGGTTTTAATGTCAGCTTCACTCTTGTAATGTTTGAATAATTTATCGTTATCATAACGTTATTTACAGTAGCTTCTTCTACAACAATCATTGAGATTGTTCTTCTCACATCTTTTCTCAGTCGGTTATGTGAATATTAAACAACAATTATCAGACAAAATTTATGAATGTGAAAATTCATAGCTCGGCTCGGTCTGAACATTGTTGATGTTGAATAAAGGTAGATCAGTTAGCGGATAGACAAAAAAGACGACGACGGTCTTTTCCATTTCCCATTTGTTTCATCATAACAAACGATAAAATACGATACCGTTTTAAAGTAAGTAAAAGAGAGAAAGAAATGCAAATGATATTCAATGATTAAAACAAATCATGTAAGACACGCAGCTGTGAAATGAGCAATGGTCATCATCAATTTATGCCATTCGAGGTGTTTTCTTTCAAACTAAATAGTGACACATTTTTATTTTTGAAATTTTATTATCAACCCAGCGTATCATGTGTTGATTGCATGCTTTATTTGTGGTTCATTTGAATGTCCATAGAAGGTATGACCGCATGGCTTTTTGCTGGGTCAACATTCAAACGACAACTGAACAGACATGAAACTCAAAAATGTGATTTTAAAAATTATACAACAAACCACCGTTTTATTTTCTCTCTCCTCAACTCCGGTTTCGACTGCCACCCACACATTGTCCGCAATATCTTAGCAACCATTTTCAACATATGTTCACGTTCATTAATGGTTTTTTTGCTCTTTAAAATCACATCTAACACGACAGATCATTCGAGAGAGATATCGAATTTAAACGATTCGTTTTATATTTGCTTGCCTTCTTTTTCTCTGATTTTTATTTGGTTGACCCAATAATAATAATAATATCTAAACTTTTCTTCATGCAGGCTCAAAACGAAACAGGCTAAAATTGTAATGTTAAGTAAAGTTTGAAAAGAGTAATCGACAGAGTTGGTGATTTTGCACGTACTTTGAGCAGCATAAAAAATGAGTTGATTATTCGACGAGACGTTTTTTGTTTTCTTCTTTCTCGTCTCATTCAAAAGATTTACTTACAATGAGACTTTGAATTTCGAAAAATGATTTCAATTAAAGTGTTTCGTTTTATGATTTTTTTCTTCTCTTTATTTTACTTTTTTTTTTGGGTTTGCTGCTTGTGGTGAGAGAGCATTGAAATGTTATTTTAACTTCATTATGAACTAGAAAAAAACGTTTACCTTTGAATAATGGGCGCAAGCAAAGAAATGAATAAATAAATTGCATGCAAACATTCATATCGGCAAATCTTAAACCATTTAAAAGACTTCTATTGATTATTCGACTTCTTTTCTTTCTTCCAAAGACATTGAAATTTAATTATGTTGAACATTGAATGCGCTTTGCTCTAAATTTCCTTTTATTCCACGTTCATGTGTCCATTTATGATCAATCGGAAGAAGAAAGAAAGACGTAAGAAAAAAAAGGTTTTGAAATCGTCTGTCGATGATTATCCATGACGATGAATTGAAAATCATGTCGCATGTAACTGTCACAAGACCAAATATAATTTGGGATGAAATTAGGCTCTCTTAAAAGTTAAAACGTTTTAAAGCGAAAGACGAATTAGATAGTTTTATTCATTCGATTATTTATTAACGCAAAACGCAAAAAAAAAAACGAAATAGAAACAGCGAGTCATCAAAAGTCCAAATTGTGTCAATGTGCATTTGACGGTCACTTTTAATGTGAGTTTGATTAAAGATTTGATTGGACATTTAACAGCCTCTTGATCATTTTGAATTATTGAATTGATTCATTTCTTTTTGCATGTTAATTAAGATTGAAATGCTTCTAAATTTTTTACTCAGTTGAATGATTTTAGGGACAATAAATGGTTGACGTTTGCTTTGCAAAAAAAAAAAAGACGTGAACAACCTTTCGAAATTCTTTCATCTCACAAAACTGCCAATTTAGAACGGGACATGATAAAATGAATAAGAAACCAAAAAAAAAAGCTAATGATAATAATTTCTCGACGAACGAAAAAGGAAAATAAAATTCCAACTCATTGAAATTCTTTCTTTTGCTTGTTTTGCAAAATCAGAAAAACTGAATGGAAATAATTTATTCATCAATACCTTACCTACTTCAAATTATTATTAAAAATTTGTTTTTGTTTTAAGTGCACAATGAACATTTCTGCTCGCTTTGCTCGATAAAGTCTGACAACAATGCTTTTATTTTATTTGTTCATCGATGAATATTTAGCGTGGAAAAGAAGCACACAGAATGCGACGAACAGCAGCAGCTAATGAATTAATCCCATTTGTATCAAATTATGAGCACTTTGTGGAATTTTTTTTTTACTTTTGCTTCGGTTAGACAAAGCAAATGATGTGTAGCGTAGAACAAAAGCTTGAGAATTTGTTTCTTTCTCTTAAGTTTACTTTTTTGTTGGATTATTACCATTTTCTCACTTTAATTGCGCATTCTATTGCGGGTAATTTTCGTCAGGCTCAAAAGGTTCTGCTTCATGAGGTTCGTAACTCATAAAGCCGCGACGACGATCTTTCTTTCTTGACGGCAGTTCAGAGAAAAATAAAATAATAAAAAAAAGAATTGTGGTGAACGAACTGCCACGCGAAAAAGTTTTGTAGAGGAAACATTAAAGAGAAAGAGCATTAAAGTCATTTCTCAGATGAGTTAAGCTGTGTCTAAGAGGATTACTCAGACAACGGAGAGTTTCGTTACGTAATTAATGAAATTTTCACTGCGAAACCACCGAAACCGAAACCTCCTTAGGGCGACGTGCCTGTCGCAATCTCCAAAGCTTTTATTTGTTTTAGATCCATATGGCGACAAATGAAAACGCATAAATTTCCTTGATAAAAATATTTTGGCGGCCTAAAAGGTATTTGGAAGTTGAATCTTGATGTCGTACCAAACACCAACTGCCGCATTTTAACTAAACTTTTAATTTTTATTTACCTGAAAGAGGAAAGAGAAAAAAAGCATTCAAAATTGAAACCTTGTGTAGCTATTTTGTTTAATGTGTCTCGCTGTAGATTGTATAGATCCACATGACATCATTTTTCACAATAATGTGCCTGCTGCTATGATGAAGTCGACGCTATCGGCAACGTCAGCAGATATCATTGTTTACCTTTTTCCTGGTACCACAAGTGACATTCTGTACATTACGTTAATCTATGTAATGTTTCGTTAGCTTTTTACTATTCAAGATCGCTTTTAGTAGTGGAAAAACGAATCAATCGTCTGGCAAATTGATGATCGCAGATTAAATGTTGATTTTTATGACGAACGATAAAACAAACTTCCCAGTGGGAAGTTTACAAGTTCAAGATTGCAAAAGAATCAGGATTTTCTGGTTTCCACCGACTATTACTGTTATAAGATAAAGAAAACATGTTGTGCTTAACTTAATTTTATGTCCAATCAATCATTTTCGTCAAAACTGAATTTATTTTTTCACTGGCTACTTCGGTAGCAAACAATCAGAAATTCTTCATCCCAACTGGGTCAAATTTAAAGTTTAAAGGAACCTAACTTGACACTGAAATAAATTCTCTTCAATAGATCTCTGTTTTTTATCATTCATTCTGTCATCACGTTTTAACCTGTTCTCGTAACCAATCGACAATATGGTATGCTTTAATTAAACAAAAAACAGCGCACAGCGTACAAACAAAATAAAAAACTGAGTTGAGTTCCATAGAGTTGATATCATGTTTCGCTTTCAGTAACTAATTTTAATAAAAAATGGCTCCTTAAGTCTCCTAAAGACCTTCTGAGCTTCCAACACCTTTTCTTAGGTCGTTCTCCGAACAAACGTTGTGTGTTTGTTTGTGAATTGATTCAATGACAAGACGCATTCTTTCTGCTTATTAAAGTCAAGTTGAAAGTTTTTTTTTCTCTCCATTCCTGATCATAAATGAAGTAGACATCGATTGAGTTGTTGGTTTATTTTCATTGCAAAATATTTTTAGTGCAAAATTTTATTTGGATGAAACTTGCGGGTGGTCTGCTCTTTTTTCGGTAAAATGACTCTTCTCGGAACTTCAAGTCAATAATTCATGTTTTTTATAGGCATTTCGGGCAGACATAAAAAAGTATTAATGATCAAACCCCTAAAGATGCACGAAATGTTTGATCGCATAATCAACTTATTTCTAATCCGCACATTGAGGTCAATCATCGGACTTGCGTAAGATAAAATCATCACCTTTGACATCAGCGTTGATGAAGTTTTGTAGAAATTTCTGATTTATGACAATGACTTGCCGCCGACAAAAGACAGCAGCAACGAACATGAAAATAGAGTGAAATAAATTCTTAACAAATGTCCGCGAAGACATTTCATAATCTGCAGCGTGAACGCTTTTTGTGTTGTGACTTGTGTAAAAAAATGTAAATCGTTGCATAATGATTCGAACGCGACTCGATGCAAAGAAAAATAACAAAAAAAAGCATGCCCGAAAAAAGAGAAAAGTGTTCATTTCGTTTTCGGTCGTGTTGGACATTGTTCCACTAAACATAAGAAAAATGAAGAAAAAAAATAAATAAAACACGTTGTGGCACGAAGGAATGTGTCTGCAAGAGACTCTGAAATCTTTTATGTTTGTTACACTCATTTCCTAAAAACACGACGTTATAGACATCATAACTCATTGATTTTAGGTTTTTGAGTCAAATCCAGACCACAAAAATGTTTTTATCTCGTCTCTTACTCTATGACGATGACGATAGACGTTCTTATGCAACAACAACTTAAATTTCTTTGCCTTCATCATATTCAGGAAAGAGAAATGCGCTATGCTGTTGCTCCATTTCATCATGATGATGCAGCGTAATCTTACACACATCACATCCAATGTTGTCTTCATTAGAATGTCTGACAATGTGAAATCCAAGATTGAAGGCAAGAAGTTTCTTATGAATTTGTGAACAATGAAATCATGGCCTAAGAATCATCATGACATGTCGAGTTTTCTCTTTCTCTTTTCATTTAACATAATTAATAAAATTTAATAAATATAAAGTTTCATCTTTCAAGGAAACTTTTCATTTCTTCCAAATCGATAAACAAACGAACACAAATTTATGTTGAAGATATTTAGAAGAAAGAAAATTTCTTATGTGATGTCTCAAAAGTTTATCGGGGCATCTCAGTGCAAGAAGGCAAGAAATGCAGTCAAGTGTCAAGGGGTGAATGGAAAGAAGAAAGAAATGAAATGACAAGAAATGTGTCTTAATCTTTCGTCAGAAATCTCATTTGCATCTTTCGCTTTTCTGTTTCTTTGTTTGTTTTCATAACATCAGAACAAGAGAAGCATCGTAAACTATCGTAATGTTGAACATTATTGGAAAGCCCACACGAATCATTTACATGATCACATTCTTCTAGTGACTGATCATTTCTAAAAAAGAAGCAAATGAAATAAACTTTCAACGGTGATTAAGTGTTCAATAATTGCTGTCGCAAACAAAACATTCATCAGATTATTACGTGTCTCTGAATACAGAAATGATTCATATTTCAAGTTTGCTCAGGTCAATGTGTGCTTGTGCCTGCTCTACTTATTTCAATATCACTTTTTTGTTTTATTTGTTTGCACATTTTTTTTGTTCTCTCTCATAAACCGCAATTTATTTACTTAAAGTTTCTCGTTCAACTCAGATTCATTGAGAGACCCTCTCTTAAGTGCAAATATTTATTCATTTATTAATTTGATTCAGGAAAAAAAGTTTCCTTGTGGTAATGAGAATAGCTGAGAAGTAAACAAAATTTGATATTTTGTGAATTCTTCGGGAAGTTTACACAAGTTGAGTGAGATATGCGTATAAGCATTAGTCACATGCTTTTAAATTGTGTCAGTGTCATTATCCTTTTATCACTTAACAATGTTGCTATTGAATGTGTTTGGAAGGAAAACGTTTAAACGCTTTTCAAGAGCATTAAGATAAATATGCGAAGAGGTTTGTTGTTTGATGACTTTCGGCTTTTTTTTTCTGATATTAGTGGGAAGAATTTCATTCGCTCATTGAATCGACAAATATTTAGTTTTAATATATTCCAAGTTAATGCTTTTTTTTCGAAGACATTGTTTGTTTGAGTGTTCAGATAAATGACACGATATCAAATTAATAAAAGATTCGATATAGAACATAACAAACAAGGAATTTCGGTCTAATTTTCTACAGCTAAGGTCAGATATGAAGCGGTTTGTTTAATTTTCAACGATTGCTCGCTTGTTCTCAGGCTAATGCGATGGAGTGAATATTGTTGGCTAGTTAAGAGGGTAAATGCCATTCAAGAGCACATTTATTCAAATTATAAATCAATTCTCTACTCGATTATATTAATGCTGGTGTTTTTTCTCCTTCTTCTCTCACTCGTTCACTCACTTCACCCGTTCACTCACTCACTGGCTGACTAACTCGCTTCAAATCCATTAACATATTTTGATTGAAGGTTAAGAAATGAATAATTTCTTTCGATGGGGATATTTATTTATTTATCTATGTTGTCGAGATGGGAAGAATAAAACATAAAACGAATGAAACGAGTAAAGAAATAAAACAAGAACAATCTCTTGTTAAACATTCTTCAAAATTCCTCTATTAGAAATCATTTTTCAAGTTTGGTTTCTCTTCAAGCATAATTTATGCTTGTGCTGCTTTTCGAAATAAAACAAAAAAAAGTAAACAAACAGCATAGAAGAAGAAATGTGGAACAAAGATCCTTTTTCATGCATGAGAACGCAACCTCGTGCTTATCGGTTAAACTCTCTCGAAGAGTAACAAAAGGAAATGAAGAAATCTGACATTTCATAAATGTTTTCTAAAATCATTTCTGTCACTAATCGCCTTTGCGATTGCAAGCATATCATTAAAATTAATAAGAAACAGGAAGATATATGATTAAACGTTCCAACAAGCGTTGCGATTTCTTTCTTCCTATTAACACTTTTTTTGTGAGATTTCGAAAGGCTGAAAGAAAAGTAAGATTCTTTGTCTCCAACAAAACGATAGACTTAAATGCGTGTTCAGTAATGATAAATTAATTTCAATTTTACTTCTTCAATGATTCGATGTTATGGCGGAAAGAAAAGCTCGAAAATTTGGTCATTTCTTATGATCTCAATCTGTCGCTGCTGATTCATCTAAACAGTAGAGTTTTTAAAAGATTGTTTTCTTATAGAAAGTAAGACGATTGCTGAAAATTATTTACCTAGAAAGACGATGCTGACTTGATGGATTTTATCTTGGTTTTTAGTTTTTTTTTTGAAAGGTTCTCTCTCACTCATTCACTCATTCAGCAAAGTATTTCATTTGGGCAAAAGCAAAAATAGCATAAAAGCGACGAAAGGAAGGAAAATAAAAAATCAAAACCAGTTTAAAGAGTAGAGAGGCACACAATTGTGGTTGTAGAAGTTGTCTGGGTGAATGAAGAAGAATTATTGTCTTGTGTAGTTGTTTTTTATTTTTATTTTACTCTTTGATTTGGTCAGGGGCATTAGCTTAAAGAAAATTGTAAGTTGTTTTGCTGCGATTTGGAACCGCATGATGGTTTTGAAATGAGCGAAATAACCTCACGACATAAACAGCATTGATGCCAATTAGAAAACCCTGCCCTGCGCCCGCCGATTATTCGTCGACTGATTTTTCAAGTGAATGTTTTCGTTTTCCGTCTTCGTGATCTCATCATTTGCTCATTCCATCGCGCGATATTTTATTTATTTATTTCGGCTTGATATACGTGTTCTTGTTTGCTTTTTGCCTTTGATTGTTTTTCCCTGTTTCTTTGTGCTTGCTTGTGCGCTTGGACTTTCAGTAGCGATCAACTTTGAAAAGGTCTCTTCTTCTTTTCCAATCAAGAAATTTATTGTAAGCAAATTACTTCGCTTTCGATTTAACCTTTATTTTTTGCGAGCATAGTTATTGTTATCACTGACAAAAAAAAAAGAAAAGAATAAGATGTGAAATGCTACGTCTAATTGATGACGATGATTTCCTTCCACTCGTACGTCGATGACTTGTGAAAGATTATTATAGGGCAAGTGAGGTTTTTGACTTTCATCTTTTCGCTGAAGACTTTCTTTCATAATTGCCATCACAATGAAAACAATTACGAAAAAAGATTGGAGGAAGAAAAAGTGCGGCTGATGGGCAGAGACGAAACGCCTCTCTAAATGCTGTTAAGTAGAACAATTAAATTTAGAATGTTGATTCTTCTTTGATCACTTGACTTGTGAAGAATAAAGAATCATCAACAACGATAAAGAAGAGAAATAGAAAGAAAAGTTAATTAAATTTTCACATGATAGAACTTTGAATGTTTTTTTTATCCATTCCAAAACAATGGACAATTTCATTGCGCAAGATCACAAAGCAATTTTATTCTGTTTTTCGTTTCTGCACGGCTTGACTTCTTTATTTCATTAACTTAATATATTTTCCTTTTGCTAATTTCTTATGCTGTTGTTTGTGTGCTTGCTCGTTGAGAAATGAAGCAAAAGTATCAGCTGAAAAAAGAAGAACGATCATCATGCAAGTAGCAAATCATTCCACCCATGATGCCCCCGTGAAATGAAGTCAGTGCTCAAGGAAAGCAATAAAATCAATATGCGAGAAGAAAGAGAAGCGCAGCTTATAAAAAACGAAACTTTTACGAAGAAAAAAGAAAGAAAAAAAATCAATGAACATCAATTGTGATCTTGAGAAACTTTTTTTCTTGAGCAATTTACATAATTGATGCAAAAAAAAAAGATTTTCATCGTGAAAACGCTCTTTTGTGATCATGTTGACCTACAATTGAGTGCGCGGGACTTTATGCGTTTCCAATATTTCATTCTTCATTTCTTCTTCATCTCAACTCTTTCTCATTTCTCACTGACAAAAAGTAAAACAAAAATTAAAAGAAAAACATTTCAAAGTTTAATTTATTGTTGAGAGAAAAAGTTGACGTTGATAATGCAAAGTTTCGCATCTCTCGCTCCATTCTTAACGCTTTTCTCACTGCTAAAAATGATTTAAGATTATCACATGTCGTGTCAGTGAGTTTTGCCTTCAATACAAAGTAAATTTTTATATGCTTAGCAATTGTTGATTTTTTAACCTTCGATTTTGAAAAAGTTTGATAAGTTTTGTCACGCTAGATGATGTCGTTAAAATAATTGATGCGGAACTTTCTTATCTCGCTGCTAGTTAAGCATTTAGCGAATTCGTTTTGTCTTTAATTCAACACAAACGTTAATTAACTCTCAAGGATGCGTTTTCACCTTCTTTTCGTTCACGTCTTGACATTCATTCGACATGAAGCGTGCAATTATGCGCATGATTATGTAGCGTAAATTTAAGAAATGAGACCTCAATTCATCTCCGGCATGTTTCATTCTTTATGAATCCGGCATGTGGTGTAATAAGTTCGACACAGTATTTCGATTATTTTATCTTACTTATTTTTTTTTTTGGAGAAATTGAACTTTCGTTCATGAAATGAAAGAAGAAAATGCGATGAAAAATTATGAAGTCGACATAGTGCTTGTGCGTTGAAAATTGCTCAAACGGCCTTTGCGCTTATTAAGTTTTACGATAGCATGTACGGCTTCATATCGTCATTGACTGAAGACATAAGAATACGACAGGCAATGGACAATGTGACAGTTAAAGACAAAAGTCAACAAAAGCAAAGTTTGAAAAACAATCAAACATCGTGACAATGGTTGGTGATCAATTTTTATGTGAATGACACTATTAGTAGCAAATTTCCTACTTCCTACTTCATCACAGGAGGGCGCGAGAGAGTGATAAATGGTAATCACGATCTTAAGATCATTAACATCGTTTCTGTCGCCAAAGGCACACCACGTTGTTCAACGTTTAATTCCATTTAATTTAATTTTAAAGACACTTAAAGGGACACGATTTGAAACCAAATATTTTTCTCCTTCTCACCTTCCCAGTTGATTTCCATTAAAATTTCTCATGAAATGGGAAAAGAAAGAAATTATTTAAATCCTACATGCAAGTAAGACTTTCAATCGAAAGTGAAACGATTTTTCATGATTATTAAATATTTCTTTCTTTTTCTGCTTCGTCGCTTTGTAGTGAACTTTTTTTTTTCTTCTCTTCTCCAACTGCCCATTAAATGAAGTACACGAGATCATCTTTCTCTCGTGCTCTGTGCGCGCGATCTCATCTCCCCCTTGATGAACATGAACATAAAAAACGAATTTAACAAAAGCTGAAATCGAAAATAGCTTTTAGCTTGTGAATTAGAGGAAAAATGCAATTAACAAAGTCCAAGAATGGTGTTTGAAGTGAAAATGTTCTAGTTTCGTTTCGCTCGTTTAGATCGATAAGATGAAATGGAAATGGAAATCTCCCTGGAGCTTAAAACTCGAAAACACTTTCCAAAAAATGTAAAAAACAAAATTAAATAAATCAAGTTCATGTTGCCGTTGTTTCTGGCTTGTTTAGCTGTCGGTGGCTTAAAATACGAGGAAGAAATGCTTTTTCTTTCTCATTTTCGAATTAATGCTCTACAAAGCGATTTCAAACACCCCGAAATGAAACAAAATCCATGGCTTAAAATAAATTTATTCAAATTTGTTATTAATTGCGATTCATTAAAAAAGTTTACGCTTCAAGCTTGGCTCGAGCATTAAAGATCAAAGTGAAGTGTTTACTTGAAAACTTTTGCCTTCATTATATGTACATACTCTTAAATAATTAAGCATGGATGGAAGCATATCCGGATCAGAAGTTCATTGCTGCTTTAAGATAGCTCAGTTGGTCTTCTTTCATTTTTTGGTATCAACTTTCATCAAAATTGTGTAGGAAACAGTGTCAGACGTCATGATGTGTTTGCATGGTGTTCCATATTATTCAAAAAACAGCGATTGGAAATTAATTGAACTGGAAATTATCGGCAAACATTTGCATTATTTTTAAATGTATTCATGAAATAACAGACATGATGTTACAAAGTTGGGATCAGTTTTTTGTTCAACAAATCTGTTAGCTTTCCTTCTACTTTTTATTGGGTTTTGTGTCCGCCCCGATTATTCCACGTATAATGGGAAATTAGGTCCATTTCGCAAACAATAGAACACGTTAATGATTACATTTCTCACACAGAACTGTAACATCTTCGCTAACAATTTCGTTTCTTCTTCCATCATGCGCGCATCTGATTTGTCTAATTAAATTCATTTACATGTTGCCGTTTCTTTCACATTACCTTACGTTGATTTATCTTGAATTATGTTAGAAAAGTTATGGATCTAAATGGGAAGAAAAATAAAAAAAAGATGCCAAACCAAATCTTTATCGTCTTATACAGTTAGCGGAAGGTATAAAGAGGTTTACTTTATGCTATCGTTAATGAAAAAAAAATGATGTGCGGCATTATGAGAATTATTCAATGAATTATAACATTTTCCTTATTGTGTTTGTGTTCTTTTAAGAAAATCGTAAGAAACAAACTCAAACTGAACCTTGTAATTAATTTAGAAAACATCGAACAAGATATTGAATAATTTTAACGATATTAATCACACATTGTTGTATAAAATCTAAAATTGTTAGCATCTATTTATGCTTAACAGTAAACGAAATGAATTCAATTTTTCTCTGGGCGAATTCTGTTTTTTTTTTTTGGATTATTTGTTTCATACAAATCACTTGATTATTGAGTGTTAAGCGTATTAATTCTCATTTCTCGGCATTGAAACAGTTTCCCAACAACAATAACAGCAATGCAACAATTGATTGGAGAAAAATCACATTTTTATTGGCACATTTATCATTTCAAAGCTCAAGAGGTTCGTTCTAAGATTGAACTCGAATTTCTATTTGTTTTGCTAGCCTTTGGCTTAAAATCTTTTTTCGAGGCTGTGAGAAGAGAAAATGCAGTTGCTGAATAGAAATAAATTGTTAGTTATCGAGAAAGTCACGAAGAGTTTTCCAAAGCACAAAAATTCTTAGACGATGATGAAGATGATGCTCAACAGTGTTGGTTGGCTTTGGTGAACATGAAAAAAAGAATAAAAGTTCTCATCAATAGAAGAGAAAGAAGAAAGAAATTCTAAATAAACAAGCAAAACAAACTCTTCCTGCTTTGGGTGCTTTTCGATCAATGACCTCGTTCATTGGGTTGCTAACAATAGAAAACTGACTAACTCAATTAATAATAAGTACGATGAAGATAATCCGTGAACAGCAACAACAGCAAAGGCAAAATATGAGTTTCAACGTCTCAAGAGTAGTTTCTAATGAGATTGCAATAAGTAATAAAAAAGCTTCACCGAAAATTATGGGCACAAAGAGATGCTGAGTTTATTATTGTTTCACGTCAAAATGTACACAAAAAAACAAAATTTCTTCCAAGCTTTCATTTTTCTTCTCTCCATATCTCTCCCTCTCCTTTACACGCTGAATAAAAATCCACAAAAACATTTTTTTTAACGCCGCACATAAAACTTTAATTAACTTACAATTCCAAAGCCTAAAAAGTGGAAATTTTATTCATTAGCCAATGCTTCATTATTTACATTTCATTTTCGTGAGATTTTATCAATTTCTTTAATGTTATTAAACTTCTTTTCTCCTTGCTAATTTGCAGCATGATGAACAGTTTAATAGTCAATACGGCCTAACGCAAGCTGGTTTGGAGGAATACAGCCGATCGTACTACGAGCAAAACATGATGTACAATCATCAAAAGCAGTCGTCATACGCACAATCAGAAGGCTATCACAGCTACGTGAGTTCAGATTCGTCGTCAACGCCGTTTTTGGACAGGTGAGAACTTTCAACCATTTTTCTTCTTTCATTTATCTATTCGTTCTTCATACAATCCATTTGACATTGCTATTCATCTTTGCGTGCTTTGAATAACTGATAAGACATTGAAATATTCATGAAATAATTGATAATTAACGAGCCGACATAAAAGGTTAAAAAATTCTCAAAGTCTTGGACTATAAAGTTAAAAATGTTAAACGATAAATGCATGCGTTTTATGGCGGAATTCCATTAACTCGATCGAAGACTTATCTAAGGTTGTTCTGTTTTTAATGAATGCATATCAAAGAGAAGAGAAATTCCGCGAAGACATTTTATCATTAACACTAAATATCCTTTTGTCGTGGCTACTCGTCGTCTTCTTATTTTTTGGCTCCAGTTTTGTTCTCTCAGCTTGATGTCGTGTCATATAATAAAAGTAATTTATAATTCACCATAATTTCATTGCATAATATTAAGCATAACCTTTTCTCTGCTTTGCGGCGGATAAATCGTGTCTTATTGACAAGAATATTCACTTAAATGTATAGTTTTGCATTCAATGGAAATGAGAGGAAAGAAGACGATGTAAGATGATAGTTTTTCTTATTTTTATAATAACAACAAGAATGCCATAAATTCAGAATAACTTTACTTTAATTGAAGACTTCTCATTGCTGAGGTTAGATCGGGTTCGCGTGAAGCTGTTCTTTAACATTCGAAGTTATGTTTGTACTTTCTTGATGTATACGATTTTACCACTCAATTTACGATTGCGAATCAAGGAAGAATCAAGAGACGTTTAAGCGCCCATAAAATATTTTAACATTTCATGTTTATGAATATTCATTCAATTCATTTCTGATGATTTCTGGTCGAAATAAATAATAATTAAAAAAGATTTCGCCTTACTCAAGTGATTAATATAATTTAGCTTTCTTCTTATTTCGATATATAAATATAAATTAATTTACATGTGAAGAGAAATTATAACTGCATTTATTATTGAACTCTTTTTCGAGATATTTCAAGAGGAGAAAATACTGTTTCACCAAGTCAATACAACGACTAACAATTTATCGTCCTATTCTGATTAAGTATATGGGAAGAAATGTAAATTTAAACGTTTTAAATTCTTTATTATTGAAGAATTATTTTTTTTTTTGCTGTAGAGACAAACGAGCGCGTCTACATAACTACAGTTAGTAAGTCTGAGTGGTACTCTTAATAAACTAAAAGATGATGCAAGCAAAACAAGATTTCTTGAGAACACATTTATTTACGATCAGATCACTATTTAAGGTTTGCTAATTGTGTGAACATTGTTCAATATGTTTAGAGACGTTCAAGACTCTTTAAAGAAACGACAAATGTTTGTAGTTGAAAGAAATTCAATGTGTCATCACTTTGCGCAACGTTTAAAGTGATGTAAGCAGCGATGTTTCATCCAATGACACTTAAAATCGATAAGTTTTCTCAATTAATTCTCGCTCATAACAAAATCAACTCGTATTTCGTCCCGTTATTTATTTTTGCCTTTTTTTTTTTGCATGGCGATGGCCGATAAAGTCAAGATGTTATTCCTTCTTTTTCTTATTGAAAAATTATATTTTGGATTGGCTTATCATTGAAGAAAAAGGAGAAGAAAACGATTCGTTAATTGGCATCGAATGTTGTTGTCGAAAGACAAGGTACCTGTACGATTTATACACAGACAGCCCACAATCACTTTCAGTAACATTATCTTTCAACGCGCACTCGAAAGGTCAAGTTCTTGCCTCCTTCTCTCGCCTTATTTCTCAAAATATTTACTGAAAATCATGAAAAGGTTCTGACTGCGAAAATATAAGAAAAACAATTTTTTCGCTTACCACAAGTCTCTTGAAACTTGTTCCGGGATCAGACGACAAACGAACCGGTTTAGTTTGCAAAACACCACCAAGTGGAGAAATAATAAAAAAAAGCTGAGAGTGAGATTTAGATCAAATGCTTTGAAATGCTGCAAGCACAAAATGGAAGAAATTTGCCAGAGAATCTCTCGGACATTGAGCTGAGAAATTAAGAAAAAAAAAGAAAGAAAAACGCTCGTCAAATTCCACGCTTTATTTCCTTCTATAAATCGGCGGAAAAAAATTAGTAAAATGCGATAAGGAAAGTGACATGAAAGTATGGCGACATTTTCTAATTATTGCGATACGATAATGAGCGATTGTGATTTATTTCTTTCTTTACCTTGCTTATGCACATGAAATTTGTGTCTTTAGTGATCACGAGCAATGAAACAGGTTCCTAATCGAGCCTGGTCAGCTTTCGCATATGTAACCGCGTGTATATTCATGTACAAACCACGTCTCGGTTTCTTGCCAACTCATACACAATGCCATTTATTTATTTTTATTTTTATGCTCAGACATCTCATTAATATCGAAATATTTGCATAGTTTGATTTGAATTAAAGCAACAAATCAATAAAAATAAAATCTAGCACAATGTCAGTTGAATTGACAAACTTTGCTAATCAATGCTTAATTAAATAAGAATCAAGAATTTGCTCCAGAAAACGCTAATTAGAAGTGAAATGCCGTGGGCATTGATGAGATAATTTATCGGAGTTTCATGACAAGTGATTACTTGATCATTGCACATTAGTAATCCAATTAAAAATGTATCGTTTTTAGTAAGCAGGATCAGATTATTAAAGTAGAAGAAACAGAAGGGAAAAATATTTTTCGCATTAGTCAAACAAACGGGAATGTGATCAGTCGATAAAGCTAAACATTTTCATAAATGTATTTATTTCAATTTATGACATTCATTTGATGCACACAAACTCAATTAAGTGATGCAGAAATTGAAATTGAGACGCTGGAGTTGATGCAGGCGATTTATTAAAGCCACCGGTGCGAGTTCCACTTTTTGAATCGCTCCGCAACTACTCTTTGTGTTTGATCAGCTGTTTAAATTGAACTGACATTAATTGGTGCATGTTTTCGTATTTCTTCTCTTCATCATTCAGGGTTGGGAAAAGCTTAATTACAATTTAACCAAAAGAGCTTATGATTTTGCCTTCCTAAATGATCAACATCGTGAAACTTTAAACGAAATGAAACGTCGCGACGAGATAGAGAAAAACCTTCATCAATCATGCCTCGGAAATGCTTCGTCTTGTTCATAATGAGGTGTAAAGTAGGATAATTTACTAATTTACCATTTTCATGTTGTGTACACGAGGGAATGAGTGTTCGGTGATTCTTCATCTTCATCTCTTTAACACGAACCGTCTTATAAACAACAAAATAAAAAGTTTTATAAAGATGACTCGACTTCGCCACGCTGTTGACCAACTAAACAGCACAAAATATTCTTTCTTTTCAATTCGGATTTCTCTCGTTTACTTGTTTGTTAATATTTTTAACATAAGTTAGGGGAAGTTTCAAAGTTACGTTGTTACGATTTTCAAATCAATTTCTGCAAAATCTTAGATCAACTTTGAATGTTCCTCGCTGAGTTTTGCATAAGAAAAACTTTTTTTTACTAAAGTTATAAATTTGCATTTAACATGCAAACATTTATTTGTCATCAATGGAAATAAATTCTGTCTTAAATTCATTCAGGCAGCTTTATTATTACTTTGCCAATGTTACAATTGTTTTGTTCTCATTCTCAATAATTTATGTTGTAAAACTTTTGAAAATAACACACGCGCGAAGATTCAGTTGCAACACACAAAAAAAAAAGAGAAAAAGCTATCAAACCGCCCAACGACACAGTCAAGGAGTCGTTAGCTGATGGAATATGCGCAAATAAGCGTTCTTCGCATCAATTGATGCTTTTTAAAGTTTCTATTTTTTATGGATATTTTTTTCCTTCTAATGTTCAATTGACGACTCTCATGACAGAAACATACATAAATAATGATTAAATAATGATTATTAATGCGCTTTGATGTATATTTTTTTTCTTATTCTCTATTTAAAAAATATAGGCTACGTCAAGACAGTCAACTGCAGTCACGAGCCATCAATTGGTCGCAAGATTTTCAAACGCAAAATCTCAATGGAAGTACCAACAGCATATCGAGCAGCACTGGTAACATTAACAACGAATGTTCCGAAAGTAACTCATCGACGGAAACACTTAAATGGCTTGGATCAATGAGCGATGTGTCTGTGGTCAGTCAAGCAACGAATACATCAACTCTATCAGGTAATATCCTACATATGTTGGAAGCATTAATCATTTAATTTGTCAATTAATTAACGGATTTCCATTAGACATAAATCTTCCATTTTTTTGCTTCAATTTTGTTTTTGTGTGTTCCATGCTACGATGAGTAATGACTTTGCTGACTCAACTGGCACTCATAAAAATTGCATAATGTGAATTTTTCATTTTTTTGCTTTGCTTTGTTTTGGCCACAAATCAATTTCACATTGCGCGAGAAAACAATTCTTTACATGACGCTCATATTTCGATAATTTGTCGATATATTTGCGTTTATTTAAACGTTTAAAACGTTTGCAATGCATGAATGAGAATGTTTTGCCAATATACATATTTATTAAGTGAAACAATTTTTATTAATAAACGCAGTTCGATGTCGACGAGCAAGTAAGACAGCCACAGAGAAAATTGAGATTTCCGTGGACTTGTGCGAGGCGAAAAAAGCCTTGAAAGTCATGTTGTTAGTTTTATTTTTATTATTTCACTTCAGTCGCAACTCTTGCTTCGTTTCTAAGATCATTGTTTTGTCAGAGATCTTAACTGTAGAAAACTCGAGGTGAAAATCAAAATAATATTAAATGAAATAAGTGCAAATTGAGCATAAATTTATTCGCCATGTTTCCTTCGCGATATTAAAAATAATAAAGCTAATATTTTTGCTTCAATTGATTACAATTGAAATTGAAAAGCAGGCAGTAAAGAAACTGAAAATAAATTAACATATCTTTCAACTTAAATTTGGCGTTAAAAAGCGATTTACATTTAAATGTAATGCTTGAGTGCTGTCTGCACTTTACTTAAAACAATTCCAATGCTTTTACCAATGATTCACTTCCTGACACTTCCACTTGAGTCTTGTTACATTGCTATGCATTACATTGCAAAATTAATGTCCAATGTCCTTTTAATTAAACATTCAAATCAACCATGTAAAGATCTTTAACTTGTCCTACGTAATTTCATTTGATTTTATTTTTCTACGTCTCACGACAGATTTTGCGTGTTCTTTTATTAATTTCAATTTTCAAGACTAAATGGAAATACATTCAAAAAGAATTCTTTATTTTCTTTATTCGAAACTGTACGGAGAAGAATGTAAGTTAAACTTTGTTCTCTGTCTTCATCTCGTCGTTGTCGTCATCGTTTTTTTTTCAATTTTTCACTGCATGTAATTTAATTTGCAATTTATTGAGCCTCGCACCGATTCAACAGAACAAAAATAAACCGTAAGCCTTTCAATGTAATAATAAAGCAATAAAATCTCCTTGACGAAAGAGAATATGTCCAATGTAAGTACTAAGCAGCAGCAGCAGTAACAACGATTGAAGCTAGTAATTTCAAGAAGGAAGAAAGGCCTCAAGAAACCTTAAGAATGTTTCAAACATTTTATGATCTTGATGAAAAATTAATGCCACGATTTTGAGTCTTTGAAGAAAGAAATAGTCAGTCATTTAATGCCACCATCGTAACGATTGTTTAAAATAACGTTTTGTAGGAAAGATCATTGTGTGGAAATCCGAATTGACATATCAAGGAAATAACATTTACATTTTTCAATTATTGAATTTATTGACCATTAAATACTAATTTCTTTTTATTGGAAATTATAATGAGACGGTTGAATTTTATTATTATTCTTTTTTTTTTGTTGAATTTAATTTGCTTGCTGCTAATGTTCTCTCAAACTCATTAGTAATCTTTTTTTCTCACCGGCATGCCGTTTTCTCGTTTTTCCAATCCCATTTTCAGCCTCCTCGCAATTAATTGTTCACAGCTCTAAAGTGCGAACACCACAACGTCATAACTCTGAAAGTGTTCTTTACATGAACGACGAGAGTAAAATGAATGGAAACACCAGCAACAATAGTGTTGAAGATCTTTCTAGCGAGCAGTTTCAGCATCGTTCTAGTCGTAGTGATAATAGACTTTTTCCAATTAACACTTATACAGAACAACAACCAATTTCATTGAGTGCATCTACGACGTCGCTCGATTCAAAGTGAGTGTTGTTAAGTTTCACATTTTCCCTCTAACGTTTTAATAAAGAAATATCGAAGCAATTATATTCTTAGGTGGAGTAAGCAAAGTAACCAACATCCTTCTTACTTCTTTTGATTTCATTCTCGTTCTCATTCTCGTTTCTCGCACAAAAAGTGATCTTTGTGTGAAGATCTCTGAATGAGACCAAACAAACGTAGATCTAGGAGTTCCTTCATTACCTATTATGTTGAACAAAAGATCGCAAGAATTCTTTTTTCTTCTATAAATCTCATTAATCAGTTTTCTTAAAGTTGTTTGCATTGACTTGACTCATTCAGCAAGAGTCATGTCTGAAAAAAGACTTTGGAAGTCTCGTGGGTTGTTTAGATAATCAAATTAAATAAAAGAATCTTTTAATTGCTTCCCGGTATATCACAACAAGAACCATTTTGATTCAGAATTTAATTAAAATTGATTTCTTTCTCTCTCTCCCTCACTCGTTCATTCACAATCAATTCTTGATGTGATATTTTGCAACATGGTTTTAGGCTTTCAAGCAATCATAATTGGCAATCGGTAGCCGATCGAATCAATGAACTGGAAAAGCAACAACAAAAACAGCAAGCAATTCATGATCACAATAAACAGCATTACACATATTTGGATCCGAGCAAGACACACCGAGTACCTAATCCGACATTGAAGGCATTTCAAAAGAATGCGATCCAATCATATTTCGAAAGACAACAACAGCAGCAACAATCAATCAGGCTTAGTAAGTCAACTCATCATGTTGCCACTAAAAGTGATGATCTGACTAAAACAAAATCATCATCAATTGTCGGTGGTAAAGAGATATCGAAAAGCAATGGAAATATTGCATCGACGCGACCGCAATCATTGAATTTAAGTCTTGCAACATCCGCTGTTAGTTTACCGACAACACCTTCATCAACACCGTCAACAACCAGCAGTCAACGTTCATCAATTTCAGCTTGGCCCAATGCTAGTCCCACGACAACAAACTCATCGATAATGATCGGTAGCAAATCATCAGACATCGGTGCTTCGATGAAGAAAAATGCTAATGATATAGCAAAAATGAATATGAAGAATAGCGCGATGTCTTCGGCAGTCGCATTGAATGGCAGTGAGAAGCAATTTGTTGTTACTGGTAGCAATAACAGCAGTGGTGGTGGTAAAGGGAATAATGGAAAAAGTCAATCAATCAACAAAAATCTATTTACATCATTCTGTGAAATCAAGACTGAAAACTATCCTTCGAAAGGCTTCGTCGAAGGCAACACAACAATTGACATTAATGGTGCAAACAAAACTAATTCAACACCACCACCATTGCCACGAAAAAGTAACGTCTTACGAAGGTATGTAACTTTGCCTATTTTTATTTAAATCTTTAACATAATTTAAAATCATCAAGAAGAATCTTTTTTATGGTGCAATTTCTCGTCTTAACTGTTACACGATCTCAACCGTGGAAGTGCAAGCGTTGATAAATAATAAATTATTAAAACAGTTCGGTTTACTCAAGCAAAAGGTAAAAAGCAAGAAATAACAAAAATAAATATTAAAAATAAGAAAATCAATCGTCTGACCATGAATGCTTTGCATTGCTGTAGTTCGGGTTGTTTAATATTTGATTTATCAGCACTATTCGCGTCATGATACAATCTAAATTGTATTTATTACACCACTCGATAAGCTCTGTCGTTTAATATCGGGAAACACCAACAAAGCACTCCGCAAACCATAATTTTTAATGCTCTTGCTTGCTTTTTTAACATGGAATTGAACTTGGAATCGATTAGCCACAGTCGTCGAGTGAGATTTGTGGATTTATTTAACTTTGCTATGAAATATGATTTTGATATGAATTCGTTACGCCATATAATCTTATTACAAATATCATGTCTGGTTTGTACCGTTTTAGGACTTCATCGGCATCTGAGTATTCATCGATACGTGATAAAATGTTACAACAGAATCAACATTTATCAAAGGACTTATTGGGAGCTATGATTATTGGAAAGATTATTTCAATTGATGATTGGGTGCCTGAAAGACCACCGAAGAATCCCTCATTAAGGATTCCATCGCCTGAATTGCCTCCACCACCGAACACAGAAAATATTCCTATGAATCAAGACGATCCACTGCCACCACCACCACCAGAATTATTGAAGTCAGAACCAGAACTCAAATTAAATGCAACAAGTCGTCGAAATAGCTTTGCCGGTCAAAGCAACAACACGACAAGAGTGAAGGTCAACAACATTCCATTATCACCGCCAGCCATTCCAATGCGTCCAAAAATTGTTCCTACACCAATCATGACTGTTAATCCCGTGAAAAACATATGTCAGATGCCTCAAGAATTAACTGTTCACGCACAGCGTGTAATTGTTCCAAAATCTGATGAAAACATTTCTTTCAATCAACAACAAACGACGTCAACACCGAAAGTTGCTGTAGGAAGGGCGTCTGATAGTCGCGTATCAGTGAGAAAACGTGCACATAATTCAAAGGATTTTATCGGATACATTCCAGCCCAACAGCAATCGACGCCTCCACCGTTGAAGCCGAGAATGCGGAACCAAAACGAGATCAGCAACGGCAATAACACTTCAGCACAGAATGTCTTTACACCAATTGTTAATAAAGTCCGGTAAGTGAAAGATATTTTGTTGTATTAAATATGAATTGTGTGAGAAAGTCTCGTCATATCACGGAGAAGGATCATTATGTTGTTCGTTGTTGTCATCGTTACAATTTCGTTGTAACATATTTTATGGTTTATTGTTTACGGGTAGTTTAGTCGGTGGGTCGGCCAGTCGATAATTTAAATGGGAGAAGACTGATGGGAATCTCAATAATTACGTTTCATAGTAACTGCAACAACAAAGAGAGAGAAAATCAAGAAGAAAATAAAACGAACTCAATACAATTACGTTGTTAGTTACATAAACGACATCTTTAAAGAAACGATCACAAAAAAAATCGCTTTTAATTGCGCGTATTGAAGGCGAAAGGTCAACTTTCTAGTTGATGCCAACAAATTAATTATCAACAATGAAAAAAAAACTTCACCGCCTTATTATCCGAAAAATAAAATCAGAAAATTAATTGCCAGTGAAAAGAGTCACGAACGATGTCGTTGAGATAATTTTTTTTTTGTGAAATACAAAAAGAATGAAATGTCAAGTCAACGATCTCTTGTAGGCTACTCAGATATTCAATGTCGAATGTTTACTAATGAGAAGGTATTGATAGGGTGGAAGAGAAGATAGTTAAAAGTTTAATCACGTTTTTTGTTTTTCCCATTTCGATTAACAAAGTAAATCTCGATACAACAATTAACTTCCAACAAACACGTGGCTCTTCTTTCTTTCTTCTTTTCTTTCTTACTTACATTGCTTTTCTTTTCATCATTGATTTAATTGCAACATCATGTGAACAAGATTTTCTCTCCTTTCACGTAACCTATTTATGCTTGCGATCTTCTTTTGTTATGTTTGCCTTATATTTCTTTCAAATAGCTTGAAACGAAAAGTTTCGATGATGATCATCATGATGATGGCATACGAAAGAAATGTGAGGCAAACTCTAAGCGCAATTATTATTGTTCTCTTCCGAAAAAAACAGAATCTCGTTAAACTTTATATTAGCGTTCTCTTCTTCATTCGATGTCAGGAAAATGTGCAACAAGCATGAGAAAAAGTTCGTGTCGTTCCTTTTAAAGTAATAAAAAGATTGAGAAGAGAAAGAGAGAGATAGACTTTAATTAGACTTATAATGTCAAAGTTCGAAAATGTACGATTTATTTTAAGTGCTTGGTGGCAACTTGCATTGTTTGTGCAGAGAAAAAAGTAATTGTAAAATAAAAAGAATTGTAAACAGCTGTTTTCTGATGAAGTTTCTATGTTGCATGTAATAAATATTGTTTATTGTAACAATTATTCAATTGCCATTCGCGATAGGTCAGTAGAACTCTATTAAGTCGCGATTTTACATATTTTGTACTTACATTGACTACTTCTATGGGTGCTATTTTGTTATTCCTTTTAAACACTTTATGTATATAAAACAATTTTACAACCCATACTTAGAACCCTTTTAAAATGTAGCGCAAACAATTGCTGTAATGCTTTTCCAAAACAGTACAACAAAAAAGACAACAAGAGATAAAAATAGGCGAGAAAATTTCAACAAAGGTCACAATTTAAATTTCAATAAATCAATTTATGTATGTTCACCTTATATTAACGTAGCACATTTAAACTTAATTTATTGATGATAAATTCACTTTGAAGCAACTTTCATTTCTTCTACCTGGCGGGCATTGAAAGCTTTTAGTCAAGACACAAACCAAAAATAGATTTTGAGAGTGAGAAAAACTCAGCGAGCATAAATTGAGATTATGCTGATTCCTCTCACTGATTTGGATTACGCCGATGGATTTAACGGAATGAAAATTTTCCTCGCACCTTTCAACATCACGCAGCTACATTTAGTTGTTGCACGATCATTGAGTGAACAAGACTAAAAATCCATAAAGTCTCGCGATTGATTTTCTACAAAAACAAAGAAATAAAAAAAGTTTTCATCTCGGGTTGAAGTGAAATCTTTCTTTGCTTCTCTTTTCTCGGTAGTCTTCTGGAAAGGCTGGAAAAGTTCAATAATAAAAAAAAATATGAAACTCGTTTGGCGCACTCACATTAAAAGAAATAACGATCAGTTCGCGCTGGGTTGCATATTAATACAATAATTTATGTCGAGCTGCCTTTTTCTGCATTCGTTTATTTCATGGTGGTGTTTATTTTGAAAAGCTAAATAAAAATGTGAAATTGCAATTGCCATTAGCTTTTATTTATAATAATAATCGTAAAAGGTCGCTGATGTTCTAAACCACAGAACAAAGCAGAAATGGATTACAATTAAAACGGCTCTTTCAACAAAAAGTAGACACCTTTCTCATTGTCATAAAATATCATTGCTTAGTACTTAGTTTCCAATCTAAATCGTCGTGTCGTGTTCTACAAAACAAGAAGGAAAAAAAATTATACAAAAACAAAAGATTATTTAAAGACGATAGTTAATGTGCTATTAACTAAGCGAGTTCAATTAACTCACAAATCTAATAAAACGTAAAAACTTGTGCTGGTTTAAAGAAACGTAGAGAACAGATCGCATGTTTAGTGCCTTCATTGAAAAAGGAAAACGCGATTTGATGTGATTTATGTAAACAATTCTATTTGACTTTAAATGTCAGTGAAAAAACTCTTAGTCGATAAACGATTAAAGTTTAAAAATATCCAAGAAGTAATAAAGACAACAGCTGAGTAATTTTATATTTCAACTCTTAAATATTCGAAAGGAAAAGTTCGTAACATTCATCATGGTGTTTGGAAATAAATTTCGCATCAGAAGGTAAACCAAAAAGCAGCAGATAGAAAATTTTAAATTCTTGTGAGAAAAAATTCTTGCAAATCATTTCGTAATCGTCATGAATTGTTTCAAAATTTCTATGTAAGCAAAAAATGGGGTAAAAACAGTCTGTGCTTCTTATTTCTTTACGTTCTACTTAATTTACATAATTGGTGACTAATTTAAGTATAGCCGCTTTTTTGTCGATTGCCATTGTGTCATATACGATTTCTCAAAATGTTTTGCTTTCCTCGAAACAGTAAAAAGAGGTAAAAATAATAAAAATACTACAAAGATAAAAAAATGCTTGAAGATTAATTTGTTATCATGTTTTTTACGAGATATTATTCACTGGATAAACACCCGACAAAAATAAACCTTTTCAGGTTACTGCGGAAAAAGTGGAGACAACAATTTGTTTTATTTATATTTGACATGTACTTTAAAGCTTATTACTAAGGTTGCTTAACTAATTCGACTGCCTTGAACTTCCGATACATTATCTTAAAAGCTTTGCAAACGATGACAATTGTCGTGTTACAAACAACTTGTATCTAAATAGTGGGTCATAGTTCAACTACCCAACCCATAAGATTAACAACTGAAAGACGTGGCTTGCAAATTTGACAACTGTCACTTCCTACATTAAGTATTCGCTATTTAGTTATATTCAAATGGAATGTTAAGATGAATGGAACGACAACAAAGAAAACATGATGGCCAACAATTTCTTTTTCATTTCACAATAAACTTCACCCGTGAAACATTTTGAATTTTCAACTTTTCTCACTTTGCTGTTTTTACGATTGCAATTTATGATGTTAATTAAGCATCTTTACATGTACGTCGTTCATACATATAATGTTGTTGTTGTTGTTGATGCTGATGTTATTATTTCACTTTACTTTGCTTTTGTTCTCTAGTAAATACAACAAATAAATAAGTAAACGAGTTTAATGTTGTAGAGAGAGAATCATAAATCGAAAATTATCAATGCGGAACGATCTCATCCGACATACCAAATAATAGCGAATTTAATTATAGCAATTTTGTATGGCTTTAGAAAAGAATTCTTATAAACATTCCGGACAAAGACGAAGACGAAAAGTTAAAGCCGTTGAACGACCATGCAATCCACCCGATGAGAAGAAGAGAACATTTTTCGGTAAATTTCAATTAAATGTGTTTAAGATAGTTCACCATGAAGAATTTAAGATTTTCATCAGCAATTACAAATGAATTCGCAAAGCGATGGTTTTTTGATTAATGACTTAATGTATTTTATTTAATCTCTCTCCGCTTGTTCTGAACACATTTTGTTTCGTTGGTCTGTTTATATTGGCAGTTAGTTCTTCTCATGGCGAAAAAAAATGAATAAACAGTTAGTTAATTTGATTTCGTTTCTGTTTCTGCTTCTTTGAGTTATTAATGAATTTTATGAACTGTGTATACAGCTCAACTCACTTTATAAGCGGCATGAAACATTTTAATGATGTATGTTTTCCCAATCAAAGCTCAAATTTGAATTTGAGAATATTTTAAGGTTTGGCATGATCGAAATTATTCTACCCAATAGTTTCTTGCCAATCATAACCACTTATATATCGCATGGTCGACTGGGCTATCGAATTGGACTTTTCTCGCTTGCTTGGTCAACGTTTCCTGCATTTTAATTATGTAATATTTATTTATTTAATACAATTCTCGTTGTGGACTTTAATCGCTTATCCTTCAACTTTACAAATATATCTAAATTTATAAATTTATTGTCCAATTCACAATGATTTTGCATACAATGCGCTTCGCAACTTGCAACTCGGAATTGAAATCTTTTTAAAGCGACATTCTGTGATTATTCAATTTGAGTTTGGCGTCGAATAAATTTTCATCTGTTTTTGTTTCTTTCCATTTCCAAAAAGACTCTCAAAGATTGAAATTAATTAGCACATGAACTCTTAAACATTGCGTGCACGTCCTTCGCATGGCAAATTTTGGGACTTTTATTCTTTACAGTTTCTCTCGATGTCGTTGACGAAAACGACGACAAGACAATGCGGTGAAACAAACTTCGTTGGCAACCGTAAAACCAACGGATTATTTTGCCAACATTGGCAGTCGTTTGTCTCTATAATTATACTTATAAATTTTAATATGCATTTGACAAGTCTTCAGTCAAGTCGCGACTTGCGAGATTTTAATGACAGAAACGTTCGTTCGAATGATTCTTTTTAATCTGCAGACCTTTTATTAAATTTTTATTTGGAGCCTAAAATTAAATGTAATCTAAGATTAAGTCGAACCCGAACTAGTTCGAGATCATGGGAAAGTTTAAATCAAGTGAATTGTTTGACTTCCTTAAGTTCTCATGCGAAATAAGAATCTTTGACGCGTTGTCACATCCGCGACTAATTCGACAATTAATCCCAAAGTCTTTCAAGAAGAAGAAGAAGAAGTTAAAAAAATTAAAAAACTCAATTTTCGCATTAAGATTTACGACAACGAGTTTGTTATTCGTCAGTTTATCAAAGGAAGTCACTTTGATGTTTAAATTAAGTGCGAAGAAGTTAAGAGTTTCAAAAAACAAAGAAGCCTAAGCTAAGATTTAGATTAAAGTCATTAAACAGAGCCGGATGTAATATGAGAGTAAATAAAGTAGATCTACTCAATGTGCAGTGTTGGCCTTCGAAACGTTTTATGTAATTTACTATGCCGTGACGATATGTTTCACTGTTGCTAATTTAATTCGAATTTCTTAACGCCTCTCCACATCACATCGGCTTGTGGATTTGAAAATCAGGCGAGGGCTTGGACGAAAACTAAAAGGCAGGATGATGAAAGTCATATTAATGATGTCTTGAATCTTATAAATTGCTTTTAATTAACGAAGCTTCCGAATCTTTTAACTGCGACAAACAACAAAGCGATTTTGTGTACGAAAATTAAAAATTCAATTTCAATTAGCGAAATCCTGACAGACGACGACGAATTTCTCTCGACATCACTAACAATATTGGATGGGCACGGTTCGAACAGCAAGCAACAAGCACAGCACAGTGCGACGCTCAATTTAAATTAGAAACCAAAGTCTTCAAAATTAAAGATTCATTTTCAAATTACCTGTTTCACTAACGCGATTCGTTTGCTCGCATCAATACAATAAAAGTTTCGAAGAAGAAAAGCAAATGAAAAGAAATATCGAAAAGAGAAAAGCGAATCAATTTAATTTCCAATAAATCACATTTAATGCTCATTCTTAATCGGTATCGATGTCATTATTATTTGATCAACTTTTAATTTTGCCCATGTCTAACTCTTGCTCTATGTTTAACATGCACAAATCGTGTTGTCAATTCATTTTCCCTTACAAAATACAAAATAAAAGAAACAAGACTCACTTCTTGCTAATAAAATCATCACCTGACTGAAGTTTACAAGATTTCTTCTTTTCTTTTTCTATGACTTCGATGATAAAGTAAAGTAAAAAAGGAAAATGTCTCGATTGCTATTGAAAGCGAAACAAAAGCTTTCGCCAATAATTCACCGTCACATGAAATTGCGATTGAAGTGGATGGATTTTTAAATTTAGTTTTAGGAAAAAGTGTAGGCTCAGTTAGTCCCACAATGCAACAACATTAAAATATAAATCGACGATTGAATTTGTATATAAAGTTAAATAACTTACGTTCTCTTACACCGTGCTGATTGGCGGTCATTTCAACTTTTTTAATATTTTTATTAATTGTTTCATAATAAATCATTTAAAACGTAATTCAAAATTCGCAAGTAAAGTTCAAAATTTTATTATAACATTAATCAGAGCTTTACTTGCAACATGGTTTCGGTAATTCACTTATTCCGTTTATTGTTTTGAAAGCAAGGGAAACGAGTAATCTCATCGCCTTTTATGTTGCTCGATAATGTCATGAGCAAGGTCTAAACATGCAAAATCTCTTTTCCTTCTATATCGCGACGTCATCAATTTAATAGGCGATCTTTATCGAAGTAAATAACGACAACGACAACTTTCTGCGGGCGCCAACAAGCTCGAATAAATCAGAAAACATTGTAAAGTAAGGCAGGCATTAAATAATACGGTTTATTTATAATGATTACCAATGGAAGTTTTTTCTTTCTTCGTCTTCTTTCTTCCTCGGCAAGTAACGAACGTTGGAGATCAGTTTCAATCAAGGTCGTTCGAATGGCGTTGAAGAAAATATCGCTTTTACTGAGAAAGTGATTTTTCATGGCATGTCTTTCATGTCGGATTTGGGCTTGAGCTTACCTAGTAAATTACTTCAGCATACTCAACAATTGTGTTTTTTTTTGCTAAATACGCAATACAAGTACTTGCATTTAGCTTTTTACTTCTTAAATCTCGATTATCGTTGTTTCCATATTGCGCCTTGAATCAAACCGTTCAAAATCTATTTTAACGCTTCAACTCAAATTGCATTTGATGATTTAGGTTTAGTTTCGGGCGCCATATGAACCAGTTTCTGATACTTTTTGATATTGTTTCTCCTTCAAAGTCAGTTCTTTATTTTCTTTCATAATTTTGCTTTTTTGAACGTTGTTGGTTTAATGATTTTTGCACGATCAGTGGGATTTTAATGAAATGTTTAACGTTCAACGTTGAAACACGAATTTTAATAAAGGAATTTGCTTTATTGACGCAAGTTGCCTTGACCGCGAACAATTCTATTCCACATGTCTCGATGACTCGTTGCTGATAATTTGAAACGAAAATAAAATCATAAAAAAATGTTTGGCAAATATCCAAGAAATGCTTGCAAAAATAAAAAATGAAAAAGCAAGTTCAAGTCTGAATCATGTTGATTCGATCGAGGAAGGTAGCAGAACATTAACCCAAATGTGAACGCTTGTAAAACCCACAAAAAAAATTTAAAAAACAGTTTTCTAAACATCGCTTCAGTCGATGTTGCAGTATTTTCTCTCCAAATCACCGCTCAACCACAATCAATGAGTGGAAATGAAATCGAGCAGAAGAAATCAAAGTGGAATTTAATTAAACAGCTTTTTTTATTTTCATTTTTTCGATCGCTATGCTGTCTCTACAATCTTGTTGAAGGTATTCAAGAGACACATAAAGCACGTTTGATATTTATGTTGCTTTAGAAACGACGATGATTTTTCTTGAAAATGCAAGACATGCGATGCGCTAGGCAAAACCACAATTACGTATAAGGAAAACAGAATAATTGGAAAGAAAAAGCGTCTTTTATCTATTTGGATGGCTCATCTTTCATCGCCTTGTTGCATTCAGAAAAAGAAATTAAAGTCCATTGAACTTATAAATTACTATAAAGGAAGAAAAAAAGTTATCATCGATTGCCCAGTGGGGAAAAATTTCTCGTGATCATATGGCATGTGTATGTAAAGTTAATAAAATGCTGCATGAATTCAGATAACAACAACTTCCATGTGCACCACGTATATAAGTTAAAGAATTTTTTGAATCGTGAAGGTAAAGAACGCGAAGCGAAGCGAGGTGAGGCGAGGCATTTATTTCATTTGAAAACTCAGAATGTTTTATGCACACGTGAAAGACTTTTCCATGAAAAGATTTTTTTGTTGTTAACAAGAATGAATGTCATTAATGTTTATGGCTCATGATTGTACATTAATTAACCGTTTTATTGGTACTTCCTGTGTTCAGTTTTCATAATATAAATAAAAAATATTTCTTCTCATGTTATTGACCAAAAGCAAGGGAAGAAGAAAACAACAACGAAAGTTCATGTTGATGATGTAAAAGCGCAGCTTTCAACAACGCATGTGAGACAACCTTGACTTGTCGCACACCTTTCATTACTCTCTCGCCTCGATACAGTTCGAAAAGCCCAAACCCATAAATTGTGTTTTTTTGTTGTTTTTCTGGGTCCCAACGACGAAATGAGAAAAAAAAGAAACAGTTACGAAATGACATAAAATTACATTTGCGAACGACATAAACTTGATTAAAGTTTTTCTCATTCGTCTTGCGACCTTTAAATAAAACACACAGAAGAGACGGAAAGATAATTTTCAATTAAATTAGGTGAAATTAATGGCCAAATATGGCATAACGGTACAACACATTTCACAATTGTGAAATGACGAGAATCATGGCAAGTAATTCTCGCTTACAACAGAAAAGAAAGGAAATGATGGCGACATACGACTTTAGATTGTTGTTAATAAAGTTTATGAAATGAAAACGCATGCAATGTGAAAATTTTCGTGATTTAAATTCCCAATGCACGACTAAAAACTTGCTGCTCCCAATTTATATTTTTATTCCTTTTAAATGTCGTTTTACTCTTCGTCCGTCTGTTATTCTATAAAATAAATTTAAATGCGAGCACACGAAATTATTTAATCGGATCAGTTGATATTTGTCACAATTTGAACATAAAGAAAAGAAAAAAGAAGAAATCAGAAAAAAATGTTAAAAGCAACGAAATGTAGCGCGGTCTGAAATCGATCTTGGCTTCGGGCTCTAGAAAAATAAAAATTATTAAATGTTGGCATTTTAAGTCTCCTGAACAAGACGTTCCCTTTTTTCTGTAAAATATTTCGCTGTCTGCTTGTTGTTCACCTTACAACACGTGAAGAGAAATGAGAAGGAATAAACAACAAGAAAAAAATTAAATTAAGAAATAAAAAGCAGCAGCAGCAGCAAAGAGTGACATCGATCGCTATCTTTACATAAAAGCTCTCAAAAAATTAAATTGAATTTATGATGGCAATTGGCAGTTAAATTCGAGCAGGCAATAGGTTGAGGATAATTTAATTAATGGCAACCTAAATATTTTATTTTACGTTACAATGCAATGATCGGTCGGTGAGCGATCGAATTCCAAAACTAACAATGCGATGTTAAGAAAGACAAACATTTTTCTCAATCACTAATAAATCGACGGTGCACGAATTGCGTAATTTGTCATTATTGGCATGTCAGCTCATAGAAGCTCGCTCAGCTCAATTTCTGATGTTTTCTTTTTAAAAACCTCTCCTTTCAAAATATGTTTTCTCTCTGTTGTCGAATTCTTGTAACGCTTGGATGTTGATTGGATTTTGACACGAAGCTTAATGGTCTTCATTTCAATGATGCAAGGGCAATCAGTTCGGAATCGAAATAATCATCAAGAGATGTTGAAAGTGTTACGATTCCACTTTTGGGTGAAACTAAGACCTTGGAATGCTTTTTTCATTCCAAATTCTTAAGTCGATGGCCATTAAGTAAAGTTCGTTAACTTATCAACAATGCAAGCAAGAATCTTTTGTTAACTTCACAACATCTCACATAAAATTGAATTATTTCCACATCTCGACAAGCGAAATGAATAAAAGTTACATAAGAAAGCAGCAACAGCGTTCATATCTCTCTTGATCCTTTTAATTGAATTATATTTTTTTTATTTCTTCTTTCTTTTCCATGTCGACTCATAAATTCAACGAATTTATGAAAGACTTTTGTTTGTTATCTTTCTTCTATTGTTGAAATTGTGTTTTGCTTTTAAAAGTAAAAATTGATTTCATTTATTTACTTCCTTCGAAGAAATCTGTTTGCTTTTTAAAGATATTCATAGTGACAATGACCTTAGGAAGATAAAAAAAAGCGAAGTCATCGATTTGGTAATCGAATCGTACGAGAAAATATCTCAAGTCGAGTGGACATGGTGAACAATTATTTAATTTATACACACATTTCTCCAATTTTTATTAACATCGTTTCGCTTGTCAAAAAGACTTGATGAGAGTTGTTTAAGTCTTCTCATACTATTCCGCTTAAAGTATTGTTAATAGTTTTTTAAACGACACAAAAACGAGAAGAAAAAGAAGAAAGATAAAAATGCTTTTATCACGGCAAAAGCAAAACACAAAAAATTAAAAAATGTACGAAAAGGCAACGACAACTTTCGCCTTTCACGAGCGAAACGCATAAAAGTTGAGATTTTCATATTTTTTTTTAAAGTGAATTTATGTAAATTTTAATGAAAGCGAAATTACATCTGAATATGAATCAGATCTAAAATTAGCTTGTTTTGAAAACATGCATGAATAATTGAAATTGTCCGTTTGCTATGAACGTATATTTATCAATTACTTCATTCAACGCTCCCACGATTTATTAAACAGCAACAACATTGCTGACGGCGTTCATTTTACTCACCTGAAACCAGAACACGGGCAAGGTGCAAGCGAGAAGTTCATTTCATTCCATTCATCATAATTAATATTTATTTATTTTACCGTTGCTTTCCTTCAACCATCAACTTTACATAATTCTTAAGTCACTTTACATCTTTAGTCTTACTACATCTTACACACTCATTACCATTAGCAATTTTCTATCTCGCGGAATAAATATAAAATACTCGGCACAGAAGGAAATGAAAGGCATTGAAAAAATAAAAAGAAATGAAAGAATTTAAATACATTAGAATTGAAATGTTTTTTCGCTTGCTTGCTAGCAGTGCTACCTGGCTTATGTGAAATTATGAGATAATAATAATGAACCTTCAGATTAAGACTTTGTAATGTACTGTTGGTTGTTAAAGTTGCGGGCCTACAGTTTGTTGAAATGAATATTCTGTGTGTGTGGTTAACTGTTTCTTCTCTTGCTTTTTTCATAGTAAAATCAGTAAAGTTTTCGAGACAGGTTCACTAAACAATTGACGAACATTGTTGCATGGTTTTCTTTTTGATTCTTTCATGTCATCTCATCATTACCAGCAGCAAGAACAACAGAAATAAAATAGAAACCTCCATCATTTCGTGTTCTCAAATGTCACCGTTGTTTCTCTCAAATAACGCTACTAGACACATCGTAAGCTAATCTTCTAGTTAATGACAAATTACAGGTTTCATTGAAACTTACAATTGAGTGCCTCGACTGTTGCCTCGTCGTCGTCGTTTTCGTTGTCGATTGTAACGAAAGAAGAAGTAATAATATAATAAAAATTGTTAAATAAAACCAGAAGATATTGAATTGAAGTCAAGCCGCAACCGAGAGATTAATCATGTATATAGAGCAGAATTGTGTAATGTTGGGCACCTCAACAATTGAGCGTGAAAAACTTAAAGATTTGTTACGTTCGTTTTGTGTGAATTGGAAGGCAATAAAGGAAATAAAAGATGGCAGAAAGGTTTAATCAATCGACATCACGCGATATAAAGCAAAGCAAATATCTCTTAAAAGAGAAAAAAATCGTTTTTCGTCCAGCCCCGAAGTTTTTTTTTGTCATTTTCGTGCAGCTTTTGATGAAAAAGAAGATTCAGAAATAAAAAGTTGCGATGCCATAAAAAAAGCGACTTGCTAAGTAAATTTAATTTTTTACATCATCTGATGAAAGTGAAATTTCTTCTTCTCTTGCTCTGTTGACTGTTGAAGCGAGAAAGCCGTTGCGAAGAGTGAAAAGAAGTTAGCAGGTCTTCGAGTCTTGTGACGGAAGACGGAATTGCTGATGTCATATGCAAAGTTAAGCTTTTTTTATTTTCCTGTTGATAAGTTCAGACGACGGTCGGTCAACAGCTTCAATTTCGTTTCATGAAGGGCCAATGATCGCAAACATTTCCAATTATTTCTTTCCCATCCATTTTAATTTTCTCATTCACATCCAACTTTCAAAATCTATTCAATTTAATTAGATTTTCTTTATTTCGTATGACTTCTTTTTTATAGTTTCCTTATCTCAAATCCCTCATCATCCGAAAATTTGTTTGCTTGTTTTTTTCTCTCTTTTTTCGCTAAATGCTATCATCACATCAGTGAAATGAAAGCTGACTTTTCTTCCGCTGTTTTTTTATTTTCGGATTAATATAAAAATTGTTTATCTTAGAAGAAAAAAATGGCAATAACAGGTTGCAAATTGCAAGATTATCTCGGTAGGGATTCCATCTTCCAAACATGAAAACAGTAAAGTTTCATACTTCAAATAGTTTAGCATGCTTACATATAAATAAATATTTGTAAGTAAATAGTTATGCTGAAGAATGCATGTTACAATGCATACAAAGTTTGTCGATGTCTTAGTCAATTCAATTGATTACCAAGCAAACCAACAAAACATAAAAATTGATCATTGAATTGAATCAACCAGTTGTTCATGGTTTCACTCACTTATGTTTAAACTTTAAAGATTAAAGACAAGTTACTTTAATGATATACATTGTCCAACCAGCAACACATAATGCAAGCTGCTTGCTTTTAAGATATTAAGTAAAATCCGGAAATACGGATGCACAAATTGCAACTAACAGCTTATTCAGTTGATTCAATGATGGAAGGAAAAATAAAAAGCAGCAACTTTGATTGAATGAACACGTTCACTTCTTTTCTTTTCTTTCTCAATATAAATAAATGAGCATCGCGGTTCAATGAGATAATTGTAAGAAGATGAGAAAATTATTATGCATTTGAGACTTAAATGATACGAGAAACGTAACAAAGTTTTTTTTGTATCATGTTGTAATTCATGTGTGCGAGCAAATGTTACGAAATCACTCGTAATGAAAGCTCATTAGACTTTGACTGCCTCCAACATTGATAGAATTATTTAATCTTTCACGAAGGAAAAAGAAAACTAAACATGCAAACGATCATTGAGAGTGTTTAAATACAATGATGTTCACCTCGGTGTAGCACGTAATAACAGAGAAGTGGATTGAAAGATGCATTCTGCTCATGCATCGAGATCTTTCACACTCGCCATGCGTTCATTCTGTTCAGCTCATGCGCAGTAAAAGTTATTGCACTTACATCATGTAAGATTAAACAAGATCTAGACAAATATATTAGACAATCAACGATCTCGCATCTCTTAATCACATAAATCATCATCAAGGTTCTGTTGAAAGTTATGATCAGAGAATAATTTTATCTTCTTGAACTTTACTTTTATTAGTTCTTCATATGTTTGATCGAAGAACTCAACTCTTTATTCATTGCTTTCGATCATTATTACATTTTTTTTAATCCTTAAGTCTGCAATTCTATCTCGTTTTTCTCTGTCATTTTCAACAACGACGCCATAACTTTATAAGGCAAGCGACAAGCACATAAAAATAAAAAAGAAAAGACAAGGAAATCTTGCATTTCAATTCATCACCTCAAATCAAACTTTGTATAATGTCACAGCAACAACAAACAATTGACATGACGTGACCACATTATGCAAATGTAATTCTTTGTAAAGGAATGTAAATCGTCAAGAAGGGAATTAATTTAATTAACGTCATTTCATTGTGTTCAAACCTCATTTCTTTATTATATTTACACAAAATAAATTTTACAATTGCGCGGCTTTTATTTTTCCTTCAATTTACCTAAATAAGTCATGAATTAAAATCAAATGGTGTTGATACAAAATAATTTTCTTTCTCTACAACAATCTAAGTTACAAGAAGGAAGTGACTCGTTCATTCATTTACTCTGTCAAAGTGATGCAAGTTTTCTGTGAAAGAATTTTTCTTTTTGTCTTTCATTCCATTTCGTGGTTTCTTGACGATTCTTTTTCTACATCTTTCTATTGACAATAAATTAAAAGCTTTTCTTGTAGTGACAATGAATTGCTTTCGAATCGATACAAATTTTAAGCACTGTTGCGCAAGAGAATAATTTTTGAAGCGTCAAGCTGTGAACAAAGCTAAGAAATGAAATGAAATGAGAAGAAATGAAAAGATAAAACAGATAGCAATCTTTAGTCAGTTGGTTGTAATCTTAAAACATCTCATCTCGTCGACACAACACAGTTCTATGTGCCGCCAACGTGCCATTGGTATGAAAATCAACAATCAAGTCCACAAAAAATGAAATTTGAATACATTAAAATATAAATAGACGCTTTTATTTGTTTTCCATGTGCGCCCGCCGCATGATGTGTCTCTGAGTGGGAAATTTCTGTTTGTTATTTTTATTTCAGAGTGAAAATTTCTTTTCGTATCTAACGGGATAAATTTTTTTTATTTCATTTTGAAATCTTTCATATTCATATTATTATTTAGCATCACGAGATTGTTGAACAATGATTGAAATGAAATGATAAAGATTTGTGATATTTGAACGTTTTCAAGCTAATAAATTGTTCTTGAAAGCGGGGCGGCGGTGTTCATTCAATGAATGTGCACAACGTGAGGTTGATGAGAGCGATTTGAAATGAAAAAAAGCTTTATTATAAATCTTAAAATGTCGATTAGCAATCATAAAGCTTCAAAATGAATGTTCTTAAAATGATTTTGCAAATTTTCTGCAACTTCATCGTCGATACGTCGACATGCGAATCAGAGTTAATTGAGGAAACATAACACAAATGAGTCTAATAACTAAACGTATTCGAATAGCCCCAGGGCGATCCCCTAAACATATAAATTCCACTTACTTACTTACATATCTCTACAACATACATTAAGCAAACATCGTCGTATTTAAAGTCGCTTAATGATGCCCAAACAATGATTGTTTAAGAAGAAACTTTTATTTTTGTTTACTCATAAAATAAAAAAAAATTCTTCAGCATTTAAAATCCAATAAATGTCGGAAAATAAAGATTGCTGTTGTTTGTACGTACATTCCGCTAAAGCGCTTTTTTTATATTTTATTTCAATATTATTGTGTAATTTTTTATATTTTCTTCTTCTTAGTTTTTCGTTTTCAAACGACCCATAAAATCAGTAATAAAACACATTTCCCGAACACTGAATGAGCTTTTTTTCTTTCTTCTTTAATGTGTTGTGTGGAGCGGAGCGTTTGTTGTTTATTTTTGCGCTCTGATATTGTTTTCGACTTTGAACGTGATAAAATTTTAAAGTCGCATTGTCAAGAGCATGAAACGTTTTAGAGGGTTAATGACATTGATATCGATGACTAATGAATTCTTTATGATTTCCATTCATTCCAGAAGTAATTCGAAGGCTTCTTATCTGCCTCGTCAACATCGTGAGAAGCTTCTTGACCCCGATCATGGAAGTTACAAGTTGACACTGCATGAACTCAACGACAACATCAAAGAGAATTATCAGGAAGAGATCTCGAAATGTAATCTTCCTGATGTTCTTCCAGTGACGGTTAAATATCACAATTCCTACCGTCATACTCATCATCATCATCGACAACCACCGCAACATCATTTGTCTCAACATTTCACACCTCAACCTCATTATCATCCAACTGAGACACAAATGACGCCACAAACTGCTCCCGTTTTAAATGGAAATGCATTGAAATCTATTTTTCAGTTTGCTATGGGAAACTCGGGAAGTTCAACGCCATCAAACACATCATCATCAGCTTCATCGTCGCCTTTACTGCCAACATCGCCTTTCAACGGATCAAAGTCACCATTGAGTACACCGCCAGGATCACTTCAAAGCCCCAAGTTCACATCAAACTCATCTCTTGATCAGAAAACGTCGCAAATCATCGATCCAAAACTCTACACGAATGATGAACTGATTAAAACTTATCATCAACAGAAGGAAGCATGTCGTGAGCTTAACAAGACAATTCTTAGTAATTCACTGCAGACGACATCAGTGAATGAATGTGATAACAAGATAGCAGTGGTTAGGAAGCTTAACATGGTTGAATCTCCCGAAACATCGCCGAAAAATTCGATTGAAAGTTTGATGATCGACAGTAATAAGAAAACAAACTCAACTGAATCATTGAAATCAGTTGAGGAGAAGGCGATGAACGAGAAGTCGGAGAAAGAAATAAAAACAGAAAATGCAAAGAAAGACGAGGAAGTTAATGAAGTTGTTGCAACATCGCCAATATTAAGTGAAGTCGACGATGTTGCAGTCAAAGCAAAGCCTCTTCAAAAGACGGAAATTGTGTTACGAGTTCATCCCATTATGCAAGAAACTGCTTGTCAAACGGATGAGACATCAGATATTCATGAAATTAGCTTCAAATCGTCTTTAGGTTCGTTGCAAAGTGGCGAACTCGAAAAGCCAATGAAGCTTAGTTTATGGAAGACGCCAACAAAACGTCAAAAGCATCCAGAAGAATTGGACTTTGACAATTTATCAAAAGATCTCGCCAGTCAATTATCACCGTCTGACAAGCTTCACAGCATTTTGGGTGAGTTTCATTAATAATCTTAATTTACGTCATTTATAATCGATCCACGTTTCATTCTTTCATACAAATAATTTTTTTATTTATTCAAAAAAATAAGAAGAAAAAAAAGCAAACAAATTAAAAGATTTTCGCTTTCTTTTTCCCTCCTCACTCCGCTTATAGTTCCGAAGACAATCAAATCATCATCCGACTACATTTCTGATCTATTCAAAATCAATATTACATCGCGTCCCACGAAGAAAGATGTGTCAACGTCAACATTCAACGAGAAATGTGCTTTCAAAAGGTAGAAATGAAAACTTAAATTTCATATCATTTTTCTTCACTAAACATAATTCTGTTTTCATTGTTTTGTCTTTTTTAAACAGCTCGATGGAAGTACTGACATCAAATTCAACCTACTTTTCAATATCCGAGCCTAAAGCAAAATTAATGACACGATACAGTCGTGAGATGACATTAATTAATAGCGATTCTAGTGATTTGACCAAAAAGAAGGTAATGCGTGCTTGTTTTTTATTGTTTGATATTCAAAATTTAAATAAATATCTAAGTCGACTAACAATTTCGTTGTTGATCGTTGACTTTCATATCTTCAAGCAACAACAAGCAGAAAAATTAAAAATTCACGAGAAATGCCAAGCTTGATACCCACCAATGGGAATGAATTAAATTTTTTATATTATTCGTTCGTGATATGTTTATGACTCGATTCAATCAAAAAGCCATCAATATTCTCATCATCTTCTGACATTTTATGACACTTACTTGTTGAGTGTGGAATTAAAATGATTTTTTTATTATTTATCGTCGTGTTTTATCAGTTTTTATGAATTTGTATGAAGACATTAAAAATGAGTCGAAGTAATGAGCTGATTCAGATGCTTTCATTTATTTTTCTATCTCATGTTTGATAATGTTATGATAAACATTTTCTTTGTACGTCCCTGGCCTTTTTTACTTTATTTATGTTGTCTTAAAGCAAACTCAAGAGGTCTCAGTCAGTCAAATGTGAACAGGAAATGAACGAAATGGAAAACAACAAAACGAATTAAAACAGATACTTTCAATGTCAATTATATTTAAAATAGTTTGGTGTGAATTGAATTAATTTTTGCTTGAAGAAACTTGAAGCTCAAGTGACTTAATTGTTTTGTTTCGGCTGCTTCCAGTGATTGATGTTTCATGATTTTTAATTGATAAATGAATAAATTTAGAAACTTAAAATCATGTCATTAAATAATTCCAAATGAAATTTTAGGAGGAGCTCGTTGAAAGGTTGGGAAAGAAGTTGAAAGTCCTCGAAACTGAACAGTCAATGTTGGCTGAAGAAAGTACAGCGAACGATGCACTTGGCCATGATGTGGCCTTCAAAGTCGCTCAAAAAGTTCGACCCGGTGATTCCACAAGATTCCGATCTTATGTTGATGACGTTGGTTACATTACAATGCTTTTGTTGTCATTGTCAGGTCGCTTAGCTCGCACTGAAAATGCTTTGCATACAATCGGCGACAAAACCAACGCTGATAAGGTAATTTATTTTAAAAACTTCACTTTCTTTTCATGAAATAAAAAATTAACATGTTTTATGTAATTAAATAGAAAATACTTGAAACAAAACGTGATAGACTGCTAGAGCAGTTGGATGAAGCGAAACATCTTAAAGAAGACATCGACCGACGTGGTGCTAATCTTTCAAAGATTTTGGAAAAATTCCTCTCAGTCGATGAATTCTCCGACTACAACTATTTCATTAACATGAAAGCGAAACTCATTGTCGACTCGCGTGAGATCGCCGATAAAATCAAACTGGGTGAAGAACAATTGAATGCTTTGAAGGATACACTCGTTCATAGTGAATGTTGAACTTAATTATGAATTTGCATAAGCTTAAGTCTCTACATTAGTCGTTTTATTGTATACGCAAACTGAAAATTGTTTTTGGAATTTTATTTTATATTTTTTTTTAATTTTTCTTCTCTTATGGCTTGTGAAAATGGTTATTGTTTGACAACGAAACTATTGTCGTCAACAGCAAAGTCATAAAAATAATAAAGTCACGTGTAGAACTTTTTTAGAAGTGAATTGTTTGCGATGAAATAAGAAGAAAAATGAAAAGTTTTTTCCATTATTTCAACGGTACATGTTGAGATAATCAAGGATGAAATGAAATGAATGTTTTGTTGAATTAGATGAAGAATTACAATTGCAAGTTTTTAAGATTGTTTAACTATTTACCATTTTAAGTAGAGTTTGTAGGGAAATAATTTCAGGGTGTGGAAAAAGCTTGAAAGTGTCCTGACTAAAACTGGACGAAAAAGGGAAAATTGCTCAGTTTTCGGCCACTTTAGTAAGGACATGAATAAGCAAATATTTACTGAAAGCCCTGGAATTTTAATAATTGCTGTGCTTTTATAAGGAAACAAAATTAAACTAATTTTACTAAAAGTTTTTGACAACGAAGAAAAGAAGAGAAAAGAAAATTATTACTTAAGGTGCTTTTGAAGTAATATTAACATAACAATTTATCCATCCGTCAATATCTTCCGCAAAACTTAATATTATTGTTTGTGATTTTGAAATCATATTTTTAAATAAAGAGAAGAAAAGAAAAATTTTGAAAATTAATTCTTGAAGTTTCATTAAAAATCTTCTGTTATAAATTCCAGATCTACTTGTATTAAATTTCAGTTGAAGTAAGATTACTGATAAGCTTTCTACACATTCAAACAGCTGCTACATTAAAAAGTCTCGTTTTTAATTTCTTTTAAAAAATCTCATAAAATATTTCTCATTAAATATTAAATTACATAAATATTATAATAAAAAAAATGAATTAATATTTCTTCTTTAACTCTTTTTGCAAGACACGAAGTCGAGAATAAATTTCATCCCAGTCAAGATACGCTCCAACAAGATGACGATAGTTTCCGGCACTGTCTTCATATTGTTTCCGACCATGTAATAGTCGACTGTTGTCAAAACTTAAAATCGTTCCTTCTTCCGTTTTAAATTCGACAGCTTCACGATGAATTAATTCGATGAACTTCGCTAAAGCTTTGTACCATCGTTTGACATCTTCAACTGAAGCAGTAAAGAACGAGTCACGTTGTGGAATGCTGTGATTGATACGCTCGATTTTATTCTCGTAGTCAAAACAAAACATTGGAGCACGAAGGATTGAGTGAAACGGCGGACCAGATTCTTCCTTTCCAACGTCATACCAATTGACGAGAATCTTCGAAAGTGCTTCGAACTCTTCAGGGTGATCTTGCTTCATAATATTGACAATTTGAAATCCATCAGTTAAGAGATTCTCTGCTCCCTTTGACTTTGATTGTACGAGACAATGAAGGATATTTACACCTGGTGCGTGATGGTAATAAGGTAAATCAGCGTGCATCTGAAGTGGTGCTGTTAAATACGCGACATTGCTTGCACCTTCCTTAGCTTTTACCGTGAAATCTTCACCGTAATGAGTTCGTCGGATGAAACCAACGCGCTCAGCAATTCTTCGAATCTCATTCTCCGTTTGTGGAGTGTTTTTAATAATAGCGACTCCATGAATAGCTAAGCAATTAAGCCAATCGTACAATTCATGATCAGTCTCAATGATCTTCATAAAGTCAAAGTTTTGCAAGATGCTTTTGAAATTATTTTTTGTCCAAAGCTTCTTGTCTGGTCGGTAAAAAGTCTTCAAATAATGTTCACGATTCTCAATCGAGAAATTTCGCGCCTTTAACCATTCATAGTCATACTCAGATGTATGTTGTTCGTTATCATTCCAAATTACTTTCAAAACATTACGCGAATCATCAAACTGTGAATAGAAGAATGAATCATCGTCACATAATGAGTATTGACATCATCATAGTGCTGTTGACCTTACCAGAAAGTTTTTTGGTTTGATTGAAACGTCAAAATTTTCCCAACTTAAGGTTCGACTTGATGATTGAGCGTGGTAACAAAACTCACACTACAAAAGAAAGAACTTCAGTCAGAGAGAGAGAATTATAATTAAATATAATGAAAGTCATCGTTTAAGTCGTTTCAAAGCTTCGAGAAAATTGTGCAATGTTAATTAAACAACGATTAACGGATGAAACCTCTCACCTGACAGTTATCACGCAAGTACACAAAAGGAAATTCAAATTTCTTAAGCTTCCCACTTGCAATGTTAACTTTCTTCTCATATAATTCAAAGGTTTCATTTGTCTGATTGATTTTCACTTCAAATTTATCTTTATCGATGTCACTCGATGATGCACGGAAGAGAATTAGTTGAGCAAAGTCTCGCGCTCTTATCGCGTTCACATTTATTCGCTTTGAAAACTGTCGAAGCATTGTTTTATTATTCGCGATAGGAACTTTACTTTTCGACGACTGACACCTAAATGAGTCAAAATGTGAGAATTTACATTCTGCTTGGAGAAACAAAATGAATAAAAAATGTGACTCTCAGCATGGACTTTGAACAGAATTTCTGGTTTTGGAGTTTCGGGCTCGATTCAGATTAAGAAGTAAATCAAAAATGCTTCGTTTTTATTATCGCTGCAAAGGTTGAAAAAAAAGAGATTTTAAAATGCAATAATTTTATTTTTCTTCTTCTTTATTTCATGATCTTTAATTGGAATGAAAGTACAAAAGGAAATCGACAACTATTGGGAAAATTATCGCTTAATAACTTGGACAATTATTCTTCTTGTTCTAATTTTATATCAAATTTAATTTTCGTTTTTAATTTTATTCTTTACTTTTTAAGCGAACAAAAAAGTTTTTTCCAAGGGGTTATTCACGGACGGTTGCTTGAGTCGACCATGAAATTGCTGAAAAGTTGCTACAGTTGCTTTTGCTGTTTAATTTTAAAAATTTCAACTGTTGCTGAAAATTGCCAACAGTTGCTAATAGTTGTTAACAGTTGCTAGAGATGTAGCTAACTGTTGCTACTAGTTTTTCCATTTTTTCGGCGTTTTTTTTTTGTTGCTTAAGTTGCTTGAGTCGACAATTTTCGTCCGTGAATAACCCCTTGTTTTTCCGTCTTATAACTTTTCATCTTATCGTCGTCATCATCATAAAGGCCGTTATTCAGTTATTTTAGCTTCATCCTTTCGATCAAGAATTATAAAATATTTTTCCTTTAAGGAACCTAAATTGTATCAAAAATCGTTTCGCAAATGATTCTCAGTCCAAACGCATGCTTAATCTCAAAAATAACCATTTGAGCGTTTCTAATTACCTAAAGAATATTTTTTAATTAAAAAAATCTAAGCAAGATCATTTTCCACGTTAAGAAAACATCGCGTGTAGGGTTTAAAGTTTCTTATCTTTTACAAAGACATTTTTCCATCATTGTTACGTAATTTAAATTTCTTTTGACATTCAATTTTCAGAAGAAAGCAAACGCGACTTTTTCTTCTTTAATCTTAATTAATATTTTCTTTTATTTTAGTTTGCTTGCAGTTTGAATTTTTAGTTTTGTGTGTTTTGAACCGAAAGTCGAGGTCTCAAGGTGGCCATCGTTAAGAAGCCTTCTTAAAGATTAGAATTTGTGACAGAAACATTCCCTGAATCTCTTTTTTTTTACTTTCTTTCTTTCTTTTTCGCGCGCGACAACCAACTTTCATAGATTATATTTTTAATTCGTACGTCATAACAGTTTTTATAGCTTTTTTATTTTCTTCTTTTTTCTCATATTCTCACTTATCATCCATCAAAAGTATGGTGACAAGTTAAACGAAAAACATTTGTTCGACAACATGAATTACGATACGATAATTTGCCACATCGAACAGAATGCTTTTTGATCAAATCTCACCAAAACTACATCTTAAATTTTCATTTACAATCAATATTATCATATCCCAGAAAAATAAAGGAGAATTTTTTCATCTCAAATGGTTTTTTGGTAATTATGGTTATCTTTGCCTTCTTTTGTGTTTGTGGGTGTATGTGAGTTACTATTTTTTGTTCTCTTTCTATTTTCATCAAGGTAATCTTGATTTATGAATAAAGAAGTTACCGGTAATATGTATGAATATATTTTCTTGAAGTATTATACAAAGCATTTTAGAGTATAAAGTATTCATCTTCATTTTGCAGCAACTTTAACATTTAAATACAAATTAAAATCATAAATTTTTCATTCTCATTCTTACTTCGTATTTTATATCAAGAAATAATAAAATAAGAAAACAAAAACGACAAGAAAGAAAACCTTAAGACGATATTTCCTTCTTTTTCTTTTAAAATCATCCATTCTTGTTTATAAAATATAAGAAATAATTAATTTTTACACAAGGTAGGTAGTTTAGTGTCTGCTTAAAGTTTTTTTTGTTTTTAACTTTTCAACAAGCACATCTGCTTATGACTAATCATCATTCTTACACTTTAATCTTAATATTATGTTGTTTACCCGAAATGAAAGAAAAACTAGATCCTATAGTTAACTAAATAAATCTCATGGTACATGTCGGTGCAAAAAGTCACTGGAGAAGTATTTATCGACTTGCTACAGCGGTCAGGAGGAGATAATCTAGATAGTATCTAAATGATCTTTCTAAAATATTTCTTTTGTTATCTTTTTATATTGAGAGAATTGTCTGAAGTTTATTTACTTAGATTGTTCAACAGGTTGGCTTCTTTTTTTAATTAATTATTACTCTGGGTGGCATTGCCAAAAACAGACAAAACAAGTTTTTATTTTTGGAAAACTTTCGATATTTGTATTGTTGCGTAATTATTATTATGGTTCTATTATTTATCATACAGTCAAAGTGTGTGGAAATAAATGAAGTCAACGATTTATCATTGACGTCATCACTGGAAAGTCTTTCAGGTCATCTGTAACAGGTTTTTGTTTGTAACATGATTTACAAAATATAATAAAAAGGAAAGGAAAATTGTCCACATTTAACAAAATGAATTAACAAAAATTTCTCTTGTAAAAGTTTAAAAGTCAGGAAGATGTTAAGAAAAGCTTCATTACAGTTAATCAGTTGAGAGATCATTTAAAAAAAAGTTTGAAAAACAAACAAAAACGTTTAAGTTGCCAAAAAATTAAATTGATTTGATGAGAAGAAGAAACAAACATAAAAAAGTGATTTCTGGTTCGATAATAATCCTAAATTCTTAGCGTATTTGGTAGCATATCTTTTCGTTATTTTGGTACCCTAAAGACTTATAAATCTAGTCTTTCTGCAATCAAAGTTATCAGCATCATTATTAAAAAAAAAACAATTAATTTCCCACGCAATTATTTGACAACACATCTCAGAACAGAGAACAGCATACAACTATGGGCACGTTGACCTCTAGCAGAACTCAGGGTAAGAGATCGATACAAAATCATTATTATATTAACATCTTAAAAATGTTGTACCAGTTTCATTGAATCTTCATATCATTTCCAACTTCTCATTGAAACTTAAATTAGCCAACGTCTTCTTCACTCTTAATGCGCTGAGACGTGAAGCTGGATTTTGATACCAACAATCTTTCATGATCTTCGACATGCTGTGAAGAACATCAGACGCTTGCCAGCGATTGGGAATAATTGGACGTTGGTTATCAATACAAACGACCTGAGAATATAAAATAATTAATATTTATTATTCTTATTAATATAAATTCGTTTCTTCACCTTTCTCATCTCTTCAATACTTGGATCTGGCTGCACAACATCAAAGAATGGCAATTGATAATCATCATAAATATTTCCCATATTACAACGTCTCGCAATCTCCCAAAGAATTAATCCAAATGCATAAATGTCAGCACGTTTAAATGCATCGAAATGATTTGTGTTGATTGTGTCGTCAAGAACCTGATGGAAAAAAATAAATTTTATTTAAATAATTTAATCAGATTTATGATTGACTGACCTCTGGTGCCATGTAACGTTTTGTGCCAACACGATGTGTTGATGGTATGTCGATGGTGTCTGTTTTGGGATTATGACGAACAGCAAGTCCCAAATCGCCAATAGCACAACTGAGATTTGCCTTCACCAGAATATTTTTACTCTTCAGATCGCGATGAGCTATTCCTGGTTTGCCTGTGCATTCTTTGCACTCTTTACACGATGTTTTGCAATCCTTAACATAAGTGCCAACGATATCCATGTGCAAATGTGCTAAACCTGTAGCAATTGTCAATGCCATCAAGACCATTGTCCGTGAGTTGACAGTGTGAGTTGTGAGGAAGTCAAAGAGTGATCCATTCTCATGGTAATCGGTCACCAACCAAAGCTGCGTCCATGTTCCATTATCTTTATTGTCAGCGGCAATAAATCCAAGAATGTTGTCGTGACGTAACATTGCTGTTTGGTAAATTTCAGCTTCTCTTGTCCACGAGCATTCTTCACGACTTGAAAATATTTTGACAGCTACGCTTTCGCCTCGCCATCGTCCACGCCATACTTGACCAAATCTTCCATTTCCAATGACTTTTTCAAGTTGAATTTGTCGTGCGATGGATCGTTGAACCAACAAAGGAAGACCCGCTGAGCCCGATCCCGACGTTGTCATCTCAATGATGTCATGAAGTGTCTGACCACAAAGCGATTCTTCAGCAAGTAATTGAGGTCCACCGCTATTCTGTTTACGACGACGCATGAATATTCCCGATATCATAGCAACAGCCATGATGGTGGCAATGAGTGCAAATAGCACAATGTAAATCATATTCTCTGCTAATGGTTCCGGTTTCTTCAACGGAACTACAAAGTGTCACAAAATCATCAAATTAGAATTATTTCCAATGTATTTGCATAAAGAATTAAAAGTAAAACATAAAAATATGTTAATAACATGCAAAAAGCAGTTGCAAAAGCATAAAATGTTAGAATCATCACCAAGATTAATGAAAGGAAATAAATTTACAAAATTTACAAAAAGTGGTTTGATTTTTATTTAATTTTTATGTCCAATTAAGTCCAATTAACTAACCAGTCAGAGTGTTAAAATGTGCAATTAATTAGCCTTCAGTGATTTTTTTATTGTCATCATCAAGTTAAACATCAATCAGGAAGTTATGGAAATGCTTTCATTATTCATTTTATTTCTTGTCGTTTAAATTTTTTATTTGAATTTTTCTCCCTCACATTAGACATTAAAATATTCCCATTTGAAACTTTTGAAATGATAGAAATGATGATAAGACAATTACAGATGTTGTGAAAAATATTTTTTTCTTTACTTATACGTCATGGTTGAATGAAATATCGTAAATAAAAATAAACGAACAACGGTTGTTTGAAAGTTATGTTGTTGAAAACTGAAACTAGATTAAATTTTAATGACTTAATTAGTTTGGATAAGCAACTAATGTTTTAAATTGCTAATCCACAAATCACATTTTTAATCAAATCATAACAAATTTTTTTGTAAAAGATTTTTAAATCTACCAAAATTTCAAACGACCGCTTTTCATTTACAAACAAGTCACGTATGAAATTTTCTTCTTTTCATGTATTAATATTACTTAGTTTTCTCTTAATGACAAAGACAATTATAGGACATGACACAAGATCCAGAGATATCTAAATAAATATGACACGACGATGTAAGCTTTTGTACTTTGTTGTACTTTCCCACAAGCATAAAACTTTATTAAGCTTTGTCATTACCTGTCAAGCCAGGTAAAAAAGTTTGATTGAGTGAATGAAAATCATTACAAAAATCGGTGTTGCAGCATGATTCCGAATAATTTGCTTCAAGCTTTTTCTCAGTTCTTACTTTACAAATAAACGGAATTGGATCATTGGGTGGGATATGGAATTCTTTGTCAAAACATCTAAGAAAGAAAGAAATTTCTTTGAATTTTATTTTATTTTCGCTTGAATCACTGTCAGTCGTCTGTTGTCGTCACACATTACCTAAACCACTTACAGAATATCGTGTAATGAAAATAAATAAATAAGCGCTAATAAAGGACCTGAGTAGGTATCAAAAATTTTCAGAATGTTTTTCTCTAACATATTCAAAAAGTTCTAGGAAGAGAAAAATAATTTAGCGAGCGATAGAAAACAAACTAGAGGAAGATTTCTACTTTCTGCCTTCATTACTTTCATAACTAAAATATTCTAAAGCTTAATAGATAAAAACTTGATCAGAAAGCTAAGGATACCTAATAAATGCAATTAAATTATAAATATCTTGAAGAATTTTGAAATTAAATAATTTTTTTAGTAATTTGGAAAACAATGAGATTATTCATTTGTATTTGTCATTAAAATTGCAAATATTTAACCAATAAAACAAATAATCTCATATAATAATGTTCAAATATATAAATAAATATAAACACAAGTGTAGCCATTGCCATTTATGAATAAAATAAGATTTAGAAAAATAAAAGCTATAAACTGAGTTGCTTCTTTTTGTAATAATTAGAAGCTTTTATACCTGGTGGCATGACAATATTGTCATTGCAGAAATCAGTTTCGCAACAGTTCGCATTGAACTCCTGATTACGAACTTTCTCTTTCGTTGAATAACATTGAAGTGGAAATCGACCTTTGATAATTTGACTACCTTCTAGGCACCTAAAGGTTGACGTCGGAGGATATTGGAGTGTTTAGGATAATCTTGCTTTATATTATTATTATTAATGTTTATGCGTATAGCTTTCAAACATATTCTGAAAGATTCTTTGTTAAGTGGCAAATAAATATCACGATATTGATTTAAAAAAGAAAAAAACAATAATCATAAGTAAAACATCTGAAAACGAAATTCTCTTTTTTGTACCGAGAGAACTAAATCATCTTTTTTAGTGAACACACAAGATTGAAAAGAGAATTAGTAGAAAAAAAATCAATTAAGTCAATTAGCGGAAGAGTTTAATATCTTTTGAACATCAGCGAAGAATAAAACGATTAGAAACACAAAACTTTGTTATTTTTGGTAAATAAATTTAAGAAAGAAAAAATATAAAAAAGAAAAACTGACGAATGCTAACGCGTACCATCACTACCATCATCATAAAATAATGACTTAATTGTCAATGAGCCATTGTTGCATTTGAAACTATCGCAACAATAAACGTTCGGATCTTTACACCATGCGATCGGACTGTCCGGAGGAAACCAATCACGTCGATCAAGACAACTGCTTGAAAACATGGGACATATTCATTAGAATTGCTTATTGGCTAAACTAAAAAAATAACTTTTCACTGCGAATATCTCGTAACGAAAATTGATTTCGTTTTCAGATTTAAAATATTCAAAGACAAATCGAGTAGAATTTTTAAATAAATCGCCAAAAAAGAAAATCATGTAAATATCATCGTTAGAAATTTAAAAGCGTTTAACGAAACGATTGTTGTGCTCTTACCGTTTGCTGAAATGATATTTTCCATCTACTAACTCCCATGAGAAATAGCAAACTCCATCTGTTTCGCAAACGTAGTTGGTATCATGACAATGATCACAATGGCAGGTTATTGTGTCTGAAACGTTTCGAATAAAATATTTAGATAATGCAACGAAACGTATTTGAACGTTCTTATCTTACTTTTAGGTTTTTTAGACATTTTGGCGGGGTCAGGAGTCGGTAGGTGCTCAACTATATCATTATTTGATAAGCTGTTTGACTGCTCTATATCCTCTAACAACGAATCTTTCGTATGATGTACTGTGTATCCTAAAAAACGATATAAAGTTGAGAGAAAGTATCAATTCCAATAAGTAACCAAAACAACGTTGATTATTTTATCATAAACATTCAATACCAACATAAAATAAAATTGATAGATCTCAAAAAGCAAATTAAACTGTTTGTTTATTTCTCTATTAACGCGAAGGTTGATAACATTCAAGTAAATAAATTTCTTTCTCATGTTTACGGAAAAAGTGTTGGCCGAAAAATAATAAAATAAACGAGAAGTGTGCGCATAACAGCAAAACAATTCGAAAAGTGAAAGTTCTATAAATAAGCACAGCGAAACAAAAAAAAAAGAATTCTTTCTACATGTATAAGGCAGCATGAGCCCGAAAAAGCATGATTTCTTTTTCGCTGTTCAACAGAACGACAACGATCGAGAATAAGTTAAAGATTGCGAATGATATTGTTTTATATAACTTTTGAATAATGTATATTTCCTTACCATGGCTTGCATATATTGATAAGCTTGAATATATTAAAAATGTCACTAAACGATGCGATTTGATATGAGCAACCATGATATTACTTTTGTTCTTTTGTTTTGTTGTTGTTATTTTCCTTTATATTTTTGGAGTAAATATTTTGGATGAATTAGGTCCGAAAAGTCATGAGTTTTACTAGATAAACATATGCTTTATCTCCTACGCATTTTAAACTTTGATTTTAATATAGTTATCAGTAAACTATATAAACACTAAACTATTTATGATGAAGAATAAACTCATAAGTTTTTTTTCTTTGCGTTTTTAACTTTTCATAAATTTGTCTCCTCGACATGCTCAATTTTCATTTCCTTGATGATTTTATCATGTAAATAAAGCAAAACTACAAAATCAAAATGTTTTTAACTGGTTTAATGTAACTTTTACAATGTTTTAAAACTTTTTTCTTTTTTGTAATGAGATTGTTTTAGAACAACTTAGTTTTGCACAAAACTGAGGACGTGTTTATGCGCAACACATTTCGATCTCGATCAATCTAGATTGTTTTACACGTGCTTTTATTAAGAAATCATTTATACTTTTGAATTTATGAATTGGTTGATTAAAACTAAATAGTTTTCCACTGCACAGCAACATGTTTGTCATTCCTTTAATAATTTTAAATAAAATGTTTTAGAATATAACAGTTTAACGGCTTATTTTTCAAAAACATTTCTTGTTCGAAAATTTTTAGAACAAAAATCTTCCAAAATATTCGAACCGCCAATAAAAACGTGAAATTTAAGAAAAATTGAAATAATGCGAAAAGTTCATATAGTAAATAACACATTTAATGCTCAAATAAGTGAAAAGAAATGGAAGAGTTCACTGAAGTGGGCGACAATCAATATTTGCTTCATGTCTTTCATCATTTTTGATATCACAAACACAAAAGAATTCAACAAAAATTCGTCTATTTATTACACCGAATGTGCTGCTTCATTTATTTTGACATTGTCGCTAATCACAAATGCATTTACCTTCATATATCATTTTTGGTTTGTCGAGAAAGTTGTCTGTGAAAATGAAACTCAAAGAATGCTTCTGAATTTAAGTAACAATTCCTTAATTAAAGCGCCAACTCCAAAAATCGAAAAGCCGGTTGTCTTGCCTCAAAACGATGTATTCAATGTTCGAAATTTAAGTTATCAATCATATAGCGAATGTAATGTTATTAAAATTTAAATGATTGACAAGTTTTTAAAGTTTTTTTTAATTCATTACAGCAAATTCAATGAGCAATTCGTTCAACAACAGCTTCTCATCACCAATCAGAGACAACACATTCAACAACGATGCAAGTTTTGCAGAAACAAGTTTTCAAACATCTACAAAATTTAATCAATCAAATTTTATCAAGGATCAAAGCGAAATGGATCTTTACTTGAAAGAAGTTTCACAGCACGAAAAAGAAATTTCAAATGCGATTGAAGCACAAAACAACATGACGGGATATTTAGGGTCAAGTTTTAATTCGTTTTGGGGTAACAGTCGATTTGATGAAATAATTGCATCTTTAAAGACGTCTTTCTATCAATTATCGCCCCACAACACTAAACAAAACTCACGCGATGAAACTTTCAGCAGCAAAGACAAAGAAAACAATTCAGAAATTATCAGGAAAATGTGCGCTAATAAATTGTCGAATTACGTTGCTAATTTAAAGATGGTAAGATAAGTTTGTTAATTATTACTTATTGATTGATGAAATATTTTAATTGCAGTGGATTTCCAAAACAGTCCTCGAACCTCTACTCTTAGCTATTGACGAAACTGACAAAGCCTTCACGCAACGTGGATTTACGGACATGAAGATTGGGAATGTTGGGCTTGAGCGATTAAAGAAAATGGCATCAACAAACCAACATCTCGTCCAGCACATTCCGATGTTACCTAAAATTATTCCCTTTTTGGAATTGACAACAAACCAAGAATTTTTGGTGCAGAGAATACGAGAGTTGACTAAGGGGAGTTGCATGAAAAACTACAAATTCAACACCGTCTCATTCAATCAATCAGAGCAAGCTGATCATATTCCAAGTGATGCTGGAATAGTTTTTCATCTTTTCTGTACTTATTTAGACACGCAACTGCATCCAGTTCCAGATGTTCCGAGAGCTTTCTACAGTCGTTATGTTGTCATTGGCGATGTTAAGAAAGCAAATGTCGAAAATATCGTCAAGGAGATGACCAAAAACAAAGCAAAGTGTGGCATCTTATGTAGCAACACAATCACACCGAAGTTCAATTTCATTAGCGACAAAATTCATACTTCAAGTTACGATCGAAATAATCTTTTCTACGTCATTATTCAATTCCTGATGCATTTAAAATTAGATGGAATGCTCGAAAGTGTTAACTTGGGTAAATCAGGCATCAACATTCTCAACATTATCGAAGATTAAAAGAGACGTGAAGTTATTTTGAATTATTATTAATGGAAATTTGTTAGTTGGAAATGTAAATACCAAAAAAAAATAAATTTGATCATCAAATTGCTTGACTTAAAATCAGAAATTGAAATTAGTAAATTTAAATTTTCAGGCGATCTTTAAACTCAACAACTGCTTAAATATCTCAACATATTCCCATCTCTACCAAAAATTTTCTTTTTCTTAAATTAGAATTCAACATATGTCGACTTAATTTGTCTTTCCGATGCGACTAAACTTGAAAAATGAAAGGAAAAAAAATTGGCGACAAATCTTATTTACATCAATCCTAAAGCAACAAAGTTTTGATTAATTAAATCAAGTAGGTAGATAAAAAGCAAAACCTCGAGAGATTCATTTATGTTCCGCATAAAATTCACAAAAATAATTTATTTCATTTTTTTTCTCATTCATTTTTTCTTTTTTTCCATCTTAACAAAAATAAAATAAAGTTTTTTCCTAATCAGATTTACATGTAGAATCAACCATGTTTTCTTATTTTCTTTTTAGGGATATCAATTGGTTTACAATTTCATTCAAATTTCTCACTTTTTAAGTGACAGATATTTCTTTGGAAGGGAAGAGAGTGAAACACTGATTCGATTTATTAAACTTTTTTTTTCTTTCTTCTTATCATCAAATCCCATTGAAACGTTTCTATTTAGATTACAATTAAGATTTCATTTTTTTACTTCTTTTGCTATATTTAAATAATGCAATTCGAGAGGATAAACTTCTTCTTTATTCAGCTAGAAATTTTCAGCTCTATCGATGTGAAAACTTAAGTAATGAAGCCATCGAAATTCTATTTTCTTCTTAAAATTATGTTCATGAAAGGGAGCCATTCAGAAGTTAAGTGTGACTTACATGCACTTACATATAAGTACAAACAATTGCGCGGAGTTTGATTAATAATTTCTTTTGATTACTTTTTTCATTTTTCTGTTTCAAAAAATTTCACAACTTAAAAAATATACTTCGCTTTCCATAACTTATGAATGACGCCCATTATTTCAATTTTTTACACTATTCTGTCAACACTTGAAATGAAACATCTTCTTCTGGGTTGCTGTTGACGTAAAATAAAATAAATAAAGCTTAAGAAAAGATGTGACAGCGAACATTCAACTTGACTTGAAATGACGTTGACTGCATTCAGGGAAAGCGTTCAACAAACTCACTTCATTGGATCACATAATTGTTATGCATAAAATATGTTTGTTTATGTTCGTTCGGGGCATTTCGTGGGGATAACTTTAAGCTTTTGTTGGGAGTCGTCATTCTCTTCTTGAACGATAGCTGTATGGACGACAATTGATGGCTGTGACTCGGCGGCCGCATGAAGCTCATGAACCTCTCCAGGAGTCAAATTTGCAAGTGCAGCTAACAAATCTTGATTAACGATCGGTTCACATTCTTCGGCTTGTTGCCAACCTGCTGGCGGACTACATGGTGGTGAAATAAGGAACTGTTTCGTTGGCGCTGGTGGTTGGAGATTTCTATTCGAGACAGGAGTCACCGGTTGCGCGAAGTAACAGTTGATTATCGATTCATTGATTTTATACTGATGAAGTTGTATTCGGGCATTTGCTAGAAAATATTCAAGGTCGTCAAAATTGATACTTTACGTATGTCAGCGGAACACTCACCGGCTGAAATCGCATCCTTATAATTAACACGCAATCGTCTGAAGCTTTTTAACCACTGAAATGTAACATCATCGGAAAATGCGCGGAATAAACTCTCCATCTCAGCTTTCAATTCATCATTTACAAACACTTGAGAATGTATGTTTGTGACGATGATTGACGTTGGTAAATCGTCAAAGCTATCATGATTCGTTTCCGAGTTGTTTGGCTCGTCATTCTCATAGTCAGGAAGAGCAGGGTGCTCATTTGGCAGCCCGTCAACCTCATTAACATAGTAACCACCTTCTTCCTCCATTTCTATATTTTTGTTGCTTTTTTGTTTTTTTTTCTTCTCTTTCACTTTTCACTTAAAAATAAATCTTCCTGGAAAAATCAATAAAATTGCATCACAAAATTATAGTAACCAATCATTATCAGAGTTATCAGCATGAATTCTTTATCCATTAAGTTTTCTCAATGTTACCTGAATGATATTTTCTTATTAACTTCTATGTTGCTTCTTTTAATTTTATTTTTGCGAAGCAAATTGATATCTTGAAATGAAATATTTTAGATCTGTGACTGACTTGCCCTTCCCCTCGTTGTACTAAAAATTCTTGTTTAGATCAAAACAAAATAAAAATCATCAGTAGTTTGTAAACGAAGATTCAGAACTTTACAAGGCAATTATTTTCCTTTTTTTTATTTATATTTCTGTTATAAGCGGAGTAGTTATTAATTTATTTCATCTTTAACTTATGGCCGAAAATCAAAATATAGAAAGTTTCACAGAAAAGCAAAGGTAAGAAAATTGTTTGAAGTGAAATTTTTATTTATATTTTGTAATTTTTATTCCGCATTGACCTTGGATTGTTTATTTTCTTCTTGTTGAATGATCATCTATCTACTTCCTTGTTTGTTATCATCGACGATATATTGATTTATTGTTTATTTTAGTGAGTTTAATTATACATTTCTTTGTTTTAGTTTGGTATTCAATTTATTGCGATGGTCTTCTTTCTGTAATGAAATGTTACGTTCGGCAGAGAAGTCAATTTTGAGGTTTATTAAGACACCTTACAAAGGCTTCTACATAGATGTTGGCTCCAGTGTGGGTGATTCTGACAAAATATGGACAGTAGCTTTAAACGAAACAAGTCCAAAGACGCCTCTCGTGTTACTTCATGGTTTGTTCATTTAATAACTTGAAATCTCAAGTGAAACAAATTAAATATTGTTTTGTTTAGGTCTCGGTGCTGGTTGTGCTTTATGGGTTCTTAATTATGACGACTTTGCACGAGATCGGCCAGTTTATGCAATTGACGTACTAGGCTTTGGCAGAAGTTCTCGTCCTGAGTTTGCTCAAGATGCGAAAATGGCAGAGAAGCAATTTGTGAGATCAATCGAAGAATGGAGAAAAGAAGTTAACATTAAGAAAATGATCCTTTGTGGTCATAGTATGGGAGGGTTTCTTGGGTGTGCTTATGCTTTGACATATCCCGATCACATTCAACATCTTATATTAGCAGATCCCTGGGGATTCCCAGAAAAACCTGAAGACGCCAACACAAAGTACAATGTACCATTTTGGGTGAAAGCAATTGCTTATGCAATTCAACCTTTAAATCCACTTTGGCCACTTCGAGCTGCTGGCCCTTGGGGTCAGTGGGTGGTTGAGAAAAGTCGACCAGACATAATGAGAAAATTTAATGCAGTTGTAAAAGATGAAACTGCAATACCTCAATATATTCATCAATGTAACGTACAAAATCCAACAGGTGAGTCTGCCTTTCATTCAATGATGGCAGGTTTCGGTTGGGCGAAGAATCCAATGATTAAACGAATTCACGAAATTCGTGATGATGTGCCAATCACGCTTCTTTATGGATCCAAGAGCTGGGTGGATTCATCAGCTGGGGATATTATAAGAAAAGCTCGACCTAATAGTTTTGTAAATTTTCATGTTATTAATCAATCTGGACATCACATATATGCTGATAGAGCGGAGGAATTTAATAAACTTGTTCTTCAAGCATGTCGCGAGAAAGAAGAACAAGTTGAGGATGAAACGAATGAAGAGTAGAATAAACAAATTTTAACTATAATTACCGTACAATGACGACTGTGTCTGTTAACTGAAAATGCAATAAAATATTTATTTGAATAACTTGTGAAAGTATTTACAACTTTGTTTTGAATTTGTTTTAAATAGGAAAACATCTTTAAGGGTTACTGTTAATGTGATTGCAATCTTGAGACAAATCACAAAGTTCAATAAAAAAAGTAACGTCGACAGAATTTCCCCTTCGAAATTCTATCAACAAAATGTAAACAATAAATCGAGAAACGTGTTCAAATTTTTCTCACGCTTATCGTTTGCCTGAAGTTCAAGTTAACTTTTTCATACAAATGATTGAGTTTCAAACAAGTTTCGATTTTTTTCATTTTAAGTTATTTAGTTAAACTATTAAAATTGGTTAAAAATTATTTTATTGTTGTGACTTTTTAATTAAATGATGCAAGTTTATAGATGACACCTTCGCTTAACAGTCAATCACAATAAATATTTAAGTAATCAGTTGAATTTGTTTATACACATGTCTAACATTTGATGCTTTGATAAGAATCTATATGAAGTAAATACAACAGAAATTCCATTAAATCTAATTCATTAAACTTGAAATATTTTCTATTTTTATGCAAGTATAAATGTGATTGTTATAAGCCGCTTAAATGTCAGTTCAGATTAGTTTTCATCAGAGTTCGGAAGGATGTTAGTTTTACAATCGCTTGTGTTTGGTGTGTTTATTAGTCTCGCGGTAGCCTACGCGCGTTTCTTATGGAAAAGACGTCGAATGTATCATCTTGCAGCTAAGCTTGATGGACCAAAAGGATTACCATTCATTGGAATTGGACATCATTTGTTTAACTTAAGTTTGACAGAAATTTTCGAATATTTAATGAACGAACCAGAAAAATATGAAACGCCATCGAAATTCTGGCTTGGACCTGAACTTGTGGTCTTTGCAAACACTCCTGATATGTTACAAATTGTGTTAAATTCACCAAAGTGCTTAGATAAATCACCGCTTTATGATTTGTTCGTTTTAAAGAAGGGTTTGTTGATTGTCGGTGGAGAAATGTGGAAACGACATCGTAAAGCTCTCAATCCCGCTTTTAGCATTGGAAATATAAAAAAGTTCATTCAATTATTTGATGAAAAATCGAAAATATTCGTGAAAAATTGTGAAAAACATATCGAAAAAAAATCTTTTGATGTTTATGGTTACATGTCAGCATGTTCTCTTGAAACTTTATTGAAAGGAAATTGCAATTATGTTTGTGACATCCAAAGTGATGCTTTGAATAATGTTTACATTAAAAATGTGGAAAAGTGAGTTAAAAAAGAATAATTTAAAAATCATTTGAATTTAATTAAATTTGTAAATCATTTAAAGGGGCGCTAAAATCCTGATGGACAGAGTGAAAAATATTTTATACCATTTCGAAGCAATTTATCATCTTTCTAAACTTTACCGTGATGAACAACTCTACATTCATGAAGGAGCTCTTAAAATAGCTGATGAGATTTATGAACAATATCGAAATCAACTAAAGGACAAAAATACTTTTAACGATTCTGATGGATATCAAATGGAACCCAAAAACTTTGTTGATTGTTTACTCGAGGAGAAAAATCAATTTGAGATGGATGAAATTAAAGACGAGATTAACACACTTGTGGCTGCGGTAATTGTCATAAATTTGTAATTTTAAAAGTCATTCACGATTAGTTTTCTCACAGGGACACGAAACATCAGCTTTTGTAGTCTCGTGTACGATTTTAATGCTTTCAATGTTCCCAGAAGTACAACAGAAAGTATTTGAAGAGATTGAAGAAGTTTTCAACAAATCAAACTATGAAATTGATTACGAAAAACTCAGTAAATTAGTTTATCTTGATATGGTCATTAAAGAGACGATGAGATTATTTCCAGTTGTTCCCTTTGGAACGCGAAGATCAAACGATGAAGTTGAAATCGGTAAAATTATTGTCAAATGAATGAACAACTTTTTAATATAATTTTTTGTTCTTTCTATAGGAGATAAAGTCATTCCAGCTGGCACAACAATCGTCATCTCAACTTATTCTGTACAACGAAGCAAAAATTTTTGGGGTGATGATGCTGATAAATTCAATCCCGAACGATTTTCACCAGAAAACTTTAAAAACATTCATCCCTATGCTTATATTCCTTTCAATGGTAAGTTTAAAATAGTTTTGAAGAAACTTGAATTCATCATAAAATCTCTACACAGGAGGTCCAAGGATCTGTATTGGCTGGCGATATGGAATGATGTTCATGAAGACAATTCTGACAAACTTTTTAAGAAACTTTGAAGCTTCTACTGAACTAAAGTTTGAAGATTTAACATGTAAAATTGCTTTGTCACTTAAATTAAACCAAAAATGTTTGATAAGTGTAAGAAAAAGATGATTTGTGTCAAACGTCTTTCCTGTGATTTTAAATTAAAAATTAATTTCTGTATCGATAATAAAATTAGATATTGAGAAGCTTGATTTGTGTTTTATGTACATTTTGTCAGCCAGATTTACAAGTAAGTGGTAGAGAGCCACAAGTCTTCGTAGTGTAGGGGTTATCACGCGAGTCTAACACACTCGAGGTCCCCGGTTCGAGACCGGGCGAAGACAGGATTTCTTTTTACTTTTTTATTTATTTAATTTNAAAAGTAAAAAGAAATCCTGTCTTCGCCCGGTCTCGAACCGGGGACCTCGAGTGTGTTAGACTCGCGTGATAACCCCTACACTACGAAGACTTTGCGATCTCAGCAGATGAAAACTCTCGTTGGCAAAATACGTTTTTATACCAGGTAAGCAATTATAAAACATTAATTTCTGATCAACATTATAAACAATTGCATTAATAATTTTATTTTCATTCCACCCTTGTTAGATACAAGAAAAAATTTAAAAACATTTATCAACATTGCATAAATCACTGCACACAATTAACGATTTTGTTCTAAAAATTTAAAACTTGTACTAAAATTCAATCAAAATAAAGGAAAACTTGTGAAATTGAGTCTGGAGAATTTGATTAAATTTTATACAATATCATCATGAATACTGATTGGGATGAAATAAAACGACTTGCAGCAGATTTCCAAAAGGCTCAATTATCATCCACACTTGCACGGTGAGTATTTGTAATGGTTCTTATGTTATTTATTGATTGTGACGTGGTATCAAATTGTTTAAAACTCATTTTAGCCTTTCTGAACGTAATTGTATCGAAGTCGTGAGTTTATTGCTTGAAAAAGGATTGATTGATCTTGTCTTCACAACTGATGGTAAAGAATATTTGACACATGATCACTTGCGTCGCGAAATTGAAGACGAATTGTATGTTAATGGTGGAAGAATAAATTTAGTGGAACTCTCGAAATCCTTATGCGTAGATCTTCAAAAAATTCAACCAGTTGCTGAACAAATAGCTCAAGAAGATGTTAAAATAACTCTCATCTTGGGTCAATTAATTTCATCAGATTATATTGTAAGAATTGCTTCCGAGATTAATGAACGTTTGAATCAAAACGGCGAAGTTAACATCTCAGAATTGACTGGCGCTTATGACTTGCCAAGTGACTTTCTTCTTCATGAAATTGTTGAAAAGAATCTTGGACGTATAATTTTTGGAAAGCAAGATTCAAGCAATCCACGTTTGCTTTACACTTCAGCTTTCATTTCTCGTTGTAAAGCAAGAATTCGAGGTGCACTTGCCGGAATCACTAAGCCAACGCCATTGACAGCAATTTTAAATCAAACAGGAATACAAGAACGAATTTTCTTCTCTCTTACTAACGATGTAAGTCTTACAGGTACGATAACATCAAGATCAACAGCTGGAAGCTACATTCCTCATGTTTACACAAAAACACAATCAGAATGGGTGAAGAATTTCTTCAAACAAAACGGATATTTGGAATACGAATCTGTGACAGCATTAGGAGTTGGATCCGATCCAAAACCTTTCATTCAAAAGCAATTAAGTGCTGCTAATAAATTAACTTTTCTCGATAAATGTGTTGTTGGTCAAAGAATAATCGATCAAGTCGAATCAACACTTGAAGAGTCAATTGCAACAAGCAGCTTCTTAGATGTTAGCACAATCCTTCCAAGTGTCATAGGCGAACAAGATATTGAGAAGTTAATTCAAATCATTCTCACGCCAAGTAAACAGAGACTGACACAAATGTTTGGAACTTTAATTGTCACAACAAAATACATTGACAACTTGCTGAAACCTGTTTACATCATAGCAGAGACAAACGCAAAAGCGTCAGTCGATTCAGGAGCTTATCAAAAATTCATTGCTGAAAAAACAATAAAAAAAGATTTTGAAACTGAAGAAGCGATTGGAAAAGTTGACAAACGTGAGGAACGTCGTAAGAAAGCAGCTGGTGGGAAAGCTGGCGGTGGTGCTCAAGGTCGTGAAACGAAAACAAAATCAACGAAGAAACATCAACGTGGTGGGAAGAATAAAGATTTTGATGATTCAGGTTCTGACGATGACTTCGCCGCTGTTTCTAAGAAGAACAAGAAAGATCAGCAACTTGATATTGTTCATGTACATGAAATTAAGAAAGCGATAAAGGAGACTTTGGAAAATGATGGCCTCGACGATATTGTCAATGAAATTGCGAACTTTTATCATGTTCAAATCAGTAAATATGCTCAAAACAAAGCACAAGAGTTCTATGAAGCGTCTTTACAAAACAGCATGCAAAACCGCAAACAAAACCACAGTGCATTGCAAGATAAGTTGAATGTTTTACTGAATGACATTCGATTGTATGAGAAAGGATTGAAAATGTTCACTTCGACAGAGACGCAAGCTCAATTAACGAAATATCTTTTGAAGAGTCTTGGAGTTGATTTTTGCAATGAAATTTCTTTTTATATTGCGATTGAAAGTGAGTTGAGCTTCCCGAATACACTCAGCAATCAATTAACAACTGAACAACGGACTAGAATTGCTGCTGAATGTGAAGCGAGTTTCAAGCAGCCTTTGATGGCTGTCAATAAATCCTTGAATGGAACTGTCGAAGAGTTCTTAACAGCAGCTGAGAATATTTTAGCTCCATGTTCAATGATTCTCAAGAAAATTGATAAAAAGAAAGATAAACAAATTATTTTGACGCACAAACAAGGACTTTTAGATCAACTTTACAAGTGCAACGATCCGTCACTGGTGCTCCATCTTGCAAGTCTTGTGATATTCACAATTGCAACTGGAAACATGCTTCATGCATCTGGGAAGTTTGTGTCGTCAATTTTAGATTTTCTTGCTTTAGGAATTCTTTCCGACGATGACAACATTCAATTGATGAAGTTTCACGAGTTTGTCTTGATGCTCTTCAGAGCTGAGAATGATGAAATGAAAGCTGAATTAAATGTGAAACTTGATGAAATGATTCCGAAGATCAAAGACATGGCAGCCAACTTTAAAAAGATATCGAAAAACAAGGATGATCGTGAAGATTGAATTGAGTTACATTTTTGATACTTGAAACTTTTATTTGTGGTTACGGCGGTTACAAATTTTATAATTAATGAGAGAAAATAAACAAAAACACGAAATGAAAATTTATTGACTTTTAATTGATTTCCAGTAATTAAATGAATTGAATATTTCCCTTCAAGATTTATGAACTTCCGGTTTGTCATCCGTTGAAAGGTTTCTTGTTCATTCGTGAATTGTTATCGTAATTTACTGTATTCACACAAACTTTATTGACACACCTCCCACTACATCTCTAGATGAAGTAAAATGATAAGAGACATCGACAACATCCAAGTTGATAAATTTGCAATAATGTTCAGTCGTGAATGAGTTTGCAACAACTTTTTAATTATCGAGAACGTAAAACATTTTTTGTTTACTTTTACTTGTTTATGACCGAATTTTAAAGTGCGACAACAAGAAACAATTTATCGAAACGTGGAAGCGAAAAATGGAAACAAAATCGAGTGAATATGTTTTCTTAAAATAGATTTTCAACAAGGAAATAATTTTTAATGTTGCAACGTCATCAAGCACGTGAGAATTTAATTAAAGGATCTTCACAATTGTGCAAACTTTGGATTAATATTTCGAAAAGAGATTATTAAGCTGCTTATCAAAATCATGCTCATGTTTGTGTGTGTGTGCGCGTTAAAACATGCTTAACCCGATGAAGCGACGATAAAGAAAACAAAACATTGAAAGTGTTGCGAAACGTGTGTGTGAGCAATTTAGACGGCGCGATGAGCGTTTCATTTTTCTCTTTTTCTATTCGAGCATTCGCTCAAGTTTTTCAGTTCTTTACGATCGCTTGAAGTGAAAAGTCGAGATACATAAAAACAGAAAATAAATAAAAAACTGTTTTTGAATTCGTGAATATTTAAATAAGTTTTAATCTCCATAAATATTATTAAGAAAGTTATCTGAGACATCATACAAAGTTGATCGCTAAGCAACTCAAATTGAAAGCAAACTCATTGCGAATTTCTAGATAATAAAAAAATATATCATATAACATCTTCAATTGAGTCATCCAAGTGAATTTTCATTGAAAAATGATAAAGAAATCAAACGTAGAAACAGCACAAAGAACTTAAAAGTTTCGTTTCGTTGTTTACTCAAAACAAAAAATTTCCGAAAATTCAAAATATTAAAAGAACAAAACTAAAGTTTTGAAATCGGTTAAGAAAATATTATACTGAATTAGTATAAATAGCGACCTTAACGAATTTGTAAACACTTCACTCAACATGACAGAGACACTTCTGACAAATCATTCGAATCATGTCGTAGTGCCGGCAAAACTTCCTGATAAATCACAAGAGAGACCGGTGGAACACATAGAACCACCTGATGGTGGCATTAGAGCATATCTTGTGATGGTTTGTGCATTTTTATGCAATGGAATCATATTTGGTATCATAAACACATACAGTGTGATTTATTTGAGTCTTCAACGTCAATTAAAAGATAGTGGAGATGAAGCAGCATCAAGTAAAGCTTGTAAGTTGATCAATTTCATATTTCACCATCAAAAGTCTTCACGTTAACCATTTTTAATCTATTTCGAGTGTGTTTATTTCACAAACTGCAACGCCACTCACAAGGAACTGAGAATTTTCACCTCGCAAACACGTCTACGGCTTCACTTTGAATTTTTCATTTCATTTTTGGTTCAAATGAGTTCATTTTCCTTGACAACACATTTATTGCTTTTCTTTCTTTATTTTTGTTCTCCGATCTTGTTACGATAACGCAATTTTCCTTTCTTGTCTCCAAGCCTTCACTGTTTGTTCTTGTCATAATGTTTGTCACAAATTATAACAAAGATTATCCAGTGATTGATTAAAATTTGTTATTGTAAAAATTTCTACGACCTTGTTTTGTTGCTTGATGTGGTTTTTCTATAAGCGCCGCTACTTTCGGTAACATGATATCTTCGGAAGTCTTCTCAATGAGATATTCGATAGTTAAGCTTAATCTTATTGTCATTTCTTAATGACTTTACACTTCACAACACTGTGAAGGTTTTAAAGGGACGATGACAAACCTTGTCATGTAATTTTAAGATGTCTAATCAACTAGATAAAAATAAAAATTGCTTAAAGTTTTAAATCAATTTGATTGCCTGTTACAATTGACTCACTTAATATTTTAAAATTCTCTCACAGTTTAAAATGATTTATTGTATTGCCTCGAGTGCACGCACGCACTTTTATTTAATAAAGAGAATTGTAGCAAACAATTTTATTTCGAGAGTAAATTGTGACGATTCTCGTGAATTGTGTAAAGTTTCGTTTGCGAAAATGAACGCCGGTTGATGACGAAATTCTGAGACTTACGATCGTCATTTTTTAAAATTTCTTTTCCTTCGACGTTTAGTGGCTTTTGTGCAACATGTCATTAATTTATTGCACTCAGTTTTGTCGTTAAGCTTCTTTAATAATTACTTGAAAGACCTTTTTTGGCTTCTTCCAAGGAAAAGAAATTTCATTTCCATGTAATTTGTGAGTTCATTGACATTTGCTGTGTAAATCAAGATTAAATTTACCATTCTTACTTGTTAATGCAATAATTTAATTCATTTTCCTTATAAAGAAGTTGTCGATTTTTCATCATTAAAATATTTCGTAATTTTTTTTTGCAAATAAATTCTATTCAACTGTAGCAATATTTCATGCTTTTTCTGTCCTTGACATAAATACCTAAATTAAAATTTTTCAATGCATTGAACTCGAGAAAAGTTTTCATTGTGAATTAAAGAAATCGACAATTTAATTGAAATGTTGTCTGGGAAACAATTGACTTCAATGGCAAACCATCAACTCAGATCAATTAATCTGTGTTTCAAGTATGTTACATTGTGATAAGATTCTGATGAACTAAAACAACTTAGCATTTAGCAACGACCTTTTTCTTTATATCAATCAAACCAAATGTGATAACAAATGGCTGTGGGCCGAAACTCTTCAACTTGAAATATATTTTATGATAAGAAATGTGCGAAAATATTCATTAAACGAAAAATAACCCGGCATTGTATTAAAAAGATTAAACTGACAATTTACGTTACGTAAACATAAAAGAACATTTATTGATTAATACTCCTTGTCTTATCAGTCGATGGCCTGTCAACTCTCTGCCACAGACACAATTCCCACATTAAAAATAAAATGATGCAATAGATATTTTGTTGAGGCATTCAAAGACCGATTACAGATAACAAGCATAATTTGACACAGTCATCAACAAACTGCTGAATTCAATTAATGAATTTATTTCTACAATTTTTCAGCACTCGTCGGATCTCTCACAATCGGAGCCACGTTTTTATTCTCTCCAATTTCTGGCATATTAGTTGATAAACTCGGACTTAGAACGACAACATTTATAGGTGGATTACTGACGACATCTGGGATGTTTCTTTCATCATATTTTGTTGACGAACCATTCAATCCCGACAATGTGACGATGCTTTGTTTAACTTATGGAATAATGTTTGGAACAGGTGCTGCTTTAGCTTACACCCCAACACTTGCTATTCTCGGTCACTACTTCAAACGTTATCTTGGAGTGGTTAATGGATTGGTGACTGCAGGTTCTTCAGTATTTACTGCTTTGCTTCCAGGAGCTTTAACGTACATTGAAATCAATTATGGACTTAAGAAATGTTTAATAACGTTGACATTTCTCTCAAGCTTTATAATACTCTGTGCGATTGTTTACAAGCCTTTGCAACCTCCGCCTCCACCTAAGGAGAAAAAAAGTGGACGATCTCAATGTTATAACGTCACCAGATCGGTGATAAACTTTGATAATTGGAAGAAGAAGAAATACATTATTTGGGCGATTTCAATTCCAATCGCACTTTTCGGTTATTTCGTTCCTTACGTTCATATCAGCAAATTTATAACTGAAAAGTTTCCGGAAAATAATCAAAATTTACCATTGATATGTATTGGAATAACTTCTGGTCTTGGACGAATTATTTTCGGAATGATTTCTGATCTTCCAGGAGTTAATCGAATTTTCCTTCAACAAATTTCATTTTATTTCATTGGAATGATGACAATGTGCTTGCCAATTACTGGGAATTATTCTGTTCTGTTAGTAATTTGCTTGACATTAGGTTTGTTTGATGGATGTTTCATTTCACTTCTTGGTCCGATCGCTTATGATATTTGCGGCCCACATGGAGCTGCACAAGCTATTGGATTCCTTCTCGGATTGTGTTCATTTGGATTAACTTCAGGACCGCCACTTGCTGGAAAAATGTTTGACAAAACTCAGTCATACAAATGGCCATTTATTATTGCAGGCATTCCGCCAATCGTCGGTGCAACTTTCATGTTCTTAACTCGATATGTAAAAGATGACGTCCGACGTAAGAATGAAGACAAAGAACTTCAACCTTTTCAGAATATTCCACAACTTGCTTGGGAGAAAGGTAAACAAAACTAATTTCTGATCTTCTTTCATTAAATTTTATTTAATTTTAGAAAATAACAACAAGACAGTTGATGGAAATCGTAAGGCGACATTGGCAGGTCCAGGTATTAAAACTCACCTTTTAAAATCCGATAGCATTTCTGTTTTGGTGGTTGAACCTCGCACTGAAAATCTTAGAAAATATGCTTACAGTTATTTATGATCGCATAAGATTCAATTATAGAGTTGAATGACTAATCACTTTTTATCAGCTGAGTGAATGTTGTTGATTTTTTATTTTAAAGGGAATACGCATCAAAATCGAGAATATTTTTGGTACAAAAATCGTGAGTTAAACGTCGTCGAGAGAACCGTGACAGATTTTCATTTCAATGAGTTTAAAGTTTTGTATTCGATTCTTAAGTTGAAAGCTGATAAGAAATGAGCCTATGACGATTATCGACGGCAATAAACTTGACATAAATGTGCTTTAGTCTGTGATAAGTAGATCGTAATGTATTTTTTGACATTTTGGTCTTTGTTGTGTTTTGATTACATGCTTAAGTTGATTGAAAATATTTTCAAATATTTATACTCGAATGCACTAATTTTGTTCTTCTATTTTCTTAGCTGAAATTCTTTGTGTAAATAAATTAAACTAATGCTTATCTTCCTGCTTTTACTAAACTTTTATGCTTCATTGTTTTTCGTTGTGGTGATTTTTAATTAAATTGATTTCTGGTACAAAATTTCTTCCATTTCTTTTTCTTATTTTGCAGATGAATAGAAATTATGAGTCAAAGTACGCCAAACTTCACTAAATATAAATGTTAAGCGGTAATTCAAATACTTATCTAATGATATTCAATTAAACTAATAAGACTCGATAACTAAATAAACATGTAGGTCATTCTAGGTGACATTCATTCATCGACGATATTCAAGAAAATTGGCTAGAAAAATAAAAAATTATTAAAAATTTAAATATTTGCGCCTTTAAGTTATACGCGTTGCGGGTTTTCCGATTTCAGATTTTTCAAGTTTTGGTTTCAGACAATTTCAAATTTATCTTCATAAATGAATCACATTTTCTGTCAAAACTGATATTTTTCTATTTTCTTATACTTTTTTTGTCTTAATAAGATTTATCTTGGAACTCCAAAAACAATCAATATTTAATTTTTTTTTCTTCTTATCATCAAGAAATGTAACCTTCAGTGAAATGGAACCGAAGTCTCGCAAATTGATAACAAGTAAGTGCTTCATTCGGTAAGTAATCCATTTCACTTCTCAAGATGCCGTTCAAAGTGTGTATGAGTATGAGTCTGACAAATGTACAAACAGAGAATTTATCAATACTTAATTAAAGTTCATATAACAAAATGCAAATAGAATGCGTGCATTTCCCTCACACTCACCACAACCCTGACTTACTCATTCACAAAGACAGAAGATGATAGGAAAATTGTTTTACACGCATTTGAGTCTCTTACTGTCAAAGTATTTTTAATTTTTTTTCTTTATATTTCGTTAGCAGTATCGTTCAAAATTTTGAGCTGATACTTCAATTTGAAACCGAGAATTGGATTCGGAATCAAATAAAAGTGAAGTAGAAAGAGCTGAGAATTATTGAGCTTTTAGTCTCAAGTTGGCGATCGTGAAGTACGGATCGTGAAATAAAAAGAAGTTTAAAGCTCAAGCATAATTTGCGCAAATTAATCTCAAATAAAATAATCTTTAAATTTTCTGATAAATATGAAGAAATGTTTTGTTTATTTTTAAATTCGCAATGAAGAAATGTGATAAGAATTAAGAAAATAAGTCAAATCTGATATAATTAAAGATTTCGTTTTGTGAAATCTGAAGAAAGAGAAAAACATTTTCTTGAGAAGAAAATTTTAATTGGGTGCACTTTTACGCTATCACAATGGCAGTTGATCATGCCCTTGAAGAGTTAATGTCCGCTCTAGGTTCGTATTTTTCAAACTTGACCACGCACAAATGCATCGAAGTGCGAAACTTAAATTTCGTTCAAGGTGTAGAATGAACTTAATTGATTTGTCTTCGAAAAAGAGCTTTTAGTTTCACTTAAAAATTCTTTGCGGAAGTCAAATATTTATTCTAATTGAAGATAGTTATGCTGATTATCCAGATTTTCTTGTTTTTTGTTCGCATCTCTTAGATTTTAAATCAAAACAATGATAATCCCTTCGTTAGAATAAATTTAAGATCAACAAATTCTTACATACGCATCAACAACTTTTGCCCTAATTTCAGAAAGAATCATAACAAAGTTTATTAAGGTTTAAAATTTCTGCCAAATGAAGGTCGATGAGAAGTTTAACTGCAAGTTATTGCAAATTATTTCTCAATAAGTGCTTCTCTAATCGGTTATTAAATTCGACTAGGAATTCGTCTAATAAAGTTTGGCACATTCCAATTTTATTCCCACTGTTGCAACATCAAACTTGACTTTTTCTATGAGCTGCAAATAATAGAAATTTTTTGCAAACATTTATATAAACAGAGAAATAATTTCAAGGTTTTTATGTTGAAAATTATTTTCTTTCATCGAAATAATTCCGGAAAACTTTGTGAGGGTTGCATTGACACAAAATTTTCATTCATATTCAAAATATTCAAATTTAATTTTTCTTTATTCTTGATTATCTTCCTAAACGTGAATTTTTTGATGAAAAATGTTTAAATAAATTTATTTAGACAATCAACCTCTTATGTGGTGAAATTCATTTCAATTTCCCTGCTGTTTATAATTTATATGCAAATTTATGTTAGTAATATGTGACAAGAAGAGTTTTTCGTCAATGAAATGTTTAAGACATCGGAAAACGTAATTTTTTATTTGCAGAACTCACGAGTGTTTAATAAACATGTCTACTTAATTTGCTTCAAAACAGAAATTGCGTTCTAAACAGTCAAGAAAAAATATGTTAAAAGCTTTTTAAAGTTATCTTGTCAGAGTGTTAATTCTTATTTCAAATGGATTTCAGTGCAATCTTTAAATGAAAATCATTTGAGCAAAGCCTAGGAGCTCATCAATTAAGTTATCAATTTTTCGCAAAAAAAACTGCCAATAAAATAATCTCAATTGATTACTGATTACGATTACTTACGCAATGAACACATCACGCTATAACTTAAAATTGTTTCAATAAAGATTTTATGTTTCTATTCTCAATCTTTACGAAAATTCCTGTAAATGATTTTGATGACAATTTCCATTGTTATCATTTTTATTATAAATAATAAAATTTGAACTTCATCAAATGACTTTGTTTGTGCGAAGTAAATTAATCGTTCTCAGCTGATAAATAATTCTTCAATTCGAGTTAACAACTGATCAGAATGAAAAGCTATAAACTCTGCTTATCAATTAAAATATTTTGACTTTCTTGATGCTCGTCCTCGAAGTCAAATTAATTTTCGGGGGCTCGTGCTTCGACGTTTCATTGCACCCGTTGAGACGTAAATACGATAAAAAAAAAGAACTTTTACATCACGACAACACATTTGATTTATTCCATAGATTGATTTTAATTAAATTGCGTAAAAGTTGATAAACAAATACAATTTATTCATGACTCAATTGATGAAGTTAATTTATCTAACTAAATATCAATTGACACAGAATGTTAACTACGCTTTATCACAAATACGCAAATAATCAACGGATTAAAGTTTCTCGTTTATCGATCTTTAATTACAATAACATTTGCTTGCAGTTTCAATTAATTTCTTACATATCTGGGTTATCTCTCCGTTGTTGATCAAATAAAACTTTTCTTAAAAACACAAATTAAATTAATTAAACTGTTTGATGACTTTAGGGTCAGTTTTCGGGAGATTCTCTCTTTCGTTTTCAGCCTTGACAATGACTACGTCACGAAACTTTCTGAAGTATTAATTATCACTGTCTTCTGTTTGTTATCTTATCAGGCGACTTTGGACGTTATCAAGGTTTTCAGTTTTTTCTCCACATCTTATCAGCTGTGACAGCTGGTCTGCATATTCTATCATTGGTCACAATCGCAGCTGTTCCTGATCATCGATGTTTTATTGAAGGCATTGACACAAACTTATCAACAGCAGCATGGAATTCAACAGCAATTTTATCAGCAATTCCTTTAATCGATGGAAAACTTGATTCTTGTCACATGTTTGTACCAGGAACAAATAAGACAACAACTTGCTCGAAATATGTTTATGACGACCTTTATTACAAGGACACAAGATCAATTGAATGGAACATGGTCTGTGGCGAAAGATTCAAGGGCGCCTTTGCCCAGACTATTTACATGCTTGGAGTTTTTGCTGGTGCTGTTGTTCTAGGTAAGTAAGAATGAAAATTGTTGATTTTCATACTTAATTCTTCCTTAAACTTAATAGGCGGTCTTGCGGACAAAGTCGGAAGAAAGAAAATATTTTGTTGGTCAGCGACACTCCAAATAGTTTTTGGTGTTGGAGTTGCTTTCATTCCTGAATATTTCACTTTTTTGGTCTTCCGATTCATTTATGGAATTTTCGGATCTGCTGGCTGTTATATTACTGGATTTGTGTTGACAATGGAATTGATTGGACCATCGAAAAGAACACCTTGTGGAATTGCTTTCCAAGCTGCATTTGCAAGTGGAATTATGTTAGTTGCTGGATGGGGAGCTGTGATTAAAGATCGTCAATTATTGCAAGTTATCTACGGACTTCATGGATTCTTGCTTTTCGCACATTGGTGGCTAATGGATGAATCTCCAAGATGGTTGTGGACTCAAGGACGTCAAGCTGAAGCTGTTGATATCGTAGCGAAAGGTGTTAGAATAAACAGACGTGGAATTGTATTAGACAAAGAACATTTCTTGCATCGTTCAAAGAAACCTCAACGTGTTATCGTTGATGCACCTAAATCAACAACAGGCATGACTGATCTCTTCAAGTCACCAAATCTTCGAATGAAAACTTTAAATGTCTGCTTCTGTTGGTTTGCCAACTCAATTGCTTATTATGGATTGTCACTTAGCACGGTGAGAATTTTTACACGAAATTTTACTTCTGGTTTCGTAACATTTTTTGTTGATTTAATTTTTTAGGGAAGCATGGGTGGAAATCCTTTCTTTAATTTGTTTATTATGAGTCTCGTCGAGTTTCCAAGTTATATTGCAGTCATTTTGCTTTTGGATCGTCTTGGACGTAGAGCAATCACAAGCAGTTTTATGTTGATTGGTGGCATGGCATGCATCGTTGCAGTTGTAATGACTGAGAAATCGACAGAAGCAACGACAACAGTCTTTACTGGAAAACTCTTCATCGCTGGTTCTTTTGCTGTGATTTACAATTATTCAGCTGAACTCTTTCCAACAGTTGTAAGAAACTCAGCAATGGGCTTGGGATCAATGAGTGCTCGTTTGGCGGGTGCTTTCACTCCACTCATAACTCTGCTTGATTCTTTTGATCCAAAAATTCCCGCAATTGTTTTCGGCATTGTGTCCATTCTTTCAGGCTTTTGGGTGCTTTTATTGCCTGAAACAAATGGACAAGCAATGCCTGAAAGCATCGAAGATGGTGAGAACTTTGGAAAAGGTGATACATGTTTCACAACATGTTTGGGACGGAAACCAATCAAAACTGATTATCAACTTCCGCCAGAACAACCAATGGTACAACTCGGAACATTCCAGCAATAAAATGTTTATTAACTTACTTAGAAATGCAGTTTGACAATGCAAAATGTTATGAAGTTCAGTTTAGAATTCTATTTTGCTTATGAATTTATGTTAATAAGATCGAATTACTTAGACTTCGGCTACTTTGGGAATTTTCCTAATTTAATATTTTTAACAATAATTTTGTGTCGTCTTTCATGAAAGAAAAACTTTTAATTAGATTTTATGACAACTTGGTTTTCACCAAGAAAATAATTGGAAGGAGAATGACAACTGTTTAATGTTCTTATTTATGATCAATTCTTAATAACTGTTTATGATATTTCGCTCGATGATAATTTCCTACTTTAATGACTCAATAGTTTTAATAGCATTTTCCTTCTCCAAGTTGTCTCAAAATCATTTGTCAAGCATGAAGACGATAAAAACTTACTTAAAGGATCTTTTATTATTTTTAGATGCAAGCTAGAAACCATTTTAATAGCTACGGAGGCGTTTAGTCAGCACATCAAAGTTATATGACTTTATAAGACACAAACATGAAAAGTTTTTAGAATTTTCACAAGTTTATAAGACAATAAAAAAATTGTAATTATGTAGAAAGAATTTGATTAACATTTTATGAGAAAATAGGCTCAGACGCTCATAAATATTTTTTTAAAAGAGCTTCAAATAATTGAAGATGGAAGGGAAAAAAATCTTTAAAGATTTGCATGTTCTTAAGTCATCAACCGGGAAAAGATACAGCAAGGAAAAAAGTAATTTACACGAAAAAAAGAAACTTTCTCGCCGTGGAAATTAATCCTTGAAACATAATCTCTCAATCATTTTCACTTCTTGTTGCTTCAAAAACATTACGGCGGTGGATAGAAATCATCCCTCATTGTCTCTCACATTCTCCTTCTCCAGAAACACCATAATGCACTTTTCAGTTAGCGGACGAAGTGAAAAGGAATTATTCGCTTTAATGGAAAAAAAAACTGATGATTAATCTTTCATAGGGATTATCGAGTGATGGTGTCAAATCTCGTGAGAGTTGTGAAATTTGAATAATCATTTTCCGTTCTTACTTTTGATCAGAAATGTTCCCAATTAATTCCACTTCACAGTTTTCCTTTTCATATTCCTTGCGAACCAGAATCTTACAGCAAATGGAAACAAATGAAAGAAAAAGTCCATTGCCTTGAGACTTCATTGTAGTAGCAGTAATAATGCTTCACAAATGTTTTTTCAAGTTTAATCCTCGTTTTCATGAAGAAAGAAACGAATTGAAAGAGGTTCTTCTTCTTGTTACAGCTTTGAAACTTTGAATATTCAAACAATTTTTCATTTTTAGCGAATAAAAATATTTACAAACGAGGAAAACTTGAAAGTTGTCTTGCTACTTGTAGGAATATTTACATATCTAAGTAGATAAATGTTAATGTTTTGAAAACATTTATTTTTATTTCTTTCTTATCAAATGCAACTTGGTCGTGGTGAAAATTTGCTGAAGCATGTATTAAGAACACATTAGCATTCTGTTGATTTTTAATGAAACATTTTTCCGCTTTTTCTTCAACAAGACAAAAGGCAAAGTACGAATGAAGGTGCAAAATTTAATCTCCATTCATTAGCTTTTATTAGTCGACTCAACTCTCTGATATGGATATTCTCTTTGTAAACAACGCCAAGCTTCAATTACTTTTAAATGAATTTTCCAAGTGGATTGGGAACAACACAGAAAAGTAAAAAAAGCAAAAAAAATCCTTTGTTGCTTCAATAGGAAAACGAAACATTGCACTCTCCATCGGAGAATCATCTTCATCAGTAGTAGTCTTGATGAATAATTCCACTTACAAGAAAATGATTTTCTTTCCTTCATTTTTACTTCGCAGAAAAAATGTAAAACATTAAGGGAATAAATTTTCATTCATTTAAGTTTCACTTCTTTTTCTCATCTCATCGGATCATAAAACATTTCCCCATTGGAATTATTTGCATTTTTCCAGTTAATATTTTTACGATGACATAAGCAAGCAAAAGAATCATAAAAATCGCTGGTGTGTCGTAGTTGTTTTTGTTTGGCTTTTTATCGTCATTTCTCTTCGTAATGTCACCTTCAAGGATCTGTTTTCATCAACCATAAACTTCTTTCTTATTCTCGCGCGCTTATTTCTTTTAATTCCTTTTTAATTCAAATATTATTACAACTTTCAGTCGTAAAACAACGAAAAAAAAATATAATCATTGTGGATGAGAAAGTTTAGTGCCACTGCTAGTCGCTGTTATCCTCGCTCGGTTAAAAATTTATTTAAGTATTTTTTTGTCGCTCGATACAGGAGATGATTTGTAGGGCACAGAAGATGAATTTAACCCTTTTTCAAGCATCATAAAAAGAACATAAAAAATGTTTATTTTCAAATAATGTTCATCGAGAATGATGATGAATAAGAAAATAATTTTTTTACGCACAATATTTAAGAACTATTTGATGAAGTTTATTTTATTATCTTTTTTTGTTTTGAGGAAAGAAAAGGAAGAGTTAATCCTTCACCAGGCACATCTTCCGGAAGATTTGAGGGGTGTCGTGCAAGTTTTATGCATTTTTAATTGCACTTTTGTGACTGTTTTTGATACTAGAATTTTAATCAACGACAGTAAAGATCGTAAACTTCTCATTTTTTGTCTCATAAAGTTATTAAAAATGTCGTAAAACGATTTTCTAGGCGCGAGTTTCAATGAAGATAAACAGACAGGAGAACTTCTTAATTCCAAGCCTTAAATGTAAACACAAACGGTTTACGACTTCTTGAGCTTCTGGAAAGGAGAATTTAAACATAAATTAAATCTTTCATTTTATTACTAAAAAAATTCGTTTTTATTTCTCTAGAAGGAGTTTATATTATTTAATTTATTTATAAATATGTCTAAACGTTTGAATAGTTGAAATGTTTTCATTTATCTAAACATCAAGAAGTTTTTCTTGGTCACTCATCTGAGATCGTTTATTTCGTTTTGTCTCAAAAATAAATCGAACTTTATTGACGATATCCTTGAAAGTTAATTTCGATTTTTTGCTGTAAACGTTGAGATAAATGCCAAGAACTATTATGAGACCAGACCACACATATTGCATTGTAAATGGCTTTGTGAAGAAGATAAATGAGACCGCAATGCTCATAGCTTTTCGAGTTGTTGTTACTGTAACAGCGGTTGTTGCACCTGATGTCCGAACGAGTGTAAGAACTACTTGAATTCCAAGATAACCAGTGACACTTAAGAGAAATCCGTAACCGTAGGTTTCTACAGGATGCTAAAGAAATTTCATTAAATTTTTATCGATCTCGTTTGATTTCAATTTATTATGTTCACCTCCCGACAGAAGATGAACCCACTGAAGAAGTCACCAGTCAGCAACATTAGCACTAATAAATAAAGAAAACCAATTCCATAGGAATAGAATACAACTTCACTATTTGGCGCATTATGTTTCTTCATTGCTAATTCCTGAACATTTCCAATCACAGCATCAAAAACAAGAGCTAATGATATAATAAACACTCCATAGCCAGAGAATCTCGGCGACACTTGCGAGTCAGCAAGTGTAAAAAAGATTAAACCAATACACATTGCGAAAGCCGCAAGAAAATCCATCACATTATGTTTCTTCTTTTGAATCAAAATCGATCCAATCAGAACCGGAATCAATTTACAACTTTTAAATATTATTTGCATAGGATAGTTGAGATATTCAAGAGAAAAGTTAGACAGGCCCTGATGGAAAAGTTTTATCAAAATTATCTTTTTACTCGTCAATTTTATATATTTTGTATACTTACCATAGTGCCAAGTGTCAAGAATGCCAACAGTAGATAAATTTTAATAGGAACAGTTCTTTCTCGTCTCACATTGTCAAATAATCCAAAAATTGTATAATAAAGGAATTGCACAAGCGTGATGTACCAACCACTGACTCCGTCAAGTGTGAATATAAGTTCAGCAAAGTATCCATAGATTAAATAAAAGACAAACACTAAACCACATGCAATCAAAAATTCTGCTTTTGGACTTAAATGTGTAAACGTGAAGCATAATACTTTTAGGCTATTGGGAGATTGCTTTTCTTTATTATGTGTTGGCAACATATTGGTTTTTGAAATTCAATTAACTATTGCACTTTAAACTATACATTTATTTATATATTTTAAATTTATGAATATAAGATTTGTTTACATTCCACTTTGAAGATTGCGGCAAGTAAACTACCACGTTTTGTAAAAATAATTTTTCCACGTATAATGTTTTATATGAAGTTAACTGGTTATGACATAATAGTGTGATATCAGTCGTGTCAGATGATTTCGAATTTTTCGAAGATAATGTTCGAAATCTATGATGGAAATGTATAACGAACTTTAGTCGCGTTGCACTTTTTTATCAGAACAAAAATTTCAAACGCAGCAAGAAAGTTTTAAAAGCCAATTTCAAGTGGTACGCTTCAAAAATAAACTTTTTTAATTATGATGATTTTTAATTTAATTGCACATATTTACAGTGGAAGTTAAAACACTTCAAAACGTGGATGTTCACCACATTAACAAGCCGGTGACATTAATGAATTTAATGATGTTTCTGCCTCACATGTTATGAATATAAAATGATATTAAATTAATAAAAGATATATTGAAGTTCTATACATTTTCACGATTCTTAATTATCTTAATTAGCATTTTGTTCAAGTGAAAAACGCGTTGGAATTTCCACTGAAGTAACAAGAATAAAGTTTTGAAAAAGAAAGGAAGTCTCTTGAGATTCTTTTCTCATTCTCAACAAGGACTTGTGTATGTTATTTATGCATGCATGTCTTTTTATGACACATTAATTATTTTTCATTTCATATTTCGTAATGAAAAAATTTATCAGACAAGAAGAATTTGTAAAGAAAGAAGCAGTTAAAATTCTAGAAAAGTGGCGTAATTTACATTAAAATTGTAATTTTATGCATGTTTTCATTTACAATCATTTAAAAAGTTTTAATATTTCTCTTCCCGAGTGGAAAATATTTTTCCATCTTAAATAGAAACCTTAGAAATGTAATTAAGAATTTCGTAGAAATGGATCAAACGCAAAAGTTATGATTATACTTACAAAATAGTGAAATTGCAACAATAATCATTTGATTTAACATTTCTTTTTTATGTTTTTTATTCATATAACCACAGCCTCTCCAATTATAAGATCAAGTGATGAAAGCCAGTGCAGGGTGGTTTTGCTATTTGCATTTATTTGACATCATTCACGACAAATTACATTCGCTTGAGAAAATTGAATTCAATTATGTTGTGGCCTTCAAAGTAATCTTTGAGATTTATTTGTTATTCCTTCTTTACCTTCCTTCCATTAACCGCATAAAACTTCATTAATCATTTTTATGTTGTGCAAAAATTTTTATGGCTTAAGTTATTTGAACTTAATGCCAGTAAAGAATTTTCTTTATTCTCATGAATTAGTTAACTGTCGAAGACTGCAAGGAAATATTCTCAAAAGTAATTAAGCTAATAGAAACGCTATCAAAGCGAATGGACTTTAATTTAATCAATTTATTATCTCGCCTCCATTGTTTGCCATTAGTTTAAAGAAGCTCCAATAAAATTAAAACTGATAACCGATGTTTTATAGCACATTTGAATCAAATAATTGTCTATAATGGAATTAACCATTTAAAGGTTGAATGGATTGCAAAATGCTGTAAGGAATTTTCTGAAGAAAAAAAATATAGAAAGAAATCCTTTCGACTTCCAAGACAAGACAGCAATTGGCAATAAAAGTGAAAAGCATTTCAAGCATTTACATATTGATATTTTATTTTATTTTTATATTTTCCTTCCATTTCTTTTTCCCGCTGAGTCAATAATACATACAAGACGATTCAATTCTCTCGAATAGCGTTGAACAACTTGAACTATAAAAGGCATCCATGCATTTCAATGATGATATCCTTATTGCAGCTAAAGGTTTATGACGATAGAGAAGCAAAAATATATGCAATTTGAGTAAAACGGGAAATGACAAGAAATTTTCCACTAGAACCATTAAATTGCCTTAACTATTTAAATTTCGCAAGCTTCTTCTTACATTGGCTGAAATTTGAGCGGAAAGAAATTTTATGGAAGATTTTTATGAGAAAATTTTAGTATTTTTTAATGTTCCATGACATGCACTTTGAGCGTGGAGATAAAAGCAACAAAAGGATAAATGTATGGATGTGGATTTGCGATGAGACTTCTTGTATCTAATCAATTAAATGATCAATGTGATGTTATAAAAAGGATGGAAATTAAACCCGTGGAAAAATCAATCAAATTAATTGAATGAAAAAACATCAAATGGACATCACAAAGCATGTGTGGGTGTGTGAAGATTAAGACATTTACTCTTAATTTCATTCTTTTATATGCGACTGCATCAACAGTTTTTACTGTTCGTTGCTTCATTTCTAATAACACCATAAAAACATTTTCCCCACGTTACTAAACGTGTTGGTCGAATATGAAGTGAAGAAAAATCTATTAATATTATTACAAATGTTATTTTTATATATTTTTATTATCCCTTAATTCAGGTTTCATATTTTTTCGAGGGATATTAGCTATCGCTTGTTTGATGTATTAACTGCATTTTTATAGTTTTTCGCTTTCTGCAAATTGAGGGTGTTTGGATTATTTATTATTAATATTAACATTTTATTGCCCATCCAGATGAATCGTAATTTCCTTTTTAACACTCTCACTCGATACAGCTTCACATCTTTCAACTTCAAGTGAAGAATGAGTTCAAAAATTGTATATAAATTCCTTGGCAATATAGACGAAGATGTTCTTCAAGACATTTGCTTTCTTTAAGCAATCTGTAAGTTCTTCTCGTACGTGACCAATCATTCTCAAAGAAGAAAGATTCATGAAATGAAAAATGAAAGCCAGTGAAATCGAAATTTCCTGTCAAGAACAACAAGAATAGTTAACAACTTTACATATCAAGATATTCTCGTTTAAGCTTTCAGAAAGCATTATTTATAAAATGTTGTAGAAAATCCAATTTCACTGTTAAACTTCTATTCAACCTTTATGATGAATCAAACATTTCTGTATCATAACAACATCGGTACAATATTGCTTCATTCATCCCTGTTGTGAAAATGTGCAATATGAAAAATTATTCCTGTGATGGTTTAACTTTAATCGAAGCGTCGGAAATTTTCATTGAAAATCATTCACTCGATGAATGTGATTTCCGACTTGCATGCTGATTGCGGTCGTTGAACTTTGATGTAATGAAAATATTCTCGTTTAGTCACATATTATTATTATTTTTTTGGATAAAGTCTCATCGCGATGAGTACTTTAAGAGATTTTCTTTCATTCCATTGCAAAATGTCCTAGAAATCATGTTTGAACATATTTTTGGAATATCTGAATGTCTCCAATAAATTTTGTTGCATGATTTCACAGAAGAAATTTCCATAAAGAAATTTTCTTCTTATGAAATTCTCTGATTGAATTCTTCAATGGAAAAATATCAAGTTACACTTTCCAAATCACATTCTGACTTTCAATTCTCATCAAGCACAAATATTAATGCTTATTTTCGTCAACAAATTGATCCTTTGATGTTAAATTCCTTCTAGTCATGACATCAATTTAAAACCTTTTTAAATGTTTCTTCTCAAATCTGACATTGGAGCTTTTAGCACAAAATGACCTTCATGACAAAGTTCGCTCTTAAATTTTCGATGGTCACTTGGAAAGTGAAAGCACTTTGATACTTTTCAAGTAATTTAAATTTCTTAATTCCACTGACATTATTAATTAAAAAAGCACAAGACAAAATGAATCCGTGCATAACTCTCAAAGTTTTGATAGTCTTTTAGTTTGCTTGTCATTCCTGTCACGGAATAATGAAATTTATTTGAGTTTAAAATTCAAACAATGAAGAGTCTCAAGCTTCTGAAAATTTCACCAGGCCATGATCCTTGCTTGAAGTTCCATGTTTTAGCTCCAAAGTTGTTTTTGACAGAAACGGAACTGTTATTGGACACTACAGGAAGTTTAATTTGTTACGAGAAAATTGAATAAACACGACACTGTCTACTGAATTGTCTTTCTTTGAAACATATTTTTGTGTCATTCCCTGAAATATTATTTGTTTTGATATTCTCTCAACCTGCTGCATTTCAAAATGGGAATGAAAAACTGAAACTTTTCTATTTTGTGGACATCAGAAGTTCTTTTCTTAATTTGTTTGTAATTTTAAATTCTGTTTACAAACTTTGAAGTCAAAGAAGTTTGAAATCTGATAGCATTAAGCACAAAGCTGAACTGAAATTGATTTTCATCTTAAAAGACCTCAAACTGATGAATTTGACTTTAGGATTTCAGAAAGTTTTGAATATTTAATTAATGATTCAACACTCGCTTTTATCAAATTCATTATTAACTAAATTATTACACAACTCATTAAAATCATAACAATCTTCTCTATTTATTATTTCTAACTCATCATCACCGTCGTCATCTTTTTAAGAGCAGCAAGTGGATTTTTGGAAAAGCTTTGGTATCAAAAATAAACCAAAGAGTATCGTTTACGAGTTTATATTAATTTGAGGATTTTCTTTCAACTGGTTGAATGCTTAAGCTTCTCATAATCCAATGATTTCTCTCATCACTTCGATATTATAGTCGAGTGTAAAGTGCAGATATATAAAAAAATGAACAACTTTAAAAAGAATTTTATGACAAAATTAAGAAATTGTTTTCAGATCTCAGTTGTTTAATCAAATATTTCACTTCTTGCTGCGCATTAAATGAATGAGTTGTAAATATTGTTAAGCAATCCCGGAAACTTTTTTTCATCCATTGCACTCACCATTTGTTGGAGCTCATTCAATTGACAAATAACCACGGGATTACTTTAATGGCTTCAGATGAATTTTTTTGTTCATTTCCCTTTCCACGTTTTCCCAGAGCTTTCAGTGTTTAAAATGATCTCTCGATGAATTTCTTTTTCTTTTACGCGCTGTCATAGATAAGATGGATAGCAGAGAATGAATCATAAAAGGTTTCGTTTGATATTTAAATGCTTCAGAATTTTTTCTCAAGTGCATAATTACACTCAAACTGTTGTCTCATGTTTGTCTCAGACGTTTTTGCGTTCGTTGTCATGTCTACAAGTGAAGAAAAATTTCTTTCTCATTCGAGTGTTTAATAATGCTAGAAATCTCATCCCTCTCGTCAAAGTAATTGAGGTCTTTAGACATTGAAAAAGATTTTTACTTTTTGCGCAACATTTTCCGTATTGGCCGCATTTGAAATTTATTCTTCCTTACAGTTGTCTGCTTTTAGTTAAAGCATGACGAAAATCGCCTCGAGATTTAAACAAATTTTTTTTCGCCTTCCGTTTTAACCCAAAACGTGACATTCACAAAAGGTTTTTGAGAATGAAAATTCACATCTGTGATGAATAAAACTCAATTTTTTTATTATTCTTGTAACTTTTAGTTTATGCAAATGTTATTTATTGATTTTAATTTGTAGTTTTTGGCAAGTGTAATTGCTTTATTGACAAATTATTAAAAACTTTCTTGCATTATGAAGATGACTTATAAATAAAAGTCGAAACTAATCGGACAGAACCCAAATAAAAATTTGAGTTTTATTCATCTTAAAAGTCTGAAAAGCCGTAAATTCTTCAATACCAAAACGTGACATTCACAAAAGGTTTTTGAGCATGAAATTTGTGATGTATATCAAAAGAAACGAGAAGTAGCAGAAACACAAAAAAGTGAAAAATCACTTGAGTAAAAAGCGTCTCGTAATCGTCTAGTTTTTAAATATTTCATGTGCATTAAATGTGAAAAAGAGAAGAAAGGAAAAATCTTGAAGGCGTTTCAGACGACAGAGACATTTTAAAGTAATGGATTTTGGGACTAAAGACCGTGAATGCTTCGTTTATCCATCAAAGCCCGGTCTTCATACTTCGAGGGAGAAAATATATCATGAAGAAACCCTCTAATCAACAAGCAAATTTTAAGTTGCTGATGTTTAAGAAAGCAATCATTTAAATGGACATCAATAAATCGAATGAATTTGAATAGAAATTAAATAATCTGCGTTGCTAATTTTACTCGATTTCCTGGATATTGTTCATTGCTTTTCTCACGATATTTAATCGATGGGGTTAAGAAACTTTCTCAATCTCAATCAATTATCGACTACACCACAACCAAAAACCAATTTGTGAAGAGTTTGAGAATGAATGTTGAGATATTTTAAGACATCCACTTGGCAACCCTTTCTCTGTTCTTTTGTTTGCCCTTTTCCATCAAATTATGAATTGTTATGAAAATATGAGCGGGTTGCTGATGTTGCATGAAAGTTAAAGACTGTTAAACACAAATTAACATGATTGAAATGTTGAAAAATTAATTTGATTCCCATTCAACCCTTGCAAGGCCTTGAGATCAAAAAATTTCGCTTATTTTGCCGTTTAATCCTTACGTTTTGTCGTTCAATGCTTCCCATGTGGCCAAGGCATCTATTCGTCCATATTTTATGATTCAGTAATTTTTATTACGCAAAATGATATTAAAAGAAATAAGTTCAAGATTCGTAATCTTCATTCTTCTTCTCCTTCCTATTTAAGCGCATTGAAATTAATTTTAATTTTTATATTTTCTTTCTAACGAAAACATTTCCATTTCTTCACTTTCTGAAGGCCTTAAAACTCGTAAAATTATGATTTATGAAACTTCTTTTATGGATAAATATCTCTTCCCGATTCATTTTCTTCCTATTTAAATATTTGTGATTGCGCTTTCTCATTCTTTTTCTTTTCGCCTCTTTGATTTCGTTTTATTACAAAGCGATAAAAAAATGCTCGTGAAAAATTAAAAAAAATATATTAAAGGCAACAACAAAACAATTTTTATTGACGTGGTGCTCTTAAGATTTCGTTTTTTTAAATTCTTAGGGTGGAATGTGTTCATTCCTGGTCCTCTTGAGATGTTAAAAAAATAAAATAAATTTACGAGTTTACATGGGCGCGATGTTGTGTCTTTAAAGGAAGGGCTTGCCACTCTCATGGTTAATGTGATTTCCATTGAAATCTAATCAAATTACCAAACGCTTATTTATTTCACATTCAAAACTAAGTGAAGCAATTAATCATATCGCGACGTTTAGAAGTGGAACAAAAAAGAAAAATCAAGTTTTATGGGAAAATGAAAACTCTTACAAAAATGTTGCCACCACTCTCAAAATCTTCATTTCAATCAAACTCTGGGGGATGTGAAGAAGGTCCAATTGAAAGCAAAACAATATAAAATTAAGAAAACAAAAGCTATAAAAATTATGATTGAAATTGCTTTTCTCATTCCCTTCAACAGGGTACACAAAAAAAAATATAAAAATCTTAAGTCAATCTACTTCTTCTCACTGATCCTTGAATCTCCAACACAAAAAACCTTACTGAACATTTTTATTGAGCATAAGAAACCGATACGTCATTAAATAAATAAATCGATTTCTCAATCATTTAATTTGCAATCCCCTTGATTTGAGAAGATTCAGATTCCAAGTCTGTAAGGACCGCCATCAAGAAGGCAATAAATGTTGTCACATTTTATTGGCAACTTTCCATCATTTGAGCTACTGAGCCATGCGAGTCGAAACAAAAACGTGCATAGAAAACCTATAAAAATATCTTTGATATTCCTCGCATTGAGTGAGTGATTGGAAACGCGTCTAACCATTGCGTTTATCGTTTATAGTCGCATTAAATCTCCTATTTTTCCCCGAGAAACTTTTTTTATGATTGAAACGAAAATTGGTTGTAGATATGTTCAAATAAAGCTTGCGGTACGGTACGTTTCCTATCGACTATCAATGGGATAATACGAGGATATTCCTTTTACGAGAATGGATTTTTATGCACTTTTATGATTTTTAAATACGAAGCATTTAATTTTAAGGCTTGATAAAGCAGCTCAAAAGATTTTTCGTCTCTCTCATTCATTCCAATCAATTTCCGAAATTAAAAAGAAACTTTACGACTCAAACATTCGATGCATCATCATTGCAAAAGGAAGAGCAAAATTTGAAATTCGGTGGGCGATTTGAGTTTCTGTTTTTTATGAAAACAAAATTTTGTTTTAACGATTGCAAAATATATTTTAGATTCGCACATGATTCTAACGAAATCATCAATAAAACACATTCAACACAGCACCTTTCTATTGTCACATACTTTCTGACCATAAAGCAATCTCACATTGGTTGACGAATGAGTGAAATGTTTTTTTGAGGGGTTATTGGCACCATGCGGAAGACTGACAACAGATTGAAAGCAAGAGAAATTTCTTTCACAAACTGAATCACATTAAACTACATTTGAAAGGGGCAAATAATTTATGTACTTCAATACAGTCGCTTGAAAATTTGTTTTGATAATAAAAACTTGAAAATTAAATTAGTTTGATCAACACTCAACCATTGTTTGTCGGTGCTTGGAAAATGCGCCGTCTGGGACCGATGATGGTCATTTTTCAGACGAATATGAAAGACGAAAGAGATTGTATACAACATTTTAATTATCCTTTTGTTGTTGATGTTGTTTAGTATTAAATGGCGATGTGAGAGAGACTTTAATTTGAATACACATGACGCGCGGCGACGACGGTAGATATTTAAAGGGATGGCAAATGAGTTTTCTTCATCATGTAGTTTTCATCTCTAACAACGGTCGTGTCCGATATGGCATTTAATTGCAAACTGCAACAAATTTAATGATTATGACTTTTGGTTCTTCTTCTTCTTCCTTTTCTTTACTTGTCGTAGTTGTTGTCATTAACGTTATTACTAATTTTGACTCCTTGTTGTTGTTTGTAAACATCCTCCGAATGTCGATCGTAAATTGTCCATTTTTATTGCACAATCCTTGAAAGCAAGTCCCGTTCTAATCTCATATTTTTCATCTTCGAACCCACGACAGCTCATTTTTATCGCCTTGTCGGAAATGTCAGAACACTGGTTGCTGATGCCGCTGTTGCATGGTGCTTTAATTAGAATTAATAGCAAAGTTTTCGTAGTCACAACGAAACATAAAATTCAAGGGTCGACAGTTGATGAAAGAAAATTAAAATCAGCAATTAAAAATTTAATACTTTTTAATGCCTTGAAAGTCACACAAATTTCTGCCTTTCCAATTAATCTTCGTCTCTTTTAGGTTGTGTTTAGTCGATGATATTTTTTTTTCCATTAAAATGCAAATCTCTTGTTTTGAAAGTGGTTTTGAATGCTGATATCTATATCGTTTGAACATAAAAATGTCTCATCAATAGACGCGGATTTTTATGCGCGTCCATTTTGCCTTTTTGCGATTAAGTCATCTATGAAAATCCCATTCATAAAAAGTTAAATCACCACTATGGCTTTTGATGGATTCTCTCGTGTACACTCTTTAGATGAGATGCGAGTTTATGACGCTCCTTGCTCTATCTCGATGTCTGCTCGTAAAATCTTTCAAATGTTAAATCATACTCGATACGATAGATATTAAAAATAGCAGTTTTTATTTGATGGAAAACGACTCATGATCGTAAAAGACATCACCCGCTATGTACATACATAGATTCATCCTTATGCAAACTTAAAAAAACCCCGTCACGGTTATGTCTTTGTTGTGCTCTGTGTTTATTCGCATCAACATTTTGAATTTAACTTTTTTTTTATCGAAAATAATGTGTTTTGTGATCCAGCCATATTTTATCATCTCGTGTATGTAATAAAAAGAGAAAAATATCTTACAGACAGTGGTGGACAACTTTAAATGAAGGAATACGAGAATTCAAATGATGACAACTCTTCTTAGTTTTTGATCGTATTTTAAAGGCTTCCAACCCACGTTCTGGCGCATAAAAAGCATTGAAAGTGACTGTTTGTTCTCTTTTTACGACATAGAAGAGAAGACGAAAAAAACATTGCGAAATCTGCTATCAGACACAAATTAACGACCAGGAAGAATGTCGATCATGAAGAAAAAAAGAAAAATTGAAATAAAAAACTTCATTTGAGCGACATGTGATATGCATTTCCATCTTTTGTTCACTGGTAAACATTTTTTAAAAGAAAAAGCAATTCTTTTGACCAACTGACAAGTGGTGTCGATGTTGAAGCTTTGAAATGATTAATGAACCAGTTGAATGTTAAAGCTGCTACGTCGCTGACGTTTTCTCATAATATATCAAAAAAGCTGAAAGCAAAAACCTCGACAACGGGATATGTTGAGGCGACGTATGGTGAAAAAGGAAAAAAATCCTTTTGACATCACAGAGAATGGAAAATAAGCTGATGGTTTATTTAAATAAAAAGAATATCTCAGAAGTCGAGGACCTGGAAAAGACTAGGAAAGTAAAAATAAATACACAAAGTAACAAGTAAACGAACATCAATCGTTGACATGATAAAGAAATTTGATGATTTGCTTCTTTCGCTCACCGAATCGGAAGAATTGAAAAGAAATTGAAATGAAATTGCGTTTAATATTAACGTCAATAAATAATGGAATAGGAGACAAAACTGCACGCTGTTTACGGCTACATTATGGATTAACTCAATCATATTTGAATGATCATACATGAATAATATAAATTGGAATTGAACTCTCTCTCTCGCATTCCTTCATGCTTTATCGCATCACAAAACATAAAATTTCGCGACGAAAGACAAACGACGTTAAACTCCACAAAAATTGAAATTGTTTGTTTAGTTTCCGCTGTCAAGAGCATTTGTCAATTTCCTTTTTTTTATTTCGCATTTACTTTGAGCGGCTCAATTCAATATCTGATAATAAATAAAATTACATGTGAACATAACTCTCAAGATATTCAAAAATCTGTTTCATCGAAATCCCCTCAAACTGCATAATAAATTATGTATGACATCGAATCGTGGGGTTGCGAAAATAAACTTTTCGGCGAGAAAAAATTATTCAAAATTGCGGAATAATTTTGTAAAACCGCGTAAGTCTCTCGTTTCGATATTAAAAAACGACTTCTGTTCGTCGACAAGGGTTGTACAACAACCGCGGAAACATATGTTTCACGAAACAAATTCTTTTTCTATAAAATCTCATATGAAAGGGTTGATGATGGGAAAACAAAAAAGCAATCGAAATGTTTTCTATTTTCCTCAGAAAATTACCATCCGATATGTCATTGCTCAAGTTGAGCTTCATTTAAATTTATCAATCATTTCTGAAGCAATTCTCTCCACAAACATTTTACGTTTTTATTTAATGTTATTGTTGAAACTTTCGAAACTTGTTTTCTGTGCTGTGGTTTGAATGGGAGCTGCTTGAGCCGAGAGAGAATGTTGAAAATCAAAGACACACTTACATAGCTTAGTCTGCTTAATGATGTTGTGAACGCAGGTCGTGAGAAATAAACCGAAAAAATTAAAAAAATAATTGTACGATACAAATACTTAAAAACTTCTGCGTGTTAATTTAACAATTGTTAAACTAAAATGTCGATTGACTCTGCTTGGATCTTTCGTGTTTGTCTGGTTATGGCAGTAACTTTGATATTGTTTGCTGATTTTCTCGGTTATGGTGGTGCAAATGCAAGGAAAAGTGACAATAGCGAAGACTACGAAGATTATACCGCTGAAGATCACCAACCAATAACAAAGAATGTTAAAGGTAAGCAGCTGTAATGTTCACCTTAAAATTAATCTCATAAACTGTTTTATATCCGTGTTTGCAAAAATTTTCCGCTACAAATCACATCTCATTGCTATTAAATCTCCACAAACTTCTATCTTTGTAGACAAGTCAAATGGACAATCTTTGAAAAAGAACAGCAAGAAAAATCATTTTCCAAAGTCGTCTGATGACTTGACAACAGACGATGAACGAATTGATTTTAAATTCATCAAAAAAGCTTTCACAGAAAAGCAGAAGGTTGATGAAAAGAAGAACATGGAAGTTGTTAATCAAAAGATAAGCGATTCCCTTAGGGAACTTTGTTTACCAAAGCTGCTTTGTGAGATTGCAGCTAAACCAACATATCTTCTTAGTGATAAAGAGAAACATGTACTTTCGTTATTAAAGTAAGTAATCGAGCGTAAAAAACTTTACAAACTTCATCGATTTCTTTTCTTAATATTAAAAAAAGAAACAACCGAAATTGCGTAACTATTTTGTTATTAAAAAATAAGAGAGTGAATAGTCGTTGTCCAAAGCAGAGAGTGAAAGAAACATCTGAGCGCGAGTCACTTTCACTTTTCTGTTTTAAATTATACTCTTAAAGTAATAATTTAAATAGAAAACAAGACATGCAGGTTGTAATGAAATTAAAAATAATTCATTCCATTACAGGTCGACTTCATTATCAATAGTTGCCGATAGCCCTTCGGTTTATCATTTCAGCTCGCATATGGGGCAATTAATGCGACATTCAGCAGACTCTTTAGGCGGTTCCATTCAAGGGTGTGCTATGCTTTGGCCTCATTGCCCTTACAGTAGCGATAAATTGATGCGCATATCAACAAAAGTTAGACTGCGATGATCTTGTTTTTGTTATTTTTGTATGCCTTAAGTTATTTCTAGTCAGACCCATAAAATCTCGTTTTTGTTTTGTATTTAGATATATAAATAAATAAAATTGATAAAAAGAATACAAACCATAGATTTGTAGTCGCTCAAGTTGTTGTTTTTTTTCCTTTCCTTCCTTCTGCTTATTGTTCAAGCAGCCTCGAAGCAAACACAAACAAGACACAATCCAGTGATATTCATTCCCACAAGCACTAACCAAACTTCTAAAGTTAATTTCAAGTTCATGGATTAATAGAAAACGTTTTGTTACAAACATATCTTCAGTTTCGCACACATACACACACAACAAATAACAATATGAAAGCTCGTCATCCATCAATTTCATTTGTAAGGTTTTGCGAGCTATTAATTGAACGACTGAAAGCTTTTTTTCCATTGTTGACGGTGAATTTATTAATTTTTCATACTCTCACGCCTATGTTTATGCAATGAGTTGTTGCATATTTGTAAATGAAAGTCCAAGCAGAAAAAAAACAGCAGCAAAACTGAATTTTTCAAATGCAATATTTTCAATGTTCTCGTAGTGCATTTTCCTCCCCCGAAAACAATTTTTTTTTCTGATGCATCGGAACATGTTCGTTGGAATTTTAATTAAATTTTTTGATATCGATGATATTTTATCCTCGCCCTGAGAGTTTATTATTCATGCTGCGAATTGAAAAAGAATTCTGATTTACATCGAGAAGGCTTCACTGCGTTTGTTTCAACGGATCTAGTTGCGAAAAAGGAGAAAAAAAGTTTGCTGAAACTGACGGTCGACTTGATAATTTTAAAGCAAATGAAAAGCTAGGAAATCAAAAATTAATGTCATATTATGCTAGACATGAACGCCAGAGTGATTTTGAGAACCAAAACTGATATAGTTCGTGGTTGTAAACAATTAAACTTTTACGAATTGTTTAATTAAGAATTGCGCAACTTCATTTATGGTTTGTCAACAAAAGAAAGAAAATTTGTGTTCGTTGAAGTGCGGTACATGCACGAGCAACATGCTTTTAGTGAATTTCATCAGACTCATCGCGAAAAGCGAATATAAAATCGCTTTTTTCTTTCTTTGGTTTTGGAAGTGCAATGGACGACGATGAATTGCTCACGTAGTCATTCGCTACTCTCTGTTGCTTACTTAATTACCACTTGAGAAGAAAGAGGAAAGAAAAGTTCGTTCAAACGATCATCAACAGCTGAATGTTAAAACTTTCAGCTGAATAGATGATCAAACATAATAAAAATTAAACGGCTTCACTTTTCTCTTTAATTTCACGTTTGTTGATCGAAGTTATTTCACAATAGCTCAACTACTTATCATATAATCGTAATGACACTTTATGGCCGTTTAAGTCAGCCATTGTCAAACAAATCACGGCTAGCATTTTGTACTTGTTGTTACATGAAATGCGTGCGGAGAGTTTAAAGGCGTTTGTACTCCATGATCTCTGATTTTCAATTAACGATACACAATGATCCAAATATTGTCTTCATAATTATGCTTTAATGACTTAAACTCTGTTACATGATTTTTCTCTCTCCTTCACTTTAAAAATACGTTTTTAGGTTCATCGACAGCAAAGTAAAAAAATATAAAATCAAATAAAAAAAAAAATATTTCCGGAGTCTATTAAAAGTCACATGAATTTCATAATTACAATTAATAATATTTTATCATAAAATGATCAATTTTTATGTTGCATCAGAGACGAGTGGCGCCCCAGGAACAAATTTTGCATACACATTCATTATGCAACAAAAAATTTATGTTTTCAATTTCAATTAAATTCCAATCAATAATATCTATCTACATACTCTTTAATGTTTTAACTTTGTAGTCATGATAATACATCACTCTGTTATTAAATCTACAAAGCCAAAAAATGAATCAAATGAAATGAGAGAATCATTGAAGTATGCAATAAAATTTATGATTAATCTCAATTTGTTCCATCAAACGAACGACAAAACGGAAGATTACGTAACGTTGATTGTTGTTTGATGAAGCAAATCAAAGACGTTAAACTTTATGTTTAATTAAACGTGACACCATCGGTATGGTGCATCAATCGTGCTTGCAACAAGACCTTCGTGGCACACATTTCGCAAGCGGTTATGTAATAAATGTGTTATCGAAGTGAAAAGTATAAATAGCATTAAATAAATAAATGCCTCTACCTACTTTTACTCGATATCTTGAGCATTAACTCGCATTTTTCTTTCTGTTGAGAAAATCAAAACGAAAGAAAAATGGAGAGAAAACAACCTACATTAACATCGCGAGTCTTAAAATATGCAACTCGCACATAAATAAAAACATATGTGAATATTTTTATTATCAAACATTACTTAACACAATTTTTTTACTTCTTCTTCTTTTTCATCGTCATCTTATTCACTAACGAATCGAACATAAACATCTTCAAAGATTAACATCAATGATAGCAATTTTTGCATCATCATAAAGAAGAAAAAGTTTTTATTAAGAAGCTGATCTAATCTGAGAAAGGAAATAATGCAACACGAGTTGTTTTATATGCTAATTTTCTGTTGTTTTTGTTATTTTTCATAGCGATAACATTTTAAGCCTACGGCATGAGCCAGTCCTTTAAAGACAAAGAAGCTTTTGTTTTAGATCAACAAAGGTTTGGCGGTTTGATTTTGAAATCGGAAAGCATACATGAAAGCGATTATCAATGAAGTTATTTCCCAATCTCATACTTTGAGAGGCAGCAGTGAAGATTCATTTATCAAGATTTTCATCTGAATTATGATCTCGTAAATGCTATGTTTACATATGAAACCAATTTCTCTGCATGTCATGCCAAATCTCATTCCTAGAAGACCAGTTTACTGACGAATAAAGATATTGAATATTTTTTATTATTTTGCTGCTTTTACTTTCACTCGAGCGGTGTTAGCATTAATCTGTTTCTACTCTCTCGGACGTTATTAGGAATTTTTAATGCTTACGGGAGTCTTTGTGCTACTGATTGTCGATTCCGTTGGCGTGTTGTTGTTGACGTTACAAATAAAATACCAGAAGAGAAGGAGAAGACAGAATCGACGGCGGGGAAAACTGTGCCAAACGAAAACGAAATCAAAACCAAACTCGCGAAGTGAAGCGAAAAACTCAAATCGTCGTCACAGCTTCGTTCTCTCTGGCTAACAGGTATTTCATAATATCCACCAAACAACAACATAGTGGCAATTTTGGTGAAGTGTGGCGGGTAGAAAATAATAAGAAACATAGTCGAGCATTTCAACAACACACAAGCAAAGCTTAACTTCGACAAAAAGCCCAATGTGATTGTTGTACGTGAATGCTTTTTTTTCTTCTTTAATGCTTTTGGTTAATCGAAAAGTTGTATTAAGTTACTTACTTAATCTCACAGTGAAAAGACGTCTTAGTTCAGCTGCAACCACACAATCGCCGAAATTATTTATCGATCAAGTAAAGTACCAAGCCAAGTAAAGTCTCACGACAATTTATGTTGGTGCTGGTCTGTATCATTGTGCTAGTTTCTCTCTTTTTTTCTTTGCATACTTGCTGGGCCATGCCGAGCCTTCTGAGCTGAATAAACTTTAAGAGATTTTTCATTCAAATTTGATTAGTCGCCAGGTAAAGACGTGAATAACTTTAAGTGCTATAAGTAAACCTTCCACGAAACATCGATAACCAAATATTTGATTTGAATACCTTAAACAAGTGTTACTAGGTCGAGTTGTGGTCGCCAGGAATATCGATGAGCTAACAGTAAATACCAAAGGAAAGAAGAGAAAAATAAATAGTGAAGTGTGATAATCAATTTATTTAAATCTGAAATCGAAAGTGTTGTGAAGGTCGTAAGAAATAAAGAAAGGAAAAAAAGAATTTAAAGTGAAACATAAAAAGAAGAAGAAAAAATGAAATTTAAAAGCTTCATTCTGCCGTGCTGCTTCTTGAACTACATTCTTATCATATTTTTAATTGGAATCGTCGATGGACCGTCAAAGGCTGTTGCGCACCTTCAGCCTTCGTTTGAGCTGCCAGTTCAATTAATTGGATTTCCTGTGATAGTTCTGTCAGTTAGATTCGCAAACTTTGTTAAAAAACTTGCGTATTCAATTAATCCACGTAAGTTCAAGTAGATTTTGTGGTGTAAACATGATGATATCAGCCCCGAATATTAATTATAATCATGAGAGTTTTGCAACGCTTTAAATATTATTCAATTGCCATAACCAAATTTACCGTAATTTGCGGGCATTTCTTTTGAAATTTATTTTCGTTTTTTGCCAATAACTGGATTTGAATGTAAAGTTTCATTCGTGATAACTATTCAGACAGAATAAACACATTAGTGAAAGGGAATTTGCGTTTAAATTGCCTGATTAATGTCATAAAAAGTATCAGCAAATAGCAAAAAAAAATCGAAAACATTTTCGGCTAAACAAAGATACAGTTGAACACGACAAAAATAACTCGATTCGTTGTGAATAATTAACTGTGAAGCTTTGAAATGAATCGAAATTTTTAGCATGTCCGAGTCAAGTCATATGATGTTGATGTGTGTTTAGATATCTTTCCGAATTGATGGTCACATCTAATTATGTAATCGATTATAAGACTACGAGACTCTCAACTCGACACGCCAGATTACATTCGAATGAGTTTTAATGAGTTGCCTCCTTCCACGCTTGGACGTTCTGAAATGACAGGAATTTATATTTTGCACACAGTGATATGCTCAATAATTAATGTAATAGTAATTTGTAATTTTCGAAATTGTTGGTGCATAAACATCCTTTGAAAATTTATGTTTGGTCTGTTGAAGATGGAAAATTATTTCACGACATTTCTCTTCAACATTTCAAAAACTTTTATTTGGTTAAAATTTTTGTGTTTACTTTAAAAAGTTTTGAACTTTCGACATGTCTACGTTTACCAACATAGATTATTTACTTAGGATCATGTTTCAGGTTTTATGCTGTGATTTTTTTAATGATTAATGGTGAACTTTACTTGTTTAGCTATTGCCTAATAGTTTATAGCATTTAAAAGAGAAAAATGAGAAAAGCACGCTTAGTTGATTTCGCGCCAGATTAAAAAACAATTTTTCATGTTTTGTCGGAAAAGTATCCAAATTTTGATAGGCTCCAACTATGAGTTATTCAATCATCTGAAAATTTATGAGAGATTTTTTTTTACAGTATCAACGAGTGAGTGTTAAACTCAATCGATAAATCACCGCATTTTTAGACCAGTAAAAGCGGAAAACAATTTTTCCAATTGTAAAATCACGTCATTCATTACAAATTTGAATTCAATTTTTTCCTCTCGCCAATCGAATAATTAACGAATTAAAAGCGCATTAAAAGATGAATGAAAAATATCTTAAAAGTCAATAACTTTTCAATCAAAGTTTTCCTTATTTCTAAGCTATTAAATTGTATTATGCAATAGACCGGGGAAGATGTAATGGCCAGTGAATTATTGACATAACGACAAGGTAATATTTGATTGCTAATTATCATCGTGACGGTGTCAAATAATCAAGTTTCAAGCATTAAGTCTTACAAGGTTAATCCTAATTAATTTTTCCTTCATTTTGTGTCCAAGAAAAATCTATTTTAAGTCGAATCAGGTTTCTTCTACCCTCCCGAAAAAAACTCGTTTGATTATCGACTTCACGATTTAATATTCTAAATACCGACAATCCAACCACTTGACCTATTTCCAATATGCAAGTTAATTAAATTTTATAACAAACTCTGAATTTGAATCGAATTTATTCAGCAAAATATCTAGCCTCGTAATTTGAAATATGACCAATTAATGCTCGATGTTGCTGTTTAATTCCAACAATCATTTGTTACATACAATCGACGCTCGAGGTTTTTTGCGTGGTTTTCTTCGGTTGAATACGGCCCGACATTAAACATTTAAGCTGGCGAGTACGTGCGTACTTATGATGTTCAACGTTAAAGTTGATGAAACAAGTTTTTCAATGTATGATTCAATTAAATCTGCAGTATTATGAGATTTAATGCTTATGGAACTGGTTTAACTTTGCTTCTCGGTCTTTTTTACTCGGTAAATGTTACAAGTCTTGAATCTATCGTCGTCATACGGTTTTAGAAGGAAAACCTGAATGATAAAAAAGCACACATACGGAATATTTCTGCACAATATCGTAATAAATAATTCAGATAAACTTCTCATGTCTGCTAAATAATACCATGGCAGTTTCCTTGTCGCGTGTTCTCATGAACTAGTTTGATTAACGATTGAAACTTAACTTCATGTCGTGGGCTGATAACTCTCTGACAACATGATAAATTGAAATTGATAATCTTTGTCGTTTGACAGGCACTTACATGGGTAGAAGTCGTCGACAAGCAAACAATTACAATGATGGTGACATCTCCATTTCGGCAATCAACGTGGCACAAGCTGAACGTCAAATATTAGCCGAGTTTGGACCAAAAGCTTGCATTCTTGAAGAGCCTTGCAGAATTCATGCAACAAGAAAGGCAAAACGCGGTGCACAACCTGATTGGAGTGATATTTTGAGGTAGGACAAATCGCGGTTTTCCCTTTTTATAAATGTTTTCGTAAACTCATAAGCAATTAACTTCTTCGTCATCATGGCCAGACCGTCCATTAATTCTCATTAAGTCGCAATTTCTGCATCACTGCTGATGATATAACTTTTCCACTTTCGATTTCGCTTCACGTTATTTTCTTTTTGTACTGAGGTAACTTAGTGACACACTTTTTATGTTATTTTCTCTCTTCTTCCACTCTCTCACTTAATGCCGACTTGCGTCTTTAGGCTTCAACAAGCGGCTTTATGTTTTCGAAATAAAATATGTAAACAAAAAAAAGTTTCACGTAAATCCATTTGGGTTTTTTCTCCCTTTTGAAGTGTAAAGCAAATGTAACTGACCTAAGTTAAGTTTTGTGCTTTCCGCCGACGAATAAACTTTAATCTTCTTGTAATTTTAGTCATGTCTTGAGTTGCACATTCAGTTGACTTCATTGTGCAGTCTCCGCTTTTGTGAGCGGGAGGAATTTTAATTAGCATGTAAAAGTTTATTTTTTGTGATGTTTATGCTTTAAATAAAAAGACATTTTTGTTTGTAGCTTTGTAGCTTCATTCCCTAAAGAGAAAGATTTATATTTGTCGACTAGTTGCAAAGCTCGTTACTGTAAATATAAAAGCGACAGAAAGATTTAATTCAGCTGTGACAGCAGCTGTAAAGTGATTTGAAAGTTTTATTTTAAAAGCAAAAATTTTACGAGTTAATAGATTAAATTAAATTACCAAACCGACCGTATAAGGACTTAAGTCACAGCTACACAGCTTATACAAACACTTGCTTTGAAATGTTTAAAGTTCATAAACTATTCGAGTTTACGATGAATTTGCTGCTCAATTTAAATACATTTCCAACACCATTCCAATGTTTCTTTCTATTTTGAATCTCTAATACATTTATTTTTGTCCTTTCAGTCATTACAAAGTGCAATCAAATGGAATGAAACAATGGTACTTGCTGTCAGTTTTCATCGGTGATGAGATTCGAGATCCAGCATTGTGCAAACAACTTTCAAAGCGAATGGCATGTAATCGAAACATCAAAGTTCCAATTAGAGACTAGAGAGCGAAGCACTCTTTTCATCATTTTTAATTTATTTATTTGTCGACATTTTTATAACGAAGCGACATCTTTTTGACATTGAATCAACGCGCTGAACTTAATTGAGTGTGATTGAAGGTTGTTTGACTGTTTAGGAAGTGGAAGGAAAGAATTTGTTTCGTCTTTGGAATTCAAATGGGGTACAAAAATATTTGCAAACACAAATGCAGATCAACTTTCTTTCTCACTTAATTAAGTTGTTAGTAATAAAAGCCCAACAAATTATTTTTCGAATAAGGAAACTAGTCAAACGCGAATGATTTCTTAGAATGGGAGAAGCAGTTAACAGCGGAACGATCAGTTTTATGCTCACGATTCGGAAAACGAGACTATCTCAATTTTTCACAGCTTAAAAGAACTTCGTTTGACTTACATACTGAAATTAATTTTTTGATAATATTTTCCGGCATTTTAGTTTTCGACATTTGTTTGTATGAGAGAAGTCAAAATTTTTCTATGAAAAATATAAAAGAAATTGCACTTTTAAATGACTCGATGATAGATTAAGGAGATTTAATGTTGTTACTTTATATTCTAAGATTAATTCCATAGAATTTAATAAAAAATGAAGATTAAATTTAAAATAATAAAATCAATTTATGTATCGTGCAAATATCAAGTTCATTTCGACAATTCCCCGACATAATTATTGATTGCGGAAACTTAACGTGCTGATAATCTTGAGCGAACACCAAGGCGAACGTCGTCACAGCGATAGCTTAACATCATGAGGAAACACTTTGTCTGCACAAAGTCAGAAGCCTCGTCGTCAATCATTGCATAAAAAAGAGAAGCAAAAACAACATCCATGCATAACATTAACATATCAATGTTAAAAAAAACAGCAAATGCAAACACTGTCAGTCAAACTAATGATGTCATTCACTTTTCTACTCGCGGATCAAAGAAACGATGAGAGAAAGAAAAATAGTTGTAACTTTATAACTAAACTTTCTCTCTGACTCCCCCGCATATCTTGTTAGCGAAAACTTTTTCACTTTTTTTTTCTTTTTTGTTGCATTTTGAATCGCAATGGTAAGATGATAAAGTTTGTTATGACTTCAGAGATTTTAAATTTAAGAATCATTACTTCATATTTTTGATCTCGTAATATCTGCTGTTGCAATTCTGTTATGCAATTTACTCACCTTGAAAACAAGAGCTTCGAGAGAATATAAATTGTTGAGATTGCACAACATGCTTGGTTGGCTAAGCTAATCGTCCTGACTCACATGGTAATTCCAAATGTTTTTTACGCTTAACGCCCAGTCGCAAAACTTCAGGTTGTTGAGGGGAAGTAAACTGAGTTGACAATTCATTGAATGCTTTTGCATTTGGTTCATTTTTACATTTTGCCTACCAGCCCCTTGTCAAAAGCAAGACTTTCTCTGTTGTTGCGACTACCATTTACGACTGAACGTAAACAACAGCGAAACGAAAACCGCGAATTCAGAGAGACAATTTTTTAGGTTTTTCAGCTTTCTTTGCAGTACTTTACTGTTCATTGAGAGTGAAACATCAACAGCTGCTAGGCAAAAGAAGAAAAGTTATGGAAATTTATTTATCCTTGTTAGTTCAACTCTGTCTAAGTTATTTCGTTTGCGGGTTAAAATTCGAGGATGGTGCTGAGAATCTAGGGCACACGAAGTAAGCTCAAAGAATTCATTTTCCATCACATTAAGCTTTTGATTCGCTTAACTTAATTTTGAAACTTTTTCTTTCTCTTTCTTGTAACTCGTCGTTGTACTTTCGAAAAAAAATAAAATAAAAAGGCAAAGTGAAAGATTTTTCCCGTCAAGTGATGAACCAGATAAAAGATATTCGGAGATATCCGGTATTAAGTACATCGATCCGCATCCACAAAATCCTTACGAAGATTCTTCGATTGACAATCGGAAGCAATTGAACTTTAATGGAAATCAATCGCCCCAAGCAGTGCAGCAATATTATCAGCAGAATTCTTATCGGCCAACAAGTTCATCAGCGAATGTTAATGTCATTCGAAAGCGTCCTTATCAACATGCCAGCTCACCGTCAAATTATTACCCCTCATATCAAATGGATTTAAGTAATCCATTCTACCATAATTACGCCAATCATTATCAATATCCCTCGGGGACATATCCTGAATACATTAATCCCACGCGATATCCTTCACCAACCAGTGCGAATTTAAACGGACAACAGCATCAGTTATTACATCAACCGTCACTTCACTATCCAAATTATTACACAAATAATTATGCAAATCAATATGGATATCAACGACCGCCGTCATTTTATGGAAACGGTGTCGGTGGAGGTGGAGTATCGAATTTTTTGAATAATTTTCGCGAGCCAAATGGCCCATTCGGTCAAATATCTCAAGTTGGTGGACAATTTTCAAAAGCTCTTGAAGATATCTCAGCCAATGATGATTTACAATGTGTACCGAAGATTCTCTGTCAAATGGTGCGAAGTCAACGTCGTCCGCATTCATTGCCATCATTTATGAACATCCCTGGCCTTTCGGCGTAAGCTATTCACAATGAATATTTATTGATCATAAATTATGAGTTTAATTAAATTTTAGGATTATATCGGCGCTTCCATCATCGTCGCCTCTTATGAATTTCGGTCGTGCAGCTTTATTAGGTTTGAGTGCGGGTGGAGAATGTGATGCTGCTTATCCTCGATGTCCAAGAGATGAAGAACAAATGCTTTATTATTTGAACAATCATCGAGGCGGATTCTTTAGATTCTTCAATGGTGGACACAGTTTCGGTGACGACAGTTTAGTTCAACAGCAATTGCAGCAGCACCTAAACCAACAGCAGTTTGGTGGAGATTCAAGTAGCAATCAAGGTTTAAACCTGTTGGCTTTGCAAGCTTTAGCAGAGTCTCTCAACCAAGGAAGTGGGATTAACTTGAATAATCTTTTTTCGAGTCCTTCAAATCAGCGCCCAGCAGTGCAATCTCATCCGGGATTACAGGCGGATCAAAGCGGAGGATTAGGTGGCTTGTTGGGGATGTTTAAACCGAATATGTTGTCTGATGTCGTTTCCAACCTGCTTACTGGAGTTATAGGTAATCGCTTCTCCAGACGACTTAGTAAAAGAAGCATTTCTGATGATGATTATGATGATAATAAGACAAACGAAGATCGACATAAAATTGAAAAGCGAATTGTAAATTTAAAGCCAAGTGAAGTTCTTTTAGAGCAGAAATTCTTTGAAGACTCTTCAACCAACGAACAACAAACTACTCTTTATGATATAGAAGAGCCATTCACATTCTCTAATGGAAAGCGAATCAATATTCCTCAGACAATTTTGGATTTGAAGTTTCCCAAAGAAAATGTCCATGGACAGGAAATTCCACTTTCGGAAATCAATCAAGGAAATTTCATTTCACCATCTGATGTTGCGCGACGCTTGAAAATGTTATTCCCTCAAGCCGATGGGCACTTAAGATTCGATAATGACCAATTCAATCGAGAGTTATTGAAAGCATTAGTGAATGACAGAATAGCTAAAATATTGACAGGTGTCCAACAACAGCGACCAATAAATAACAACAATTATGCTGCCAATCGATATCAGGGCTATCATCAAAGTTCTAGCAATATTAACTCAAATCGCTATCCAGCACAATCACAGAACTATTATGCTGGTGCTGGATCATCAAATTACAATAATTTCAACAACAATCACATTAGCAAAGGACAAAGCAGCAGTGATCGACGTCATATTGTTTACATTACGAATTCACGGGGACAAATTGAGTATACGCTCAATGAGCTTACCGGTGAAAAGAAACGAGTCTAGTAATTTAATATCATTGATTAACCCAAGAGATTTTAATTCATAATAAATTATTTTTTTAATTTTAATATCGCTTAAATATTTTAATAAATTTCAATTGCCCCTTGAAAGTATGCAAGGTGAGCAGCTTGAAATTTACACGACGACGTCACAATTATTGTCGTGAATATCTTTGCAATGAATGCAACAAATATTGAACATGATTTAAAGAAACCTCACTTAAGCAGTCATCCGATTTGACGATTTCATTAAAAAAGGTTTACAAGCTAATTCCAATGAAATCTGATACATTTTATTTCTTTCTCTCTGTTCGCGAATTGCACGTGACTTGTAAACATTGATCCGCTTGTCAAACATTTATTTCTCTTCTTTTTTTTGCGAGACACGGTGCATGTCGTCGCGTTTCTTTAATATGCAAATAATCGGAAAATTGTAAAATGAGCAGTTTAACAATGGAATATTGGGATTTTAATCCGCATATAGAATATCAATGGATCGGAAAGGTGAACTTGAATCAAATTGATCTAAATGAGCATATTTCCCACAATGCTATGTAATGCTCGAATATTATTATCCTTTTTTAATAGAATTGAGAGTCTCTTTTTAATGAACAACAATTTGGAAGAATTGAACTGCTGCTACATACATGCGTATAGTTTTTAAACCAATTTAAAAACATGGTTTTTAATTCCCCTATTTCAGTTTTTGTTAACATCAAAATCATATCATCATCAATCTGTATTGCACATCATTTGATGTGGCATCGTCATGCGATTGTGGCTTGAAAAATGTTTGAAAATCTATTTAAATATACATTCGAGATGAAGCAGTGGCATAATAAAATTAATTTATATCCTTTATTTGTCTAAAAAATTTATTTTCATGATATGATAATAGCACCATTTCATTATGAAACATGATTATTCAATTATACAATAAAAACAATAACCATACATCAGGGTATTGGGTGGGAGATGAACTAGACATAATCGACACAACATTGTTGTGTTAAATAACGTCCTGGACCCTTAATAAAAACACTTTCGGGAAGTAGCATAATGATGTTAAACGAAGCTACATAAAACAGGTGTTTCTAATTCTTTAACATAATAAACAGCAATTAAAATAATAAAAAAGCGTTTGAGTTCTCCACTTTCCTTTCCATAATGCTTAACAGCGTTAATGTTTTAGAATTATAAATCCCTATTGATGTTTTATGAGTGAAAGACTTCAGTTATGCTTCTTCGCTTAACCTTCCCCTTTAGACATCGTACATCGAAAATTTATCTAATTTATAATACAATAAAATAATAAGAAATTTCCTTTTCATCCTTTTTTATTCATTTCTGTGATAAATATTTTTCTTTCTCTGCTTTCAAATGATAGAATTTAGTAATGCGTTGTTGTATGCTATAAATTATTAAAAAAATAATAACAATCTCAGAATGAAATCTTGTTTCAATGATGAAAATTTTCGCACAAATAAATAACTGATGAAATATGGCAAAAATAGAATAGAAGAATGGTAAGCGTGGGTGGGATATACAAGACAACAATAATTCTTTATCCTTCGAAAGTAAAACTATTGTGATGAAATAATTTTTCTATAACTATTTGCAATAGATGTCCTGAGTATTTAATGACAAGCATTGTTGTTCGTTAATCAACATTGTCCGAGACGACTCTCGGAATTTAATAAATTCGGATCGGATGACGAGCTTATATTTGTCGTACAGCAAATATGAGAAAGATTTCGTCATTAGATGATGAATAACAGTACACAACATTGATGCCCACAATATATCAGCATCACATATCTATTGTTTGTAAATGCAATTTCTATCTTACTCAATGCATATCAAACACACGATATCTAATCTAATAACTTTAGAAACGATTGTCAGTATTCCCATCAGAAAATCTCCTTTCGATTATCTTCTATTTTAATTAAATTTTGCAGATGCGAAAATATATTGAATTGATTTTGTAATCGTTGTCATTTACACTGCGCAATCGAACACTGCAAGAAATTTAGTCCAACTCACGCAAGGAATGCTTTAATTAGCAAATTCCTTCTCCATTCTTCCCTCTTAACTTCGAATCTTTATGAAGTTTCAATTCCATTTCGCTACAATTTCAATTTCATTATTGAAATAATTAACACAACGTTCATAATTGTCATCACCTGGGAAGTTGTATCAAAAGAAACTCATTAATGACTTTGTGCACGTATCGAGTTAACAAACAAAGAACCTTGAAGCTTCGGACATTTGACGTGGCGAATTTAAATGTATCGGATACAACTAATATGTGCAAACTGTATGTTATCGATGCAGACAATCATGAAACACTTCTCAACTGAATGAATAACACAAAAAGAAGTGAAACAATTGCAACAAAGTCTTAGAAATTGTTAATTGTGACTCAATCGTTGAATCATTCCACAAGAAACTTACTGAAAAAGGGAAATATGTTGAAAGCTGAAACAAAAACGAAATAATTCTCCTTTGCCCTCTGAAAGAGTAAAAAGCCATGTTAAACATTTTCATTTAACACTTACTAGTAAAAAGTTTTATTGCAAAAAATTTTATTGAACAATTTTCTGTCTTCATTAAAAAGTTTCTCTTTCATCTCACTTCTCCTTTGCTCACAAAGGCGTTATTATAAAATGAAAGAAGCATTTTCACAAATGTTTAAAAAGTTTAATCTTACACTTAATTATTAACTCGCTGGTTCCTTCACTCCATAAGTTCATTTTTTTTGTCTTACTTATTTCAACTCGAAGCTCCTTTAAGAAGCTCAAATATCTTGAGAATCGTCTCGAGAGAAAAAAAAACTTTTTTCAAGCGTCGAGAAGGAAACGAAACAAGTTAAGAGCATGAATGAAATTATAAAAAACAACGAAAACCATTCAAATCAAATAAAGAAAATATTTTTATTAAAAATTTTTATGAAACTTTTTTTAAAATCCTTTTTTTGTTCAACATACATATAATATGCAACTTAAGAAAATATACTTAATAAGATAATGTTTCGAAAAGAGACTTTCAATATTAAAGAACATAAACAAGTGAATTTTTACAACATTTTCTCATCTCAAAATTTAATTATGAAAAGATCATAAAAGCGAAAAGATCAGAGAAAGGTTTTTTGTTTTTTGTTCTTTTAAGTGTGTTCGTCTTTATGGTATTTTGGTCCACCCACACCTCAAAAAGCATTCACATTGTTAGAAATTATGCTTTGTCTGGAATGTATGCAAAGTATGCTACATTTATGTTGGCTACAATTCTTTTGGTTAATTTAGAAATATTTGAAGTGGTCAACTGGAGTGTTGTGCAAAGTAAAATATTTCTTATTATTCATGTAACTTCAAACAATGTAAGTTACAAATAAAATTTCATAAATTGTATGATAATTGAGATCAAAAACACATTTTATTCACCATCACAGTCCTTCTTGCTTTGAAGGGCATTAAAGACTAGTTTTAACCCTAATTGGACATTTACAAAAATTCTACCAATTTTATATATTTAATATGTGAAAATTATGAACTTATCTTATCGTCTATCAAAAATAATAAAAAAAATTGCTTAAAAATATCTACTTAGATATATAAATGTTAAGATTTCTTAAGTGATTTAGAACATTTAGAAAACTATTTATGAATATAGAAAGGGAAATAAAATCGTTTAAGTATTTCAAACTGGGGCCCCAGATAATATATTTGTCAATCTACCTAAAGTAGTTAATGTTGTGTAAAGAGATGCTCCAAGAATCAGCCAAGTTTTGAATCTCTAAAAGATCCAAGCAGCAAATATTTAGAACGAAAAATTTATGTCTATTAGATATAGTAAAACTATTAAGTTTGTTTCGTTTGTGTGTATGTATAGTTAAATAGATATTAAAGCACATTTAGAAAGAACATCAATATGGAAAATAGTCTAAAGAATGTAAATATATATGTTGCGGTTGTTCAAAATTTATAGAATAAATTTCTACATCTTTACAAAATAGTTTTTAATTTTTCTTTTTCATTTTTCATTTAAATTGATTGCAAGTTGTACTATCTCATCAGCCCTTTATCTTGGATATTTTATTACAATTGTTTTTTTTTTATATTTTATAACTTTTAATCTTTCACCTAATTAATTTCACTTTGTACGTTTTGTCTGTGGAATAAATTTGTGTCCTTGGGTTGGTTGGTTGGTTTTTTTATGCGCATTTATTGTTTTTATTTTTTTATGTTTGAAGGAACAAAACGAAGAAAGTAAAAAAATATTAATTAATGAACTAAGGCTGTGAGTAATTCTGCTTGATTTTTTTTTTACTGTTCTCGTGACATACAGAATCATAAATTAAAGATCTTTGTAACTTATAAATTTGAAACTTTTTTCTTTTCTCTTAAATCTTTTTCAAGTGAAATTTTCTAATTATTATTTACAAATTTGAAAAGGAAATTTATTTATATTCAAAAATTTTCTTGATCACATTTTTTCACATTCTTTTTACGAACAACCTTTAAAAGCAAAACTTCCTGTGATAACGTTTTGGAAAATGATAAAAATTGTTGTTACAATTAATCATCGACTTTCAAGTACTTATTTTAAAATAGAAGATTAGCTAGTGCTTTGTACTAGACATGTCGAGTTTTGTGATCAGATTGAAAATAAAAGCAAATTAAATTCCTTCGCAATTTCTTTTCTACAAAAAAGTGTTAATAGAGATCATTTGAAAACTCTTTTTGATTTAAATTTTCATTATAAATTATGATACTACATGAATGATAAGAGTGACATGGGCTAGACGCAAAGAAAACACAAAAAAAAAACTTTTACAAACTTTAAACAAAAATAATTTAATTTAGTTAAACAAATCTCATTTTCAGCAAGTTTTTCTAGGTGGAAAATATGAGTTTTTGATAGTTTGCAAGCTCAGAAACTGAAGTTCGTTCTAAAAGATTTAATTAAAAAATATTTACAGAAGAAGAGAAAAATATGCTTTTCATTTAGTAAAAAGGTATCATCAAAAACTTCCCTTCGACTACTCTCGACACCCTCAAGTTCCACTGTAACTTTTTGCTCAAACAAGTATCATTGTTCCTTTTGCCCCTTGCTCTTCAACTCAGCTCGATATTCCTGAGTTTGCAACGTTTACCATCCGAAAAATTCTTAAATATGCTTTTCAATTCTATCAAGTGGAGGGGTGGTGGTGGCGGTCACGATAATATTGCTTCAGATTTTTCTTCTAAATTTTCCTTTTACTAATAAAAATTCCTAAACTATAAAAAGTTTTTCTCTGCACAACTTAATTGATATCGGTTTTTGTTTTACTTTTCAGAATTAAATTAAAATTGAATTCATAAAACACTTGGTTTATATTGCAATAGAGAAGTTGAGACAAAATAATGGCAATCTTTTGGTTCGGTTTATTTCATGACATTCCACTTTAATTCCTCTCCTTCTTTAAGTGTTCAGAGATCACTGGTCATGGTTACGCTAACGTTAAATTATAATAAAATAAAATAAAAATATAAATTCCCAATTAATGAGATCTATTGAAGTTAAAACTTATCTTTGGAATCAAAAATTCTTCTTTTTTTCTTCGCCACAACTTCGAAGAAGTTACGGAATTGCCAACATTTTTCTCTCCTTATTTATTCTTAAGAATTAGAATTCATTCTTCAGACGCAATAAATATTTCTTTTTCTTCTCGTCACCGCGGCGCTTCTTACGAACCATTGATGCGATAACAGACATCATTAAAATTTCTATAGACTTTCGCCGAGTGAAAGAAAGAAAAACAAGAATTGCACTCGTCAGAACGAATGGTTTGATAACTAAGATTTTTCACATAAAAAAACTTTTTTTTTCTTACAAAATATTTACAAATAATCTTTTTGAAAAAGACTTCAATCGTCAATTGTATGTAGCGATATTTCTTGATTCATAGAAAACATGAATAAAAACATTTTCTCGCTCTTATTAAATATGTTCATAGCATTTTATTTTTCTTGGAAAAAAATCATTCTTCTCTTGAATATTGATTGTTCAAGCACAATTTTACCTTCGATACGAAATGGTGCTTTATGGTATGGCGACCATTCGGAAAATGTGTGCTTGAATATTTATTGATCACATTGCGCTTAGATGAGCTTTCAAGCAACTGAAAGACTTCGGTATTAATAGTTAGAAATTATAAATTTTATAATAAAAAAAAGTGGAAATTATGTTAAGCGAATTTAATGCTGCTGTATGTTCATTTCACCATATTGAAAAAAAATCAAAAAAAGTTGAAGATGAGCGGATAAAATTTATTTTAAAGTGATTTCAAAAATCACTCTCCCTAAATTATTATCAGCGAACAAAAACGAATTTTAAGCTTCATTCAATTTTTAACTTTTTCTCTTTCTGTGAGTTTTATATCATAGAAAATCTGATTAATGTTAAATACTTTAATGCTTCTTAAATACTTTTTCATTCTTCATACAAATATGTTTATATAACTTTTCTGAATCACAAATCGCTTTTGGTTAAAATTTAATTCTTCATTTCATTATTATTTTCGAAAATGCTTAATTAAATAATTAATTAATTTTTCATCTCAATTTAAAGGATTTTGAATAGACTTAAGTTGGAAAATGTTTCCGTTCAATGTTACGAGTCGTTTATTAATATTTTATAATTTTATTTTGAAAAGTTATCTCACTACAAAAATATTTACTACGAATTGTGTTCTTTATCTTGCTTCACTGACAGAAGTTTTATCGTCTAAATATTATATGTATGTCTCATCAAAAAACATTACTTAGTGCGTCTTATAATTTCTTCAAGTCCTTGACTTTTTCTTTATCATTTCAATAGCGAGATTATCAAATTTTTGTATTATAAAAATTTACACCGCGAATAAAAGTTTCCGAAAAATATTTATGGCAGTGAATGAAGTTATTCACGGCTAAAATTTCTTTGTCCTTAACGACTACAAATATTGTTTTCAAGTTTTTTTTTCTTTATCAAATGCTTCATTGCGTTTAATTTAAGATAAGTTTCCATTTAAACATACAAGAAAATAAAGTTTAATTCACCGAGTTGCAAGCAATCCGCAACCAACGGCAAGCACACCTAAAGCAAAGAGTGGCCAGGCAAACTTTGGTTCCTGTTGAATAGAAAAGACAAAAAAAATAGAAACATTAATAAATTATTTATTTATCAACTTCGAGTCAATTACAATGAAAGTCACAATCAAGTGCAGGAAAAAAACTTTCGTCCCACTTTTATGTATGTAAGAAAATTTATGAGGTTTACGTTTAAGTACTTTTCAATTGTTCGAATTATTGTTCAACATAAGTGAAGCAAAAAAAGGAAAGTTCCTAACAAAATTTTGTAAACATTAATAGTAATTTATCGTAGACACAACATTATTCATATACAATGGTCCCAATGGAACGACAACTGATGAAGGAAGTTTGAGAATTTTGTTTTAATTTATTCATAACATCAACAACATGAATTGCATTGTAAAAGAGGTCAGATAGACTGGGACCATTAAATCATTTCACCCGAGATCGAGATCGAGAGAAGCACAAAAAATATAATAAACCTTAATCTTTTCAATAACAATAATTATAACGAAATAAATTACATGAGACTGTTCAGTCCATGAGAAACGCTTAGGGTGAGAATTGTGAAAGTTTTCTTCTGTTTTTTCTCCAGTTTCTCGTCCCTTTCATGTTCACGTTTAATATTCACTTAAGTAGGGGACGAATTGATTTTTTTTTTCTACTTCTTTTCTTCCTGAGCTATGTCGGGAAAGTCAAATTGAAAATATTTTTCTTCTCACCTTTGGCTTGTTGCTGTCTTGTTGCGGATTTTCTGATTCTTTCTTCCTCTTGCGTTGTGGCACACGACCAGAGAATTCCTGCATGTTTTCCCTTGCCACCATGTAGTTATAATGCTCATGAAATAAATTGGCTGGTTCAGAAAAATTTTCTTCGGTTGAATCATCTTCATCGTCAGTCATATCATGCCCTTGAGAAGATAATCGCACTCTAGAGAGAAGTGAAACGATTTGTTTTTCTCAATCTTGTTCAATCAAATGAAATTTTATTCACTTACCTTGTTGGCATGTTTAAGCTATGACTTCTTGTTCGTCGTGGGATTCGTGGAGATCCATAGAAGTCATCAGTTTGAGGATTTCGGAGATCGTTGAAATTAAAAAACACGTCACCATTGCATGATGATGGGCTGGGTGGCGTTGTCATCGAGTAACCCGGTGAACCTTAACATATTAACAATAGAAAATCTGGTTAAATTCCATGGGAAAAATGTTCAAGTTGCTTGATTTGTATGCAGCACACGCAATTGCGTGAATCCCAAAGCAAGTTGAAATAAACATCGAAGCGAGGGTACTTAATTTGAACATCAACAAGTTGTAGTTTGCTTTTTATGTTCAATTCATATTTTTTTTACAATTATTTCATAAACAGCACTCTGATGGTCAATTGTATTCTCAGTTTTAGTCACGTTACAGCAAAATGAATTTTATGTAATGGAAATTAGATATAAGCTCATTAAATATTCAATCATTCAATTGAAAACTGCATAAAGGCTCGTTACCAAGCAGCGATGTTTTATTGCAAATTAAAAGTAAGAAATCATCATATTACCTACTCTACATTGGCCTTGATTTTTTTGCAAGGCGTTTATTGTTCGAATGTTCAAACATAAAAAATATGACGCTGACGATAATCCAAAGTGCAATTAAGAATTCATTTCAACGCGCAATACAATCGACTAAGCATGTGAATGTGAACTTCGATCTCAGCTGTGCAAGCAATCGATTTGTTTTGTTAAGTGAATTAATTGTTTTTAATTGGAATTTTTGAATCTGTAGATAGAGATTGTATTGATATGTATTTACTTCCCAAAGTCTTTAAATATTGAACATTAAGCCGGCATTCAACTTAGACAACTTACGGTATTATTTTTGGTTGTGAACTTTATCACATAGAATCGTTTATTTGTAATTATCACGATATCGATTTCAAAACAAAAGGCACGTTAATCGCTTCGAGCAATCATTGCTGACAGAACTGTAAATTCATTGGACATTATTCACATGGAACTTGATTACTTTTAACTTAACTTTACATGAGTAATGTAATTGTTATTATTATTGTAAAAGTACAAACCAAAATAAGTTGAAAAAAGTTCAAATGCACTCTCGGACGGTTTGAAAAAAAAAGTTGTTGTCATTGTGCCATTATTGGAGTTACGATTGCTGTTATTGTTGATTCTTATACAAGTTCAATTATGCAATTGAGTGCGGTAGAGAAAACGATTAAATAAATTTAAGAATTTTTGCTACCGCCAGCATTTACAATTATTAAACATTTATTCTACATCGTTGACTAATTTATTCAATTGTGACTTTTCTCGTACGCTTTTATCGCACAATGTTCGCTTTGAGAATTTAATTTCTTGTGCAATTTTTCTTTGTTGCATTTTAATGAAGTTTTTTATATAATTTAAGAAGAAGGAGTTTATTTAATTGGAGTAGAACGTGCAATGAATAGTGTTGGGATGTGGGAATGAAGATCTGATCTATTTTTAATTGTCAAAGCTACGATAAAGAAAGGAAGAAGATATAATCAATTAATTTGTAACACGTTTTTAACTTATTAAACAAACAAAGTACTATTTAATTACTTTACGGGTGGTTGAGCTTAGCTTTTCCGCATTTCGACATGAAAAAACCGCGCGATTAGCTGCGATGATTCATGGGATTGTCTAATGAACGAATACAAGGTTCACAAGTGCAACGTCTAATCGTCTAGCAGTTTTCCAAAACTAAAATAAAATCATTTGAAAAGCAGCTGTTTGCAAATACTCTCAAATGAAAGTGCAAATGCAGCATGCATTGAATGCTAAAAAAATTAAAAATCAAAGCGTAAGGGAAGAGTGAGAGAAAACTATGACAAGTTGTTTGAAATAATCAGGTCGCAATGACATTCCAGATGCGTCACGTTTATATTACATCGTGATGAAAATTCTTCATTCCATTTTAGGTGAATGTAATTTAAGGTTTTTCCTCGTACGTCATATGAAGCGCTTTGAGATGACTCTCAAATGAAAACGAGAATGCAAACTAAATATCATGCTATAAACATAAACTCACAACAAATTATGATGTTTCCAAACGACTCGAATTAACCATAAATGCACACATAAGAATTACTGTTGTGAGTTGTGTGTACGTTACACGCTTGGTTGAGTCGAGTTTCTCCATAAATATCTGGCAAGAGCGTGAAGACAAGTTATTTAATTTTTTGCCTCTTCTTTTTCTTCTTATGCTTTCGACTGTCGTATCTCATTGTAAAACTAAAACAGCAACACATATGTGTGCACTTGAGTCTTCTTCTTATTTGTTGGGCTTAGTCATGCGATTAGAGAACGAAAAGGAATCCTTGACATTCAACTCAATTATTCTAATTCACGTTAGCGACGACATCATTAAGCGATTGGTGTTCAGTGGAGAAATAATGTGAAGAAAATATCGGCATTAACATGTGTGAACATGAGCAGAATTTCCATGCACTTGATGTCGATTTTTTTAATATATTTTATTTTATTTCATATGCCATTGAAAGATTTTATCGCAATTTTTTTATTTTTCTTCTCCATTATTCGTGTCTTAAGCGCGATGCAGACTTAATCCAAGGATTATTACTTTATGAAGGTACTTCTAGTGTGACAAGTTGATTTAATAATTCGCAAAGTCAATTTGTTGAAAGTTTAAAGACGACATCATCAGATTTTAGATAATTTAAATACAAACTGCAATGACTTCTTTAAACACAATATCTATCTGTTTGTAAATGAACGTCAAACAGAGACAATAAATTCTATTTACATAGCACACGATTTTTTTCCTTTGTTTCGAATTGTAGAAACTTAAGGCAGATACATAAGCGCGTATGTTTCTTCGCGCTTATTAATAAATGCACACAATTTTCTTTATTTATGACTTACGTGATTCTTTTGAATTGCAGTGCGATCGTTCCTATCTTTCCTTACAAATGACTTGTATCTTGTTAATTTACAATAACTTGAAGTTATGAAGGTTTAATTCTTGATTGCATTTTATCATGTATTATCTCAATCGACAATTTAGTATTTATGGATCTATGTTTACTACTGCTTATTATTTACTAACTCAAATGTTATGATATGATTTAGAGAAATATTTAGTTGAATGTCAAGGAGACAAATAATTGTTGTCATTTTTTTCCTACTCAAGTCTAAACAACGTCACGAGCGGGACATAAACAGAGAAAAAAAATAAAAGTTTAAAAGAATTTATTGAGTCGTGCAGCATCAACCAACACATGTTTTTAATATTTTCTTCGTCTTTTAAATTTTATTTTATTTTTTTCTTTACCCCGAAATCATCACCACAAGGAATGATTGTGGTAGAAGGGTTTAACATACGACCGAGAGTTCATAAAATATCCGAAAGAAGCACATTCAACATGTAAACGTAAAAGAAACCAATGGACAAAGAAAAAGAAAGCACTTTGACTCTTTATTTTTTAAAAAGTTGTGTAAAAACTTTTACGGTTTCTTTAACCTTTAATGTCCTTCCACCATTTAAGCTAATACTGATTGAGAACGAAAATTGACCATCGTAATGAGTTGTGTTACCTAAAGTTTATTTTTTCCTCGACTTTATGAATGTTTCAACTTATTAAACAAATGGATTTGCCAAAAGTCGTGTTATATTTGACTTGATCTTGTTCTTCGCGATTAATGTTGATTGGTATTGCTTCGAATAAATGTTTGGAGCCAATCAACTCTCAACGAGAAGAACAAACTTCATATAAAAGAATATTTTTTTATGTCCTATAATATCAATAAAATGAGTATCAAAATAAAAATGTATGAAAAACTATTTATGGAAAGCATAAAAAGTGGTGGAAAAAAGTCAACATAAAAATGATTGCATGAAAGGTGTGACAGATTTTTAGTTTTATCTTTTATTATTCTTGCAAAACAAAAATGTAAAACTAAGTTCTTTGATGATCAAAATCAAGCATGATTGAACGTGAAAAATTCTTCGTATACATAGATATAAAAAAAAGTTGTTGGATAAGAAGTTATTTTGTATGTCGCGGTGTCGGAAATTCTCAAAACCTACCCAGATGTTTCTGTCTCAGTCTTGGAGATATTTTTGGACACAAAAAAATAATTTATTTTTGGTCAACCAATTTACGGGATACGAAGAATATCGGAAAAGAAGTTCAAACACCTTTCACAAAGGACAAATTAAATTCATTCTTTCTTTTTTTATTCTCATCTTTAAATATCACAAGATTTTCGCTTTTGTTTCGCCTTCTTTTTCATTTTATATTTTTTGTTACTTTTTTTTTTCGTGTCAATTTTATGTCAGACTTTTTTCAGTGTTCTCGTCATCTTTTTATTATTTCTTTTCTGGTCGATTATTTTATTTTCTTTCAACAAATAAAAACACGCCACCAACCTCCTTGAACACGAGAATAACGATAAAGAGCTTCACAAAATGCTTGCACCAAATATTCACTGTTTACGGGCGTGAGCAAGGGCGAATGTTGTGCGGTGGTGAGACCACCGTTTGGATTTTGTGGTTGCGGTAAATGTGGCATCGAGCCTGATGTCGCTGTCGTTGTTGACGGTGCAGTCGAAGGGCTCGAACTTGTTGCTGGAGTTGCAGTGTCGGGCACATGGAAGGGCACAGCCATTTTTGATTGAACTTTCTATTATTTTTAAATTTACACTCGACTAATATTATTGTTGGATAAAAGAAAATCTCACACGACGCTTATCAAAACACTAAAGTTTTTATATTCTATTTTGATTAGTTGCTTTCTCAGTTTGTTCAATTCGCTATCGCTATCACAATGAGTACAAAAAATTCGAGTCTTATTCTTTCAAGAACACAATTTATTTCTCATAAATGCAAAGTCGCTAAAATGCATTCAGCGATTTCTATTCAATAAAAAAATAGTTTTTTTCTTTCTTGATTGTTAGTCTGGCGTCTTCATAAAATACGTTTTATCCATTGTCTTCTTTTTAATTTTACTCAATTGTGCTTTCGTCGTGTTTAAAAATTAACTTATCACAAAAAATTAATTTCGAGTGCAAAAAAATTCATTTGTTCATTTAATTGTCTTTAAAAAATTGCGTCAGAACTTTTCATTCTTATTAAAAAATATTTCTTCTTAGTTCTTTCTTGTTCTCAGAATTAAAATAGTTTTCGAATTAATTGTGAAACTTTCTTCAAGCGCTTTGATGGAATTTCTCAAGTTTTTCGTTTTTTTTCTAACTTTTCCTTTTTCGTTCTATCACCAACTTTCAGCGAAAACAAACAAAAATATTCTATCACTTTATTTTTCAAAAAAAATAATACGAGAATAAAAACACGGAACACTTCAAAAATACGTCCTACTCGCTTGAATTGAGGAAATCTAATGAAATGTATGATTGCACAAAATGTAATTTCGAGTTTGTGCTTTGCGAAGTTTGAGTGTATTAAGTTCAATGTTTTCGCTTCCCTTTTTACATATAATCGCAACAGACGCGACACGAAACTGTTGACTATTTCCCCTTCGTTCATTGCATTTGTGTATTTTCTATAAGCTTGTTGCATGTGTGTCGGATGTAAACCCACGTTGTTCATTTGTAATTGAAAAGCGGAGAAATGAAAAATCATCGAAGGGGATTTTTGATTCTACGGTGCACATTGTTATGTATGTAGTAGTGAAAACAATGTTTTCATTCATTGTTGCATCAAAACATTGGATTGCGACGAATCTTCGTGAATTCGTAAAGACGAAACAAAATATATTCAATCGTCATTCTAATGATATTAAATTAACAAGAGGGAAGATACAAAATCTTTACGATACCTACTAAAGAAAAAAGAGAAAAAAGAATAAATAGAAATAAGCAAAAAGGGGATAGAATGGGATCCACTTCCAATCGCTTTTGATTCTCGTTTCTATTCTTTCGTTATTTACTTCTGATGCTTCGTTTTTATCTACAAGCATTGAATAATTTTTGGTCGGTTTTTAAATCTGTTTTCAGTTTTTTTAAGTTCCTTATGACCATCTCTTCGTCTTTACCTTCTTTTTATTTTAGTCGCATACAGTGAAGAAGTTTATCGCTGTGAAATTTTTTTTTGTTCCCCGTTTATTCAACTCACACCTTCGTCTTTCCATTTCTAAAAATTATATGCTTTTGATTCTTCTTCACATATGTATATTCTACAGCTCACAACACAATACCCTTCTCAAACGAGATTCAACATGTTTCAGCTTGAAATCAATGCCTATGGAGGTGGCGCAAGAAGAAGAAATTATCGCGAAAGTTCTTCAATTTTTTTTATTCTTCGCAGGCTCAAGGTTATGCGGATATTTTAGTATAAAATAATCATTCGATAGAATGAAATTGCGTATTTTGATATCAATGTTCTCATATGATGTCATGGAAAACTCTTATCAATTACTTAATTTTTCTTATCAATCACAAATTGGGTTTTCGATGGGATTTTAAATTTCGTTTTTAACTCGATTTCCTTTCATTTTTTTCCCTTCTTATTCATTCACTTACAATTATGAGCTTCTTTTTTTTTAAGTTTATCAGTAAAATAGTAAAAGTTAATTGTTCGAAGAGTGATAAAAGCTTTGTAGACTATGCTAATGCCCTCGAATTGGAAATGAAGTCAAAGAAAAAGTTTTTCAATAAATTTTTATGGGTTAATTCTGAGTGGCCATTAGCACATTTAAATATTATTACATCCTTGATTGCTTCTACGTTCTTACACCTAAGACAAGAAACTTTTAATTAAACCAGCTTACAAATCATCTCAAATCGCTAAGGAATGAGTAAAGCTCCTAGGGTTGCTTTTTTTTCTCTTGTTTGATGTCAGTAAGTACGTTTATATGTACCGATGATCGTAACGGGACAGAAGATTAAGGTTGTGTAATGACTTGCTTGACTTTAATTAGTCTGTCCTGATTCTCGATGTTTAAGCAAAGTAAAGAAAAACGTATAAAGATTATTTAAATACATGTAAGAGATATGTTCGGTCATTCACGATGATAAATTGAAGTAAAGAGTAGCGTGACTATTTAAAGAAATGTGTCAAATTGATTAGTAATGGAGCAGTGCTTTGCTTTCTTGCTTTCTTTTCTATTCATCTTAATCTTTCCACTTCAATCATTTCATTAAATTATTAAATAGAAATTAAATGATTCACTTTTCACGCGCACACTGTCGCCAATAATTAAAATTGACGTTTTTCTGCTTTTAAAGCTTTTCTTCCTACTTCGAAGCCACTTTATAATTAAATAACAGTTGTTGAAGTTAAATGACATTAAGTGCACTGACAATTAAAGATAAACTCTGTGACAATCGATGGTTGAAGGACAACAGAGTGAAAAGGAGTACGCGATAAGCTTATCAGTTCACGAGCAATTAACTTAAGAGACATTTTTATTAAATTTGCAAAACTCTTACAACTTCATTTCAATTTGTCTTAGTAGCATTTGACATTTCTCTGGCACCATTAATATTCAATTTATATTTTTTTTATATTTCTTATCAAGTGTACACGATCAGCGTTAGCTATAAGAATTAGCAACGATCAATAGCATGACATCAAACAACTTGTTGTCTCATATGTTTTATATTTTCATATTTCTCTTTCGACGCCTTTTGCGCCTTTTTTTTCTTACAAGATTCAATGTGTAAATACAGTAGCTAAGCTGGAGTCTAGCTAAAGACGTGTTGAAAAACCTGTTTCACATTTTATTGCCTTATTAGAAGACCAAGCGAGTGTGTTGTTTCGAATAATAGTGACTTATTGTTATTCATAAGTATGAGGTGAGTGTAACAAGCGATGTGGATTACCAGCGAGATTTAAATTATGGGTGTTTCACATATCAAATTATTATTCTCATAATTTACTGTTTTGCTTGGCATCGAAGAGGTTTCTCGATATCATTTCGATTCAAAGAGAAGAAAGAGAAAGAAAACAACCAGCAAAGCACTTTCTGGCTACGTGATAGATTATCAAACTACTGTTGGAAGGAAGGAAAAAAAAAAGAAAAACTTTTAAATTCTTCCCGAATTAATCATAAATAAAAACCAGCTAAAGTATTTTGTGGCATGGTGAATGCTATTGAACCAGTAAACAATGTCAATTTTCATGCTTCATGAATTTATCATGAAACTTGTGCTCGCTTGTTGAAACTTTTTTTTTATTCATTCTCTCAATTCTGCAATCTCCATGCATTTTTGCTGTTTTTAACATTTTGAGGGTTTTGTGGTCTTATTGAATTAAACAGAAAATTGAAAATGAAATTTCAATAATATATTTTTTCACAACTTACTCTCTCGTAATATTTATTTATTTTTCTTTCGCTAGCACACATGAAAGAATGCTTTTGGTGATGTGAAGAATGAAAATGCAAAAAAAAATCGCTGAACTTGTTGCACAATTTAAACGAGTTCATTGACATGACAACGGCCAGTCATTTTTTCTTTTCTCCTACACAAGATTGCTGATGTGATTAGCACGTATAAATAAAAAAGTTTATATCGCGAAATAAATGAAAAAAAAGCAGCAAACAGATGAGCAGAGTGAATGAGCCGACAGAGCACGGAATGAAAGAAAAAGACGAAAAGTGTGCTGTACGACATAAAACAACTAAAAGTTTCTTCTTACTTTCGGGATATCGAGCGCGAACAGACGAACAGAGCAATAAATTTGTTCAAGGTTTTCGGAAAGAATTGTGGTTTTGGGAAATTTTAATTCGCTCATCTTTAATGTGAGAAACAATCTATTTATATTAAAAATAAATAAAAGTGAGAAAAATCAACTGTAATAACAATTCATAAACACTTTCGGCTTACCAGGTGCTTAAATAAAAATACTACACCGCAAATATTTACATTTTTTATTAAAATTCGTCTTTGTTACGTTGAGTGACAAATATGTAATCAGCCAATTTCTCACTTCTTATTCTACGGTTAAAGAACTGTTGCTTAATAAGCATTCTGACTTTCCTCATTAAACAGAACTATACATGGCAACAGCAGCTCATTCGATTATGTTTATTATAGAATCACGCAAAGGGTTGGCTTCAGCGGTTTGCAATCGTATTTCGTTTCTTTCTCTTACTGTTGTCGTTGTTGTTGCTGATACAAATGGGGAGAGAAGAAAGCATTAAATAAAAAAATAAGCTGAACTTGTGAACTTCTTGTGACTTATGAAATTAGTTAATGTAATAAAAATGTCTTTCTTCCGACACTGAAAGAAGAAATGAAAAGAAAACTTTCCAAACACGACAGCGATAATAAATTATTGAAGGACAAATGTCTGGCTGGGCTTGTGAATGTTTTGGGAGAATTATTATGACCATTTCTGCTTGGATAATTAAATTTTTAGTGCTATCAAAGCATTAGTCGCCGATTCATAATCTTTATAGAATAACTTAGAATTCGGTGGGATGATGCTTCGTAAAGATTGTTTATCTTGATTCAATTAATTTAATGGTGTTGTGAAGAAGAAAACGAGTTAGAAAGACTTCATTGGCGTCATGTGTTTAAAGACCATCATTGAAAATATTGTTATTGCATAAGACATTAAGCTACGTTCATATATGCAATCGTATCTGATCAGTGGTTAAGCTGTGCAAGGAAAACATGAACAGAACGAAGTCGCTAGTAGACAAAGAAAAGCCTTGAAAGTAGGTTTATTTTTCTGTTGCAGCACGTTATTGCTGTCAAATCAATCGTTGCAATTCTGATAAATTTATATGTGATTTTTATTTTCCTTTTTTTTAAGTTGCAATTGAGACTAACTTAGTTGATGAATTTGTTTTGAGAACGAGCAACGCAAACGAGATTCATTATCGATTTGATTCTCTGCTGTGAACCTTTTCCACATTAATTGAACGAAGCATTTTCAGGAAACTTTTTTTTTCTCTTTTCCACATTTTGCATTTTATAAAAATTGATTTTTTTTTCTTTTTTCGCCACTTGAATGCATCCATCGAAGAGATTGATTTGATTCCCAAAAGTACTTTAGATTTTTTTCCATTTAATGCGACACCATTCAACGTCATGTTGCGATGAAGACGAAAGAGTTCAATTTGGCTGATTGAATATATGTTATCAGAAAACGAAGGCACAACCATCGATACTTTAACAACTTCTTTTTCCGCCTCAATTGTCTTCAATAATCGTCTCATGGTTTGAGAATTTTGAGCTCGTCTGGGAGACCGAGAAGAAGAAAATTATTGCATGTTTCATTCGAAGGAAAGGAGGGTGATGAGTCACTAACTTGAGCACAAAACAGTGTTCTTCTTTTTCATCCAACTATCGTTACATTCCCTAACTTGTTAGTCATCAGTTAAATCGACACACAGTCAAATACTTTAGGAAATTCGCAAGTCCACAATACCGTCGCACATTCCGCAGCACTTTATTATTTATTTATTCATGAACTATGCTATTAAGCAGGGAAATAAGAAGCAGAAAATAATGTCCAGGTGTCGTGCAAGAAAGTCTTAAGAACGCATAGTGATACATACATCCATAAGTTAAAGAATTAATTACATGCGAAATTCCTTTGGGGTGAGTCGATCATTATTCGAGTACGTTTAACGCTTCTACATTTACTATGGCACAGTTAAACAAACCCTCATCCATCTCTTGCAACTTTCTTCCATATTCACTTCATAATCATTTTCGCAAACGACTTTTTATCGACTTTTCAGTCACGATAAGCTACATAAAAGAAATATGAGATGACGATATTCGTTTCGTCATCATTTTAAAAATTCAGATCGCGAAAGATTTTTTTTGAGATTCTTTGTCGTAAAATTTTATGATTTTGAAATGCAATAAAAATTAAAATTAAAAAAATTGGAGAAGAGTTTGTGAAAGATGATAAGACATAAAATTTTATGCTTTCCTATTACAATATCGCAACAATGTCACATTATCATGCTCGCTCGTTTTTTGTCTACTTTAAGCTTGCGAAATATTTACAACTTTAGTTAACAACCCTTGGACAGAATTGAGGAACTTTTCAAAAAGTCTGATTAAACATTGTGTGGGCGGGTTTGGGGTAAGTTTCTAGAGGCAAAAACAAATAATCGTAAAATTTTATGTTTTTTATAATAAATTCATTAAAAAGGGATTTTTGCAATATTCTTAGTGCTTTGCATGTTTTTTTCTTTCTTTGTTTTTAAGATTCAAGCGCACAAGCCATTAAGTTTCAAGTAAGATAATTAATTAAAGTATTTAAGATTTTTCTCTCTAGAGAAGCGGGATTTTATAACGCTATTTAAAGCTACTTTATTACATTTTTTTGTGATGAGATTTCCAGCAATTTCTTTTCCTTTTTCGCGCTACTGTCGTTTAGAAAATTTTTTGCTTGCTTTCCACTCTTTCAGGAGCAAAGGATTTTCTCAAATATATGCAAGTTGAAATGCTAATAAGACGAAAGGAGAATTTTATTATGCATATCTTAAGTAACGATGGTTGGTAGAAAATATTTCCCGTTCCCTTACATCCATCTGCATCATAAACTTTCATTGCACATTTTTCGCCTGGTTTGAAACGAAACTCAGCTGACAAATGATTGCGGGATCTGCAAATATTTGTCGACTAAAATAAGAGGGTGGTGAAGCAGGTGCTGTTGATGTAAAAATATGATAGTTTAATACGATTGTTCATTTATGAAGATTCCTTTACGGTCGTCTTTTTTGTCTCGAAGCTTTTTCATTGAAAGAAATTTCATCAACTTGATGCTGATGAAGATTTCGTGTTTTGCGGATGGAGAAAGTGTCGTCGTTTGTGTCGTTCGCTTACGTGATGATGAAAAACTATCTTTAAATGAGCAAAGCATCTTTCACATCGTTCAGCCGCAACAAAAGCTTGCAGTTAAGAAGCAAAGTGAAATTGATAAATTATTGCCAGCACTTTTCGTTAACTTAAAAAATGTGAAGAAACTTTAAATAGCAATTTCATTGATGGAAAATATTTTTGTTCTACTCGAATAAGATTATTCAGCAAGTTGCAAACGGAAATTCATGGTGTAAAGAAAAGGGAAAACCTCAATATGATGAATAGAATGCAATGATGAAACTGAGTTATAAACAAATGCAAAAATGTTTCGACCTTTACGATAAGGACATTGAACTGACTATTTCAATGATAAACTGATGTAATCTGATGTTTTTGTTGTTGTTCAATCAATTCTCCCGATAGCACCATGAAAATGTATTTTTAATTCACAGAATCGAGTGAATGAATGCGGCGAAAAAGTAGCTCTCGTTTTTTTTTGTATTCATTCGATGCGATTTATCGCCTCATCAAAGGTCATTGAACTTTGAATGAGTAAATGCATCGTATCTAGAGCTTACTCGTCTTTTGCACCGATAATGGCCTCTAAATATGTATCCTGTTGTTATCTTTTTCGGTGCAAAGCTCGTAATATTTATAGCCCGATTGATTATATTTCAATATTACACTCGTCGTCGTTTTTTATGTCTCGCTTTCTGGTGCGATGTGATATACAACGTGAGCGTATACATTTTATTATCATGAGAAAATAAGCTGTCTGTGGCGTTGGATAGGATTCACTGACCTGCCGCAATATGTTTTTCATCGATTTTTTTTCGGTTGTGCGGCTTTTATTTTGGCATTGAGTGGTGCGTCGACTTTTGAAATGGAACAAGAAGAAGATGATGAAGGAATGGTTTGAAATATTTGCTTTTTTTTATTATTATTAAAGCTTCTTAACGTGACTCAGAGAACAACGAATTATACGATAAAACGTTGGTGTTTTATTTTTAATTGCGACGTTTTGAAAACGCTTATCGGACAATTCGTTTTTCTAAGTTTAATGTTATCATGACATGAAGTTGACACTTTTTAATCTTTTGACACAGCTGAAACAAATTAACGACGCAAATGCATTTTAATTTTAATTTACTTTACGAGTGATTTGTTTATAAATATTTCATTCTGATTTGATATTTATGTGTACAATGTCGTTTCTAAATTATATTTCATAATTGAATTAAGTGGCTCTTTATCATTTCAATAACGATTGCGCAAAAATAAATAAAAATTACTGCGATTACATTGTCAGATAGAAGTAAATAATAGTAAATGAAATAATATCTGTGACAACATGTCAATTCGTCTTCTTAACGTCGGATGTTTTCTTACTTTTCTTTATCGTGGCCTGATCTTGAGTTACTTAATAGCAAACAAAGAATGACTCACTAACGGTGCAGCAAAACACCGCACGAGAGTAAACTACAATCAAAGAGTTTTCTTTTTCACAACAAACATTTCTCAGCGACTATATACAGGTACCAGTTACATTTATCAAGTTCTGACCCTCTCGTCGTATTTCTTATTGCAAAAGCAACAGTCAAAATATGGTTAAAAACGATTAAAGAAGAAATTCTAAAGGAAATGACTCACTGTGTTGATCGACGTCGTACCTATAATTTATTTATATCTGTTTTCGGTTGATTAGTCATCAATATTTGTGTTTCAATTTATGATCAAAGATTCTGCTTTCAAACTAGACTCACCACTATTGATCGTCTCACTTAATAATACTGTTACTGAAAAATAAAGTTGCAATGATTAATTGAATGCACTGTCTTGGAAGAATAACAATAAAAAGAAAGTCGAATTATATGCGGTGCTTCTCTGCCCTTTTTACGACAAAATGATTCACACGAGAATGCACAGAACATGTTTGTTTTTAAGCTGCTTCAGCGATGACAAAAGTCATTAATTAATCTTAAAATTATTCAAAATCTCATCTTAAAAAAAAACATTAAAGAAATGCTGATTTGCGATTTAGGCGCGTCAAACATCCACCGCGCTGTTATTTATTTTTATACAAATCATTAACATTCAAATCCTTCTAAATCAACATTAGAATGTTAAATTAAAAATTCCACAAGAATTTCTTTTTCTCTGCTGGAAAAGTTATGGCGAAAAAGAATTTTAATAACAGAAAGGGTTGAAATGGAAACTTTTAATCGCGTCGAGATTTTTTTATCCACTAAAACGCAAAAACTTGATGATGATGGAAAAGAATAATGAAAAATAATGATGAACCATTATCCGCCAAAAATAGGATGATAAATGTGTTAAATTGTTTACTTGATTTTTCCCTTTCTTAAATAAAAATCATGTTTGACGGAAAGCACTTTGTTACGCTTTGTTATGGACAAGTCGAGTTTCATTTCAATGAAATTTGATGAGTTCAAGTTATTGACACGGAAATCTTGTTTCTTTCCTTTGCAATAAAAGTTTTTCGTCTTTTTTTTCTTCCCTTTTTTGTGAAATGATGAAGAAAATGCAGGAAAAGATTCTGGTTTAATCTTTGAGATCATTTTGTTTGTTCATTTTGAGATGAAATAATCGTCAACGATGAAGAAGGAAAGGGAAAAAAGTTGTTTAATTAATATTTTGTCAGCAAGTTCTTGTTGATTCAGACAGAAAATCGGGAGCATTGCAGGGTTTAACCATTGCCAGTGATGAGTAGAAAAAAATGTTAAGACTGCAATTAATTTCACGAAAAATCTCTTTTATGAGAAAAGTTCTTTTTTTTTGTGATTGTCATAATGCTCATGCAACTTTGTCAGTTATTTATGAAGTCTACGAAAATTATCATGTCAAACCGCACAATAGCGTCTCCATTCTTATGCAAAGTTCATCTGAAGACGATAATGCTGAGAACATTCTTTTTTTTTGCAAGAATTAAAAATAAATTGCGTGCAATCAAAACCATAAAAATTAATGGCGACAAGATTTTCGGCAACAAACGGTGAGATTCTATGGGAACAAATTGTTCAATCTTCCAATTGCATTTTATATTCAAATAAGATTCATAATAGGTATAACCGTAACTGTCGATTAAACTTCACCCTGTCATGGGAAAGTCTGACTGGAAGATAAACATCTCATCATCATTTTTTAAAGATCACTCAAAGGATCACTGTCAATTTAAAAATATTTCTCATTGCATAATTCAATCATTATCATAAATATAAACATTAAGTCAGGTTGTGACTTGCTTGTAATTGAACCTGATGATTCAGTTGTGCAAGAAGAGAAAACAAAATTTGAATAATTATTCATGAAATTCACATAAGCAGAGTGGAAACAATTGACGACAATTTAGCTTAAAAAAGGTAACCCGAGGATCTTTTCAAATTTATGTTTTTGACGGGGGTAACTTTTTATGTTTTGTTATTTTTTTCTATCCTCATCGTCTTCATAACTCACCCCAGAACCCTCCTCGAATGTTTACATGAAGACAAGAGAAACGAAAGAAAGAAAAATTACTTGCGCTTGCAAATGCAATTTATGATGGTTAATGAGAAATGTATGTAGATGATTCTTTTGACGATGAGAGATAAAATGTTATTAAATAAATCGTGCTGATCTTCATATGTTTATCGTGACTATTTAATCGTAAATAATTCACATTCAAATTTTTTTCATATTAGATGGGAATTTTTTTTTTTATTTAACACGTTTATTGATTACGTCGTAGAAATTGCTTTCTTGATCAACATTATGTGTATTGTCACAGGATAATTGATAAAATATGTTTGTTTCACATGATTACAGTCGTTAAATCACAATTCATTTGCTTAATTAATGCAAGGATACCAGCGAGAATAGAAACAATGAAATGAAAGTAAATTCAATTTGTGGGGTCATTTGCTGTTTGCTTCATGAATAATTAATGTTAATTTTTATTGAATGATACAAAACAGCATTTTGTGTACTTTCACCTAGAATGCTAAATTAGAAAATAATTAATAATCTGACAAAGGAAGGAATATCGATTGATTTGGTAAAGTTTCATAAGTGAACAAAGGCGAACTTTGCACGGATCGACAAACTTCTTTAATCAGGTAAAAGGATATTTTATTTTTCTTCGTCAATGTCTCGTCTTTACACAATGAGAGTTTTATGATGATGACTTTCATTAAACTTATTTTATCGCAATAAATCATTTTGAAGCTTCGTGTTCGCAGAAATGATGTGCAATTTACCTGAAGCGTCTTTCAATGAATTTTTTAGTTAGACGCACAAATTTCCTTCTCTTCTCATGGAAGATTTATAAAATTTCCAGTTTTGCATAATGATGATTAATGATTAAACATTAAGACTGATATAAAACCAATATTGTTAAAATCAACATAAATCTTACATGCATATGAATTCTTAAACTTTGTTTAATTAATTTAATCAATTATCTCTGTGACGGCATTTATTCGTTGATACTTTGCATATATAATTTTTCTCATCGCCTTTGAAGCATCATCTCATGATGTCGTTGTCGAAGACTAATGAATGTAGCTTGTTTGCATTTCCAGGAGATTCTGTAGTGAGAAATTAGGCAAGATAAATGACTTTCGTCATAAAATAACGTGATTGTGACAATTATGATTCCACGATAAATACTTTTCAGGTTTTTTTGTTTCGTTCTTCTCGGTTCTATTCACGACTTTCTTTGTATAGAAAACTTCTGAATAGTAAACAAATTTATCAAAATCATTTTCCTCCAGGATACATGCATAGCAAAAAAAAAAGACAAAAACAAGTAGTAGAATTATTTTAAAAGATTTTTCTTTAAAAAACAGCATTGAAATGATGGAGCAGCAGCAACGGCGAAGAATAAAAAGCGAAACAACATGATTTGAATAAAAATGATTAATTACGAAATTATACATTCATCGTTTATGTTGTTATGGTGCTCTTGAAGTCATGAACTTTTTCGAGAGAAAAATATCAACAGTTTGGCAGAATGAAGTTTTTTTTATTCATCAATTATAAGAAAAGTCTGGCAAACTGTTTGGTTTAAGCAATATCACATATGTATGTATGAAGCGTAAAGTTCTTTTATTCTTAGAATATCAATTTGGAATTTTCCGCTGTCAATGAACGTAAAAGTGGATAGAAAAGTGAATGCAATTACCCTTTATGCAAACGTCAAACAGACGGTTCACTTCCACGTTTAACTTTGCAGCGATTTCATAACTTTCAAAGTATAAACAAGGGTGAAAATGATTAAGAGCAAGAGTTCAATAATTTGCTAGTTTGATTTCCAAACAGTAAGAAGAAAGAACCTCAACGATTAATGTGAAGTGCAAACACTAAACTAGAACGAATGCAATGTCGATTGTTGATAAAAAACCAAATAACGATTATGGTTTGTGCAAATGTTTGCGCAAATAATCATATGTAGAAAAAAAAAAGCTAAATCAATATTGAATTGATATTTACCAATAATTGGAAATCGATTCTACCAGATAAATTTACTATTTTTTTCTTCCTTTTTAAAAATCCGATTTGAATCTGATTTAAGCCTCCATGTTGTGCAATGTCTGTGTATTCAGTTCAACTGAGCGTATGCCTTGAAGGTAGCGAAAACAAATGCAGATTTATTTGAAATTTAGATTATTTTTTATCCGCAGGCGTTTTTTTTTTGGGTACTTGAATGTTGAATGGAAAAATAAAAAGATTTACATTCCCGCCAACAAAACAAAACAAGAATTGGCGAACGATTCATGCATCAAAAGGATCAACAACCTCCACTTAGAAAAACACAAATTACATTCCACCCAAGTGGACACGAAGAATTTATGATGACGCTACACGAAATCGCAGAAAAAAGTTCACGTGAATGGGAAAAGCAACGAAGCAATAAATCATTGGAAAAGAATAGAAAATCTTGTTCAACTAATTACATGACATCATTGCAAGCTAGTGACTGAATCGTCGTTACCTGCTTTTAATCAACTTGGTTTGACTTGCTTTAATCAGCCTCAGATCTTCATTTCCTTTCGAATTTCCTTTCTGCATCTACAAAAGCTGTACAAGTGGCAAAGAAAAATAAATTTCCCGTTCTGGAAAATCTTTTCTTACCTTCTTTTTTTGTCGCTACATCCAACACGTCTTTTGAGTACTCTTTCTTTGCATAAAGAAGTGAAAAAGTATTTCTGCATAAAATCCATTTCGTTTCCTTCTTTGTCAAGCTTTATCTTTCTTCCTTTTGTGATGTAAATACTTGAAGTAGAAAGCAAAGCACAAAAAGCTGAATTTCATTTTTCAAAATTGGACTCGTACATGCAGAAGAACGAAAAAGATGTTTTGTAATCATCCCTGACCTACACTAATGTAAGATAATATCTGAAATCACGAGATGAAGAGCCCTTTTGGCAGTTTTTGTATTTGTACATTGTCGTTCTTATTCATTCATTCACTCGTTCAATCCTCGGTGTCGATGACCTATTTTAAAGCGAGGAAAAATCAATTTCTGCAAGTCGTTCGTTCCCCCCTTTCTCTCATCAATGATTTTAGGAAATGAAAAGCCTCACACACATACACACACAGAGATGGTTTCAATGCGTAATTGTGCAATAAATTGTAAGACGCTTATGCATTGCAATTAAAATATGTGCACATAAGCTTCTCTTCTCGTTCTGAAAGTGCGTTTATATGTAGGATGCAAGGAAAAAGTTCATTGAACTCCACTCATGATGGAAGTGCATTGTATGCAAATCTCCATGATGGAAGCAAACACCCGATACTTATTACGCAATTCCCAACGCATCTACATGCTGGAAGCGAATGACATGAAGGGATTTGATTAAAAATGCTTTCAGTTTCTCTTACATTTATGAATGACGAACGAACAAAAATGCAAGTTAAAAATTTCTCAACAAGTTTCAAATGTCAACACAGTCCCATTGTTACGTTGAAATAAAAACATGTCAGTAGGTAAAATGCAGATGCATTCAACATAAACAAAAGGAACGTATTATGTGTATCAAGAGATTTCGCATTAATGGCGGTAACTGTGTATGCAGAACTTGAGAATTAAAACAAATGAGAGTTTTGGCACGCAAAGAAAATGCTTGAAGGTAAAATGAACCAACAACGTTGAATATTTCTTCAATTTACTTCAGAATGATGAAGAAAAGTTTCGAAATTCAATTCATGTCTATGAAAAAGTTGAGGAAATTTTTATGAACCGACAGAGAGACTGAATAAAACTTGTGCGGTTTTCCTTTAATAAAATCTCACGCAGGAATGAACTAATAAGATTTAGCCAATTATTGACAAAAATTGATTCAAAATCAATGATAAACGCTTCATAGAGCAGTAGGCATAATATTCCTATTGGAATTAAGGATGGCAGACGAAAAAAGCCAGTGAGAGGTGAAAGAGATTATGTCACAAACTTATCTAATTAGGAGAACTGTGGTAAGCCTCAAACTCAATCATTCCCCTCTTAACTCAATCATCCATCATGAAAAAATTTTATACAAAACAAAACCAAACAACGAAGTTTTAACTTCTTTTTTCGTACATTTTTTCACCCAAAAATCTATCTGAATGCATCTCAACCCTCAAAATTCAGTTATCCGTGAAAAAGATCTTATTATTTGCAGATTCTCTCATTCATTGTAAATATTTGAACTGCAAATAATTTGCTCGCTTACGTTGGATAATGAACTGGTATCGTATGTAGCGAAAAAAGAATCAGAAGCATAATAATAATAATTTTATTACAGAATTTCTTTTCTTCTTCATTTTTCGTCTCTTGTATCTAACAATGCTCATAGTTAAAGTTACTGTGAAACTCAATATGGTTTAGCGATGAGCTATAAAAGAATCTTTTGTGTTTCATTCTTCTTTGTACAAATTTCTCTCATGTCATTACTAGTAAGCATTATTGATTGTCGATATAAAAGTCAAAATAAAAAAAAGAAGCATAAACTGGTTGCAAATGATTATGAATTTTTCTTTAAAGAATCGAAGCATTCAAGTGTGATTAAATACAAGGGTTAATGATTTCAAATTTTCTGCTTCTTATTATTGGAATATTTGCCCTTTTACAAACTTTTACTTCTTTCCTTGTTTCCTTTTCCTTCTTCCCAAGCTGGAAGTTGAAGTAAAGTTAAACAAAAGACATATCGTAAACTCTTTCTTTCTCATTGTTCATAATTTTCATTTCTGCAAGCACACACATGAAAAGCAACAGTGAAAGGAAGAAAAAAAAAGTCAATAAAAAGTTTAAATCACATATATAATGAAATCCTTCCTTTTATGACAAAATAGTATCAGACGAATGATCTCAAGAAAAAATTATCGCAGCAAATCATCTTAGATGTTAGATGGCAATAAAACCCGAAAAAGGGAAACGCCAGGAGATGAAATTTCCATTAAACCGGCATGAAATTGTATTACACACGAACTTTCAATTTTTAATCGATTCTCGTAAAAAGTGAACAAAAATGTAAAGAAGAAATCGTAAAGTTATCAATTCGTATTCAAAAGGTGAAACAGTTAAAGTGCCTTGTAAGTGCTATCATAAAATTATTATTGCTTTTTGATAAAACGAGAATTTTAACGCTTGACTTTGTTCGTCTTTCAACGAAATTTTCAGAAACAAACAAATCTCATTTCTGTTCTTAAATCTTCGCATTTGCTTTGTTGGCAACATTTATTGTCAACTTGATAATAATATCTCCTGAGATATTTTGTTTCTCTCCATTAATTTATAAATTTAGATCATTTAAAAGTTTCTTTAATATTAGTTTCTAGCAAATTACCTGTTGGTTCATTTGTCTTTACATCCAACCAAACACGACAACAACAATCTGATGTAGAACGTGAATTTATTGTCGAATGTAAGTTTTCCCCCAAAGCACATCATTTAGTTCTCCGTCTGTTAAATGAGTTTCCATCAGCAAATAGAGATGAACAAAAAACATGTTTTTATTCGTAAGAACGGACGATAGTGCATCAAAGCGAAAGCATCAGTGAACGTAGATCCAACAAAGCTCCATTAAATGTGATTGCAGTTTCTCCTTCTTCTCGTCTCTTTGAGAACATGGGATGGTGTTATTCATGACACATTTTGCCTTGAAGGTGAAAAATTTTCAATCTCGAATATTACTCATTCATTTTGGTGATTCATTCAACGTGATTAAAAAAAAGATAAAATAGATTTGATGGTCAACCGTCGAACAATAGAGCGTCAGAGCTTTATTTGCATACGTGACGACGGTAGTGGCCATGTTTTAGGTAGTGCGGGTTTGCTATCGAGAATAGAAAGAAGAACACAAAAAAAAGTAAACAAACAAACTCAGATAATTGACTCATCCCGAAAAATATTTCATTTAATTCATTTGCTTGTCGCATATTGTTGATTGTGCACCCGCCAAGAAGAATATTTGAATGAATGAAAGTTGTTGTCGTTTCCCTTTCTATTTTTCATCGCGCAGAAATGAATCTTTGTCAAACAAAATGGGAAGTAATCATTCACGTGAAATATTAAATATTTACCAAGTTTATTGTTATGAATTTTTATACTCTGCTGTTATTGATTTTTCTCGGGAAAATACTTCACAGACATCTCATCTCATCTCACTAGATTGATAACTTTATACACACAATGTATTATTGCTACAAAATTTGTAATTGATGTGTGTACGGAACACTGATCGCTTCGAGGTATTAACAAATCGCCAGACGCTTGTGTGTGATTTAAGTAATTTCACAACCGCCCACGCAACATTTTTCAGGAAGATGCTTCTCGTTTTTTTCGTAAACATGGAAATGATATTTGAACTCTTTTTTTTAATACTCTCGTCGTGATGTAAATTAAAAAATGGACTTTTCGAGTTTTCCTTCACAAGATTGATGGATAACAGATTTACGTTCTTCTCTTTTTTTTTTGTATGTTCGTGTTGTGTCTGAACTGGATACATTGTGTTGATACTCTAAACGTAATTAAAAACTCCAAAGTTTCGTTGGGGTTCTTTTATGATATCAGAAGACTACTTTTATGAGTTTGGGTGGAGGTTTTTCATTCTGTTAGTGAAGGGACAAGAACTCATCAACCAAACCATTTTAAGTGGCTATTAAACATTCGCGATAAGAGAATTTCGTTGGATTTAAAAGTTTTAGAACTTTTATGATGAAATCTGAAGTAGAATTTAACTTACCGAGACGAGGATAGATTTATGAATTTCTCATCATTCATTGGTTTTATTTTATGAATTTCCTTCACAGACAAAGATACAAAAGCTTTCAGCTTGCAAATCCATACAATGATCGTTGCACTTATTTACATAAAAATCGTAAAGAACTCGAAATGATATTTTCAGTCGTAAAACGTAAAAGTTTCAACGGACTCTGTTTATAGTTTGAAAGTTTCTTGAGTTAAATGAATACTTCTCATGAGAATTATCGATCGTGCACTTAACATTCACTTAGAGTTGTTCTTGTCTAACTTTTCGACTATTTACACGTCACATATGAACGACCCTTATACGAAAGAATGTTCAAAAAAAATATGAATCAAGTGTCATCTTTCAGTTCCATTTAAATTCACAGAGATATGAGATCTCCATGAATATGAAATCAGCATGTAAGTACGTTTATTCAGTATTCTTTCTCTCGTATTTGATCTCAAGTCCACTTAGATAGTCAGATGGTCTGGAGAGACAAAAAAAAAGGAAAAAGTTTTGAATGAGTTTCTGATATGTTTCTGTTACTATCAGGAAAACTCGTGTTTTTCATAAACTTTCCTTATGCGGGAAATGGGAAAATGACAGACTTGCAGACTATGAACTTATGTTGCTTATTATCAACTGACCAAAATGAAAATCACAACATTTGCTATGAACAAATCCTTTGTTTTGTTTGTCATAGTTTTTGAATCTCCCGTAGCTTTTCTTCTTGCTGAAAATATCTAAAAAGATAAATATAAAGTTTTTTTGGCGGGAGTTCAAAGATCCATCTTATGGGTAAGCAAACATTTGCCACAAAAGGTTGAAATGTGGCAAAAAATAGCAAACGGGGATGAATATTTTATGAATAACCATGGATGAATGTGTGATGTCAACATAAATTCAAATTATTATTATGAAAAGTTATTAAAGTATAAAACCGAGGAAAAATATTTACTTTCCAACATTTTTATTACATTTCCAATTTACGAGAAGATTCTTCCTGTCGCTCTCCTTACTAATACGATATGCATATGAGACCGAGCTTAATTTGATCTGTCCGGACATTTCTAATACCTTGGGATGATATTTTCAAATCAAAAAGTACGTAAAACTTCTAGTTTACATTTAAATACATAATTCTGCTATTTTATTTGATAAAAAAATATTCTTTGTGTTGTCGACGTCGTCAGATGGGATAAGTCGTTCATTTTATTACGAATTGTTGCTTAAATTAGATTTCGTTTTCATTCTTAGATGATAAAAACGAGAATTCAACATTTTATAGAGTTAATGAATATAAAAACTGCACGAAGAAGGCAAATAAAACTACTACGTGGCACGTAATGAAGAAGGAATGGGAAATTTTTCATTTAAAACTTCAACTTTGTTCGCTTTGCTATTCAACTCGACAAGAGTGAAGTTAGACAAAAGCACCGTCAATAAATAAACCGGATTTACTTACCTACCCCGAACGATGACTTTTACGAGGCTATGAAAAGACGAAAAGCGTCGTCTTCATAATATTATTGAAAGAAATTGTTTTACAAAATATTATTACCCATCTTCCTCTTTCTCGTTCAGCTACTTTTTTCACACAAAGTATTAACAAACAAAAGCCCTGGCGGGAGCTCTCAAATACATGTATTAAAGAATGAATGAAAAAGTTGATCAATAAAATGTTGCAATATTTTCATTTCGACTCTTACCTCCGTCTCCTTACTCTTTCATTCGTCAACAATAGTTTTGTTTACAAATTTTATTACCTAAAATCTTACTCGACTCACGTTTCACTTCAATTGCCCCATAAATAAATTTCTCACAAGACGAAATGAATGGATGAAGAATAAAAGGCGACTCTGGGAGGGTTGAGAATGACGACGAGAAAGAAATCTTCAATGCACGGTTATGAAACTCTCCTGTGTGATAAACTCTAATGACTGTCATTTAAAGCTGATGTAGATGACACAAAATGCCTATCAGCTATAATAAATTAGTGGTTTTATGGCGACAGTTTGAATGTGTCTCATAATTCTACGCATTATTCGTGTTTCACTTCTTTTTCTTGACATGAGAATTTTTCTAGTCTTTTGTCAACAACAGCAATGAAACGATGATAAAAGTGACAACTCTTTCAATAAACAATGTAAAAATAATAAAATCCTTTTAATAAAGATTTGCTTGTTATACAATCTTAATTAATGGGATCTTAATTGTCACATTTGTATAATTAAAAAATGAAATATGAAAAAACTTCAAAGACGATGTGCCTTTAGTGATTATTGAAATCATTTTTCCTTCTCATAAATATTTCGATGCTTGCCTGAGGAAGAATTTTGTTGCTGTTTTTTTTGCAAGAATTTTATTTTTCATCCATTTTTGTAATTAATTATCATGCAATAAGTTTTTAATGATCATTTTGCGGAAGTTCTTTGATGTCTCCTTCTCTACCTTTCATTTGCGTACATTTTTTCCGCTGTTACCACACAAAGCTTTGATTCCTTTTGTGCTTATAATATCAAAGTTAAAATGAATGTAAAATCTGAAAGGAATTTCCTCTGAAACTCACTCGATTAATTGACACAACACAGATTAAAATGAAAAGTAGAGAGAGAGAGAGAGAGAAAGAAAGCATCATTATTTGCATATTAAGAACATGTTTATTCCAAATGAAATGCGATGTTACATTGCAAAAAACCCGCATTTTCAGCATAAGCGTGTTCACATTTCACACATGATTTGATTTCAATTTTTTCCTTCTTCTCTCATTTGAAAATTATGCAAATTTTTTACTTCTTAATTGACGGGAATTGAATGTGATTACAAGATCAGTCGAGTGTTAACAAATTATTACATAATTAGATTTGATAAAAATTGAATTTAAATACTTTGTATTGTTGAAACATGAATTTGGTTTATCATCGAGTTGTACCAGCATAAAAATCTATAAAAATATTTAAAGCGAAGAGATTTCAATTTATGATGCGTAAGAGTTTCGAATGAGAACGTTTCCCATCGTGTATCGTTTGCCTAATGAAAAGTTAATTTTATGCAAAGCGTATGTTTAACATCACACAGGAACAGAGAAACAAAAAACAAGCGATTATAAATCTTTTTCCTCTCTTGACATTTATGTTGTTGCTATGTTTGCCCAACAATTGTAAATTAAAACATAAACAGTGTAAAACGATAGTTAAGTTTTTATTAATCGGGCGGAGGATTCTCATCTGTTCAAGTGGCAAAAATTGCAATTTATCATGCTCGCTAATGGGTCCGAGAACGATTGTGCTGTTGGCTCGCTAGTCATACTTCTAATATATCAAATTACCGATGAGTACGCGGCTACTAACGATAGATTGAAAAGGGTTAAAAGGATATATCATTTATGCTCATTTTACATCCGGGTTTGACTTGAAGAGTTTTATTTTCCGCCTTGCTTCCTTGCCAACTCTTCTCTGTTAATGAAAAAACCAAACAATAGATAGTCGGTAATTAAAGCAACTTCAAAACAGTTAAAAAAACAGAAGCGAATGTAACAATGTCTCCGTGACAATATTGTTGTTAGAAGGACGATGTACGAGAACCCTTCTTAAATAACTTCCGGATTTGAGTTCATAGTGAGATTTTGAAATCGAGGTGACTGCGTGTTTTTATTATTCTTTTTTAAAATAGAATCAAAGGGGTTGTTGATTTTTATTATCCCCTATAAACCCCTTTTTACTTTACTTGATTCGATAGTTTGAAAATCAACTTTATAGTTGCACTTTGAAAATTGGAAAAAACTTTTCACACGATTGCGGCAAAAAATCGCCTCACAATGGGATGTTTAGTGGACTACAATTTCATCATCAATCGAGATAGGAACAATGGAGAGGACAACGACGCTTGATAGCGATCGTGGAAAAAAAGGAGAGAAAAAACTGATTATGCGGGTGCAGTCGTATGACGGATATCATAAATATTATTCCGACTTGAAAGAATGATTTAATAAATTTTTAAATTAAGGTCAACTAAGTATCCGATTGCAATTCTGCTAGCGGGAATTCTAATGACTCTTGTGAACTCTCATATCAAATATCACTAATTATTCTACTTTATGGTGAGTTCAATGCCATGTGAAAACAAGAAATATGCAAAAATTTTAATTCAAAAATGTAATTAAATTTGAATTAGCGAAATGTTTTTTTATTTCGCAGCCACAAATAGATCTGTGCAAACTGTTAGCAGATTAAATCGTTGGCAAAGTCAAACATATGTGCGCAAATTAAATATTTGTTCTCTTAAATCCAACCATGCATGCACGTCAACATATTTTTTTAAACCTACTTTTAATTGAATGTGAATTATGAACCCTTTTGAGGGACAAAAGCTTATCATTTGATTCACATATTTAATTGTGAAAAATATCAGATTTTGATTGAATAACACTTTTAAAGTTGCATTGGATCCACTTGACTTCCATTGAGATTTAATGACAGTCTCATATGACAAGAATTAAATAAGAAAGAAGAAAAAGCAAAAAATAAAAACCTCAGGAAAAAAAAATTGAAAACTGTAATTTAAATTCAACAACAAAAGCAGCAGCGGCACAGTGAGTCTCAAGTGCCATTATCAAGACCCGCGTTTCCTCTTCAAATCCTTCTAATGTGCATGCTCGATTTATTTTAAAACGTCACTCTCATGTTCATTTGAGTGGAATCTGATGGTGAAACGACAACGTTTGAATTTTTTGATGTCGAAGTGATTCGAGGGCGAAATTTAATAATTTTGTCATTGATATGCAAATTGGTAAGTGAAACAATTTGAAGAAACACATAATTACATTGAGTTACGTTACGTTGTTGGGTACACAAATAGAAAAAGAAGTGTGATGCGGCTTTTGTGGATGACGTTCAAGTGTCTGTTTTAAACAGTATGTTGACAGTGTTGAGGACACTTTAAAGATTTAATTAGAATATTGAAGATTTGTGAGAAAAGTTTTGAACATCTACAAGTTGTGACAATGTCGGAAAAATTCTGTGAAGAACGCAACAATAGGAAGTTCTATAAAAACCCGAATTTTATCACGTAATCTTCTCTTAACAAAACATCAGAAAAGGAAATTACAATATATCATGAGGTTTATGTTGTAGCATAGAACTGCACAACATAAACGTTTCATTCAATTAAAACTTCTGAATTTTATCTCTTTTATGTTAGAGGCGGAAAAGACGATGAAAAAAATGGTAGAAAAACCTTTGTGCATGTCAAACACTAGTCTTAACTGACTTCTGCCAATATTTACCCCTTTTTTCGTCAATCATGTCTCTTTACTTCCCTTAACAACAGCAAAGTCAGCATCGTAATCATCCGAATAAACAAATTGCAAGAGAGATATCTAAAGTAATAATTGTCAACGATAAAATGTGTAAAATATTGCAACATTCGACTTGGATTACGTCAGGGATCAACAACAGAATTTAACTATCAAGGATTTTGATTGCGGGCATGAGTTTAGTGTTCAAATTGGAAAAATCAATTAGCGTTTATTGTCTTCTCTTTTGGGGGTTGTTAGCTGATTAAGATTTTATGAAATTCACGTTTTTGCTACAATTTAACCAAAACTTATTGCGACATTGTGGCACTTTATTCCTTTCGGATATGAAAAGAAAGTTTTACATCCTCAACCGGCAATAACAGCATAGCAAGCAAGTATAAAGATAATTTAATTTTCACGAGAGGAAAGTTTATTGTTTGGTTCATAATTATAAACAGAAATTATGACTCGAAATTATGAATTTGTTCAGACGTAAAGTTTTCATATGTGGCAATAAAATTGCGAGGGTGGGCGCTAGTTTCATTTCGATAATAAAATTGCAAGTTTTGCTACTGCACGTAACTATCGCCTCATCATTTACACAACCGGCAACCAGACCAAGCAACATGATCCCAGAAAAAAGCGTTTTACGATTATTGTCTACAAGCGAAAACATTATCGTCTAGAATTAAATAAATTTCATCGTTATTTTGGCTTGCGATTCAAAAATTAATATTCTCGTGTATGCAACAAACGTACGAACATTTATGCGTTTATTTTTATTGTACTTTGTTCATTAAAGCAACGCATAAACAAATATGAAAGTGTGGAACTGCACATGGGTTCCAAACACCCACCAAATGATTAACGAAAAATTTAATTTTAACTCTAGAATTGCATAAAGTTGACATCGTAAAACTGAATGATATGTCAGTCACATGTTTTAAATGAGTTCACACCCTCAGTTGACATTTTCGCAGCAGATTGCCAACAAAATATGAGAGACAAGATGAATCTCTTTCTTTGTTTAAAGTTTATTTTTTATTCACTTTTCAGTTTTTTGTCGTGAAGCTTATGAGGAGTTTGATTGAAAAGTCTTAAGTTGTTATCTGTAATCAACTTCATATTTCGCTAATGATCAGAGATAAAAGTTTATTTGATTTCTTTTACAAATCTCATTGCTTATAATCAAAGAAATTTGAGTGAAAACAGGGAAAGAAAAAAACAGACGACAAATCTAAGTCTTAAAATTAAAATCGTAAAACTTAATGACATTTTTTGAATTTGGTGGATACAAAGCTGTGACATATTAAATCCTGTTTTTATTTCATACGTCTTTGTGCAGTGCATGCGTTACGTTTTACGATTATTGCAATGATTACTGTAAATTATACTTAGTTACAAACACATAGCACATTATGAGGTTTGTCGCAACGCATGTAAAATATCAATTTGTGGCTGAAATTGACGTTTAAATTGTTGCGAAAGTGAAAACTTAAAGCAGTTTAAAGAAATTAAATTTTCTTGTCACGATTAAAATCTTTCCATACCGCTAACTCAATGGCGTTTCATTTTGATTTAAAAAAGGTTGAAGTGTTAGAAAAACCTTGAACAATCGTAATAATTAATTCAACCAGTGCTTATGGGAGATGAAATTACGTTTGAATTTAAGAAGCAACGTCATTAATCAAATATTTTTCCTTCTGATGTACTGTTTTTAAGAACTTTTATTAATGTTTATATTATTCAAAGTCAAATTTTAATGATTTCATATTTTTTGCAGTAGCAACAACAATCATTACAACTTCAATTGTATTTCAACGGAAAAGAAGTTGAACAAAAGAGATGCTAACAAGCGCAATGTTGCATGTGATTCATTATCGCTAACAATCTTGTATGAGCTGTCGAAAATGCTGCCGACAATTCCTGTATAAGCTCGAATTAAATATTTTTTGCATAGATAATAATATTAATTTTTTTACGATTCATGCAGTTCTGAGTCATCAAGTCGGTAAATAATCCAGCTAAAGATTTGAATGTCATAAAAGGGCGTTTTTTCATCAGACACTGTTTTGATTTATTTAATTTTTTTTCTCCACAACTCACCGTTGCATTTGTTTTCAATTCCCATCAAACCAAAGAAAAAGTAAATTAATGTGCCAGACGAAAAGTCATAATCGTCAGACAGAGAAGTGATTGTTGCTATCAATTTGTTTGTTATTTTTGCGCTTAAGCGCAGTTAAAGCAAATATTATGATTGGGTGCACTGCACATTGCATTCGTCCAGTCTTCGAGTCTTACTGAATGAAGTAAAAGAGTTGAATTTAGCTCGAGTGTGAATATATTTTGTAGATATTGAAATGAAAACAGTGAAAAGACTTTATAATGTTGTTTAGAATAAATAAACATCACATCACTCTCACGCCAAACATCAATAAACTGAATGAGAAAGAGAGAAATGAAAATCAACGCATTTTACAACCCGAAAAGATAAATATATAGTGAACGACGCTTAGCGTCGCCATAAAGTCTTTATTGAATTAAAAGCATATGTTGTAAGAGCAGCGAGCTCGAGAAAATTAGTGGCCGTGTATGTTTGTTATTGTCTCACTCTCCGCTTTAGCTACAAGCGTTAGAAAAACAAACTTCGCTCTTGCATTATATCGGAATCAAATTTGCATGATGTTGATCGGTAGCGACTTTATCTATTTTTTTAATACAATGTTAAACCCTGAAGTGTGCAACATATTAGCACCTAATTTTTCATGCGAAAGAATCCTCTGTTTGGATTGAGAATCGATATTGTGTCTAACATTTTAATCTCATGTCGGTTGACTTGCCTTTCATCATACAATTTGGGGATGTAATTCCATTCACTCTTTTATTTTTTTATTGATATGTTTGCTTTTCAACGTTGAAAATAAAAGAAATTAAATGAATATTATTGAAATCCGTCTCATGGGAAAATCGGATAAAATAAATAACTAAAACTTCAGACAAATTAATTTGTAACTTCATTGAAAGTCTAGATTACTCATAATGATCGTCAAGAGTAATAGCTCTTAACGTTCATTTCTATAAATTATTGGAATTAACACATTCAACATGAATTGTGATGCAAGTTGTCTAACGGAGCCCCTGAGGGTCATTTAGACGTCGTAAGGTTTTTGTACTCCGTTCGTAAGAGAATTTCCTTTTGAATAAGTTTCTATTTACAAGCCATTAAGTAAGATCTACATGGAAATTATATTTATTATGGCCATTTAGCCTGGTTTGTCTCATGTAACACAATTTACATATTTATCACATTATAAGGAAATTCAATTTCAATTTTCACCGAAAAAGAAGAAACTTTCAGATGCCTCAACCCAACAGAAGAAGCTCGGAAGAACTGCCTCTAGGGTAAGCAGATTTATCTACTGAAAAGGTAATTTGCTTAATTGCTGTTGCCTCAAACGATCGTGGACTTTTATATTTCGTTTTGGGATAAGAGAATGTTCAACCCCCAGTAACATTTCAATGAACATCTTTACATGAAATACCTTCAAACTACTCGTGTTAAAACAAACGACCTGTACAGTTGATTTATGCCCGCATCCTTTTCTTTTTGACAACCCTTTGAATATGAATAAGAAAGGAAATAATTATTCTCGTCAAACTCAAATCGCCATTCGCGATTTGTTGCAGGACATTCAAGATTTTGTTTCACATTGTCACACAATTCCATCACCCTTCAATGATTCTCACAATGAAGTTTTTTAGAATCTAATGACTTGAGATGTTAAAGAATTCTTTTTTCTTTATTTGCATCCCCAATTGAGTTCTAAGACACAATGTCTAAGTTTTGAAAGAAACAATATTAAGCCTTTAGCTCCGGATATTTATGTGTCTGTCAAACAATGGCAAACGACGGTTTCAGCATTTATTCTCACTTCAAGGCATTTGAATAATAATAGATTTTATGCAAATTATAGTGAACTGAGGGAAGTTCAAGCCATGCGAATGTGAAGACAGAGAAGAAGAAGTGAAAAGGTTGCAAAATATTTCTCTTCCCTTTTCTATTGTTTGACATTTGCGAAAATCTTTTAAAAGGTACGACTATAGAAATGACCGTTAGCAGTTATCAATTTTTCATGTCTTTAAGTGCTGCTTAAGTCGAATGAATGTTTAAGGGGTTTTCCACAACTCACAATTTGAAGGGAGGTGAACTTTTATTTTATTTTTTTGTTACAAAAAGGACTCTCTTAAATGTTGAAACTTATGCAGTAAACTTCTTCAAGACATCATACACATCTCGTCGCTTCTCAAGTGTTCGACAATGATAAGAGTTCTGCTCTTATAATTCCTTTAATAGCATCTACCAAGATACTAAAGACTATCACATCGTTCTTAATAGCTTTCGTCGAGGATTGTATCAAAAACCATCTAACTTTGTTTTATGGGATCATCATCTTTCCTTTCGTAATTCGACTCACTCACATCTAGTTGATTTGTTATTACACCGATGAAATTGAGATGAGTAACATTTTTAAGATTTATGGCTTGATATACGAGCATGTTGTTGACAAAGACAATTAAGAAGCTCAAGATTTTATTGACAGAATCGTTTTATTTTGCAAATGTTACCCTGCAGGAAGGAACATAAACCACTCACGCTTACTTTCCCCGTTTGATGCTATAATTTTTAGAAAATTTAAAATATTAAAACCCTTAGATGAAATGTCGTCAAAGCTGAATGAGAAGCATAAGAAATTTAAAACAGATCTAAAAGATTCTCTTCTTTTTTTTACCTTTTATTAGTCGTTGTGATGTTGTTGTCGATGAAACTCATTACATTAGCAAAAATCATAATTCCTTGCTTTGTTGTGTGCTTTTATGCATGCCACAAAAATGATTTTATATTTACAAAAAGAAATATTATAAATGGAGCAGCAACAGCGAAGTTTTTATTTGAAGCCAAAGCAACCCCTGAGGCATTCAATAATATTAAGAACAGCAAAAAGTATGGCCCGTCACAATGTCGTTGCTACCTTTGTAAGTGAGCATTTTGATTAATATAAAAGAATGTTTAGTTTCTCATTTCAAAGAAGTTTTAGATTTTGAAAATGTTGAGAAATTAATCGTCGTTGACACTGTGGAAAATAGTATGAAATAACCACGGACTGGAGTTTCAATTACATTCCCAGCAATCCAACTTTGACAATTGATACAAAATAAAAACACTCAAACTTCACCTCCTGCTTAAGTCTCATTTTTTAAATAAAATTGAATTAAAAGATATTTATTTTAATCTTGATTTGCTTGATTAAACAAGAACCTTTTTATTGAAACATGTTTTAATACGATCTAATATTTGTGTACGGCATCAAATGACGATATCGAAGATGAATTTCATTTAGAAAGAAGCAAATTGAAGGGATTATGAACCGTTGCTTGGAAGAAAAAAAATCTCTTTTATTGTAATGCAAATTTGATGGTTCAACCCAAAGTCTTACCTACATTGTTCAACATTACTCCTACTTTCATTTCTTCTGTACTCTGCTCGGCTGAGTATTCCATTAAGGGTGAAGATATTCTTTTTAACAATCAAACCATTCCGACATTTTTAATATTGAATACATTAAGCATCATCGGTGGATGAAATGTATTTTTGAATATCAAAAACATTATCGTTACATTTTGTAGTCGCTTCGTAAATTTTCAACTACATAAATTTCGGCTTTTTCGAGAGCACTTTACTGATTTCGATACCAATGCAAATTCACCATGAAGTCGTAAATCAAACTTCCATGTGTTCAATTGTTGATACTAACTTTTTGCGTGACTATTTGTTACTGACTTTACTATAACTCGATATGTTTCAGAAACAGAAAAGCCAATAATGGAGATTAACAAAAAAAAAAGTCACTGAGAAATGATTTATTCGCTTTTTGCTTTTATCTTTCGTTTTCAAGTGTAACTAATTGAAGTTTCAGACAAATTTTGTGTAGCAAATAAATAAAGGAGCAGAAATATCTTGTAAGTGAAAGAAAATTTTGCAAATGTGTGGAGCCTACAAACAATTCAATTTTATTATGTGTGACCAGTTTGCTTCAACTTGCTTCAGACTCCCAACAATACGACAAAACGTAACACAGTGAATGCTATCGAATACAAAGTGTTGTTCCTACCATGAAATTCGTTTACATAGTCGGGAATATTTTCGGTAAATCCAGAAGCTGCTAATAATAAAAACTCTTTATTATATCTCTCGCTGCTTACTCTTACAAGTCTTTTTTCTTCATCTTCTTTATCTTATGTTTGATTTTTACTACAGCGTAAATATATTAACATCAACCCGAGAAAATAATAACATAAATAATAATGAAGCCAATAACAAAACAGCGTCATATATCATAAAAATCCATGGCAATCTCCATCAATTCTTTCATTCCTTCTTCATCTGCATCGATTGCATTTGCGATGAGTTGCGTTTGAGTGACGTTAGATTTGAATTTATCCTCGCAAACGAGAAGAAAAAACCGGTTTCTTTCTTAAATTGAAAAGAAGTATAATTCAACTCAACTCTATCATTATTGTTGTCTGTTGAAACGCAAGTGTCCAACTTTGAATCTTAAATGCTGCACGATGCTATTGCTATTGCTTTTGTTGTTATTGCTATACTTATACTATACACAGAAGCACAACAATAAAAGAATATGTTTATCTTAAACCAGTAAATGTGTTCCTTTAACAAAATTAATTCTTAATACGAGAGCGAGGAAAGGAGAAGAAATGAAAAGAAAAGAAAAGCAGGTCAATGGCTTTAACATGAAACAACCTTTTTTATTTTATTTTTTTCTCTCTCTTCCTTTAAGATTATTATATAAAACGCATTTGTGATGCACATTTAAGGGGTGTAATAAATTTCATTAAAAAAGGAAAGAAGAAATCCATCCACTGAAATATCAATAAACGATCTTCCCTTTTGGAATTGATTTTCGATTCTTTCTTTCATTCATTTCATGTCGAGTTGAAAATTAGGTTTGTGTGGAGACGCGTTGGGATTAAAATGAGACGTGATTGTTGTCGATTGTATGACAGGTAGACATGTAGAAAAATTATCTTCATTGTGTCATCGATGTCGGACAAAAGCGATATTCTCTCATCAGATTACGTATCGTGATTGTTGGAAAATAATCTCTTATTGAAAAGATTTATGGGGCAAAAGAAAACAGCGAAAAGAAATCCACAAAATTCGACCAACGTGGTTCGTCAGTTTTTCTTTTCATCATCATCGTAAACAAGATTTATTTTTACGAAATCAAGCAATTTTCCACACTCTCATTTGTTTGTATCAGAAGTGCAACAAGCGAGCAACTAAGTGAGTAAGTATGTAGAAAAGTAAGCAAACATGTATTCTAAATAAAAGAAAAGGCAGAAATTAAATGTTTTGTTTACATCTCGTATTGTGCATTGTTACATAAACAACAGCTGAGTCGGGTTGATGAAGAAGACGAAGACGGAGGTCAGGCGTGTATTGTTATTATTTGAGGCGAGCAATTAACTTCTCATCGCGTAATGTTTATCTAAAGACGTAAAAACATACAAGACGAGGCAGACGAACTTGACTCTTTTATGAAAGCGGAGAAGCTTTCGCGGAACAACTGGTTTTACATCCCATCGAGACGAGTCTTTAGCGAAATTTAATGTTTTTAATTATATATTTTTAAAAGCAAATTCGCGAGATTAAAACTCCAAGTCGTTAAAGAGTTAAAAAGGTTCTTCAACTCTCATAACAACAACAGCCACCGAAATCAACAAAAATAACACCAGAAGTATAATGTAACAATTTTTTCCTTATCTGATTTCATTTTCGTGTCTTACAATCGAGTTTAAAGAAATAACGAGAACAGATACAATGAGATTGGAAGGCTGATAGCGTGTATATGAGTCGAAGAAGAGAACACAAAATAAAGAAAGATTTTCGCTAAGGAAAAAGTACAAACAAGAAAAGTAATAAAACAGCAGATAAAAACATTAAATTGCATCATGTTACAGCTGAGAAGAAGTTTCGCAAAACACAAAACGAGATACGACATTTTGGCGCGAGCGAGTCAATTTTATTGTCGCGCCTTTAAGTTTGGTCTTTTCTGTTTCATTGTGAGATTTTTTAATTTCTCTGCTTCATGTCGGAAAAATTGCAAAGCATTTAAACCTTTAAGAAAGAATAAATAGCATTAAGCATTAAGTTTGCTATCAATTTTGCAATAATTTACCGAATTAGATTGCCCGTTCGTAAGCTTTCTTTTTAAATTAATTTTAATTCGTTTTTATTTTTGGAGCTCTCGATTTGTACTTTTTTTTGGGGTCATTGCTTGAACGATCGTGTGGTGAAAGAGAAAGAAAATCAACGAGATAAATTTATCAAAACAACAGTTCCTGAGCGTAAAACAAGCTCTACATTCAACCAATATCCAATTCGTTTATTATTATAATGTTCTTGCTTTATCAAGTTTCATAAAAAGAAATAAAAGAAAAGAAAGAGTAAAAAGCAACTCATCAATATTCAACAGCGAAAACGAGAGAAGAAACTACAAAATAAACAAATTTAACTGAAATTGAAATGAAAGAAAAGAATCGAGAAGTAGCTCGTCTCAAAATTGGCCCCGCATAGAGAAAAAAACCAAAGAAAGAAACTTTGGGAGTACGAAAACCTGTTATGGGCACACGTGTGAGTTGCCTTCACTTCTTGTTCTCGAGAATCAATCGTCTTTTATGGACTTTTCTGGTGGACTCCGTTGCGTTATTATTTTTTTTGTTTTCTTATTATTCTTCTCATCGTCTCCGGATCCACTCGCGTATGAAAGTGTCGTATTTAATGAGTGTCATATTTTATTTTATATTTCCATTTATGGACAGCCAGAAATTATTGAATTAACGGATCATTTTCGATGCGTCAGTAGATTTTACGTTTAAAATTTAAGAAACAAGATACGACAGAGCGACGAGACAAGGCGAGGCAATCACTTTCGTTTCGACAACTTTCAACCACCATTTCAGGTCAGTTTTAGACTTTTCAAAGAATCGCAACTAACAAATGGACTTCTTGCGAAATCCAAATAATTCTTGTTAAAACATGAACTTAAAAAATCAATTGAAAAGAAAAGTTTCTTTAAAAAGAAACCCGAACATTCAGCTTCCTTTTGTTCAATCATTAACTGAACGAAGACTTTGTTCTTACAAACATCAACAAGCTACGACTCGTTGCAGTGTGAAAATCAAAAAGGTTTTCATCTCATCTCAACCATAAATTTATATGCTTTCAAATTATTAAGCAAATGACAAAATCAATTTGCTGTAAATTAATTCAAAAAGTTTCTTCTCCTTCAACTTGCTTGAATCACTTCCGCCTGTTTGATAGCAAGTCAGACAAGAGTGCATGTGGATGAAATATTATGTAACAATGTGACTGCAATGCATTCAACTTGTCATTCATAATGTTTACATTTAATTTACATATATTTGGTTTACACTTAATTGAACCAACATTACGCTTCAATTCATTAATTTTCCATCTCTTGTGTCATCGTCTTATCATCATCATGGAACTAAAGAGATGATGTGAAGACAAAACAAAGTGGAGGAAAATGTAATCCTTTTCCCATTGTTTATTTGTCACCAGTCTTCACCTTATTCACAACATGATTCATGAATAAACGCACACCTTCTCAGTAGTTGAAAATCCTTTCTCCGATAATGTCATCTAATTTACATATTTATTCATATTGTTGATGAAACTTTTCCTAATCATATAACAATCTTTCCTTTCGTGAAAGGTTTCATGATGCGAGGGTGTGTGTGATTGCTTCTTAAAATCAACAGTGTGTAAAATAATTTTGGAAGCATAGCATAAATAATAAAGAGCGCATATGTAGGAATATAATTAACTTTGCAACCAGAGATGGACAGTCAGACTTTTAAAAATTCATTGGAAATAAATAAATAAGCAAAAAAGAAGTTTTGAGTTTTCAACAAAATGACATTTGCACGCAAGACTCAAAGTTTTTGTCTTTCATTTAACATGCACACAGAATCCACATGATAATTTATTTCAAGGGATTTAATACATAATAATCTACCTTCGTTGTTAACGATGCGTTCAATTTATTAGCTGCGACATTGCATAGATTACAACGAGTTTTCGGGCGCGAACAACGCTGGCAATCAACTCTTCTTTCCCGAAATTAATTATTAGAGGGATTTAGCGTTCGCTTTTTTCTTTCATTTATTTTTCTCGCTCACTCGCTTGTTATGCTTGTTGTCGTCTCTCACCATGAGCTTTAAAACTGCGGAGTAATTAATAACATTGGAAAGTCGACAGGCAAATAAACGGTGAAGTGCGCTAAGCAGACGCAATTTCGCTAATATAAATGATTCTGAGGATAATTTTTGTCACTTGGGTATTAAAAGCGAAAACAAAAACGAAAAGCGACCGAACTTTTTCAAAGGCTTCAGACGAAGGATTAAAATTTAAATTAGAAATTTTTTCCCTCCGACAAGTGACAAAAGAGTAAATGAAGTCATTATTGAAAGATTAATGAATAGAAACTTCGACGGAAATTTTATTATCCGTGTTTTGAATCTGAAGCATTTAAATTTTGTCTTCCATGTTCTTCTTCATAATTGTATTTGGGTTTTATCAATTTCTAGGACTCACATTCAAAAGGAAAGCTAATTATGCTTCACAAAACTGATGATGCAGTGCAGACGTGCACAGGTGCTTGTAAAATTCAATAACAGTCAATTTTATGAACGCTAATTGAATTAATTTCTACAACGTCTTCTTTTAATTTCATTAGCTTCGTTTTTTGATAAGGGCAATGAAATATGTAAGAGTAAAATCGCTTATTGAATGACGTAAAAAAATCATTATAATCAGTTTTTATGCTCGATCAGCTCTCTTAAGACTCACTCGCTCATGGAAGACAAGTTTAAGCTCTCATCTGTATACTTTATACAGTTTTTCGTAATGAGAGCGGCTACGTGAATGTTCACTTCAACTTTACTTTCATTTTTGCTGTTTAATTCGAAGCATAACGAGATTTATTCATTCAACTTCTATCAAATAATCACCTTCGATAGCTCAGTTGGTAGAGCGGTGGACTGTAGTGTTTCAAGAAAGCTTCAAGCTTTCAACAGTTATCCATAGGTCACTGGTTCAAATCCGGTTCGAAGGAATTTTTTTTCATTAATTTATTTTCTGTTGCTAAGATTTGATTAGGTTTGCTTTGTGGAATGATAAGACAACTCAAATTCAATGTAACATTTAAATTATATTAAATAAAGATTCATTCGTTGCCTGATAGCGTGGCTTTCTTTTTACACTTGAATAACATTTCTGGCGTCGTTTCCCATCAGACAACCCTCGCATGTAACAAATAAATTGAGGGTTGAATGCAGCGCATTATTTAGGGTGAGAAATTAATGATTGAAAAATATCGAAACGACAACTGATGCAGCTCTGACTCATGATTTGACTAGGGGGAAGATTTTACTTTTCTGTAATTCAGCCTATTATTACATACATCAAAAAAAGAATACGAAACCTTTTGTTGAACAGCATTTTAGAAACATACTTACATAAATAGTTTAAATGTATATGGGAAAACATTTCATTCAGTAAATAATTGTCACCCACAACTTTTCTACTTTAAATTTCGTTTCAGAGTTCGTTCTTCATCCGTATCAAATTCATATTCATTAGCAACAAAAAAAGATTTACAAACATACGAAACAAGACAAAAAAGAAATGTTTTTTACATCAGAATATCCTTCAGCTACATAAAAAAGCGGAGATGAGAATCCTTGACAGCACAGCAGAAGCTCAACTTTCGTGTGTCGTTAGCAGCAGATAAAAATAGTAAAAAAAATCCACAAAATCCATCATACGATGATGAAGAGAAATTGAAAATAAAGCGAATAAAGCTATCAGGTAGCAACAACAAATAAAAATGCTGTAAAACAGAGAAAAGCATTAACAAACTGCGATGATGGATTCACTGGCGTTGTTATACTTTGCAATAATATCTCTATGACAAATAATATCCTAGAGCTGTAAATTCTTTTGCAGGAGTCTGCTTCGATAGAAAGTGTGGGTGGATGTATAAAAGTACATTTCAGAACGCTATTCATGAGGTGAATACCTCGAGCTTTAACTTTTTTTTATCATTGTTCAAATGAATTTAATCCTTAGATAAAGATTTAGAGCTTAATGAATCACGTAATCAGAAGATTTAATTTATATTTAATGTTGTATAAGTAAAGTTATGTTGCGTGTTATCGATGTTTATGTTGCATTTTTTTGAGGGCAAATACATTTTTGTAAATGCACCTTGATTTTGACAACACTTGTAAGGCACGATAATTTGTCATTTTGATACTTTTGACAGATAACAGTTGCATGAATCGAGTGAATTAATATTTTTTTAAAACAATTCCATCTGCTCTGATTTTTGCTTTTTTCTGACATTTTTCCTCTAATTTGTCCACTTCACTTAAATATATATTTTGTGAGCGCCATTTGACATCTGTTTGACTTGTTAATTTTCGACGTTTATAGTGTTAATTTTATGTATTACTTGAGTTATTTCATTTCACAAATCACTTGGATTATTAATTGATGTTTGTCAGGTGGTCGTGAAATGTTTCGTGATTGCTTGCGTGGTTTGTGTTTGGTCAAAATGTCTTCTCCGCTTGAACGATGTTTTGTGGTGGCAATAAAAATGGCAGTTTTGAGATCAAAAAGCTGCGATATTGTTGACATGAACAACCGCTATAATTTTCTTTCACGATGCCTAATAATCTTTCTAGAAATTAAATTATAGATTGAGATTTTATGTTTTCGATTTGTTCCTCGTCTTCACTTAAACATTCCCATGAATTTTTCAAACCGTAACGAAATACTCGTCGTTTTTTTGTGTGTGATAAAAATTGAATAAATTATTTTTAATAAAAAAAAAGCAACCAAATGAAGTCACTTGAAGAGGGATGGGCGATTGAATCAAACTTAAAAATACATTTTTGGATGATATTGAAGATTAATTTGAAGAGGAAGGAACGCAACGAATCTCGTCATTAGATGAAGGCCCGTCGACATTCAGCCCCCTTCTAAAACAGTTTCAATTAATAGGAAGCGAGTCATTTATATCATTAGCTCATCGCGACGACTCTCATTCGTTGATAATGATGCCTTTGTGTCGCTTCTTCTTTTTTTTCACAAAACAAAACTATTCCTGACGGCAAACCGTTAATATCATTTACAGATTAATGCTCAACATGTAATTTAATATTTGTCTTTTTCGTTGTACAATTGAATGCGTGAAAAATATTTTCGAAATAGAATTCCACAACGACACACGCGCTTCGAGATGACATGTAATTTTTCAAAAAATTACCCAACAAAAGACCGAAAGAAAATTGCTTTCAATCAACTCAACGTCGACATGTTGATGTCATTTTTCACCCGAAAGAGCAAAGGAGAAGTAGAAGCAAAAGTGTCTCATTTATTTCCGCGTCAACATTCTGAGATGGACGCTCATGAATACGTATCACCGGAACCGGCGAAAAATATTCTCACGACTGGTTTTAACTTAATCAATCTCAGCGACATTCAATGCAAAAGATTGTTAAACATGCTGTTGCCTCATCAATCAATCAAATCATTAGAATCGTATTCAAGACTCTTCATGTAATCGCTATTAGGATTCAGGGAAAAAAACGAATCAATCGATACCATTCATCTATGCATAAAATAGTTTTTTAATTCATTTTTTATTCATAAACCTTGTTTGCGTTACGCCCTGGAAATATGATGAATGCATATTTAAATAACCCGCATTCATGAAAGGCAGAGAATGAGAGATCAAACCTTTATCATGTTATCAGACATGGCTTCGAGGGCTTTCACTCTTTAGAAGAGGTTTTATTACAATAATGTTTTCGTAATAAATCATAGAGGCGAAGAAGAAAACGTTTTCTCATCTCAATGAACTCATAAAGACAGCTTCGACAAGCGTCATACCTACATATTTATAATCATCAGAATTCATCAGAATCTCTGTTTATTAGAAACGAAACGTTTGATGTTTCAATAAGCAAAGAATTTTATTTTATTTTATTTTGTTTACTGCAACCTTTTTTTTTTGTATTCTGTTTCTGTTGATTCTACTTCGACTTACATATTTGCAAAAGGAAAACTCCGCAAATTAGTCATGCAAAAAGTGGGAAACTCTGCAGATGGTTTTTGCTGCTTTCCTTTGTGAAGAGAAACGAAGAGTTATGACATGTAATGAATAAATGTTTCTTCTCAAAATAATCACAAAATATGCAAATTTTCACTTTGCACATTATTTAATTGAATATCAAAAAGGTTTTTCGCAGAAATGCTTTCAAATATGAAATAAATGTTGTTAATCCTTTCAAATAAATATTATCGCTCTTCCCTTCACTCTAAATTAATTGAGAGTAGGATTTTAATGTAAATATTTTTATTCATACATTTGCAACAGTTAATGGAGTCGAGCTTCATTAACAAAAGCATAAAGTCCTTGTAGTTTATTACGACCAAATGCATTATCATTTTATTGCACAACGCGATATTTTTACTTTCACAAAACATATTTCTTCCGTCAAAATATTATTCAGAAATTTATGACGACAATTAAACTGAAGCGTGTCAATCTCATCAAACATCATTCTGTTAAGCATCATCGTCATTTTCACACACGAAAACTGACATCCTTGCACAACTGGATATGCAATTTTTGAATGTTACACTCTATAAATTTTTATGATTCTCCGACCCGTGATTTCCGTGCATGTGAAATGATTTTTCATTACTTTACACATCTTTTATTATTACGATATCTGATCAAATGCGTTGCTTTGTTCAAATCATATGTGTGATTATGATTTGCGATCATTTCCATATTGTAATCAACACAAAATATGTTTTCAAAATATTTTAACAACTCCGGATGTGTTCATGTGAAATATTTTAATTTTCTTTTCATCTCAGATAAAATTTATTAATATGTTGCCTAAGTTTGTTTAAAATTGATCCCTTGAAATCGGTGACAATTGAAAGTGCATCGTCATGTTGGGAAATTGTTTTCGGAAAACGAATATTGATAACTTTTGAGGGTGATAGAAAACATAAAAAAGCAAAATAAAAGAGTTGCGTATTTGTGTCAGGAAGCTTCTGTGGTGCGTTACGTTTATTCCCAAAACGTGCACGTTTATAAATCATAAATTGAGCTAAATAAACTTTCAATGAAATCATTTCTTCCATTTCAATGTTATCATCGTTTACTGTTTCCATCTAATCTAATTGGAAACTGATCCCTTAATACCGATCGCTTCGAACTGATTTGCGTTGATTAATTTACTATCCATCAAAATTTGTCAGAAAGAAGCAAAGTTGAATCATTGACAGAGAAATGAAGGAAAAAAAGAACAAAAAATTTGACATCACCGCATGTGAGAAATTTATGACTTTTGAAAGCCAGAAAATCCACAAAATGAATGGTAAATATTAACATTTATTGAAATTTATTGCGTGCCGAGTATTCATTACTTTTATATTTGTGGCAAAAGCAAATTTGTACCCACATGTTGTGCATTTTTATCTCGAGTGCAGTTCAATGAATTATTTTGTCTTCTCCTTGTCCACCACGAGAGAAGAATTGGAATATTTTTATCCTATTTAAACCCAAATGTGAATATGAAAATGGTGCATTAAAATGTCCACTGAACTGTAACGCATACTAAATGCAAGTGCTATGATGAGACTGCAAGTAAATAAAAGCAAGTAGGAAATAATATTCGACACTTTGAACAGTGCACGATCCTTTTTTCGGGGAAAGGACGCAAACAAAACATTTGAATAACAAATAAATATCAAGAATTCGTGGTTCAATGAGCACCACACAATTCTAGCTGTTCATTGAGGTCAAGTTGAAGTCATGAAAATTATTAAATGTAAATTGATAATGCTGTGCATTCTGTTGATCGACATTACAACTTGCACTTACTTTACCTCTTCGGGCATCATAAGTCACCAATTAACTTTTTATTTTTGTTCAATTTACTTCGCATTTTCCGTCCCCTTTATGACCATCTGTTGTACGAATGCAATGTCCTGTGCAATTTTGTTTATTCATTTTGGCTGAGTTTTCTCTTTTTATCTCGTCAACTGTATCAGTTGTGGCAACGAGCGTAAGCATGCTTAACTGACGAACTCCTTAGATGATTCAAACATAAAGTTCGTTGACCATTTAATTAATTATAATCCATCCAAAAATCGTCTGCACAAAAAATCTTTTCAAGATTAAATTCTGCGGCTTCAAAGTTCCTTGTTACTTGAATATTTAGTTGGCAACATAAAACGTCAAGTCAAGTCTTCAACATACTGTTAAGTCATGAACGTTTTCTTTTTCAATCCTTCGAACTGAAAGTTTTTGATTGCAATTTTAATACGTCTCGAGCAATATATGGAAATTTAAGCTTGTTTAACGAGAATACACAACATTTAATTACCAACATTTCAAAGTTTGGAATTAATTTGTTAAAAAGTTGCATTTCCAAGACATTTCTACTTTTCTACTTCTTTACTTTGTAAACTTCTCGTTCTTCTTTCATACTTACTCTTTCATTCTTTTTTCGACTTTTTACTGCTAATAGAAGCAGTTTTTAAAAGTTTAACAGCTCAAAGTTTCAAGGAGATTTCGAGACAAGTTTTTTGATGCTTGAAGAGTATTTTATTCAACGAGAAAATAAAAAGAAATAGAAACATTTCTCGAGAACATTTCTTTCTTTTTTATTTCCAAAACGATTGACGGAAGCGACGATTTTCTTTGAAAGTTTTCGTTCGTTTCACTTCAAGTAAAGGTTATGAAGAAAGTTCGTCGCTTCTTCCCTTTCCGTGTTACAACATTTTTTCCTTTTTTTGCAAAGAAATGCAAAAATTTAATGAAAACACATCTTATTATCCTAAATTGCCAGAATATTTTCTTTTAGAGTAAATGACACACTTAAACTGAATGACTTTCTTAGCTTTTCCTTCCTTCAGGAAAAATTCTCGTTTAACGTTTTCATTTATTATTCGCCCTTCGAGTCTTGAGATGTTTCAACTGAGACAAAGCGAATCACTTCAGTGTTTGTTGCACTTAAACAAGAATTGTTTCATTTCACTGAACTTTATAGTTTTCAATTTACGTTTTACAATTTTACGTTCGTCTCGTTTTGCAAATATCAATGAAAGGATGTAAAAGAACTTTAACCACCGTCACTGATGATATTGGATTATTTTACTCTTGCTTTTCACATACAAAAGTGTTCAATATATCATTCAGGATAAAAGTCATGACGATGATAATCATCAGATAAAAACACAAAGTGAATAAAATTTGATACAGCTCCAGGAGGATAGACGAAATTTAATTAATGTCTTTCGCAATTGCATTTTGGTGACGTATCATAAAACCTAATCAAAGTATAATCAAATCAAAATCAAAGTGCCTTTTTCAACATTTCATGCTTTTCATTTCAAGATTTTATCTCAATCGTCGTTGCCTTTGCGATTGCAGTAAAGCAAAAGAGAAATGAATGACGAGTGCATAACGATGCAATTTTCGCTGAATGGTGAATATGATGTAATTAAATAATCTATCCGCCGGGGCTCGAATACGATCTATCTGAAAATGCAAATGGATCCGACTGTGCGTAAACTGATTTCAAGCGCCAGATATATTTACTTCATTTGCATTGGGGATATTGTCAATAATATTTGCACTAATTAAAAAGCAAATTCATTGCAATGAAATGCAACTCGTCTGATATATATCGGTGATGACATTGATTTGGGATTTTGCGGGATTATTAGTCAGACGAAGAGTAGAAACAAAAGGAAAAAGTAGTTGAAGGACGGAAAGTTTCAAGCGACAATTTTTTGTTGTCCTTTACCACAATTTATTGCATACATTTTAAAAGATGTAATTTAACATAGGCAGAAAAGAAAATGAAACATAATTCATGTTATTCAGTAGCTTATGCTTTTGATGAGTTTATGATTCAATTTATAATTCAAATGGAAATGAAAATGTTGAGTAATAAAGAGAAAATTTCTCCCGCGGTGTGTTCAGGAGTTTCCGACTAGAATCAATTACTGGAGAATTATTTTTGTCTGAAACAGAATTTCATATTTAACTCGGTTTGAGAATGGTTACATGTTTCCCTCGATGTTTTTCATTTGTGATCTTTTCATGAAAAAAAATGGAAAAAAGGAAAATTTGAAATTGAAAAATTGTCTGCAATGTGTCTACGTTTGGTCATGGAATTATGTAGTTTGCAGAAAATTAAATGACAACAGATTGGAGTTAATCTACTAATTTACATATGTCCCATCCGTATTCCGTGGTAAAATCACAAACATCAAGCAAGCATAGAATCATCCATGGATAATGATATGAAAAGGACGACACATGTGTAGTCGCATCGATGGACAATTTTAAAATTTCAATTATGCTTGGATTGAGTGGGAGTCCGAAGTTAAATCAACAATTAATTGAAATTGTGCAGAACGAACAACAACACCTAGGACAGTCATCAGGAAACAGGCTTTTCACCCATTTTACATGCATGTTCCATTTACGAATTATTATCGAAATGAAAATTGTTTTCAGTTAATTTCGACGTTGATTTTGTAATTTATTGGCTTTTGTCAAAAATGATTTTCTCATTTACATCTCATAAATCATAATTGTGAAATATAATGCATATTAATTTTGCGCTTTCTGATTAATGAATTAAAATTTATATTTCAATCTCGAGATTGAATTAGGTTCGAATTTTAGTTTTTGGTTTCGTTGATGAGAAATCGAAATGTGATTAAATTTTAAAGGAAATTAGTTACTGGCTACGATAATCACATATTATATTGACTTAAAATTTCATTTGCATAATTAAACATTCAGCTACGGTCGCATTGAAAGTGATGACAGATATCAAGATGCTGTTGACTGATAAACATTCTGTTGAGCTCATAAATTATGCTCGACAAACATTGACAAAATTAAAGTCATGTAAATATTTAAACAAATGCTTTAACAATTCCCAAATTCATTCTCATTAAACTTCTACGATATTCAGACTTCAAAGAAAGAACAAAACAGCAACAAGTACGATGACAAATAAACTTTAACAAAAAGAAATCTCAATAATGTTTGCTCAAGGTTACAATTATTTGCAAATATCAACTTCGCAACAACAGACTTTCGCATAAACTTCCGTCGAAGCACTCAAAAACAACAAATGAAAAATAAACAAGAGAAAAGAAGAAAACAAAAAATTAATTGCCGATGAACAGAATAAAAAAATATGAGATGGATTTTGAAGAGATGCCGCAAACATCATGAACCATCAACATCATCAACGACGGATCCATTTCAAGGATTAATGAGATCGTAATTGCGAATGGTAAATTTCAATGGCTTTTCAGATTTTTTTTCTCTTCTTCAAATCCTCAATGTACAAGTGCTTTAGTCAGAGACAGGTATTTACTTTTTTTCAATTAAAATATTTTGAAACATAAATCTTTCGACCTGAAGAAGATATCGCAATGAAATGCGAAGGGAGAGTAGAAAAAATCATAACAATCTTGTGTAGGAGAAGGAAAAGTAAACGAAAGTATTTAAACGACTGGGGATGAAAGTCAATAAATCACGCTCCGGGAACGTTTTAGATCAAGAGTCAAATGCATTATTCTATTAAAGACTTTCATTCATTGCCACGAGGTTGCAAGTTCAATGTAATTATTGACGTACTCGACGCATTATGTTCAATTAAAATAAAAGTTATCTTTGACTAATTAAGAGATAAAAATGATTAACACGACAATAACTGAAGATTCGATTGCCTTTTGTGTCATATAAATCAGTTTAAATGGGAAGAAGATTTCGTTAAGATGCAATTATCACCACCTGAAGCACATGTTTAGTGAAAGCGGAAAGGAACATCCATAAATTAAGATGATGCATAATAGCTTTAGAGCAAACTGACATTTTTATTTGAGTTAATATCATTATTACACTATTTTATTGCTTTTTATCCTGCTAATTCAAATCAGAATCATTTACAATGGATATCATCCCCCGAGATTTAGTGAACAAGAGAGAGAAAAGATGTTGAATAAATAAACATAAATAATTTTTAATAGCTGTTCATGCAATCGCTTGAAAATTATAATTTTCGCGATTTTTCTTTTATGTATTTTCGGTGTTGGTGGAAACTTTTCAAGCGCTTTTCATCGCTCGTAAAAATAAATGAGGTAGCAACTTCACATGATGTTTTCATTAACTACGATCGCATCATTTTCTTTCTGTTTTTCAACTGATAGTCAAAACATTAAATCAAGAAGTGAAAGACAATAAAGCAGAAAAGAGGCTTGAACGGAAGAGTGAAAAGAGTCGTAAATAGTCGAGCGATAGTCACTTGATAAAATCATTTACCATAATTTTTCGGCAATTGTTTCTCTCGACTATCGTTAAGCGCTTTTATTTATTCATCATCGTGTATGCACCATAAAACCATCAATAAAGCCAAACGTTGTTCACCAGCCGTGCATTGTATACAAGAAGCTGTAGACTCATAAAAATCATAAAATTTTATAGTTATGTTTGCTTTTCTCTTCCTTTTCCATTGTATCATCCTCCAACTCAATAAAACATGACAGCAATTCCCTTTTTCTTTACTTCAACTTGTCTGTAGTTAGAAAGAAATTTTCTTTCTTAAGGAAAATTCTTTTATTTCCTCGTACAAGTCTTTCTAAAAGCTGGCAATTGATATGAGTTTTATTGTTTTTCGTCACTCAATATAGCACAGATTCCATAAACAATAATATTACGCAAACATAAGGAAAAAAATTGTGACATTAATAAAAGAGACATCAGGAAATTACTGTAGTTGATGGTTTTGCTCTCATGTCAGTTGGAAACTTTTACATTATAAATTGTTGATTTGTTTGCATTATTATATTGCGTTTTTTCTTTGCGCGACGTCATCAACCTTCCATTATGATACTCAGGAGAGTCAATGGTAATGGAAGGTTTCAATTTTATCAAAAATCGTGACACCAAATGTCGTCGCGATGCGATATTTAGAAGAAAAAGAAAAAAATATCCAGCAACGAAACCCGCTATTATGCATGAATATGCAAGAAAATGAAATCATGCAGCGCCAACCTATCCAATTTCTTCCATTCAATTCTACTTCGACGTTATAAGGAATACATTTCATAAATGTAAGTGACATATCATTTTTCTTCTTCATCATTCCCGCTACGATGATGCGTCTTTTCATTCACTGATATATTTATGTTTGTCGTGTCAAAAAATTATTGCTCGACATTGCATTGAATGTGATTCTGTGCTAAGCGATGTTTCTTTCAACTCTCTTGAAACTTATTAAAATCCACATGAAATATTCATACCACTTCGTATCATCTTAAACAACTAGAACGAACAACCACTCACTAGATGTGTTTGTACGAATTTGTAAGGAGAAACTTTTCGTTAGATGAAAAGTAATTTATGCTCTTGAGGATCTTTCATCTACCAAATGATGTTAAATGATGTTTTCCATGAGGAATTGAGTGCTTCAAACTGATGATGAATTCAAGGAGAATTGCTTAAAAATGATACAATTTTCAACGGGAATAAATTAAGTTGAAAATTGTAAATCAATCAAATTTAAGGTCTCCTTGAAAAATGATTGTGAAGTTGTTCCAGATAAATAAATAAATGTTTTCAAACTCTTTATGGTCTTGTAGATGTTGATAATGTAATAATGTTGTCCTAAATACAAAATTTATTCCCCTTTAAGATTACAAAAGCTGATGTTGTTCCTTCTTTTTTTTTCAATGATTTATTGGACGAGGAAAAATTCTTTCGAATCTATAATTTGGCTTCATCATTTGAAGAAGACAACACAACCCATTACTTGTTCGCTTTTAGAGTTTATCGACCACCAGAAAATAAATCATTTTTCAGAACATGAAGCTTATAAATAAAATTTTAGAAACTCTATCAAGGGAATTGAGAAATGAATTTTGAGCTAAGGATACAATGATGATCAAAATATTAAAATTTAAAACTTAAATAGAAGTTCGGAAATGAAGAAAGTGAATTTTTAATGGCAATAATATCTCTTTGGTCATGTTGCTTAATGCTCAAAGCATAGCACAAAGAAATCTCATGAGAAAATTGCACACCAAACATAGCAAAGAAAAGTTTTAAAATTTAAAGATTTTCATTTTGATTTATTGTTTTCCTATGCAATGACTTGGTCAATCAAGAGAATGCAAGAAAGACATGAAATGATATTAGTTACAGCAACAATGATTCTATCTGATGATAAAAAAAGGATACAAGGAGAAAAATCATTTGACAGAAGAATTTATTTATGCTTTGGAGATTTCGTTCCCTGATTAATGACTTGAAAGACAAATTAATTTCTCTCCGTTAGCTTCGCTTTGCTTTAGTTTGCTTCTTGAGAAGAAACTAATGTTGCCAAATTGTTGATGCTTAGATTTCTTTCTTTCTTTACTTCACATTCTAGTTTTGTGTTCATTTGGAGGAAGCAATTAATTACAGTTCTCTACGTTGTGCACTTTTTCTTTCTTTCTTCATGTTTGCTTGTTTAATTTTATCAGTTTACGTATCGTTTGTTAACAATTGTTCGAAAGGCCATTGCACTATCGTTTTAAAGAACTTGATAAAATATCATAAAGCACGTTAGTTAAACATGAATTATTGCTTTTCTTCATTAATGAAAATTGTTTTTTAATCTATTGTTTCTCAGTTTCCTGGCGTCTTCTAATTATTTGTGCAATGAATCAAACCAAAAGGGATTAAATTCGTTGAGGGTCAAGGAAGTTCCGACAAAATGTTTTCTACACCAAAAGTGCCATTTCTTCATTCATTTGGAAGCACATAAATTTGTCACAAATATAAATAATGCGTGTGTACGTTCGATTATCTCAAGAGATTGTCCTGTAATTTTAAATGACAATTAAATATCGTTTCTCGGACATGGTAAGTATGCTTTATTGCATTTCGGAAAGCAATAGAAGAATAAATAAATAATTTATCAATAGGACAAAAAATTTATTCACCCTTCTATACAGAAAACTCCAACTCAATTTCTTTAAATATCTAATATGGAAAGAGTATCAAGATGTGTCAGAATATGTGATCTATTACCCGAATAAACGCATAAATAAATATCCCTGGGCACTTCCTTTTTTTTGTGGATTATTTTTTAAGTATTCCCGATGTCTGGACATCCATAAATAATTCAAGTTCTTGAAATGCTTTTAAACAACTCAAATCTTGAATTTATGGCAAAGTAGATGATTAAATCTCCCAAATATTGCCTTGTTTGAAGATTACCGTAAAGAGATTTTTAAAACATATTTTCAATGATTCGATCGTGCTTAAAAAGATGCTCTTAAAAATGTTTCTTATCACTTTAATTTCAGGAAAGAAAAATGGAACAAAAACATTTGCCACAAATGGCCAAATATTTGCAAAAGATTTATAACATTATCACCCTAATTTCTTTCATGTCCCGTTCATTCATTGTTTGATTCTTTTCTTGTTGATACTTGAACATGATTTTCATCTCAACGCATTTCATTGACGAAGAGAAAGGTGATTTGGTTCGCTTTTCTCCTTCTCCTAACATGTCTCATTATTGGATTTTATTTGTTCTACAGCAACAATATTCGATATCGGGATAATTAAATTTCTCTCTTAAGAAACAAGTGAAACGAATCGAAAGGAAAGTCGAAAATCTCATTAGATATTTGATATCAATATAAATCTTCCAACTCTCTGAAATGTTACATATGTTGGTTGTGACTAAATAACGTTGAGTGGCAAAACTATTTTTCTTTCATTCTCAACAAGAATCAATTACGAAGTTTTTCGTTGGACGATTACGAAAATTAAAATCGAACTGTTATGTTGTTGCTAACTTATGTCATTGTCCTTGACAAACATTACTTTCCGAAAAAGAATGAGAGAGAAAAAAAATAATAATGAAGACAATTATTTTCAGGAACAACATAAAGAGTCGCAATCACACCCCAACTACTTATGTACATTTCATGAAATCTGTTTTGGTATGCCAGCATTGTTTGCAGAATATTTACATTTTAAAACTTCTCAGTTGTTCCTGTTGTCATATCAGATTTCATCCGAAAAAAGCGTTTTTGCATTCATTTATGTGTCGTCTCGTGTCGCTTTGTTGCGTCTGGTGTGAATAAATGAATGCAAAATATGTATTTAGAGTCAATATCAGAATGAAGCAATTGTCTACCGATGCTTCCACTTGTTTCGTCCACAAATTTTAAGCCATTGAGTTTGACGTTATCTGGTATTAAGAGAAATCTCTTTTCACTCTTTCACTCCCCCACATTTAACAAATGTAAAGGATTCGTTTTATCAATGTCCAGATTGTGCCTCGCATCTACATTTTGTCTTTCTATCTCACTACACTACCGAAAGTGAGTCGCTGTAATTCCACTTAATCTTTCCTATGCTATTTCAGAGCCAATGCGAGATTTTAATCCATTACTTGCATAATTAAAACAAGATACGTTTCACATATGCCAAGGAGGGTTCGTAAGTTTTTTGCTTGCTTGTTTTAACACTCCAATCTCCCACCCACACTCATCATTCAGTTAGAAAGTGAAGAAACTCATGTTTAGAACTAAATAAAGAAGAAATTCATTTCACTAAAGCGACAAAACGTGGAGTGAAGCAGATAATATAATGGAAAGATTAATTATCGTACATGCAAATATTATCTTACAAAAGAAGAAGAAGCTGAAGAAGAAATGACGCTTTGTGTTGAACTAAGCATGTGAATAATGTTGGGGATTGTAAAATTATTAATCACTAAGAGTTGTTGAGTTGAAAATCCTCAAGATTTTCATTAAAGTGAAAATCGTTATGGAAAGTAAAGACAAAGCTTGACTAATAAATGATCGTCATTAAAGTAGCCTTGTGAATAATTAGAGCTTTGATTTGAAACAATGAACATGCATGATTAACATTGTCATGTACATTGTTCTTATCACTTTGTGAGATTTTGTGAAACAAAAGCGGCTTTTGTTGCAAAAGGATTAAACTGTTTTAATGTTTCTATAGAGATAAGAACTATTCACTCGTTCATTAGTCTGTTGATGATGAATTTGACATAACGACATGTACAACAAACAGAACTAAAGACAAAAATTGCTGACGACACTTTAGAACTTTAAAACTTACGCCATGTGTAATCAATCAACATTCAATTAATCTTCATTACGTTAATGGATTAGATTTGACAGGTCTCGAACTATTAAAACTTTTCAAATCCTTTTTCAACAATTTAAAACCAAAAAAAGAATTCGAACGATTTACTTTAAAATTGTTTAAATTGTTTGCCTGTCAAACATTGATGATCGTCAGATTTTCAACTGCTTTGAAATGCCTCAGAATTGAATTTTTCTTTATTGTTGATGGTGAATCCTTTTGAAAAATGATTTATTTTATTGGAATCGTTTATCTGTAGCTTCAGAAATTAAATGCACTTTTATATGATTGTTTCTGGTTACAGCGATGAAGGGTTGCAAATATCAAATAATTTTGCAACATTCAAGCGGATTTATCATCGCTTTACACTAAATATTAATGCGGGTTTAGCAATGAAAACAGAAATTTTGATTCGTCACCGCGTAAAGATTGATCAAACCAAAATATTGAATGAAAATTCTTAATTTCTCACAGTCGTCAGTCATTTTCATTGTTAAACAGCTCACAATTTATTTTTTGGGTATGTCAGAAATTGTCTTGAGGGAATCAAAACTGAACGTCTTGAGAAAATTCACTCGAGCGTTGAAAAGTATTTAAATTTGTTTCTTTCTTAGATGCAATCGCTACTATTATGTTAAAGCAAACGAACACATGTCGTCACACATTATAAAGTGTTTAAATGTCTAATTTTATTGTTAGATTATTATCTTCAATGTGTTGAATCTGAATTTATTGAGTAATTTGAAACATTTGGCCCAATCAGATGTCAGAAATTCCAATAAAATATTTTTGCATAACAAATTAAAAACTTAAATTCATTTCTTGACCCTTTAAAATTTAAATTCGCAAAGGTTCACGAACCGGAACGAAATTTTAATATGTTTCGTTCGTTTTTTTTTGTCAATAAATATTTTAGGAGCGGTTTTGAAAATATTTTTTGGTCATTAGTTTCCCCTTTTTAAATGGCTGCAAGTGTATTTAAATATTTTTTGCTCAAAAATCAAAGACATTGGGTGTGGATACTACTCAATGAATGAATGATTGTCTAAACTTTTCGTGTGAACCAAAAATTCTTTTTTTTGGGACTTTTAATTGCCATCCTCGAACCGAATGAAGATTTCAGGGGAAACCCACAAAAAAATAATCAAATGACTGGAAATTATGTAGCGATAAAATCGAATGATCTTCATAAACAATCATAAATGTTGTTTGAAAGGTTTCTGCTACTGACGGGAGAAGGAAAAAAAGAAGCCAAGTCAGCTTTCAATGGTCATTGAATTTCGTAGAAACAAATAATTTTGTTCATGTGTTTCTGAAACGAAGATGTCAACTGTCTCAATTCACTCTATCGATTTGAGTTTATTAAACAAGAAAAACATGTTGCACCAACATTATAAATGAAAATTGATGCAATACTTGAGATCAGCACTTTTCTCAACTTCTACGGAAGAAAAAGAAATGAAAATTCTTTCCTCTTCCTACAAGTCTAATCATACCTTCCCCAACTCCAAGTAATCATATAATTGGAACTGACTGCATTCAATTTTCCGAAACAATTTTCATGTCATTTATTTAAACTGCATTTTCAGAGAGATATTTGTTTTGTTTCATTCCTTCCTTCTATTTGTTATTCTCGATACAGATAAAGCTGGCGACTCTTCTTCTCGTACTTTAATTAAATGCCAGATTACTGCACAACAGACAAACCAACTGCAAATGAAATAAAAATGAATTTGAAGTTGATCCAAACACAATCTCTATAAAAAAAGACGATAAATAAAATAAAGCTGAAAGTCGTATTGAATAAATTGGCGCTTGGTATGAACAACAACAAAAAAAAATTAATCAAATATGCATTCGATAAAAATGCAGTTGCAAACAAATATTTCATTGAATGAATGTAAATATTTAACAGCCTGAAAGAGAAATGAATGAAAAAGCTGTCCATCACTCAAACAATATTAACTTCAGGGCAAATGACACATTTTGTAATAATTTATATACTGATCGGTTTGATGGACATACAATGCTCAGATTCGATATGTTGGACTTGTCGTAAAGGAGTATCAATAACCGAAAAAAAAATTGCATTTGATGTCAAGCCTTTTTATGTTCATTATTTAAATATGAAAGAGCTTTCATTTCCATGAATGTAAAATTAATTAAAAGCTGTGATTTCTGATGTTTACGCGTTGAAATTTTTTGACGAAGAACACGTAAATATTATTTTGACATGAATTTAATTGGAAAACAAATTTATGCATTCGAATAGAATTCTCATCGTGACTGAAATGTTGTTTTCTTCCAATCCTTTCCTTACTTGCAAGAGTTATTTAGTGATTAGACTCGTTCACTTTGAACTTGACAAATTTCTCATGTTTTTCTTTATGTCAACACAATAAGTAGTGAAACGTGAGTTTCTGTGTACATTTACATTGTGTAACTTGCTGTTAATATTTATTTATGTTTTTACAATCAACTGCAACATTTAAATTCGATTTAACGATAATTCATTTAAGCAGTTTCTACCAAATGTAAATCATACTCAAATTGCTTTTTAAATCTTTCCGATAAATTATCCGTCGTGAATTTTTCGCATCTGCACTTATATGAAGTCTATCATAGACACATAGTATGATCAAATGTGTTAATATTGTGTAAATAATGCGAGAATGAATATGAAGTTGTGTGGTGAATAGCGATAGATACATTGTTGTTGGTACCAACAGGGCATTCTGCAATCATTTCAGTCAACTCAGTTATTTATGTGAGATTAACACGGTGAAATCGTAGGCAACTTAAAATGTATCACATAATAAAAAGAGTTTTCTTCCACATTATGAGAATAAGTATTAGGATAAATAAATTGTGAACAGTGTTCAGCTCACATTTAACAACAACATGTGAATCATGTGAAATTTCAAGCGGGGATCGTAATAAATCATTGGACACAAATTTATGAATCAGGTAATCATAAATGCTTTCTTATGTGTACTTTGCAGCATTAAGTGGTCGCCTGCGGTTATGGAAACCACTGATAAAGTTCTCCTCAAGTAAGTTTCCTTTGATTTATTGCACACAACACACTTTGTTTGATTAACAATGTGAACCTATCGTTCAGTGATCCGATGAAAATAAATTACGTTTCAACGACGATAGAGCATAAACTTTTCAACATTTTTCGTATGTTTTAATAATTGATTGAAATTTATGCATGCACCAAAGGATTATTAAATATTTTCCTCTTTCTACACCTCCAATCACTCTTCCTTCTCCACCCCAATGCTGCTTGATTGTTTTTTCATTAAAAAAGCAATTTTCAATTATATTTTAATTGTTCCTTTGCTCACGCTCTCTACCTAGGACTTAATTTGCATATGTAATTTCATAACGTGAACGACGACTTTTTGATGTTTTCTGAAGCCAAGCAAAGCCATATGGTTTCATAGGAAGAGTAATTGCATTCTTCAATGCATAACAATTACACTCGAATGTTATTTATCTCAACCATTTTGAGGACTTACTGTTAACTTTTGATCGCTAACATCTGGCTTTAGATCAGCACGTGAGAGAAACAAAAATTTTACGTTCCGTCACACAACATAAGTGTTTGCTTTTGCTCGATTAAAAGAGATTACATAACAATAAATATAACATAATATTCTATCATGAAAATTAGATTAAGATTAGAATCTCTCAGCGACATCAATTAATTAAAAACTCACATAATTTTAAATTTATTTTAATTGAAGTGATATGAAGTATTATTTGTCATACGATGCGGGTTCTGGTCACGGTGTTACTCTTTTAAATGGCTTAAAGAGGGAATTATGAACTCGTTCAATTCATTAACATGAAAACTTCATTAAAAATGCGTTTATCAAAAAGGGGTGTAAGAAGGAGAATTAATTCAACACGAGAGTGTTGCAAAAGATATTTTTTGCTGTTGAATATTCAATGCCACTATCGTCGTGTCATCATAATCATCACAATCTAGCAAAACCAGCATTTTGCCTTATTATCTACTTGAGATTAATTCAAATATGATTGAAAATATTTTCTTGAACGACAATTTCGCACTTATCTTCAAACAGAGAATCTTGAAAACAAGAACATGATGTAGGAAAACATATTAAATTATGTTGAGCATAAATATTGAAATGTGATTATTGAATGTCCACATGCACTCGAATTTGTGTGAATTGAATTTGTTTATCCAATTTCCTTTTTAAAAAATTGATTCCTTCTGGCGATTTTATTTAATGCACAAAATAAAAAAATCTTTAAATCTTTTGAAGTCTTTCGCAAACATTTTAGATCCACTTGGTTTTCATTCAATTATGGAAAAATGTTTGTTGTTTACTTTTCCAACAAGGATAATTTCAATTGAAGGATGAAAAATTCGATGATTTACTTGACCAAACAAGTTGTGCAATTACCCTTTTTGCTTTGTTCTTTGCACGCAAACTTTGGATGCTTGTTCAACATTTTTATTTCGGTGTGCATGCAGATATCTTATTACAAATTGTGCAATGAAGCGTATTCCAACATTCTTCTCTTTATTATCCTTTGTGAAAATATTGAATTATTGAAAAGGTTTCTGTTGACTCGCCTCTGCCTTTTAATGTTGTTTTCTTTTGAAGATGATGATGATGATGATAAGAATCAAAATAATTTCTATGCACATGTCTTCATTATTAATTTACCTCCAAATAGTAAACATTGAATTCATGATTTTGTGCAAAAGGAAGTCAATAAAATTTATTGCAAAATCAGCGATTTTCCTGATTGAAATAAAATTACGCAAAACATTTTTTTTCAAGCGACAATTCCATTTCATTTTTTATTAGCGATGCATATGGCATCGAGGGATGATGAAGACGAAAACACGATTTTTTTATATTGCACACACGTTCCAGCACACATATCGTAAATCTTTCCGTCATCTTTTATATCCTTTGAACAGAATTTAAATAAAAAGTTTTTCGATGTCGAGATCCGAAAGAAGCATAATAATAAATAAAAATTATGTCATAAAAGTTTTTAATCAAAAACATTCCTTGGGTAATAAATTTAAGAAACATTTTTGTATCAATTTCTTTCAGTATAACATGAAAGATTATCATATCGTTATCTGCCTTTATTTTACAACATTTACTTACAACACATGAACTTTTATTCTTTTCAGATTGTCTTCGACGATAAAATTTACGACATTTATGCATAAACAAATTTCAAATTTCCTTCACTCATGTACAAAATTTGTTGCTATGAGAACCTTTAATTATTCCATTGAAATCAGGAAATGATTGACAAGAAAAGTGACGAACGACGACCACCAACTGGTTATTTAAACTTTAATTCGTTAGAAATGTTCAATTGAAACTCATTATTAACTCAATAGAAGGAGAAATGAAAAAAAATTCGTGGAAAATTTAAGGCGCACGTGTGATGTTATTTTTAAGATTTTTCCTTCTTTTTCTTTTATGAAAACTACAAAAAAAAGTTAAAAATCTGAGAGCTAGTTTGAGGGTGTAAATTAATAACAATTCTTAAAACATCATTCGGAAGAATCCTGGAGGGAAGGGCAAACGCCATGAAAAGAATCTAATTATACCTCATGTTGTGGTGAATTATGGAATTAGTTTGTGTTTTGTACAAAATTCCTCTCGTGATTCATGGGAAATGCTGCACTGAAGTGGCTCGTGCTTTGACATTTTCATTTTCAAGAGTCATTCTAAGCGTTTGCAAGTTTGAACCCACGGGATATTTTTGCTACTTTATGCATAACAAAAGGTAGAATAAAAACAAAATTTCATGAATATTTCATTAGCATTTAAAAGTCAATCAACTTTATGACGAGTGAATACGACCACGAGCAACTACAAAATGACTTTTTGAATGTCATGATAGTTAAATCCTTGTTGCACAAAATAGCTTCCAAGAACCAACTAATGGACTTATAACAACGTGCATAAATGATTCACAGGATATGAACAATGTCATGCAATAGCAACATCTAAGTTTTGAAGCTTGAAGCTCTTGAAAATTGGCGAATTTCTCATTAAATGGCATTTATAATTGATTGATAAACCGCGGCGAAACATTCGCTTCAATAGAATCGAATTTGTTGTCATTAGTCTCAATAGAATATCAACCCGTGGAAATGGAAAATCCATCGAACATTGAATTGTATTTTAAATTAATTAAATCACGCAATGGCAAAAGCGAATATTTCGTCGTTTCAAAAATAGTTTTGCTTCGAATTATTTTCTAATGTATTAGAAATGCAATAATAAGAGGGCTGTAATCGCTATTAGCAGGACGACATACACAAATAAGTGTTTCTCTTTATTTTAGTTTCAATATCAGTTGCACCTGTGATTATCCCGACACACAATAGTTTAATTTGAACATTCAATTATAAAATCTAATCACAAGAAACAATTCACTTCGCTTTTATCTATAATGTGGTTAAAATACTTCAATATCAAACAAATGTCATTTACCTGTTTGTAAATACATGCACCCAAATCAGCATGACATAATGAATTTGAGTTGAAAGTAAGTACTTATTAAGTATCACAACAAATAGAATGAAAATTATCAACTTGATAAATGTCCATGTAATGTTGCTGTGGTGAAATTTAATCAGCTTTATATTGGATTATCTGTTTATGCCATGAACATTTCCAACTATTTTTGAGCGCGTTGTGGTTTCATGAAGATATTGAAATCGACGAAGCGTGATTCTCGATTTTCGACCACCACAAATTCTGCCATCACGACGATGACGTTGATTAAATTGTAATAAAGTGCAAAATGCACACGAACCATTTTTCCGATACAATAATCATCATCAAAACACTAAACCATTAACATATTTTTGGCACACTTTAGAAATTAGTCGATACGGATCCATTCACAATCGTAGATTGTTTGCCAACCAAAAAAATCACTCCCACACAAAGCATTGAATTTGTTTATTTAGACGAAAATTACGAGAATCAAATTCAACTCTAATGACTTTTGTATTTCTCCTTGTCTGTAATTTTTGTTGTGTTTTTCCATAAACATGACGGGAGAATGAAAGGAAAGTCTTATGATAACAATGCAGAAAGTTTGTAAAAATACTTTGTGATTGACGCGCTCGTCCGACAAGTGGCGCATTTTATGTTTCATTATTTTCATTTGAATTGGTTTTGTGTTGTCCCGAATGTCCTGATTGACAAAGTTGAAGGAAATATAATAAAACTCAGGTCACCCTAAATCAAATGACGCTGTCTCGAGTACGTAAAGAACACAATAATGCATAATGCCCAAAAAACCATTTACATTTATTCCATTTTCCGCGCCAACAAAACTTGTAGACATTTAATTCTCACAAAAAGTGAAGGGCTCATAACAAAAATATCAATATTGAAAAACATAACTCACAGCAACACAAAATTTGAATGAAGTGAATCAAAAAGAATGAAAGAAAGAAAAAATATTCATCGATTGTCACACGTGGCTTCAAACATGCAACAAACACGTGCACGTTTTTCGCTTAAAGCACTAGGAAAATAAAACTTAAACAAAAGAATCCCCGAGAATATCTAATTCAATTTTTGTTTTATTATTAATTGTTCTGTCAAATATTTTGGGCGTCTCTGTCTTCATGACGCTCTCAATAACGCGTTCTAAAACGGAATTTGACGGTGGTTTACTGAACCTATCATCAAAAGAAATTACTGTTGTTTGAGTTGGTTAAACATGAGTTGGAAAAGTTTGAATTTTAAAATGTGTTTTGGTACCAGAAGAGTGAGTTAAGTTAACAGTGTCGAATATACATACATCAAAAATCCCTTACATATGTTGCAATGACGTTTTATTAATGAAATAAGTAAAGTAGCAGAGGAACTTGACTTGTGGTTTATTTGTGTTGTTTTTAAAACTTACATAAACAGAGTTCTTTCTCCACCCCGTATCAGAATTTTGATTGCATGTTTTGTAAGTGAAATTCTTCCTTTCTTAGCTGTTTTATGTTCCTTTAATGAGTTTTACACTCTCGACATTTGACACTTCATTTGTATCAGAAAGTAAAGTGAAGTAAAGGCGCGGGTGGAATGGTTTTTCGTCTTTTCTTTTTCTCCTCTTACTCTTTACAACGAAGTTCTTTCTTTGCCATCGTTGCTCGAAAATTCCATTAATTAAATTCCAATTCAATTATTCATCAAACGTTTCCAGACAACTTCAATTGTTGCCATAGTTAATTAATAGTTTAAGAAATGTTTTAATTCCTTCTTATTCCCGTTGAACATTTCCATGTCGAGGACAACTCATTAATCAAATCATTTTGGTAGACGTAGACGAAGGAAAAGAAAATTGTGGGCGCGGAAGTCTTTTGTTGGTTGATTTTTCAATTCACCAGAGACACTTCTACGATTACGATAAATAAAATAAAACCGGCAGCAACAAAAAAAAATTGCATTGTTTCACATTAAATGAATTTTGACAACAGTCATTAATTTTGCTGTGACTTTTGCGACACAAACGTGCCAACCAACGCGAGATCAAACTCTTAATGCGCAATTCACATTAACGGGGAAATGATTTTTGTGGAGATTACGACAATATTTTGTTAATGGAATTCGTCTTCGTCAATTAAGATGTGAAAGAAATCGTAGATTTAATGAATGTTTGATGCCATCGAGTGGAAATCTAATGAAAAATCATTTATCTTGGCACAAAGAATCTCCACATGTTCACAAAAATCCATTTCAATAATTTGATTAAAAATCTATTTGGAACCTTGGCGATGTGCACATTCAGAAAAAAACTTTGACAGTCGCTAAACGACATCAAATCAATCTCATCGTTCTGTTAAATGTATTTGTTGTGTTGTGAAGTGAAATTTTTATTTTCACCAAGTGACTTTCTCAATTTCCTCCCACGAGGCCAAAACATTTTTCTTCGTTACTCGCCGATCTCAATTTTGACAAGAAATTAAAATTTTTTTATTGATATGTCTAACTTGGTGAAATGATTGATGATGACTTTATCTAAGCAATCATTGCGATGAATGAAAATTTTTCCATTTAATTTTCACCACAACTCGGATAACTTCATTGAAAAAGCAGTCAAGTTAGAGAAAGAGAGTCAGTCAAATTTAATTAAGTTAATAGCTTCTGCCGCTGTTTTCGGAATGTCAAACGCTTTTGAATATTCTATGAATGCTGACTGTCTGTACACTAAAGACATTTCTTCACATTGATAATTGAAATGTTGAATAAAGAGACGATTTTCAATTAAATCAAATCCGTGTTCTGTGGCGAAGCAATAAAAACTTAAAAGACATTTTCATGTTCAAATTAAATTCGGTTACGCTCAAAGCTTCTCTTGTGGTCGTCCTTGATGAAATTTGTTAAGATTAAGAAGGAAGAAATGTTTGTTACCTTATACAATATACAAAAGATGATTCTTTTAGTTTAAGTTTCTTTCCCCGACAGCTTACTACACTTGCCCATGTAGTTTCTCCAAATAAATAGAATTCAACACTCTCGAAAGGGGTTTAATGCAACAGAAATTCTCAATTCATGGTTAACCCTAACTCCAACAAGCTTTAGAATTTCTTAACTCAATGTTTGCTCACCATTTGTACACACAAATGTCGAACGATGGTGAATTCCATCAATGAACTTTTTGCAATAAATGAACGAGAAAAGTTTTAATTTATTTAAAGTGGATCCAAATGGAGAAACGAATGTTTCATGTTCAATTTGTTATTTGAATGACGACACATTTAAAGAAGCTTAAGACGGAAATCTTTTAAATCTGTTAAGCAAGAAAATCACGTACACACGCTTTCCTTGTCTGTTGTCTCTGCATCCATTTGAATGCTGTCATGTGTGTCACCTTAAGGAGAATAATAGTTTTCCCTTCCCTGAAAGGATCTCAGATTGAAAAACTATTTTAAAGATTTCTGAAAAGATTGAGAATTATCGTTGAGTGGGATGGAATGAAAAAGGAAATCAATCAGACGTGATTAATTATGATCAAGATTTTCGCCATTGCGAAATATATTTTGCGACATCATTAATCAATGTTTAAGAGAAATATTATCACAATAATAAAATTTCATTTCACTAATGTAATCATAGATAAATATCTAACTTATGTAGTTGAAAAATAAAATCATTCCGTTCTGTTTCTTATTATTATTAAAAAATTAATAATCATCGAGACGTTCCCAGACGATTTACGACAAAGCAATTAATTTAAAACTCGTAATGACCATAACAGAACCAAAGTAATTTTTTTCTCAAAAATTCTTATGGTGTTAAAAAATTATACAAATTTATTTATGTCACAGAGAGTGAAGTGGAGTAATTGACGACTTCTGGTGCAGGCAGACATCGAAGTGTATGTAAATGATGTAAAATTAAGATGCTGTCGTAAACCTCATTCGTTTCACAATTCTTCTTTGCTATGTTTTCCACACTTTAGCTATTTATAGATCATTCAAATGAATGCTTTCTTCTTTATTTATTTCCGTCTCGTTCTGGTTTCTTCCTTGATTCTATGTTGCTTCATGATTTTGATCTCTGCGGGAGACCTTCTCTCTGTCTTCTTCTGGAAATTGCAGTTTGTTTTTCATTAAAATCATTCATGTTTATGGTTTTTTACTTTTTTTTCTTCAAAAAGTTGTTTTCATTTTTGGTGTCTTTGAACCGCGACATGATTTCTTTCTTCTTGTTATTAAGAAAATTCTTTTGAAAAATCGGCGACAATTGTAATGAACTTTTTTTTTCTTTCTCATCTTTAAAATTCTTTGAATAATTTCGTGTGTTTGTATCATAATTACGGGGGTGTTTGCCTTCACTTCCAATCATTTGTTATTTATCCTTCAAATAAACAGTGAAGATGGCGAGGGTAGGAATTGAAAAAAGTATTTTAATTTAGATAAAAGACGTTGATTGATACGCGCCAAGAAGTGCGATGCCAATGCGGTTAGATTTGACATTTTTTCCAACATTCTTCTCTAGTTCTAAAGAAATTTTCCGCTTCAGAGAGACGATAAATAAAATTATAATTTGAAGAAAAGAAACTTTTCCAGTTGATGATAAACAAACCGAGGGACGGATGTCATAGGCGCAAGTTGATTTTGTGTTTAACTCGGGATTTTCTCGCTCTCTTGAGACACGTGTTAACTAAATAAAAGTGAATGACAAACTTGAATTAACTTAAGATCCATTTCAGAAGATTACTTTTAATTCTCATGATTTGTTTCATTGACATTGTTGTTTGTACTTGATTTAGATGGAAAGAAAGAAAACATAAGTAAATAAGTAAGAAAACATCAAGTCATTCCGCATTTGCATTCATTAAGATTTTGTCGTGTCATCTTTTAGCTGTTTAATGGCCAAGAACTTGTAAACAAAATATAAGCAATCATCCGAAGCTTGTTAACCGAGACCGAGACGAATGAAATATGCTTCGACATGAATATTGATAAAATCAAATCTTATTTTATATTTTTTGCAATTTTTCTCTGCCAATCCTCGGAATGAATGATGACCGACAAAAAGTGAGTGGAACAACGATGACGATGATGATGATGGGTCACATCTGCAAATCATACTAAATTTTATGACATATTCACATTAAACTGCATTACAGAAGATGATTGATTCGATTTTATCGTAAGCCAATGGCCCGTGAAATTAAAGTCGAAATTTTATTTATTTTTTGTTTTTAAAGTGTTTACTTTTATTATTGATACGAATATTATGACTATTCGACTTTCAAATGTTCACATTAAAGTTTATAATTTGCAAGCAACATAAATGTTCATAAGCAACATAAATATGTAATTATTCTCCAATGTTTCAAATGGTAAACATAAATGCTAGGCAGGTTTCAATAAATAACTTTTAAGTTTAAATTGAATTAACTTAATTGACGATAAATTTAATAGAGAACGTGGACAATTCGTTACAGAAACTGAAAGAATATTGTGATCGGTGCCTTGATGTCTATTTAATCGACTCGATTTAAAGTTAAAATCAACTCTTTGCTAATAAGTGTCATTAAAATGCGGCAAGAGGCGATTATTTTCTAACAGTTGCAACTTTTATAATTGCGTCAATCCAAGAGATCTGCACGTTATAGCCAATAATTTCTGCGGTTACATTCAAAAGAATTATTTCTTAAATCATTGAAGTGTTGTTCAATAAACTTTATTTTCTTTAAATAAAAAGTACTAAGTAGACATTTATTCTGAGCATTTACAGTTGCTTTAATAATTATTGTTTTCGGTTACTGTTGCTGCTGGCTTTAAAATTTTCTGCTGCAATAAAATATCAATAAAACACTTGAATCGTTGACTTGTCCAGATGGCTTAAGTTGTGAAAAGAGAAAAATAAATAAATAAATGGCTATGGTTGAATTCAAGGTTGCTTCTAATTTATGCTGCAACATGATCAACATTACTTAGGCAAATTGCGCCGCAAGTCAAACGTGATTTATTGAGTTAATATTTCTGGTTCTGACTCAAACTTGTTCTCTAACCTTCACAGCAATTAATTTTATTATGTAAATTAAAATAAAAAAGAAAGTTCTGTCTTCGCCCGGTCTCGAACCGGGGACCTCGAGTGTGTTAGACTCGCGTGATAACCCCTACACTACGAAGACATTCAGACTTTCGCTCAAATCACTTCAGCAGCTGCCAGTGATCTTAAGGTGATTACAATTTGGCAATGTACCAAACAAATAACTAAAACTTATGTTGTAGAGAGAAAGTGAACCAGTTTTCTGTTTTATTTCAATCAAAACTGGTATGATTATTTGAAGTTACTTAACCTGTTTCATTTTCAGCTGAATCAGAGTAAGAAGAAACTTCACGATTTCTAAGGTCAAATATTTTTCATCTTCCGAGCTATAAATGAACGAATGAGTGTCAATTTTAATGATAACATTAAATAAATGTCAAATCTGATGGGTTTGCACTTCTTTTCTTCTTTTCTGTTTGTCACAATTGAATGACTTTTATGATAATTATGTCCATGAATATTCAAAATCAAATAAATTTTTATGCATTTAGATAATTGTTAAATGTTCTCTCCGTGAAGAAACGGTGCGAACTCTATAAAATTTCTTTTGTATGAAATGTAATCAATGCAATAATCGACATTCGTAGATCTAAACATAATGGAAATTCAAAAATTTATGATCACAAACGTCCAGCGTGTGTCAAAATCATCAAAAGTTATTTTAACTGTCGGTTCTTTGTTTACCGAGTAATTTTCGCTCGTAAATCGAATATTTGAATGGGATTTGAATATTCAAAAGCTGAAAACTTCATTCACTTTTAATGGTCGTTGCCTTCACTTTGTTCACAATGCAAGTTAATAATGAATTTGATGTTTTGAACTCTGTAAAGAAATCAGTTTTAGTTGCAATCATTTAACTGTGTTGACGATTTTTCGTGTTGTTCGTTTCGTCCCCGCGCGTTGTCATGGCCATTGTCCGTCTCTTTATACTGCTTCTATTTTTATTACATCAATAGCTTAAATGTCTTTATGTGTTGAGTAATCTTATAAGCGATTTAATTAAAGCATATCATGACCTATAATGATAACTCAACAGATGTTCCCTTCTGACAACGCGTCACTCAAAACCAGCTTCTATGACAGTCAACAATCAAATCGACCACTCAACCAAACTAATCATGATTTGTTTAACAAATTTAAAAATCGATACGCGAATGTGTCCTAAAATTATTCACCGAAATTAACAGGTCAAAAAAGAATGAAAAAGAATTTGAAAATTTGAAGCCGATTAAATCAACAATTCATGTTTATGAATTTTAAGTTGCGGCATTAAAAAATTGTATCATATCCATAACGCTCGTCAAAGTAAAAATATCAGTTTTTATTCCATTGAACTCTTCGGTTCCCTTTAATACGACCCTTTTTTGACCATCTGTTATAATATAAGGAAGGGAAAGAAGCGTTTTCAGCGCGTCTATTTTACTGTCATGTACACAGTGGCGCATTAGAATGTGCTTGCAGCTGTACTTGTTTCATTTCACTCGATTACATCCCTGCTAGCTACACTAAAAAATTGATATTGAGTGTCATATAATGACGCTTCGAACACGTGCATTTTCATATCTTTCCTTCTTTCGTCGTCTTCAAGGGCACAGCATGAAAGACGTTTCACTTTTTTTTCCTGTATGAATAAATTTACATTAAAGAGTG